CACCTTTTCCTTGAGCCCACCATAATCGACCGCCTTGAGATTTCGATCGAAAGAAGTACTGCAAAGAATAGCAGACTGGGGAACGCGTCGCGATTTTTTCTTGCCTGAGGGAACACCAACAGAAAAATGGGAGCGGATCAATTTCACAGTCGAAGATGCACAATCAGCATCTTGCCCGGGCTCCAATCCTGTACCTGTGATAGATCCTGTAGAAAGGAAGTCATCGTGTGTCGAAGATGAACAGATCGGTGGTGGTTGTGGAGGCAGGAAGCTGCCATGAGTAAGGGTCGGTGCTGTTTCTTTGGCGGGTTCCAGTGTCTTGTAAACGATCGAGAAGGGGATGTCGAGGTTGTTGGATTCCTGCAGGATGGTGGTGATCATAGAGTAGGCGCCTGTGACGGATTGGATGAGCGGCGCCTGTTTACTGAACTGGTTCAGAGTCATTAGCCGCCGTTGGTTGAGAATCGACTGGGTGACTTCTTGGACAACGGCCAAAATTCCTCCAATAGAACCATCCTGCAGGAAGATGGGCGAGAACGTAAAGTCAAAGTAACACTCTTCCTCATATCCTTCGCTATTTGAGCCGTTGAATTAGAATGAAAGATCCACGCGCATTAGTAAATGCCTGGTTACTCAAAAGCGTTCCCGCATTCTGTCAAGGATCATTGGACGGACCGACCATGAACACAAAGACAAAAACGACACCTTACCGGTGGACATCCAAGCGAAGGGCCTTGTTGTCGCATCCGCGGCCGAGTTTTCTCACCTCAGTCATCTGTGGACCAAGAACATTCCAAATCTCACTCCAAACAGTTGCTCCAGGCTGGCCCATGGCTATTTACGAGATATATGAAAAAGGTCATCATCGTTAATATTTCCTGCAGAGAAAAGTCAGAACTTGATAAGTCATCTTCAAGGAACGAGTGATTAAACGCGTTCGACAAATTGTTGAGGATTTGTTATCAAGGATACACTGGATCATCGGCATATATGAGTTTGAGTGACAAATGAAATGCCAAATGGCAGCAATAATAAGAAATGCAAAAACGTCGATTGTTTACCATGAGGGTGTTTCTGCTTCAGTATTGGCCGCCATGCCTATGATAAGCAAATGCCATGGATGAATGAGATATGAGAAACGAGAATGTTAGTGCTCTGACTGACCAGTTGTTATTGCAAGGTATTCTTCTTTTTGGTTGTTCAACTTTGTGCGCCATTTCCTTTTGGCATATTCGTTGACATCCCTCGGCCCCGACTGATATCGACAACTGCTCGCTGGAGCAGCAGCCACCTTACAAACAGTATTTTATCCCCCCGCGGGTCAGACCCCAAGATCGGGCTGTTTCAGTCCGACCGCTGTTAGTTAGAGTTACAGACCAATCACAGTGATTTGATGTCGAGGTCAACTTTCCTGCCTTTCCAAAAAGAACACAGGAATAGGAAAAACACTAAAGCAACAACGACGCACAAAGGATAAACAAAGTTTTCAGTGCGCGCAAATGCGTCAATAACGCACGGTCTAGACTGCCCTATTCTCACATGTTCACTCGTTTCTCCCTTGTTCATTTCAAACACCCACATCTTTCATTTGCCTCTGTAAGCTGTTATCCTTTTCTTAAGGTTCTCTGGCCATCATCCTCATTCTTTCCTTTTATGACATAACCCGTTCACTCCTCACTCAACTCTCTTACTCGTCCAACCTCACCAACCACAACCACCAGTTTGAAAAAAAAAAAAAAAAAAATCCCCAAACTAAAAAGAAGCCCTGCATGGAGCACTTACGTCGTTGTAGATGAGAAGACATTGTTCGCCCCAATAGATAGCCAAGGGAGAAGCACAGCGCATCAGCATTGGTATAAGGACCGACAGCTCCACAGGCCAGCTCGATCGAGGGCCAAGTCCTGTCGTACTCCAGTCTTTGGAGTCCACTAGCGACTCTACTGAAGCTTCCTTGTGCTGCTCCGCTGGTTTTGTCTCAACCTGTTCCAAGTTCAGCGTTGGAGAAATTCCTGCCCGCACATGTGGAACTCCGCTTGGATCGACAGCCAGCGCAGCTTGCCCAGCGACATCAGACTGGCGGGAGGGCATGTCCAGGGGTATGGTCCGGCAGTGCCCGTCGCTCATGACCCTTTCTTCGTTCGACTTCATGTTAGCCTGCTGATCGCCAGGATCGACCAATGGTGAAAAGCCAAAGACGGTTGTCCTTGATCCAATTGATACACTCTCGCCTGGCGCCGTAGCTGCTGCGTCTGACTGAATTTGTTGCTCTTCTGCTGTGCGCCCGCCGAGATTGGGATCCAATTGCTGATCATGGACGGCGTGGTGAACGGGTACCAGGGTCGAGTTGGAGGAGGGGGTGAAAAATGTTGTCGAAAGGGTTGGTGAGATCAATCCTGTGTCCATCTTGGACCATCCGTTCACGGCTGAGCGAGGCAATGGAGAGGTTGTTCTGTTGCTGGGCGTGGAGGAGCCGTTAGGCAGGTGGGCCAGTGGTTGAAGAGGGAGATTGGATGCTGCAAAGTAAGGATGTACATCGTTTTCACAGGGCTGCTGCTCACCAGCTTCGACGGTCGACAATGCATAGGGTATTTGTGATAGAGGCTGCTGAATAGGATCGGTATCTATGGTATCGCTTGGCGTGACTACCGGAGAGAGTTCGTCGATTAATATGCCAGAGGGCAACTCGCCGGGTACGAATGCGACATTGACTGTGGGTGTGTGAAGGGTACTTTTGAAGGGCACGGCGACTTTTTCTGAGGCGGTCGGCTGGTTGGGGAGGTTGACGGAGAGTTGGTTGACTGTTGGGTAGGAGACAGACGAGGCTAGGGCGAAGACTGTAGGGGGACTTGTAGAAGGTAATTGCTCGGTTACGAGAGCAGGGTGTAGTATGGTCATATTTTGCCGAAGAGAGTTTGACGACGCAGTGTTGCTATTTATTAGATGTTGTTGCTGTTGTTGTTGATAATGCTCCTCCTGCTGCTGTTGTAGGCGCTCTACTTGCAGTTGCAGCTGCAGAGCTTGCCTTCTCTCTTCCTGTTGTTGCTGCTGTGTTGCGAGAGAGGTGAAGATGTCGCTGTCGGCGTTGCGAGCCATGTCGTCGTCGTTGTTCGAGTCGACTGTCTGTGGCTCGAATAGAAAGTCGCCATTGTCGATGAGAACATGTCCTCTTGGGGTGGTGGGGAATGACGAGATTTCGGTGTCCATGTCGGTTGTGTCGAGTGATGCGGCGACCCGTTGGGTGTCGGGGTCGATCTCGGTGGGAGCACACGAAGGATGGTCTGATTCCATATGGCGAGGATTTTTTTCTGTTGGGTAGACTCTGTTTTCCTTTTGTGTTGTTGGGTCAGCGCAGAAGGAGGTATGAGTTGAAGGAAGGAAGGAAGGAAGGAAGGAAGGAAGGAAGGAAGGAAGGAAGGAAGGAAGGAAGGAAGAAAGAAAAGTACAGTGTGTAGTATGGGGTGCAGTGGTGGAATGAGCTGAGCGAGCTAGAAGTGGAAAGGCAGAGGAAAAGAAAGAAGGGAGGAGGGAGGATGGAAGAGAGAGAAGAGGAAATAGGTAAAGGTAAAGGAAAGAAAAGAAAAGAAAAGGCGACAGGAAGAAATGAAAAGAAAAAAGGAAAAAAGAAAGTGTCCAAATCCTAATTCAACGCGAACAGAGTGGCGAGGGAGAGTGGAGTGGCTGGTCACTGCCAAGCCGTTGAGTTGAAACATGAACGAACCATGAACCACGAACAACGAACAGCGAACAACGAACAACGAACAACGAGCACAAACTATAACGAGCACCCTTCCCTTTCGTCCTTTTGTGCGAATGACAATTTCAATCTCCTTCCTTCCTTTCCCTTTTCTACATGTCGATCCGTCCATTCAATTCAATTCAAACGATCTTCTAAACCTGTTACACTGCATTCAACATGTTTGATGTCGACGCCCAATCCTTCATTCTTGTCCACACACAAGCATCTCCTGCAAAAGCCCAGCATGCCTCTCTCTCTCTCACATAACGCAACTCTCCCTCCTCCTCCTCCTCCTCCTCCTCCTCCTTCTCCCTCTCCCTGTGAGCTGTCTTTGTTTTGCTAGTGGCCGTGCCCCTTCGTCCCGCCAATGCAGATCCGACTCCAAAAACATACAAGGTTGAGAGCCACAATTGCGCTGCTTGGTTGTCCTGAAGGTTCCCTCCCCTCGCACTCTGGCGATTCAGCGATTAATGCCATTGACTGAAAAAAAAACCACCACAACCACCACTCGATCCCATCCCTTAAACACTGACTGAATGACTGGCTAGCTGGGCCTGGACGTTTCAACCTTTCATCCTTCAATTCCTCCCATCGCGCTTCGCAGTTGTGAACCACGTCCCCGCGTACCCAATAAAAAACAAACACCATCTCACAAAACTATCACGCATGATTCGGTACGGGGTCCCCGCATTGTTTTATGTCTCCCTTCCCTTTCTTTTGGTTCCTCGTGCTTGCCTTGCCTTGCCTTGCCTTGCCTTGCCTTGCCTTACCTTGCCTTACCTTGCCTTACCTTGCATTGCCTTGATTTTTTTTTTTTTTTGGGATCATGTATTCGCAGGGGCCACCTTTTTTCGACCTTCGAGTCCACGGAGAAACCAGTTTTTCGAGGAGAGAAAGGCAGATCCTTTTTTGTTTTTGTCCTCTCCTTGTTATTGTACAATGCTGAAGATGTTTGCTTACCCCTTTTAGAGCATATTTTTTCTTTTTTGTTCACTCTATGCACCATGCGCGTGCATGTGAACAAATTATCACATAGAGTTGTGATCTCTCTTCCTTCGGCGCCCTTCTCAATGCATTGATTGCATTAAAACCTTTTCAGCACATACAATACGCAATGCATGCTTCAAAATAAATGAAAAGAGCCATGGGTATGAAATACAGCATATAATACAATATTGACAAATAATAATAATAATAATAATAATACGAGATGAAAAAAAAAAAAAAAAAAAAACTTCCTCCCAAATGAGAAGAAAGGGGTGTTTTAGCCAACGCTCTTGCGGAACTTGCCAAAGACTCCTGTAACAGCCGCTCGGCTTGCACCAAGTACAGTGTGATGCTTCTTACTGCCCAATGACGAACTTCCTTCACCTCCTATACCTCCAGCGCCTCCACTTCCACTTCCACTTCCTCCTCCTTCCCTTCCTCCGTTCCTCAGCCCCATCCCCATCAACGACTGTCCCGTCGGATTCGATGGATGCGTCACCGTCGACGACAGAGATGGAGGCGGACTCGAATACATCTCCCCACGTGAACCCTCCTCAACTCCAAGACCAATACCAAGACCAAGACCAAGGCCGTGTCGAGACGGGACTGAGGACGACAATGATGTTGATATCGTGTGTGGAGCGTTTTGTTTTTGCTGCTGCTGCTGCTGCTGCTGCTGTTGCTGTTGCTGTTGCTGTTGCTGTTGCTGTTGCTGTTGCTGTTGCTGTTGCTGTTGCTGTTGCTGTTGCTGTTGCTGTTGCTGTTGCTGTTGCTGTTGCTGTTGCTGTTGCTGTTGCTGTTGCTGTTGCTGTTGTTGATGAGGGTGGCGACTGTCCACAATGATAGGTGTCCAAAGGGAACCATCAGGGTTCTCCAACTCATTCAACGACAATCCAAGATCGTACCCAATCTCGGCCAGCTGAAGCATTCCATCGCCACCATTGTTGCCATAACTGCCGTTCTTGTTGTTGGTATTGTTGCTCTTACTTTTATCATTGAAGCTGCCGCTGTCGGTCCTGTTGTGGTTGCGTCCGCCGGAATGTTGACCCTGGGCGGTCAAAAACTCGGGTCCGTGCAAAGAATACAGACTACTGCGACTGATACGGTCTCTAGGGGACACCTCTCCGTTAGGTCGTGCAGGCAATGGAGGCGGTCGATCCGCTGCTGCCAACGAACTGTATCCATCGCCTTGGAAGCGAGAAAACACAACCTTTTCAGACCACTCCTCAATCTCACGAAGCCCTCCCTCTCCTTCTCTTCCTCCTCCAGCTCCAGTTCCATCCCGTTGATCCCCTGTCGACATAACCATCGTCCGCTGAGGCTTACTCGTTAAAGATGATGAAGACGACGACGAGGACGACGTGGACGAAGGTGGTGAAAGTGTGGCAGCGGCGGCGGCCGAAATCGCAGTGATGGATTCTGTCTTGCGATTCGAGTTTGGAGGTGTGCTCTGAGTCGACCCCGGGACCTTGCCTCGATGTGACGAGTGTTGTCGGGTAGCTCCAGATCCAGACGATGACGGTGGTGACAAACTGTTCACGTTGGCCGCCCAAGATTGATTATCCTTGTCTACACAGTACGTCTTTCCTTTGGAATTGGGCCTGCTCGTAGTTATTCCAATGTTGTTGTTGTAACCGTTACTGCCACTGGAAAGTTCGTCCGTGCTACATTCAGTGGTGTGCGCCATGGCCGCAGAAGTTGTGTAGTGTCCTCCTCCTCCAGTTCCAATTGACCCTGAGCATCCTCTGCCTCGTTCGTCGGAAGAACGACCAATGTAGTACGACGACGTCGTCTGGTCGTACTCTCCAGCAGGGTAGAGTTGTTGTTGATCGCCCTGGTAGACTTGAAAGCCTGCGGCGTCGGGTTTACCCTGGTTAAGCGCCTTGGACAATTCGTCCGCAGATCGTTGTTGATTCAGTCGTGGTCTAGGGCGGAAGAGGCTGGTTCCTGAACCTACAGAGAGTGACAGAACGTTGGTAGCGGACAGTCCTCGCTTGGGTTGCGCTCCTGAAGACGATCCAACTCCTGCCGCTGCTTTGCTCAAGTTCGAAGATGTCGGTGGAGATTGACCAATTGCCTCGATAACGTGTACTTGCTTGTTGGCGTGCTGGTCTGGACCTGGTAGGAGAGAGGTAGCGGCGTGAAGAGAAGCTGCCGATTCCGAAGGCGAAGTACGGTGGGTCGCTACTCCCTTCTACAAAGTCAGAAAAAGTCATCAGCACATCAGAATATTGCATTAATTACAACTGCCTGCAGACTTTGCAAAATAAACGCAGCACACAAAATTCGCATAGTTTATTTCCCACGAACCTTGTTCTTGTCCCTGTCCCCACCCCCTGAGAGATTCATCCACCGCGTTAAACTCACGCTCGTCGCCCGGATCTGCGCAACAGGACCATTAGTTGATACAGGCGTCGTCGTTGGTCCCGCCACTGCTACGCCACCGCCGACTGAAAACGGAGCGGCTGTTGTAGGCAGTCCAGAATCAAGGCGAGTCATATCGGGCGTTGGACTCCGCACAGCATCAACAGCTGCCATAGATGCAGCCAGGTGGGCCTCCTCAACCAACGACGCCTTGGCACTCAAAAATATATGAGCTTTCTCTGACAGTTGGATTTCCGGAGGGAGGTTGTATGACGGGATAAGTGTGTCGTCTGGCGGCAACGCCGAGTTGTGTTCTTGAATTGGTTCATCTGGGAGAAGAAAATCACACGTACCATTGTTAGTCGCTTTTCATTGGCAATCCAAGAACTAAGTAGTAAAATGTTACATTGCTGCAAACATGAAGTTGAACTCACCCAAAAACTTCTCAAGTGCCCATTGGAGAATCTTCCAGCCTTCCTCGGTCTCGGTGTAGCCCTTCAGAGTGATCATAGACTGCTGGTCGGCATCAATGTCGTCGTTGTCTCTGCTCAACTCCAAGAAGGGACAGGTCGCTCGAATAGCCTCTGAAGTAGGTCGTGATGACTCCAAGTTCACTGGTTCTTGAAGGGGCTGGTGATGTTGGTTCTGAGCCATCGACCGCGCCCATTGCTCATCCACCCTTTGCTGGTCCTGCTGATGATCGATTTGTTGCTGAAGTAACTTGGACTGCTCCAAAGTCGCCGCTGAGTCTGGGATTGATGCTTGCTTAGCTGCCATGACTTCCGACAGGGTCATCCTAGGCCGTGCACTAGAACCATTGGGAGACGATTCTGCAGACCGCGATCCGAGAGCCTCACCATCATAGCCAGAACGTCCAACACCAAGAAGAGCATCGGATCCAGAATGAGATCGAGTCAAACGCACCGCCTTTTGGAGCCCTTGTGCTAAAGTGAGAACGTTGCTGCTTGACGAAGTGGACGATGAGGGTGACACTGGGTCTGGTGAGCTTGCTGAAGCTGGACTTTGTACCATCTGTCCGTCGCTGTCTTTGCTCTGAAGCCAGGACGAAGAATTTGAAGGCGGCACTGTCGTGATACCAGTAAGGGTCGACTTGAGAGACGCACTCGACACCCTGTGAGACATGGGCCGATACGACGATGATCCAGGTGCGGCTGACGGGTGCAGTAGGCCACCATCCTTGTCAATGAGTGGCACCATTGTAGGCCAGGTCGCATTCTTGCCCTTGGAGATCGACCCTGAATGAGACTGAGATTTGACATTGGGCAACGGCGGTTTGGCGGACGTCGTCAAGGTCGAGAGTGAGGACGAGAGTCGATGGCGAACCTTGCTGGCTACTTTGGCTGCTCCACTGGAAGCAGAGGTAACTGCTGGAATGTGTTCCAAGGTGACCGTCGGTAGTGAGGCAGTTGGCGACAGATTCTCGGGAACCATACTGATGAGGACCTCTTTCAGCGCTGACGATGGAATCTTGATGCAAAAGAAATAGAGTCGCAACTTGATAGACATGGAAGCCTGGATGAGGTCCTTGCCTTTCTTGACCGATTCCGCGGAGGTGGGTGGCCCCATCTCTGCGCCATCTGGTGCGCTTTCAACATGCCGGCGGACGGGCGACTCTGTATGCTTCCGAGGTGGCACAAGCTGAATACCATAGCTGGATCGAGATGAACTCTTGATATCCGCCTTGACGTCCTGCTCGTGTCCCAAATCGTTCTGCTTCTTGACCTCGACCCACTGAAAGTGGCCTTGATCGTTGATCGCAGCAAAGCACTTGACGTAGCGACCGGAGGCCATGCTGGAACTACTGGTTTGTGACGTTGGTGATCCCCTCGTAGATGCATCTGGCGGGTTGGCGTCGTCGGTAGGTTGGCAATCTCCTGGATTCTTCTCCTGTGCATCCGTAGCTTGAGGAATGTAGAGCCAAACATATCCAGAGTAGACTGGTGCCGTAGACGATCGTGCGCTAGACGTAGCTAGGAGCACTTGACTGGCATTGTCGAGGTATTCAGTTCCAAGCATTGGGCGCCTCTTTCGGCCAGGAGGCGAATCAAGCCTGAAGGGCGCCTCCGACACATTTGACACGTCCACAGGCGCCATAGCATTGGTGTCAATCTCTGGTGCCGATGCTATTATTGTAAATAATTATCGATATTAATTAGTTTAAATTCGAACGAGAAGCTTGCTTATCACAGACATAACAAAGGGCTATTAAGTACCTTTAGAGGAATGTTTGGTGTGACCGCGCTGTTGGTGTGGGTTCATCAGCCGATGACGGTTGGGCTCGGTGATGGCTCTGCGGCGGATATCGTCTTTGACGCTGATGTTGAGCGGGTGATGATGAAGCAAGTTCAGCTCCTTGCTGTCGAGCGCAGGGCCACCTTTAAGGTGGTTGGCGTGACTGAGGTTGCGGGAATGGTTATGGCTTCCATTAGAGCTGTTAGTGTTTGCCTGGTGACTCTGCAAGTTTGAGATGGCTGCGGCTGCGTTGAAGATCAAAACTGGGTTGATGGAAGGTACAGTGGACGCATCACTGGAGAAGGATGTACTGGTGGTCTGAACCCTCCGGCGTTCGGGAGAGAAACCCGTGAGAGCGTTGGAGAGCGAGCCCATATCGGATCCTGCAGTCATTGGTGATCCAGGTCCTCCGTGAAACATAGGAGAAGCCAAAGGAGCCATGTTGCTGTTGAGCGAGTTGAAGATCCTGATCCAATGGTTTATGTCCTGCGGAGAAAATTATGAAAAGATCAGTGTACGAAGACAATAAGTAGAATGTTGCAGAACATGTGGTGAATGACAAAGGCAATGGGTAGATGAGAGTCAACCTTACATGCTCACTTGCGCCTCGGAAACACAGTTTTGGAACCATAGGGTCAGGAGAGATATCGAGTGAGATCATGGTGGTGGACATGGCTGTTGGGGAAGGGGTGAATTTGAACATTTGTCGAGAACTCTGCGGTAGTGTCCTTGTAACAAGATTTAGTGGCGCTGGAAGGTCAATGGTCTTCTTGTTCACATCCTATGCACAGAATTTTAAGTAACAAGGTTCGTTAATAATTTTCTACAAGTTTGATGGGTTCACCAAGCTTGTAAAAACCGAGTGCAAAGACAAACCTTTCGTTTGTGATAGATGAGTAGTCTGGATCCTTGTATGACAACCCACCGCTCCTTCCATACTCCAGTGGACTCCTTGCCGTTATTGTTGGTAAACATGCTGACGGGCCTGTTCTTCTTTGATAGCTTGAACAAGACACCTTCTGCGTAATGGTCGTAATAACTCAGGTTGCTTCCTGGAGGCGGTAATTGGATGTAGTGGTCGCGCCGTTGGAGCTCAAGTACGTCCTGAGGTTGCAAGTGGTATGAGTTGATAAGCCGTGAATCATCCAGCCAGTGTCCCTGTCGAAGATGAATGCGCAGTAACATATGAACTTTTTGTTAGTGTCGCTTGTTCACACCTACGGCTCCAAGCACAAACTGTCAACACAGCAAATTACAGAGAAAAGAAAAAAAACAACAACAAAAACTTACAGCAGCAACCCAAAAAAGCCCAAAGGAAGCCTTCCATGCCTCGCAGTCCTTTTGGACAGCCTCGTTCGGATATTCCTGACCTTCTGCGCAGTCAATCAAGACATCGCCAAGGTCACTGACGTCGGTTTTGCCGGTATGGCTGTTGTGTCGCTCACGCCAATGACTCCAGCCAGGAATCCGGCTCTGGCCTCCTTCCCGATTTGGCCGCTCAGGTGGGCTCGTGCCGTGGTCGTCTTGGCTCATTGATGGGTTTGACAACAGTCGCCGCAGATGTTGTGGTTTGATGGGCTCTAATTGACCGTCCTGGTAGCTCGTGCTGCTCTGTGCGTGTACTGTTATCGGTCTGGTGTAGTTGATCCGCGCCGCATTGTCGCCGAACCCGTTGATGCTGTCGGCAAACAAGTCCAAGCGGGTAATGATGGCCTCCGCCTTCAGTTGGATGTCCTCCTCATCAAGCGAGCCATGAGGCGGGTTGTCTGACCCATTGCTGTTGTTGCTGTTGTTGCTGTTGTAGGAGTGCGACGACTGGGTCATGGATCGGTCCGAGTGTGAGGTTGAAATAGTGTTGCAGGGGACAGACTTGTTGTTTCCTTTTGAACGATGGGTTGGTGTCTTGCTAGGGTCACGATCCCGGCTGTTGTTGCTCTCGAGCAATACTGACTCTACTGTCTGACCCAAACGCGCATCGAGTTTATATATCATGGACGACTCGTCGTCGACCTGGAGAGTCTCTGCGACTGAGGATGGGGCAGAGGGCGGTGACATGGTGCGCTGGCATCTCGCTAGGATCAAGTCGCGCGCGTTTTCTACTGGAATGTTTCGAGGAATTTCCAAACGCACCCACAGATCCTTTGCAACATCCCTTACGTTGACAAATATCGTTGCAGCACCGTCCTTTGAGTCGTGACCGGCCAGGAGATGATGCACGAGCCGCCCATTGTGATCGATGTTGGCCATGCCTCCGAGGGAGGTCTTAATACGTCGCGCATGGGGTTGCAATGAAGGATAGGGATGTGATTGTGTTCCTGCAGAGAGACTTTTGGTATAGGATCGTGTGTATGGTGTAGCAATAGGTGTGGCTGTTGACGTTGATGTTGAAGGAGGTAGGGCAGCCGTATCGACTGACAGAATAGGGAGGTCTTTGGAGGGCGTTGAACTGGGGTATGCTGAGGCTGGTTGAGAGTCCAGTCTCTGAGGACGATCATTGTATGAGGCAAATGTCGCTGACGAAGGAAGGCGAGGGATTTGAGGTGATGAGAACGTCGACGTGACAGGGCTGGAGGGCGATATCGTATGTACGGCGTGACCAGGACCTGTAGGATTGGGAGGAGAAGCAATCACTGTCGACGGCCCAGAACTATCCATACCACTCGGGGAAAACTCGGAGAATGGTCGATCCATCGTAGGCGCTGACGAACTCGTGCCGCTGTTATAGGCTGACCGCGACCCGCTTTCTATCCGCAGGGACGACCCCAGGCTGGGCCCTGAGGAGTTGGGAGGATGCTGTTGTTGACGAGGGTTGTTGGGTGGTCTTGCCACACCAGAATGATTCCTATTCAACTGTCGATGAAGTTGAAGGGTATTTTGTAACATTGTATCGACACCGTGCAGGCCGATATTATGAGTCGTCATGGTCGTGAAGGATGGTGAAAGGGGGTGAGGGTGGTGGCAAGTGAGGACGCCGAGCACGAGATTGAAGGAGGGAGTGAAGCGAGGAGGGAGGAAAGAGGAAAACAGATAGCAACGAGAAAAGATGCTAGAGGTATCCGTTCATGGGAGGGAGAGAGAGAGAGTGGGAGGTTTGACTGAGAATGGGCTGTCGGACGTGAGATTGAGCGACGAGGGCATAGATTCCCTGCCAACAAGGAATAACAGCAAGAGCGAAGGGCAGAGAAAGAGAGTCGATTGCTGCTCAGGAGGGGTATAACAAAAGCGCCAAGACGAGCGAAGCTGGGCAGGGAAGGAAGTGGAAAAGGAAGAAAGGAAAAGAAGGATCGAAATAAAGAAAAAAGGAAAAGTCAGGGGTGGGCGATGTGATGAATGTCTAAGATGCCGCGAGGATATCGAGCCATTCTACTCTCGACAAGGGATCGGCGGGGATAGTTCGCAGTCTAGGGAGACAAGGATGGGGTGAGGAGTGGGTGCGTGTTTGTGTGTTTGTGTGTATGTGCCAGTGTAAAGGTGTGGGGTGTCTGGTGTGTATGCTGGTATTTATCAAGGCGAGTCGGTTTTCTTTTTAGTTTTCCCGCGCAGAAACCCTAAAGGGAGGTTGTTGTTGTGAGGATGGGTGAATAGACGGATAGGGAAAGGGGATGAATGGTGGACAGTCGACTGACTCTTCCTACTGCTGGCTCAAAGAAGGGAAAGGGGAGCGAAGAAGAAAGGGAATAGGGCGATACGAAGTTGAGAATAGTTGCAGTAGTTGTAACAAAGTTGGTGGTTGATTAAGAAGAAGAAAGGAGCAAGTTGGAAGGTAATGGTATATACAATACAAGGGGAAGTGTGTATGTCTATGGCATGTGGTAGACAGAGATATTTGTTGGATATGTGTATGTAGCTTAGAACATAGAGTTAAAGGCGTAAGAGGAGGAAGGAGAGTGATGATGGAATCGCACTTTTGAAGAGAGGGAATGTCGAACAACGGTAAAGGAGGAGTGGAGTATGAAGGATGGCGATTAGGGAGAGGAAGTTCGATTAGGGATGGTTGAGAGAAGGAGAGTGGAAGTGATTAAGAAAGAATAAAAGAAAGAAAGAGGAAAGGAAGGAAGGATGGGGAACACAGGGTCAGAAGGGGGGGAGAGACAGAGAAGGGGCCATGGTCAAGGGTAGAAGAACAAGACTGAGCTAGAGACTGGGTTGGCTGGATTGAAGGGGATGATGCATGTAATGTTGTTGGTGTACAGGACGAACGACGACTGAAGGAAGGACGTGTTGGATGGGTCAATTGGCCATTGCTCTGAAGCCATGGAAAACAACCACCACATTCACTGTGCACACACACACATGGATTCGAACAAGAAGGCATGAGGCGACTGAATACTGTTTTATTCAATGTTGGTTTGTAGCTTGCTAGCGTATTGTTTGTAGGGTGCTAGAAGTGCGAGATGAACGGATAGGTCATGACAGTGGGATAAATGGGAAGAAGAGGAATAAGAGGAGGGGCAAAAGGGAAGAAAAAAGGAAGGGGGGGAGAGAGAAGAAGGGGCATAGACGATTGCTTTGAATTGGATTGAGATGGTATGGATGGGCGTGGAGTGGGGGAAAGTCAAAGGAAAGGAAAACAGCAACAAACAAATACTAATAATGCGTGTGCACACACATTGCAGGCACTGCACCTTTATTCAAACAAGACATGGGTCACCCCTCCCTTCCTTTCTTCCCCCCTCATTGCTCCTTCTTCTTCTCTTCTCCAAAGACAAGGCAAAATGGCCCATGCTCACTTCTTCTCTCCCTCTCTCGTTAATAACTAACTACCAGAACATCCAAACGGAAGGGGGTTGAGAACAAAGAAGAAAGGAACGCAAGGATAGCTTTGCATTGACCTTGGTTTTTTTTTTGGCTCACTGTTCATGGCTCACGCTTAAACCGGATGTACAAAAAAATATGGTTGCATCCTTTTGTGCCCTATTTTGTTCACCTTTGTCTATTGTTGTCTGCAGCAAAAGCCAAGCGACTCGACCGTTGCTTGTTGAACCGAACAAGAAAGAAGGAGAGAAAGAGAGCAGAAGCAAAGGACAATTATAACCACAACAAGAAGTCTTCTAAATACATTCATACAAATATTATGTATCATGGATGCATTTGAGTCTTTCTGTTTACTCTCTTTCACCTCTCTCCTTTCACCCACCTCTCCTCGAGGAAGGATAATTCATTTTCATACTTGGAGTATGTACTCCGAACCTTGTCGTTTTTTCTCGAGCATAACACATCTCTCAATATTAAACAACAACGTTTGACTCCTGACTTTTTTTGTTTGCCTTTACAAATCGTTCCTCGGGGTATTTTGTCCTGTGAGTTCTTTGTTTGTTTTCTTACCCTCTTCCAGTCCTAGCTCAAAAAGACGTTCATCCCTTTCAAGTACCTCCTCGATCAACGCCAGAGCGCCTCTCCAGAGACTGTGCTGAATAATGTCTTACTGGAAAGCCCAACTCTCACCTCCTCTCTCTCCTCAAGGAATCGATGAGGGATGGCAAAAACCATCGATCGGAATTAGGTCTTAGCAGGATAGCAAATATGAGGGATGGAGAATGAGAGGAGAGAGAAAGAGGCGTTTGTGGATAAAGAATGGTGTACAGGAAAATTAATGACGAGTAGATGGGCTGATGGGAGATAGATGCATGGGACCAGTCGAGACAGATGATCTTCCTGCAGAGTCGCGCTTTGCTCTTTGTTATTTTATTTTTTTTGTTTTGCATGAGTGGACGGACAGTCTCAAGAGAACGCTAGCAGTCCTGCATCGACTTCCTTGTCGGTTGGTTTGTTGACTATCTTTTTATTCTCGAGTACAAAGACCCCAGGAGGGCTTTTTTGCTGTCTCCGTTTAGATACTCATTGGTGTTTACGGGAAAAGGGCACCGACCCCGTGAAGGAACGCGTCTAAAGCACCAATGAAAATGATTTGTGACAGCCGATCAAACGAAGCATTATCAGTGATAAAAACAAAATAGTCTGGAACCAAATAGCTTATTTGTCTTGATCTTTGAATCAAGTTTCTTGAGGCCCAGGCTGATATGACCGACAGTACAGGACGATCAGACGATCACACTTGCCTTCAGAATAAACGCTATGAACAACGCGTCCAAGAAAAAAAGGGGGAGACATAATGGAAACGAACAATGATGGAACAAAATGGAATGAGACACCTCTTCCACGCTTCGCTCGCACCATGCATACTCAACAGATACCCTCTTACCCAAACCACTCCTGGCCCCCACGCTCGCCTACAAAAAGCAACGACACACCGAGACTTGCAGATCATGGAGTGCTCTTGCCATGCTGGATAATCCAAAGAGTGACCACCGTTTCGGAAAATATACCAAGCACATCATCCATCAAAATAGGGCGGAAGAACCATCCAGAACCTGCGTGTCCAAAAGCCTTGCATTTTCGATGTACTAGTTGTATTTAGCCATCGCGTTAGGCATTAGGTAAAACCCAGCTATTCTGGCCCCCTTTTTGCATCATGCGTAACGAGAAAAAAAAACCAAGAAGAGAGTAGAACGTTCTCAAACAGACTATCCCTACCATAGGGGTCGAAAATAAATGTATGGGATGGCAATGGGCTGAAGTTTTAGGAGGGTGACCTGTGTCGAACTTGTCGTTGTTACCATCTTCTGGAAAAAGTTCGATGGATCTGTTACTGTCTGACATAAAGAATAGGAAGAAAAAAAAGACCGTGGCTATGCTCTGGGCTATAGTCCGGATGACCGTTCTATTATTGCTATCATACGCCTGAGAGACCCTTTTATTCATATTTGGCCGTTTTAAGTGTTTGTATGCCTGTATCTGGAGCCAAACTCCTTTTGCCACGGTGCCTGAACGAAGGAAAGTATCCAATGGATAAAAAGACAACCGACGGTCTATCACCTGATCCCTTTGTGTATGATCAACTACGGTTTTTTCTTTTTTTGTTGGTGTCGAGGTAAGGCGCGTTTGTCTCCTTTTTTCTGGGTAAAGTTCATTCCCGCATTTTGCCTGTATCTAGACTGTGCTTCCTATGGATCCAAATCGGTTACGATGTCTATGATGTCTATGGTAATAGAGACCAGAACCAGGCACAAACAGGTTTTAGCTATTGCAGGGTTCACCGTAAAATGATCAAGTCGTGTCCTTCTAGACGACTACCTACACACAGAGTATACATGTTGCTGCAGCACGCTGACAAATGTCCGTGAGCAACTGTGTATTTCTCGTCAACTGCTGTGTTCATCCCTTTCTATTTCTTTTTTCCAATCTGTTATTATTGCTTCTTCTTATGTCTTGCCTTTTTTTTGGTCCCATTTTTGATGATGGTAAGCACGCTTCTTTGTTTGCTGTGTCTTTACATGTGTGTAATGAGGGTCTTCCTTTGCTTGAGGTAAGCTGTTTGTCCTGTACTCGTTTTCCCGAGTATCATTGTTATGTCTATGTGTGCCCTTTGGACAATTATTCTCCACCTCCAACGTGTCGCTCCAGCCTCGTCCTTTTTTTCCGTCATTTGTTCCAACCTCATTTCATTTTCTCTCGTCTGCCCCCCTGTCATTCACCCCTGACTTTTTCTTTCCGTTGTAAACAATGGACGAACGATTCAAGGATGCTTTTTATGCTCACTGTTTATTTTTTTCATTGTGCTTTGTCCTTTGTGCTCTCTCTTTGTTTCCCCCTTCCCCTTCATCTTCGTTATTCCCTCCTCGGGAAAAGGAAGCGAGGGGGATGGACGGGGATGGAGGGGGTTTTGACGGGATTGGTTAGGTTAAAAGGAAATGAATATGCAGGAATGCGGCTTATGCATTGTGGGCGTTGGGGGATCTCGCTTGAGGAGAGAAGAGAGAAAGAAAACGTACGCCAACTGGCGCTCAACTTCCAAGGGTGGGCGGGTAGGGAAATGAAGAGCGGTATCTCTCTTTTGAGTAGAAGTAAGAGGACAAAGGGAGGAAGGCGGATTCTCAACAGAACCATGGGACGATAATTGTTCCTGCTTTGAATAAAAAAAATTCATGCACATTGTTCTCCTCCTTATCTTTTCTTTGGACTCCAAGGTTTTTTTTTGTTCTTTTGTGGTTGCATTTTCAATCACAGCGAACCTTTTCATCCGTTGTCAGTAATGTGTAATCAATGACATTGCAACTCTTGTTTGTTTTTTTAATGGAGTTTGTGTTCTTGAAAGGCACACTTTCGAAAAACGATCGAGATGAGGAGGGCGCCATCGAGATTCGCCCAGCCCTGCCTCCATGTGGACATCTTTGTTTGTTTCTCTCACTGGACTAGCAACCCCTTCCTTCCTTTCTCGCCTCCCCCCCTTCCCCTTGTTATCAGTTGGAAATGATTTTGAGTTAGGGGGTTGTGCACATCGGAAATCAGAACCCGCATAAAAAATTTGAGAGTACCTCAACATGCGTGCTGGTAAACAGGTTCGCTCACACTGTTCACGTTGCCTGTTCTACTGATGTTTGTCCAACTGAAAATGTGCATGATTGGAAACGCATGGCCGAGAATGAGGAGGAGGAGAAAAACATTCGTCCAAAGGTGTACTTTACTTGTACGAGTCTCACTTGTGTCTCTCCTCCCTTTTTATTTTTGAGGTAGGCGTTTGTTTGCATGAATGGGAGAGGCGGGCGGTATTGTCGATTTTTTTTTTCGAGCTTTGGATGTGTGGAAGTCCGTTGCATGCATGAATGGGCACAACGACACAAAAGAGAGGACCAAGGAAATGGTTGGACGGTGGTTGGGTTGTAAGAGAGAGAGAGACAAGGTGGGAACATGAGGCATGAACCAGCTAGTGTACATGTTAAGCTCCCAACTTTGTACCTTTCAATAAGATCGCCATTCCGTGCGTTTGGTAGCAAATCGACACTAACCAAACGATCACTTCAAGCCCTTACTTGGGCGCATTGGACGTTTTTTTTTTTTTTTTTTTTTTTTTTTCAAACTGTGACCAACAACCGTGACTAGAGTCCATAGGATCGCGACTTGACGGGTAGATAAATTCATTATGCCCACCCTCTGATCGCCCGCCTTTCATTTGTTACAAGACGAAATAAAAGTACAAAATGGATCCCAGGGGGGTTTATTTAGACAACCTTTTCTTCAACAGCTTCAACAACAGCAGCTCTCTCCCGCCTCAACACCTCCTCCTTTAGAATCGCCTGCTCTATCTCTATCAACTCCAATTTCTGTCTCAACTTGACCTCATAGTCATCCACATCTGTCCTATGTACAGGGAGGACACTCAGAATCCCCGTTCCGACCGCGTCCCGTGAATTATTCGATTTAGACGATGCTAATGGTGATGAAGCAGGGAGGGACTCAAGGGGTACTGTTGAGGTGAGGATCCTGTCCTGTCTGTATCGGTTTGTCTTTGTCAAGACCCATTGGCCTCCCATAGCCATCACTCCAAACATGAACGTTCCTGATGGTACTGACTTTGGTCCTCCTATAAAGAAGAAACGCGTGCAAGGCAATTACAGTTAGTTATCGTTCCTGTCATATTGGATTATTAAGGGGGAATGAATCATGGCGCCGAGTACAAGGGTGAAAAGTAGACATACGCGCTAATGCGGCAAGAATGCCTCCTGTGAATGCTCCTGCGATTGTACTGCTCCAGAGATGATCGATGTCCATTGTCTGCGAGTCCTTGAGGCCGTAGTATGGGTTCTTTTCACGCTGAAGACGAAGGAATGACTCACGGAAAGCTAATAGTGAACATATTCAACGAGTATGGTGGTTTTTAGTATTCATTCAGTTGTATCCAGTGTCAGGTACGGAGTTATAGTTCGTTCCCTTTGACTCCTCACGACAAAGCAAGAAACAATCCCGAGGCGCTGAAAGTGACGAAATGGATAGCTTACCGATGAAGGTCATGCCAAAGAGAGAGGCGTTGAGTCCTCCCGAGAATGCGTATGCTCCTACTGGCTTCTGCCTCAGGATCCCGATAATACCTCCCGCCGTGGCTCCCGTTACACCTATGTGTTTTTAGTCGTGTAAGGATATCACAACGGGGGATGATCAGTTCCCTTGTCCCTGAACAGTACTGCTACTAAGCCTGATCAATTGGTCGGTTTCAAAGTAATATCCGTGTGTTGCTGATGTTTACCGGCGATAGCTGTGCCCTTGAGCAAGTCCTTGCCGATGTCCCTGTTCGTTCCATTCCATGCATCCATCTTTTTTAGTGTCCTGTTCCCTGTTTTTGAGAATGAAGTTGAAATAAAGAGATCAGTTCCCTTCAGTGATCTCCATTTACTTCGAACGGACCCTTCCGAATCGCACTTCTTGTAACTATTACTCACGTGACAATCAAACCAGGTCCGAGCGTGTGAGCAATTCTTTTTTCGTTTTTCGCGCTTCCACTCATACAACACCTCTGGCAACTCACTCCCTCCCACCATGCAAAGAAAGTAATGGACATGGCGACCGCCCCCTCTCAAATTCGCTTATCAAGCAACAACAGCACCAACAACGGCAACACCAACAAGGGCGACAATAACGACGACCACTTACACGCCCTGGACGTATCAGAGATCCGCTCCCTCATAGCCGAATATCTTACAAAACAAGACCTCGGCGTTTGTATCCTCGTCTGCAAGAAGTGGTCCCTCGATTTCATCCCCCTCTACTGGCGCACCATCTCTGTCCAACCCCACAGAGTTACCCGATACCCCGAATCTGTCCTCCGTCAACACGGCCAACATCTCCGCATCCTCTATGCTGGCCGGATCGAGGAGACGTCTGTCTTTAACCAGGCCTCGGTCGATCAATTGCAGTTCCTGGAGATCTCGACTTGTGGCTCTAAGGAGCGTGAGGATGGGGGGAGAGGGTGTCTGCAAGAGATTGTTTATAGGAACCGGAAGGGTTTGATGGGACTGCATTGGAGGTGCTTTGGAAGGGATACGACGATGGAGCGGTCTTTTCGGATTTGGCCGGCGATGTTCCAGGGTCTCCAGGCGTTGGTTGAGTTGGAGTTGAGCAATTGGTCGTTGTCGAGGGTGGACTTTTTGAGGATGTTGATCTCGTGTCCGATGCTCAGGAAGCTGACTTTCCAGGCTGTTGAGGATATTCGGGAGGCCGGTGGAGGGAGACAGGGTCAGAGATCCAATTTACAGCATCATGGAGAAACCGTCAGGACGACGACGGCAGCAACAACGACGGTACCAGATGTCAGTCAAGGCAACAACAACATTGCGAATCCTAGGAAAACACCGCCTCAAGAGGACGAGCGACTACTGGAATTCCAACACACCACCCTCGACTCGCTAATCTTCATCGGTGAACTCATCCCATCCTTCCTACAACACGTACCCAATATCACACACCTCGAGATCATGAACATCATGCAAGGCGACTTCAAGGACATTGACGAACAAGTAACAACAAAGCACTGCTGTACAGGAGTCACCCACCTCACTCTTTTAACAGACTGTTCGGCCCCGCTTCGGTACCTCTCGACAGTGATGGTCATGTCGACGTTGGTCTTTTTTGAAGGGATCGTGCCCTTTCCAGTGCTAGACGACTTTCTGGAACTCATTCTTCGGGCTCACTCTCAGACCATTGAAACTTTACTCTTGCGCGAGATGAACCCATTTCAACAATCAGGATTTCAGTTTAATATCTGGAGATTCTTTGAGTCTTGTCCTCGGCTGGTCAAACTGGAGATCCCGTACTCGCTAAGGAACTGTGTCGGCCTTGCTATTGTGAACACGAACGACAATCTGCCTCACCCTGCTTACCCACATCACGACTACTACGACAACAACAACGTCAGCAACGGCAACCATATACCAACAATGGAAGTTCCACCCTTCTCAGAAGCGACTCTGGAACTAAAACTCTACGAACCCACACGAGAATGGGTCTGCAAGGACCTTCGACGACTGCAACTGCGGATCGAGGATATGGACCAAACAAGATCCATGCAACAGATTCCGTTCGATCTCTGTGTCGACAGACTATTGCCCCCCGAACAGAAACGTGACAACTCTCGCAGAACCCGTTCGGTACTGGAGAGGATGATCTTGGAGCGACTATCTGGATTGGAGAAGCTGGAGGCGTTGAATATTGGTGGAGGGTGGTACACTCTTACCGCGAGGAAGTCTTAGCCATTATTTGCAATGTTAATTTGTTTTTGTTGTTGTTCAAGGGTCGTGTTTATTCGAAATAAACAATATAAAAAAAAGAAAAAAAACCCCTCCCGGGACCAAAAAAAAGTATTGAGCTATCATGCTTCAGGGACGAAGGTCATGGCGGTGCTCAAGTACTCCAACAGGGTCTTTTCCCGGAATGAATGAATTTCTCCGGCGGGGTTCCTGCGTGGGTACCGTGTAATGCACTCCACCAGTCGCTCTATTATTTTTTTCATAAACATAACATTCAAGAGCCATTGTCAGTGAATAGCCCAAGAGTGAGAAAAACGAGCGAAAATAAGAATTAATATTAACGGTGGGAAACTTACTGGGATCAATCACGTCTCTAGAAGCATTGGCAACCCTGACAAAGGCCTCGATCTCCTCCTGGAGCTGCTGCATTCCAAACGTGTAATACAACAGATCGTCTCCCAGGGACTTGTCTTCAGGACTGAAACCTCCACAAATCGAGGCAGCAATCCACTGGAGCACAAATTTGAGCTGCAAGTGACCTCCAAAGGCGCCACAGCCCCAGTTTCCTGTTGCGATAGGACGGAACCTCTTCCTCTCAGCGGAGCTGCTGCTGCTGTCGTCGTCGTCTGGTCGAGCCAAGCCCCATTCAGATGCGTTGATTGGCGATTGACGGAATCCGACAATGGCCTTGTTGATCTCACGAAGTACATAGTGTCGTTCGAACTGATCCAAGCGGGATGCCCTCGACTTGAATGGCCGAGCATCAATAGCGCAGACCTCCGTCATACGGCGGCCAAGCTTATCCCTGTATCGTTCAGAAAGAAATAAAAGAGGAGATGTTAGAAGCTGTCAAATGTCATACCCAATAGAGATCCGATATCGTGCGGATAAAATGATGGTACCTGGGCGTAGGATCTTGATGGTCGGAGAGCCACTCAAATGTCTTTGAGTATCCAATGTGGTTGGAGTACCGCTCAACACCCTTGATCAGAACAGCCTCGTTGGCCTCCAACTGTTGACAGAACAGACGGGACACAATCAACTCTGGGCAAATCATGAACCGGATTTCTTCCTGAACTGCACCCTATTAATTAGCAACGTACGGCGGAGTTAGAAACGCGGCAATAGAGGAAACGTAAATGCATGGTGCAGTATGGTTTACCTTTTCTAGAGCTCCACCTCCAATGTTCTTGTTGGCAAAGTCGAGCTGCAGGGCGCCTTGAGGGGCTTCTTCCAATGGGGTCGACCAGTCTAAAGTCACGTTGCTGAGAGTGAAGTCTTCTTTCCTCCAGCGCTCGTTGGCAGCAAGGTATGCTGGCTTCTTCAAAACTTGTCGGTGATACGTCACTGTACCTCGAGGCACTATTAAGGTACCAGAAAGGAAGAACAATGAAATTAATATTTGTTTCGTGCATTAAATCGTGAATTGCATCTTGCGAAGAAACCCCAAAGGAGCTAGGAAATGACCTACTCTCGGTGGTGACACGATCAAAGTAGTGGAGAATGCATCGCAGCTTGGCAGCCTGAGTAGGCGTACAAGGGGTGCGAGACTCTTCGGTCCAGAATAAACTGATAAAATTGAAGGAGGGCATCTTGGGCATCCAGTCCTTTACCACCTTGACCTCACCATCCCTCACAGCGAGATTCTCAAGATGGGTCGACAGGGATGAGGGCGACTTGTCTTCAAAGAACTCGAACTGAGCGGCAGGTCCCTGGGATCTCTGCTTCCTGGGTGGCCGGGGAATACCCTGACCCTTCTTTCCTCCACGGCCGCCTCCGCGAACTCCGCCACCACTACCACCACCTCGAGCACCTCCGCCCTTGTTGTTAGCCTGACGATTACCCTTGGAGGGAGGTCGCTCATCCTCGTCGTCTGATTCGCTTTCGTCCTCCTCATCAGCGGCGCTCTTTCCTCCTTGCTTCACGTTCGAGGCGGTTGAGTCCCCTTTGTTGACAGCCGACTTCTTCTTCCTTCCGCGCTTGTAGGGGACGTTCCTGCAAGGGAATGTGTTGAAGAAGGCGTTGGCGAGTAAACACGCGATCTGTTCCTGTGACAGGGTGACTGCCGAGTCCTGCTGCTGCTTCAAGAAAGGGATGGGCTTGGTGATCAGCTCGGGCAGTCGCAGGGCTAGAGCCTGCATCCGGGGTAACGTCACATCAAAGAAGTACTGACGCTCCTCCGTGCTCAAGAACTGGCTCTTCAATGGCCCTCCTCTTCCTTCTTCAATGCCTGTACCAGCGTCCTCTCCTGGCTGTTGAAAAGGATGCACTTGTTCCTCGCCATAGGCGCCTTCTTGATGTGGAGGCGACCATCCGAAGTCATAGTCATCCTCATCAGAGCTACTCTGGGCAGCACGGGCCGCCTGGATCTGCTGTTCCGTTGGATCCAAAAGAGTGTCGGAGTGGGCGCCCGATTCCTCCAGGGGCAAATCAGCGCTCCGGTTGTTCAAAAAGGCGTCGAGGGCATTCATGTTCCATCCATTCTGTTTGCCCTTGTTCCACTGAAGCATCACATCCGAAAGCTGTTGACAGTTGACAATAGGTTCGGAGAGACTCTTGACAATCTCGGGCCAGAATGACTTGTCAGACTCGTAGATCCGCTTGGAGCAGGGCATCCGGACATGTTCCAGATCCCATGTATTCTGATACTCTGTCGGGAACGAAGGCTGATCTAATCCGGGGACCTATTTGTTATGAGAAGAAGGGAAGAGGTCAGTGATCACTGAAATCACATGTGTAACGTCGCTGCGGAAAGAAGCGGGAAGGGAGATGCAACGCGTCTGACCTTGCAGAGGACGTGGTTGACTCCGGTTTCGAAATACTCGTGGTCCCGAACAGAATTGAGCGTGGTCGAGGCCACGGTGGTGGAGGAGGCAGAAGAGGCCATGGTTGTTGTTGGTGAAGGTGGAGTTGCTTGCTGCTGACTAGCTGTTGTTTTTGTTGCTGTTGTTGAGAAGAGACGACAAGGAAGATACGCGAGTCCTTTTATAGCTTTCGGACGCAAGAGTAAGAAGGAGAGGCGAGAGAGGCGAGAGCGGAAGTGGAGAGAACGCGATGGAACAGTGAAGGTCGATGGACTGGGTTGGAATGAAATGAATTGGAGATTGGGGATTGGCGCAGTAGTCTGGTCGTGGTGATGATGTGGGACAGAGTCGAGGGAGGATTGTGGAAGTGGTTTATTGGAGGATGGTAAAAGATTCTTGTTATTGTTGTGCTCGGGGAAGGAGGAGGGGGAGAGAAGAAGGGTGTGGTCAAGTCGAACTCCAGTTGAAGTGAGCTCCTCAAGGTCCAAGAGGACCTGCGCCGCTTTGTTCTTTGGGACTTGGTTGAGTGGGTGTCAAAAAGGTCTAAAAATGGGACGGAACTAAGACAGGGACCAAGACTGATTAAAGTTTTTAGTTTGCCACCACACGCCGCAATTGAAGTGTCTCGGTGACATTGCTTCTTGGTTCTCTGCTTGCTCCGCCCCTTTGCTCTACTCTCCTAAAAAAACTCAATTGCCTTTTGCTTTGCGACCACAAACACAATAACCGTTAAGGGGTAGGCAAATTGTAAGGTCCTTTCATTCTAGGGTTCTCTGCCCATTCAACCTCCCCCATTCGCACACGAAACTTCTCTCTCATTAGGATGTCAACACCTGCAGGCAGCAAATTCTTCTCGGTTCCTGAGCTCGTCAACAACTCGGCCCATTCTTGCGCCCACACGACCTTGCCCAGCTACTCAGGGCGAGTCAAAGTCTCTACGGTGCTACAGCGATACACTTTCGGCGACAGGTTGGCCTGGAAGACGACCATCGGGTCGATCAACTTATCAACTCACTCGCTGCCCATGGTGCCTGGCCCAAAACACAACCTTTATCCGCACCCCTAAGGCTGGATTCGTCTTTGTGTGATACTACTTCAAAGGCGTAACCCCGTTTTCTGGACGAGCAGTAGCGGAAGGAAGAGAAGGATGAGTCGACACCGCGACCTCTTGCCAACACCAAATACTCGCATCCGAATGCCGCCTTGGCTGCCAAAAGCGGTTACTCAAACCCCACAGACCTCGTCGTTGCCCAGTTCAGCTTTGGGATACACTGCAAGTCAGATACACCAGTTTTTGAGGAGTTGCCCAGTTCTGGAAACCTGGGATGTGCCTTGTCTTTTGGACGATACTCCAGGCGCGACCATGGCCAAGACTATTCGAGAGGCGCTGCATCAACCTCACCGTCATGAACAGTAGGATTGCAATGAACGAGGAGTGACGACCGCTGGGATTCGCCACCTGATAGCCAGGAACTTTGCGAAGAGGGTGTCATGGACGAATTGCCGGAGCAACAGGTCGAGTCGACAATTTTTGACAGGGCTCGGGATATCATTCCTGACATTTTTGCTCTTGCGCTTCTTTGACATTGTCAAGTCCTCCGGTCGATTGTCTTCCAGAAATCGCAGGTGATTGAGAGCAAGACTCTGGCGGCCATCCTGAGGCGGTGTTGTGGGTTGGAGACGTTTTAGGTGATGGGGTCGTATGGTTGGCCGTTAGTTCTTGACCTGGATGACGATGGAGCAGGAGTGGATTTGTGAGGGAATCAATGATCTTCGGATCACGGTTTAGCCACCGACGCAGTACGACCCTAGATTTGCTATCAATGAAGGAAGAGGAAGAAGAGGCGTAGATGAACAGGCAGAGCTTCATCAACAACTGAGAGAACACTGGACGAAACTGAATATGTTTTACTCGCAACTGGGGATGCTGACTAGGTTGGAGGTAGTAATGGAGTTATTTGTTGCGCAGCCGCAGAGAGGGTTGCCATACACGAATCAATCCTTGCCGGATCTGTCTTGGAGGTGATTGAGTTTTTGGACGCGAGGGACGCGCGGGTAAAAGAGTTCCAGATTGCAGGAAAAGAATAAAATTGAAGATGGCTCGAGAGTAATAAAATCCCTTTATTTATCATGCGGAGCAAATTCGTTTTGGTGCTTTTGGGCGGGCCATTAGTCGTCGAAGTGAATGTGGTTGTTGAAAGACCTATCTGGAGTAACTTTCATCGGGCGCTGTGTTTAAAGCCAGATAAGATGTGGTGGTAAAGGAGGTGCTTGTCGCTCGTAATGCGGAGCTCACAGCTCTGCCTCCCGAAGCGCGGTCCAGTTGTCAAAGATCCAATCAACCTCTGCTTGCCCGAACCACTCGACGGTCCCAGAGATATTCGTCCGCACTAATCCACACAGGTCTTTCAGTTTCTTCAGCCCCGCCAGGTGGTGCAAAAATCCAGTGGGGGCCGGTGGTGACGACATCCTGACGAAAGTGAAAGAGTTGTGTGTGTGTGGGGGGGATGAAAGGTTGAATGAAAAGAGAGAGAGAAAGGCGATTCAGGTGAATGAGTAAAGAAGGGCAAAGGAAGAAGTGTACTGAGCGGCGACATAGGTGGACAAGGTTGGCTAGGTAGCGTTTTGCGTTTCATCTTCTGCCACCAAACAGCTTTTTTCGCGGTGCTAGATTGCCTCCCCTTGATAAGACAGCTGGCAACCAAACGGAACTTCTTTATCGTCTTTCCCTTTTTTTAGCTTTCATAAACGTGTAATCATATTTCCCGGACCGTCCTCCACACTCTGTCGTAATCAACAGGTTGTTTTCTTCCATTCGTTGTGCTAAAATAGAAAAGGGAAAGTAGAAAAAAAACCACACTTTTTCGGTCTAATGGATGGTTGACTTTCAATGCGAAATCTGTTTATTTTTCGCTCATAAGTTAGTTGTTTCAAGGACACGAAAAGGCGAACACGAGAAACAGAAAATCATGTTATCTATAGAGACAGCTTCAAGTCTGGTTTCTTTTCGTGCAAACCCTTCAACGGCTTAGGCATTGAAAACCCTTCCAGGGACCCATACCACTCTGGCAGAAACTCAATTGCCTCCAGCGCAGGCCAATTCTCCAAGATCCACTCAGCCTCACGCTCTCCAAACGTCCCGATTGTCTCGACTGTCCCCGTTCGAAAACACCCTTGCACCACCCTCAATTTCTTCAAGCCTCCAAGCAGCGACAAGAAACCGCGTTTTCCGGTCTCCTTGTCTTCCTCCTCTAGCGAGAGCAAACCCGTCAACGACCGGAGAGAGTGTGATGCCGTGTTCATGAACACAGGAACCACATTCTCCGTCGTCCTCATTGGTGGCGGCGCGACAAATATCTCCAAATCCTCCAACTCCACCAACTTGCCCAACTGAGAGTAAAACACCTCCAATTTTGTCCAGTACTCCTTGGGTGGTTGTTTGACATTGAGGAAGCTGCTCATGTCTGCTGCTCGCCCGCTACTGCCACCACCACCACCACCACCACTTCTCCCAGCCGTCCCAGACCCAGAGTATTCCTGCACAGCCAAGTCCACCGTGAACCGCAAACTCTTGATCCTCGTACAGACCCACGCCCTCTCAATCGCATCGTTCAACGCAAGAGCCACAAACCCCCTCCCAGCATCCTCCTTGGGCATGGTTGCCCGGAACGTCTCCAGTCCATGACACTGTACCAGGATCGTCGCCACAGTTCTGCTCCCAATCCTATGCGAGTTCTTGAGGACGACCGATCGAAGGACCTCAGAATGTCGAAGCAGCGCAGGAATAAACTTGTCGGGGTAAGAATCCAGGTACTGATCAAAATCCACCGACTCCACATGTTGATCCGGCAAAGAGTTCAAAACACGGACCCAGCCCTCACCGTGATAAAAGTTTGGAATTAGACGTCTCCGATTGGATCTCAGGTGACGAAGATACCGCGATGCCTGTCCTTGTCCATGTTGTTGATGCACCGTCTCTCGAATCGTCCGGCAAAGAGCCTCGGCTCCTACATCGTCGTCAAACCTAGGGATATACCAAGCCTCTAACGCAGGGCAGTGCTTCATGATCCTGCTGAGATCATGCCCACTGTATCGCGCCGAGCTGGTAGGCAGCTCCAATTCCTTGAGGTTCTCCAGAGGTTCTTCACGAGTCATCAAATCGCCCTCAGCCCAATCCAATGATGGTGTCCTGCTGCGCTGCCCCTCTCCCTCGTCCAACTGCTCGGCAGCCGCCCTCTGCACGGTCCTCAACTCGAGTTCCTCGGCATCGCCGTCAAACCAAGACCTGACATGGGCCTCCATCTTGATTGAGACCACCGATGTTGGAAACGCAAAGAAGAGTAGAGGGACCATAGGTGGAGTCAGCCACAATTCACTAATGCTCCCTGCAGACATCTCGGTCTTGAAATGGGTAAGGTTCGTCAGCTTGGAGAGTGATCGGGCCAGACAACGTAGTTCCAGAGGCTGGAGGGTATATTGTATGTGGCGGAAAGTGACACGTGCCAGTCCAGTAGTGTTGAGGGTCATTAACCACGCCAAAGGTAAATGCATCGAGACGGCGCTATGGATGCGCATCGCGTTGTCGAACTGGACCCCCCGGTACCTTCGGTCGAAACATATGTCCAGCTGGGTGAGTCGAGTCATGGGTGGCAATGATCGAGCCTGTGGGGTTTGAGTAACCGGCTTTGGTAGCCAGGGTGGCCTTTTGATGCGAGTATTGGAGGTAATAAGAAGTCGCGGTGTCGACTCGTCCTCCTCATCTTCCTGCTCTTGCTCGTCCAGAAAACGGGTCACGCCTTCAAAGTAGTACGACACGAAGATGAATCCAGCCTTGAGAGAGTGAATAAAGGGCGCGTTCTTGACCAGAGCATCAAGGGCTGCGGGCGAGGTGATAAGCTGGTCGACCCGGTGGTCGTCTTCCAGGTCGACATGTCGCCAAAAGTGTAGTACTGTTGCGGCGTAGAGGCTTCGACTCGTTCGGAGTAACTGGGCAAGGTCGTGTGGGCGCAAGAAGGGGCCGAGTTGTTCGACGAGCTCAGGAACCGAGAAGAACTTGCTGCATGCAGGTGTTGACATCCTGATGAAAAAGTTGTGTGTGAGAGTGGGAATGTGAATGAAAGGGGAGGAAGGTGAATGAACAAAAGAAAAGTATGTAGGGATGTCGGGATGTAGGAATGAACAATGAGAAAAGAAAAAGCAGTAGGCGAAGGTGGGGTGCAAAGGACTTACTGATAGGTGGCGTTGCTGCCACGTTTGCCACCAAGATTATGTTTATTCGCTCGATTATGGTTTTTAACAAAAATAGAGAGAAAGGGCATATTTTCTGCTAATGATACTTTTGTTCTATTCAAACAAAACACCGCCCACAAGCTATCGATGACGGATGTTTTTCTTTGCACTAGTTGTCGGTAATTACATGGATGAGTCGATTGGGAGAGGCTTAGCGTCGTTGAGCCTTTTGTTACCACCGTTGTGGATAGTGTTGTTTGGAGTGGCGCTGCCAGGGTATTTCCCTGGGAAAGAAGGTGAGGGCACACCCATCGGGGTTGATGAGAAGGAGGATGCTGTAGAGACCAGCAATGGAAGGGACGCCACCGAACCAGCGCCTGTTGGTGTTACTGGGCTTGTTGGCGTAGGCACAAGTGCCTGTGCTGTTGAGGTCTTATTACCGATGTAGTTTGGATGACTGGGATCCTGGACAGAGAACGAAGTCGACTCGAACATGACGGTGACTTGTCGTGTTGTCAAGGGCAACGACATTGAAGAGTCGTCCTTGGGAGACATGGGGGGCTGGTCCGTGTCATGTCCCAAGACGGCGGTATCAGATATTGTTGACGCGGTTCCAATTACGCCTGGTAATGGTATTGCTCCTGGTGTTCCTGCTGTAGTTGTGGGAGAAATTTCAGCAACAGCGGTAGCGGCAGATGTCAGCGAGGAGTTAGAGCGAGAGTTGCGCATAATGTACATCTGCTGAACTTGCGTTGGCGACAACTGTGCTCTCTGATTGGAGTATTGTTGGAGTTGTTGTTGCTGAGCATAGATCTCCATGAGCGAGGCGGAAGATCCTGCACTCTGACGTTGTTGGGGTGAGTTGTGTTGTGGCTGCTGTTGCTGTTTGGAAGCTGTGTTTGACTCTGAGTAAGAAGGATAGACAAGTCCTTGGGAAGGGGAAGAGATGACAGAGGAGCGGTTTCCATGACTGGATCCAGATGTCGCTCCATTGCTAGGAAGAGGTCCCGAATTAGAGACGGATCGATGCCGAGAAGACGCCCAAAGATGTTGGTTGTTAGAATGACCGAGTACCGAACCACCAGAAGAGGGAGAAGATGACGCCGAGTATCCTGATCCATACTTTGGAGGCAGTCCGATGCCTGTGGAAGATCGCGACCGTGGAATGGATCCACCAAGCTCGGCTGATGTTGGGGATGCGCTAGGTGCAGGGTGAGAGGAGGGAGATAACGATGGCACTGTCGTCGAAGACGTCTTTGGTAAACTGTCTAGCAAATCGGTTGTGGAGTGGTTGTTGTGGGCGCGATTAAATCCACCAATTGAAAGTGACCTACGGATGCTGGATCTCTCGGCTGCCGAGTAATCACCCAAGGCGTGAGGAGGGAGTTATAAAGGCAGATTAGTACAGGGACATATACTCCAATACGTATGTGTTGATGACAATACCATCAGGTTGACAAAGCATTGCATGTCCCACGTATGTTAGCTTCCGAATTCAACAACCACATCAACACGTTTTGATTCCAATCAATCCCTCCTTTTTTTAATGACTTTTCATGGAGAAGAGGAGGTGTGTGGTAACCGACATGTTGGGCCTCTCTCCCTCTCTCTCTCCACCTCCTGATTCTTTTTGGCCCTCCCCTTTGCTCTGTCGACTGGGTATCTTTCTTGTCACCGCACTTGTTGGGGTCCCATTCTCTTGAACACGCGTCCGAAATAAACGTCCTCTTGTGGGTTGATCCGTCAGGCTGCGAGCGTCACTGGAAGATAAGGCACCCATGTCGTTCAGGCGTAAAAGATGTCGTTTTAATTATGATTATGGTTGGAGGAGCGCGTATAGGAAGGGGAAAAAAGAAAAAGAAAAAAAGGGCCGATGAATAAATAAAAAAAGTAGATGTCGAACTTGCATTGTGTTGAGTTGGTTGGTGTAGAGTGTCCGTGACGCGCTTTGGTATATACCCAACCCGGTGTTTTCGCTCTCGTGCCCCTCCAAGTGTTCTTCCCAACCAGTATTCCCTTAATGTTTGTAAGAGTCCGCGAGTGTGCGGTGTGTGGGGACGCTCCCTGCCCGTCTGGCGGAGTGTTGCAAAGAGAATCAACTTTATCGTCTCAACTCTGCTGTCTTGCTCTCACCTTCGTTTCGACTGGATCCAAGCGTCGGTGATCGGGCTCCGTTCCCACCACTTCCACCCCCACTGGTACTGCCATTGCCGTTCGAGGCACTACCATCTCCGCTGCCAGTGACGGGAGGCGAGGTCGAAGAGACCGAGCTCGAAGTGCTGGTGCCTTGCTTGACCCTGTTCATCATGACCTCGCGGTACTTGTCAGTCCTCGTGAACTTTGGTACAGAGTCGGTCGACATCAATCGGAAGATGTGGTCGTGGATTTGGTCGAATAAGGACATGTGAATCAACTCTTGGTACGTCCGGTCACCATCCAAAGTCTCACCAGGGGGTGACCCAGGGGTGAGAGGAGACACCCGTTGTCGATCAATACTGACCGACGCCATGTTATGGATGACTGCTTGCATGTAGGCTGTGATATCCAGGCGCATGTGGGATGGGAGGTTGACCTCGCGGGGTGCGTGAGCGACCAAGTAAGTCTCAAAGATGGCGAATGCTTGAGTACATATTTGCTTCTCAAGTTCGCGAAGAGTTGGTGGGTAATCCTGACCGGCAAGCGAAGGGTTGTAGGAACGGGTCGAGTTGATGAGGGAGTTGAAGCGGGATTTGTAGTCGATGACCTCTAGGTAAAACGAGAGGTTCTCTTCGCAGATGTTTTGCTTCAAAAAGTTCTTGAAAAGGTCTCGAAGGGTCGAATTCTTGAGGATAATGTTGAGGCGGGTCGTGTTGGACGTCATCGACTGCGACGAGCTCATAGCTGGGGTTCCCCCAGCAACAGACCCGAGATCAGCGACGTCCCTCCCGGCGGAAGACGGCGCATAGTTGGACATGGCTCCCGCCTCTGAAAGAGACAACTGGAAGGCTGGGTCATTAAGGATCTGAGAGAGTCGTCGCATGGAACCCCGGCCTGTTTCATCCGTGTACTGGGTAGCTGTGGTTGTGGCGATGCTGTTCTCGTCCATGGACCGTCCGGTATCGCGCTCCGTTGAGATGGGCAAACGGGCGGCGGTGTTGGCGGTGAGCTTGAACTGGACAGAGAGGGGCTTTGTCTCGGCGCCATTCTTGCCGCTGATCGCATTTCGCTCTATGAATGCAAAGGAGTCATGATCACAGACTATTAGTTTGTTGGTTGTCGTTAATGAGTAAGGCTCTTGTCCTTGTTTTAAGACGCAGACAACATTCAGGTAAAAAAGGAAATATTCGCATTTTTCCAGCAGAAAGAAAGTGAGAAAAGAAAAGAGCTGCAAATTTACAAAAGAAAGTTCTTACCATCCATCCAGTCGTTGTTGATGCTGCTGCCTCGGCTACCAGTAATGCTCTTCCATCCCGCCACTGCTCGTCCTGTCTCGGTCAAATGGTAGAGTGCATAGTTGCCAGTCCGGAAGAGTTGGGCTCCATTACGATCCTCTCCGATCTGCTCGATATAGCCTCCAGTCACCATTTCCTGACAGATACAAATGGCCTCTTCCTTGCTGATGACTGTGGTATAATCAAGAAGCCATTCAACTGCAGCCTTTCCGTAAAATGTGTGCTTATAGACGTCATAGTTGTGCTGCTGATCCTTGACCTCGATTCCATTGCAAAGATCTGGTACGGAATGAACTCTGTCGCGTCCCCCAGGGCTGGACGAGTTTGATGGCGGGTCGTGGGCATGCTTGGACATATTGGGCTCCGGTCCGGCAAACCTTTTGAAGATGAGGTCAACCTGCTTCTGAGTCAGGATAATGGCATCCTCGTCGTCGGCCCGCTCCAGGTAGACCAAGTTGGGTGTAGCATTCGAGGTGATATGGCGCGTTTCCTCGACTGGCAGTGTGTTGCGGTGGACAAACTTGGCAAGGATGTGGGCACCTTTTGGAGTGACTTGGTAGATGCCCTTGTTTTGAAACTCTCTCTTTGTGGCGTCGGATGCGCTTTCGAAGAGGCGGGCATCCATGAAGGTTTGACACAGGTTCTTAGCCATGTCGCGGGAGAGAGAGAACTGGGTGGTGACGACGTGGGTGATGATCCTGGTGGGGTCCTTTGGGTCAGTGTCGCGGTTGGACTGGATGAACTGGAGGCCACCGAGGTTGGCGATGGCCTCCTCGGCGGTGAAGCTGTTGGGGTAGCTTCTGAACAAGATCTTATGGTTCTCGATTGGCAGGGAGACCATCAAAGTCGAGAAGAGGTCAAAAATGCCCTATTTTCCATACAAGGGTGTCGAGTAGACGTAGAGGTGTAGAGTCAGTGAGTGAACGCAATGGCGATGATTTGGTACCCGTTTGTTCATGACTTGGAAAAATGCTTAGCAACCATCTCTCGGCTGTGATTGGTGAATTCAAATCAAGGTGGCCCGTGGTTTGTGCACAGAAAGGAACTCGGAGAGTGTTCAAGAAAGAGTGGGACGGATGCTTGGTCGCCCTTTTCACACTTTCTCTCTATCTCTCTCTTTTGAACGTATCCTCACATAGCCCACATCCCTTGCCTCTCAAAGCGGGAGAAAGAAAGAAAAGATATGAGGAAATGCCTTTCATATTTTTCACTTGTCGTTCTTTTCTGTATTTTTTTTCAAGGGGCTAATCGAGGACCAATACATCCATTTCTTTTTCTGACGAACCAATACGTCCCCACTGCTCCTGCTCTACCCAGTTATCCAAAACCCGTCGAAGTCAAAAGGTGGCAGGAAAGCAAAAGAAAGGAGACAGACATCCGTACTCTTGGCAGCTGACAATGTCACCAATGAATTCATTCTCATTATGCATGCCCTTCATTCACATTTCTTTTTTGTCTTTTTCCACATTCTGGTGGCCCTCCCCCCCCGTTCCTCATCCTCTTTCTCATTCCCAGCTCTGTATCTGTAAGTTGTTCAAAACAACAATGTCTTTTCTTTTTCTGAGTGTGTGAGAAAAATATGGGTACAAGGATTCATTGCGGCCGATTGACCGGATAAAAGGTTTGAGGACTAAATGCATTGGGCGTCAACATGAAACCGCATGGAAAAAGCAAAAATTTCAGGGGAAGGCCCGAGGGTTTAAGCCCGAAGTGAGGAAACAGCGCAACATGTCGTGGGCAGTAACAAATGCCAACGACGGCCGTCTCTTTCTTTTTGTTAGGTTGGGAGGTGGGGGGGGAGGGGTAAGGTCTAGGCCAAGCATTTTGCTTTCCCTGCACAGAGTGGTAGTGGTGGTTCCTTCTCCAATGGAGATGCCCATGGAGGGTGGGAAAATAGGGGGTTAATGCATTTTTTTTTCTTTTTTTTTATATTATGCTGGGTGCAGGTTGTGGTGAGGATGATGGTGGTGGTGGTGGTGGTCGACGAAGGTCAAGATGAACGTTCGAGTGAAGGGACGACTGGCTCTAAGGGAAAGCATCTTAATTGCAATCATCCTGTAAAAGGCATTCTGCTGACGATATGTAACTACTACTCAATGGGTGCCTTTTTTCATTTTGGCTTGCAATACATGCAGATCTTTTCCTCCCCACATCCGCTGTTCAATGTGGTAACAGTAAACACCCCGGTTCATAATAATCTGAGAGCATAAGCGAAGGAGGGACTTTGATGGAAGTATGAACCGCTATTATTGATATTACCTTTGCAAAGGCGCGACCAGACGTAGTCGTTCGCATGGCGAGTGGGGAACGCCGGAAAGGGGTAAGGGAAGACGGTGACGGAGATGAAAAAGGTTGAAGAGAGCAGTAATAGGGCAGAGGTGGTGCTTGTGGTGGTGCCTGTGGTGGATCACAAAACTGTCGCGCTTTTAATATTTGTGTCTAGGATGAACTTCTTGCGAAGGATGGGCGGTTGGGTGTTGTCGCGTGTGGAACGTGTGCACGAGAGGATATACAATGATGATGCGATTATTCCCTCACGAACTAATACATTGTTCAAAAGAGTTTTGTTGCTGTTGAGTGGTACTTGTATAATATTTTTTTGTTTTTTTTGTGAAGGAATGAAGAAAGGTGGATGGAATGAAAGAGAGAGATGCAGTCGTGGGTGGAGGAGCTGCAATGACTCGAGAGAGAGAGAGGTGAAATAGAAGGAAGAAGGTGAAGGGTGAAGGGTGAAGGGTGGAAAAGAAACCAAGAAGAAAGGAGAGAAAGAAAGAAACGGAAGAGAGGAAAAAGAAAGAGGGAGAGAAGAAAGAAAACGAGAGAATGCTGAATGGGTAGAGGGAGAGAAGGAGGGGAGAAGGACAAAGGGGGCGGAGGAGGGAACGAGGGAACAAGGGAACAAGGGAACAAGGGAACAAGGGAACAAGGGAGAAAGGGTTGAGAGCAGTAATAATAAAACAGACGAAGCAAGGAAGAGGACAAGAAACGTGCAGTTACGACTGTAAAGAGAAGTAAAAACAGCAACCCAGGAAACGAAATGAGGACAACAAACGACGACAACGACAGAACAACAGGAGTCACGAAGAAAAAAGACGCGAACAAGAAAAAGGGAAATAAAGAAAGTTATGAGAGAGAGTGAGAGAGTGTGTGTGAGAGAGAGAAGAGGAAGCGGAGGAGCAGAAGGACTAAACAAAGGAAATGAAAGGCACAGAAAGTCAAAAATCGGAAGGGATGTTGGGCGGATAAGAAAGGGAGGGAACGAAAAAGGAGTAAAAAAAACAACAAAGAGAGAGAGAGAGAGAGAGAGAGAGAGAAAGTGAGAAGAGGAAGATGGCTATCGAGGCATGCGTGGGTAGATGGGATGATCAAGCAAGAAAACAAGACAAGAAAAAAAAGGAGGGAAGGAAGGAGCAAGCAGTTGAGCATACAAAATATTACACAGAAAAGAGAAAATAATTGAATGATGAGATAACAAACAAACAAGCAAGACAAGCAAAGCAAGCAAGCAACAAGCAAGAGACAAGGGACATTATTGTGGTAGTACGACGGATTGGCCAATGAAAACCATATCAACATCACCAGGGAAGTTGTCTGTCGCTAAGCAGAAGAAAAGAAGGGGGCCTACAGAGTATGTATACAAGGGAAGGGAAGGGTAAACAGAAGAAAACGAACAGAAGAGATGGGCTACAACCAACCAACTCTTACAGAGGCTGCTCTCGTATAATACGCTTGTCGATATGTCTGCAATTGCACACTCCACAATTGATGTGCCATGTCACATCCTGTCCGTTGTAACTGGCAAGACCATAGAGACATACATACACACCCTACCTAGGACATGCTTGTCCATGCTTATCCATGCGCCCCCATTTGATTAGCCATGACATGAAGGACGGACGCTTAGTTCTTGAACCGTCTGTCTGTGTCTGTCTGTCTACGACCATCAGTGACACATCTATGCTCCATCAGTGATACATACATCAGTTACAGTGGCCAAGAAAGAGAGTTTCAGGGGTTGAAGGTCTCGGATTCCTTTGGTATGTTCCCTTCAATGCACCCGACTCATTAGCACAAGAGAAACAAACCATCAGCAGCCCAGGGAATGTCTTACCTAGCCATGAACCAACACACACACAGACTATTATCATCGCTTCGAGACAGCATATGGCAATGCACTTCTCGGATCATGAAAAACGTTCGACAGTGCGCACGTCTGTAACGGTAAAGAATGCACATGAGCACTTTCTTCTTTTCAGCCGTTTTTTTTTTCTCTCTCATCCTCTCGTTACCTCGTTTTTTCTTTTCGCATATTGAGCATTGGCCATGGCTCACTCTTCTTCTTCTCCTCTCAACCAACCCCATAGCACATACACACAGCATTCTCTTCTTCTCTCTACTCGAGAATGATAATCCGAATAGTTCAGTCATCTAGCCCAATGCTCTCAACTTTCCATTAAGCATTCAACAACATGAGTTTTCAAGGAGTTCCTCTTCTTCGTTTGCTCACAGGTACTTAACGCGCATCGTACCTTTGTTGCTGTTTGCTTGTCGCGTTTTACTCGCTCTCTCTCTTTTTTTTCACTTGCTCTCTTTCTCGCTCACTTCATGGCCTCAACACGCCCTCTCGCCTATTCGCCCAATACGCCCCTCGTCCCACCATTTTGAATTTTTTTACAACATTTCCGAGCATATTTTTGTACAACCCCCTTTTTCAAGTTGTTGTTGTTGTTGTTGTTGTTGTTGTTGTTGTTGTTGTTGTTGCATTGCACCCCCGCCGAACATGATACCTTGCCACTCATCTCTCCTACTTCTTTACTTTTCATCCCCCTTCATCCCTCGTCCCTCTTTTTTTTTTTTTTTTTTTTGCCTTACCTTGATCAGGATTAAGTACATATCTCCCGTGCTGTTTTCCGTGTTAGAGACAAACATATAAACGTGCGAGTAAGGTAACAAGAAACCAAAGGAGGGTGAAAGAGAGAGGGGGTCGGATCGGGCGCATTTCTTTTGTGTATTTCACCGCACCCTTCCTTCCTTTGTTTACCAAGGACAAAGGAAAACCTTGGGATCAGGATGGGACAGCATTTGGGATGAATCATCTGCCTTGGAGGGGCCGAAGAACCGTAAGGAGAGGGAAGATTGACTGGCTGACAAAAGAAAAAAGGACTCCCTCCTCCACCCACAAGTCCACCGTTTACCAACCAGTGTCATTAGCACCACCCTCTGCCCCCCTCCCTCTGTTTTTTTTTTTTCCTTTTCTTTTCATCAGAACCTCCTCGTATTTGCACATCCCCTCTCCTCACCGCCACTGTCCTGGCTGCTTGCCTATTACTTGACAGCACGGGTCTTCTTTTTTTTTTGGTCGAGAACGTAATATTTAATTGCAAGATACTCAATCACGGATATGACCTCGAGAAAGACGGAGGCGGGTGTGGCACACCGGGAGAGTAAAACAATGTTGTTCCTTTCCACCCCGAGCGGTTCTGCTCTCATGAAGATAGTATTCTCGCGTCGACGCGAACTCTTTTCATTTCCTCCCCCTTCTTTCCTCTCCCCTCCTCCCTCTTTTCACCTCCTTGCTTTCCCTTTCTTGCTCTCAACCATCCAACTACCAACCAACCTCGTCCACCCCACCCAGCTCTATATACCCAACCCGACTGACCTAGCAGTCCAAAAGAGTGGAAATAAATAACAGTATCATAATAACGCCCTTTCGTTCCAAAACTAACAACTCATCCCATTCATTTCTTCATTTCCTCAATGTCAACCCCCCCTCATCTTCGTTTATCAACAATTAATATCACATTTTAATAATCTTTACATTTGAGAACAACAAAAAAAAAGTATTGAGGTTACTTTCCGATGGCATCCTCGTTGATGATGTCGATGGGAACGGCGTCAAAGGGCGTGAAACCAAAGATCCTGCCCAAGAAGGTGACCTCGCCCTGCAACGCTGCCTTGACGTTCTTGGGAATACGGAAACCTAATGCATTTCGTGTCATCAGAGAGTTGGTTATTAGTGGCAGAGTTCAGTAGAGGAGCAGTTGATAGGATGATAACAACAATCACATAAAAAACATCAGGTCCAAGGACAACCGATATGCAAGATGAACACGTTAATTACAAAACAAAAACAAAACAAAAACACACTTACCGTGGGCCTCCTCTTCAAAGAGAACGTAAGCAACAGGGAGACCGCGCTCCTTCAAGGCCGAGACCATCATCTCGGCCTGGTTAGGAGGGACAACCTTATCCTTGGCGCCCTGGAAGAACGCACAGGCGCAGGTGATCTTGTCGGCAGAGTACAGAGGCGACCGCTCGCGATACAGAGCCTTGGCCGCGGGGTAAGGTCCAATCAGGGACTCGGGGTACAACAACTCAAATTTGTGAGTATCCTTGGCCAACGTTTCCAGGTCGCCAATACCGTAATGACTCACTCCGGCCTTGAACACATCCTTGAACGCCAAGCAGGCCAGAGTCGAGTATCCTCCAGCACTGCCTCCAACAATCGCCAACTTTTCGGGGTCGACATCGCCCCTCTGAACCAAGTACGTCGCGGCGTTGCAGCAGTCGTCGACATCGACAATTCCCCACTTGGTGCGGAGACGGCTGCGGTACTCGCGACCGTAGTTAGTCGAACCTCCATAGTTGACGGCGACAACACCGAATCCGCGAGAGGTGAAGTAGTTGATGTTCCAGTTCAGGTTCGACTCAAAGGCGCCGGTGGGTCCACCATGGGACAAGACGCGGAGAGGGGGAAGAGTACCCTCGGGGGCGACATAGTCGGCGTTGGTGGGAGGGTAGTACAAAGCATAGGCGTCCAGGTTGCCGGTGGTCTTGAAGGTCAATGGCTCGGGGTTGGAGACAAAGCCGTTGGGGACCTCGGCGGCACTCGACTTCATAATGATGTCGTACTGGTTGGTACGGAGGTTGTAGTTGATGGTCTGAAAGGGGACGTTGTAGCTTCCGACGCCCAAAAGAAGAGTATCATCCTGGCCGCTGGTCGAGGCATAGACGGAGGTGATGACCTGAAAGTCGAGAGGGACTTCCTTCAACGTCTTAGTCTTGGTGTCAATGATCGCCAAATGGCTCAAACCTAAATAATTATGAGTGCGATATAGCGCGTTAGTTTGTGAGTAGAAAGCATTCTTGTTATAGTATAAAGATATACGCCCCATTGCTGTTTCCTGGTCCTTGTTATCTGTCATCACGTTTGTTCAGTTCCTGTGCATATCGTGCTTTGTTGACATGTCCTTTTGTTCACATATATGCCCCAATATCTTACGTACCATCCTTGATGTAGCTGGCAGCAATCTTGGTGGGGTCCGACTTCAAAGGGTAGTAAGATCTGGCGCCAAAGACCCAAGCAGGACCTAATTAAATAGCAAACACAACACACACGACAAACACGTACGGTAAGCAACGATCGCACGAAAACGACCAATTGGTGACATCGTACATCAAAGCAGGCGCCACCAATACACGAATACAATAAACTTACCCTGGAACTCGGCCTGGAGAGGCTCCTGAAGAACAAGCTGAACCTCTTTACCAGCCTTATAGCTGTACAAGTTCCAGAACCCAGTCTTGTCATTAATAAAGTACAGCGTCCCATCCGCCGCAAACCGAGGCTGGTTAATACTCTCCTCCTGGGTCTTATCTGCGCCTCCCAGCAGTATCTGCGACGCCACCTTGACCTTCTCTCCCGAGATCTCGAGATGTCCATAGTACAACTGGGTATGATCCCAAGTCATGAAGGGATGGTTCCAGGAATAGTACGCAAACTCGGTAGGCTGGATAGGGTTAAATCGTGGGGCAGAATAAAAATCTGCTCCCTCGACCAAAACCTCGACATTGGGTTCCTTGGTATCCAAACGCACAATGACCAACGTGTTAACAACCGTCTGGGGGGTATCGACCGTATGATCCTCGCGGACACAGATCAAGAACTTTTCCGAAGGGTGAACCTCCACATCTGCATATCTCCAATCCTTATTCTCGGGCGTGAGTGGGGTGGCCTCCTTGGTGGCGACATCAATCTTGTACAGCCGGCAATCAGCATCGTTAGACGAGACGACGAAATCAGAACCGAGGGAGAAAACGGCTCCGCCGTACTCGTGGACGCGTGTACGGGCGATGAACGGCTCTGGGGTGAGTTCGGTGGTGATACCGGTGGCGTTAGAGCGGTGTTGGATGGTTTGACGGCCGTTGGTGTCCTTGTTGATCTCGGCCCAGAAGAGATCTCCTGTGGTTTCGTTCTTGCGCAAGTTGGATTGCGTTGCGGTGGATGAGGTGATGAACGTTACGTCGATCGGCGACTTCCACTCTCCTGTTGGATTGTCATTTCATTTGTTGCAAAAAACGAAAAGAGCGAAGAAAGAGAGGAGGCAAGAGAGAGAGATGCAAGAGAGTGGGATTAGAAAGTGAGTCTGCGGCTACTTGTCATTGTCTTGTTGAAGGTTAGGCGTGAAGAGAAGTAAGAGGAGTAAGTGGTCCTGAGGTTATTACCATAGGGTGCGACAGTTGGGGCCATGACGGATAAAGGTGATAAAAAGTGAGGGGAGGGGCTGGATAATGTTAAAGGGTACAAAAGGACAGGGGAGGAAAAGAAAACGAAAAAGAGAACAGAAGAGAACGAGGGTATGTGAAGAAAGTATGGGGGATGCGTGCACAAGCAATTGGGTTGAGCCACAGGGTACAGCAAAGAAAGAAAGGCAGGGAAGGTTGCCGTTTTTGTACTCGATGAATGCTCACGCAAGAGAGAGAGAGTTCAAAGGCGCACGTCGGGCCGTGGGAAGAGGAAACAGCCAGCAATTGGACTCTTATCGATTAAGGGTTGGGCTGGGAAAATGAAATGAATCCATTCGTTTTTGTTCAAGTCACCTCTTTCTGTCTGTTGGTGGCAAGGGCACGGTGTTTGGTAGTGTTTTTTGCGCATTGATGACTTACTAAAAACTTGATACATGATACTCTACCCCTCTATCTTAATAACCTACTCTACTTTAGTGGGCGGTGATGTTGCGGTGGCCAGACGAGGCATACGATGAAGACGAGGAGGACATCATGTCGCCACTGCTGCTCTCATTCGACTCCATGAACGTACCGCTGTCCATCCGGCTGCGAGTGTTCGAGATCGTCTCCTCAACCACCATCTCCCGCGACTTGAGCTCCTATTCAATCCACAGCAGAAAAAAAGATAGACGAGAGATGTTAGAATACTTACCATACAATTCATACAACAATGAAAAAGAAAAAAAAGAAGAAAAAAGAACCAAAGTGAGAAACGAAAAAGAAAAGACGAACCTTTTCGAGCTCATCAAGGGATCGCAACTCGGCTTCAGAATCACGCTTAATAGAAGCCTTGAGCTTGCTCAGCAGACCCGTCAAATCCTTAGTAGCACTCATCTCACGACGCATCCGGGTTTCTAACGTCGTAAACTCCTTCTGCATCTGCTTTTGAGTCCTGCGCAGGGACTGGATCATAGTTTCTTGCTTCTCCTTCTCGCGTTGGGCACGAAGCAAGTCCTGGTCATGCGCGGCCTTTTCGAGATCGCGGGCATTCTGGGCATCACACAACCGCAACTCGAGCGTCGTTCGTGATTTGGTCAAGAGGTGGATCCGGTCCTTGTACCTATTCTCGGTCAATGCCCAGGCAGAATCCCGAGCGGCTTGGTCCTTGGACATGCGGTCGACTTGAGATTTCAGGTCTGCAATCTTGGACGACAGCTTGGAAACCTCCTTCTCACCCAAATGGATGCGTTTAGCACAGGCGTCGTGACTTGCCTGTTCGGCGGGGACCATCTTGGTCATCTGCGTCTTAGCTCTCTCGAGCGAGGCCATAGTATCTTGGTACTGACGAGTGACTGCATGGAGTTCGACCTGGAGGATATCGACACGCTTGAGAGCCTTGTTGAGGTCCTTCTCGAGATGACGGCTCTTGGACTCGAGGGTCTCGACCTTGTCGGAATCCTCGGCCTTGACACGGTCGAGGGTCTTCTCGAGCTTGTAGAGTTGCTTATCTTGGTCGGCTTGGATTTGGAGGGCAGCCTGATACTTGCTGTCGAGGGACTTGTACTTGTCCATCTGGGCTGCCAAGGTGTGGCGCAGCTTGTCGAGCGTGCTCTCCATTGTTACCATCGAGTCCTGGTCCTGAGCAGCACGAGACTCAAGATCCGCCATTTGTCTAATGGTGTTTGAAATGGGCGAAAAAAGATGTGATGGTTAGACGAAGACAGAAAATGAAGCCAAACCTCAAACAGTAACTTGGCGATCGGTGTTACCTAGCGGACTCAGCAATCCGGGCGTTGAGGACATCGATCTTCTTGTCCTTCGCAGAGAGCTCACGACGGGTGTCGGCAAGGCGAGCCTTATAGCTATTGACCTCACCACGAAGACGCTCCTCTAGGTCGGTAATCTGGTCATCCTTGGCGCTGGCCTCACGGCGAAGCTCATCCCTGGAGGTCACAAGGGTTTCGATCTGGATGGTCAGCGAATGAATCCTCTCAGTCAGCTTGGCATCATTGGCATCGTGCTGAGCAAGGGTAGCCTTCAAGGTATTCAGCTCCTTCTCGAGTCTGCCAATCATCGCAGTCAACTTTTCGGCCTGCCCGATCGCCCTCAAACGCCAGGCATCAGCGCCATCGACCTGGGACTGGAGGGTATCAATCTGACGCTCATAGCGAGTCAACAATCCGACCTGCAGCTCTTTCTCGCTCTCCAAGTTGGCGACGGTAATCTCCCACTCCTTGGTTTGCTCTTCCGAGTTTTGCTTCCAAAGGGTTAGCTCACGGATCTGCTCACCCAACTGGCGTTCAAGGACGGCATGATCGTGATCGAGACGAATTTTCTTCTCGAGGTGCTTGATGTCGTGTTCGAGGTCGGAGATGGTCCTCTTGAGGACGGCCTTGTCCTGATGGAAGTGGCGGGTCTTCTCGGCAACCGTGTCCTCGATTTCAGAGGCGCGGCGCTTGCGGTCTGCGTGGATTTCACCGCGAGCCTGGTTGATGGCGTCGTTGAGGCGGCCAATTTCAGAATTGTGTTCGCTCAACTTGTACTTGAGGTCGTGGATGGCCTTGTCCTTAAGGCGCACCAAATCTGTGCTCCTCTCAATTTCCTCTGTCAAATCAGTCGTCTACAAGTCATGCACCGCACCCCCAAAAAAAAAAAAAAAAAAAACTGCATTGTTAGAAAATGCATGTAAATAAGATCGTATCAAATGAATGCACACATTTGAAACGAAAAAAAAGTTACCTTGTTGACCCAGCCTTCTTCATGGTTCTCCCATTGGCTGATCTCGTTCATGAGAACATGGATTTGGTCGTCTTTGGCAAGGAGCTGATGCCGAGCATCCTTTTCGGCATCCTCGAGTTGCTTCTTGAGATTGGTGACAGTAATGCGGGTCTCCTCCAAACGCAACAGGGCAGAGTCGTGGTCCTTCTTGGCCTTGTCCAAGGCAGCCTGCAATCCATTCTCCTTTTCCTTGAGCGTGTGCAGCAATCCAGCAATGCGAGCCTCCAAAGTCGCGATATCGGCTTCAAGACCCCTGGACATGTCCTCGGCCTTGTGGGCACGGATGACGTAGTTTTGCTGCGTAGTCTCAAGACTGTTGATCCTGATCAACAGTTCCTTGACTTGCTGGGTCTTTTTCTCGAGATCCTCGGCGATCCTGTCGGCATGAGCAAGCTCTTTCTCTCTCTCGTGCAACTGCTCGCGTAAAGACTCAACCTCGACACGGAGGGTGTTGGCAGTAGACGAGACCGCGGCCAGATTCTTGACGGTTTGGTCGGCAGCCTTCTTGCCCTGACGGACCTCCCTCTGCAACTCCTTGACCTCACCCTCGAGACGACCAGCACGGTCGGCGTGGGTCTTCATGGACTCCACCATTTTTTCAAGATCGTTCGCCCGGCGGTTCTTGTCGGAAATAATCTTCTCGAGCTTAGTGATCTCGATCGTCAAATGCATGTTGCGGTCCTTCTCGTCCTTGAGCTCATCGATCGTCTTGTGGGCATGCTCCAACTCGTAGTTCTTATCCTTGAGCTCTTGGCGGAAACCCTCGACCTCGGTGCGGAGGGCGCTGGCGGTCGAGCTGACCCTGGCCAGGTCTTGATCAGTCTTCTCCTGGAGGTTGAGGGCAGCCTTCTCCTTGGCCTCCATCTCGTGCAGGATGGTCTGGATCTCCTTTTGGAGCGTCTCGATCTTGGCGTCCTTGATCGCGAGACCTTTGTTAGCCTTTTGGAGCTGGGCAATCTCGCCTCCCTTCTCATGGAGGAGGTTCTCGAGCATATCGATCTGGTCCTGGAGTTGCTGGGCCTCGACAGCGCAGTCCTCGTGGGCCATAAGAGCGTCTTCGAGGTAGGTGAGGTGCTTCTCTTGGACGTCAACCTGGTCACGGAGATCTTTGACCTCGTCCTCCAGAGCGAGAGTGCGGTCCATGAACACGTTCAACGACTTGACGGACTTCAAGGCCTTGGAGAGCTGGATCTCACGATCGGCGAGATCGTTCTTGAGAATACGGATGTCGTCCATAAGCGTGTCGGTATGGATGCTCTGGGCATTGAGAGCTTTGTTATCTTTCTCCAATTCCTTGATGGTGGCATCGCGCTCAGAGATCTGGTCGCGCAACTCCTTGATGTGGAGGTTCAACATATGGACCTTCTCCTGAGCACCCTCGAGGGTCTTGATCTTGTGCTGACAGTCCTTGAGCTCATACTCGTGGCTAGCCAACCTCTGCTTCAAGAGTCCGAGCTCATCAGCCAAGCGGTGGGTCTCTTCGGAATAGGCGCTGTTGCTGTGCTCCAGCCTCTTGACGGTCGCGTGGGCACCCATCAGGTCGGTCTCCTTCACCTTGAGGTTCTCAGAGATCTCGCTGATTTCGACAATCAACTGGGCGCGCTGCTTGTTGGCCTCGTCAAGATCCTTCTGGAGGCGAAGAGACTGCGCTTGGACATGCTCCTTGGCCTTGAGGTTACCCTTCAGCTTGGAGATCTCGTGCTCAAGAAATGTTTGCTGCTTCTGGCCCTCGAGACGATCAGCAGCATGTTGCTGCTGGGCCTCCTTGAGAGCCTTCTCCTTGGAGCGGAGGTTTGTGCGGAGATCGCGGATGGTAATCTCAAGATCGTGGATCTCACGGGTCAAAGTCTCGGTGTGGATGGTGACCTGCTGGAACTCGGCGGCACGGGCCTCAGCAGCACGGAGAGCCTCTTCCTTTTCTTGAAGGAGCTTCTGCAAGAGGATAACATCGTGGTCGAGCGACAAGATGGCCTCATGAGCCTTCTCGCGATCAAGGAGCGACTTTTGGGTGATGCAGTGGGTGGCGGTCTCGTGGCGTTCCAGACGCTCGCGCTGCTCGGCGAGGAGCTCTGCATTAGAATGGGTGGCGGTTGTGGTTGTGGTGGTCATGGTGCTGTCGCTGCCCTTGTAGTGGCTGGAGATGGCATGCTGGCCAGCATGGCTGACGACTATCGAGTCGACCAAGTGCATGGGGGTTCTGGACTGTGTGGTCTCGGTGTGGCTAGTACCCTTTCCGACGGTTGACTTTGGCGAGTGCTTGGTCAAAAGAGCGGAGGAGGGAGAAGTACGAGAGGAGCCAGACTTGGTGGCTCTATGACGATGACGGGCGTTCCGAGTCCCCTCATCCGAAGATCCACCGCTGCTGTTACTCAGCGGTGCGAGTTGTTGAGAGTGTGTATCGACATTCATCGCGTTCGTTGAATCATCGTCAGAGATGTACCGGATGTGATGATGATCCATTGGAGTCTCGGGAACAGCGCCCTGGGAGGCAGGAGTACCCTTATGAAGAGCGGCATCAACATCATGGCGAGACAAGTGCCGAACACGGCGAGTCGTAGCTCCATTCTCGGTATGAAGATTCTCGCGGCGATCGGACCGGCTACGACCCGACTGAGCAGCTTTGAGGTTGTGGTGTGCAAGGTCGTCATTCTCGCTAAAATTGCGGTACCAGATATGGTGGCGATCCTGCCCGTCCTCCTCAAGGATATGGTGCTCCTTACCGTCGTTCAAGTGGTTGCGGTGGCCATCTTTGGTCGAGATTGTGTGGGGTTTACTGGTGGTGGTGGTGGTGGTAGAGCTGCTCTTCTTTGAGATGGTCGAAGGGGTCTTCTTGGAGAGAGCGATAGAGATGTGTTTGGTCGAGATGGGCTCTTTGAGGTTGTGAGTGGAGGTGGTTTCTGTTGCGGTCGGGGCACTCCCGCTGATGACCCTGCTGCGGGTAGCGTAAACCATTATGGAGTCAAGGTTGCTTGGTGATGGTAGTGTGTGAGGAAGAGTGAAGAGTGTTTCTTGGTGTGTGATATGTACAGGGCTATTTACAATTATGATGTGGATCCTTCATGGCACTGTTGAGCAAGGGAGGAGAAGATGCAGTGGTGGGTAAGCGGACAGTTTTATATCACCATTACGATGTCATTTTTTCAGATCTGTATTACAAGCATAAAAAATTTGCACATATCGTGTTCTTGGTTTACCTCTTTCAAGGCAGGAAAAAATGAAAATCAATTCAATTGCTGTGGACAAGCAACTGCTTTGGCTTATTGGGAATGAAGGTTTTTGAAGGAATGAAAAAACTAAAGGGAGGTTGTTGCACCAGGAAGGAAGTATGTACAATGCGCTAAAGGGAGCAAGTGAAGGAAGGAGTGAAAGAGAGAGAAAAAAAAATGAGAAGGGAAGAACATGACACCAGCGACAACAATAATCAGCTGGTGGGTGCACGCTCCAAGAAGAAAATGAATGAGAGTCTATGGCCGCATGTTGGTTTGACCCCACACGTTTCACAATCGCGCATCATCGTACTTTTTCTGCCCGATCCTCCTTGCTTGCCCTTCTAAGTTATGTCAGCCTCTCTTACAACAAAAAAAAATAACACGCGTTAAATGCAGCCAATGGAGGGCAAACAAATTTTTTTCCGTATCTGAAATGCAGCCATTCTCATTCCGTCTCACTCCAAATAGAACAACAAGTCTTTCGACCTTGCCCTTTACCCAGACCCTCGTAACCCGAAAAGTAACTTTTCTTTGGAAATGCAAACCAGCAGCAAAAGTGGGCGAATGGTAATAATGTTTTTCATTTTTGCTAACTACATGAATTAGGAAAGGGTAGGAACGGACGGTAGGCAACGTGTCTATCTCTGCCATACTCCGACTGTCTCCTCTTTCGTTCGTCGTTCTTCTGTCCTCCTATGATAATGACCTATCCTGTTTCCAATAATCCCCTCATCATCCTCATACCCCTTATACTCCCGCCATTGTGCTCCTTCAACAGATTAGAGAAGCGTGTATCAAATGTGTAATAAGAAAGAAAAAAAAATGATTTTAACCCAAGGGCTTCTGGGCAGTGGTATCGTATGCACGAATCAAACGCGCAGTGCCGGCTTCGTTCTGAGAAAAGGCAAATCCACGGTTGCGACGCAGACGCTGAATGTTGCGGACCTTGTGGACTGCCTTTCGGAAACGTTCCATGCGAGGGCGGTAGTCGGGGATGTTGAGCTTCTGAATCTCCTGCACATAGTGGTATGTCCTTGGGAAGAATGTGCGCTTCATGCTATATTTGTTAAAAAATGGAATGTTGAATGGTTAGGAAAGCAAATAGAGCCAGTGAGTGATCACAGCACCACATTCACATCTCGTTGTATATGCGATAACAAGCAGAAGTAAAAACTTACTATTTGAAGGCATAATCACGGAGGACGCAGGCCAAAGGCAAAAGAATGATGGTCAACCAGAACACTGGCTGGCCATAAAGGGGTCCAGCGATTCCATAGTACTCGGGGGTTAAACCAATCTTGGCACCAACAATCGCAAAGATAGGGAAGAAGCCCATCCAGAAGAGCATCGATCCAGGAACTGAGATGTAGGCATACTTGGTCCAGAGACTATGGAGAAGAAAAATAGCGCAACAAAGGTTAAGAATAAGCGCGCGAGGCCAATTAATTACAATCCTTGGTGCGCAAAAGGCATATCAAAAGCACTTACTCGGTAATCAAAGCGGCCTTCCAGAGAACGGTGGCCAAGACAGCAGTGTAAAGAGTGACACTCATGATCCATGCGCCACCAATAGTACCGTCAACCATGATCAAATCGTTGCGGAATATGAAGGAAACGGCAAAGAAAAGGACAACAGAGTGGAAGATGGCATTGGAAGCCCATCCCCAGAAAGTCTTGACGTTGAACTAGAAGGCAACAATAAAAAAAAATGAGCAATTAGCATCCAAAAAGTTCATCTAAAATCGTGCGGATAAATAACGCTAAAAAAAGACGCCAGTAATCAACTTACGAACTCGCTCTTCTGACCGAGCATATACATCTGAGGGTAGCGGTCCAACATCCTGGCGCTGACATACTGGTCGAAAATACCGAGAGACAAAGGAGGCAGGACCGTCAAGGCAACGTTGTACAGGGAGATGGTCCAGGATTCGTAGACGGTCTGACCGGAGAAGCCGTTGTAGAAGGCGTACCAGAACTGGGTGGTATACAGACAAATGTTTTTGTAGAAACTGAAAAGAATCAGCTTACTAAGACGCTGGTAACTCCATGCACCGTGGACCAAAAGCAGCTTCTTCAAGAAACGGAACTGCGAGATGGCGAAATCGGCACTGCGAGCAGCCTGGAGACCCTCCAATCCCGAAATACCGACACCGACGTGAGCAGCCTGAATCATCGAAACATCATTGGCGCCATCACCGATAGCGAGTAAGATAGCCTTCAGGTTGCGCTTGACGAGCTTGACGACCAAAGCCTTCTGCAGGGGAGACACACGGCAGCAGACAACAGCCTTGCAGAGGACAGCCAGTTCCAAAAAGACCTTTTCGACATCCTTCTCCAGAGCAAAGCCGAGAGTCTTTCCGTCGATAATAAGAGCCAGGGGTTCGATTTCGTCGCCTCGTTGGTAAGTCGACTTGATCGCCTTGACCTTGTTTTCCAAAAACTCCTTGGTCTCCCAGTGTGTCTGCTCGTTACAGATAATCAAAGACATGTCTTCCTGAATCAACTTGCAGGAGTATCCAATGTTGATGGCGGTTTCTTGACGATCTCCAGTCAAGACCCAGACTTTGATACCGGCTTGCTGAAGAGTGTGAATAGTCTCGGGGACTCCGTCTTGAAGCTTGTCCTCAATAGCGGTGGCACCCAACAGGAACAGGTTCTTCTCAATCAACTCGGCAGCCTTGTCCAACTCGTCACCACGGTTTTGGATGGTGGTGGAAGCACGCTCATAGATCTGGCACCAGTGCTGGTATTCCGCCTCGGGGATCTCTCTCATGGCGACACACAGAGTACGGAGACCCTCAGTGGCATAATCCTCCAAATGCTGCATGGTGGTGTCAACAAACTCATTCTCCGATCCCAAGCGCTCCAAAATGACGGTATCGGCTCCCTTGCAGTACAGCTTAATCTTCCTGTCGGGACCGCGAACAATGGTTGACATACGCTTACGGGTCGAGTTGAACTCGCAAACGTTCAAAATTTCGTACTCCAGGTCATGAGGTCCAACTTGAATGTTGACAGAGCGGGGTCGTCGCGTGGTGAATTGGTATCCCATTAGAGCAGCGCCAGAAACAAGTGCACCCTCATCGGGAGACGAAGCCTGGTAAACGATTTCTGTAAACGAAAAATTGTTGACCCAAAAAAAGTTGTTAATGAACATTTCCGTGAAAATGAATATGTATGATGCATGAATGCTAAAAGTTGGAAAAATGCCAATACTGCATGCATACCTGAGGGGTTTCCCTCTTGACGTTCAGGAATGACAGTGTGGCAGACAGCGAGAAGAGTTAAGAACTCATCGATGACATTGCTGGTAGGGTGGCTGCGCAGGTTGGCGTCCAATTGCTTGAAGTCGTGGATACCGACCTCAACTCCATCCTCGATGCGTGCCTGCTTTCCTTCCTCAACCATATCAGCATAGGCAAGTCCTGCAATAGAGCACTGACGGAACTCCATCTCGTTACAGGTCAGTGTTCCTGTCTTGTCCGAAAAGATGTACTCGATTTGTCCGAGTTCCTCGACGAGAGACGAGGTACGGGCAAGTGCTGGGGTGTCGGTTTTTTCGTAGTACATGTCCAGGTCCGAGTTGATCAATTGCGCCTGCCAGAACTTGACGACCTCCATGGTGACCATCAAAGAGATGGGGATCAGGTTGTTGTACAGAATCAAGAAGGTGAGGATGTTACGACCAAAGTCTCCCCAGGACGAGTGTGGGAGTTCGAGGTAGGAGAGTTGTTCAAGGTTCTTGTTGGTGATGACCATGTTGCCGACAGCTGAGGCGAGAGACATTGCCAGCAGGATACAGAACAGGAAGATGATTTGAACGTTGGTCATCTTTTCGACAGAGGTACGCTTGATGGGTGTTGCTGAGGCGTTTCGCATGAGCTTGGACTCGTGTCCTGTAAAGACGACCACACCGTAGATCCAACGGGTGTTACGAAGTTGAGCACCCTAATTTCCGGTAACATGCATCCAACACCAAAACGTTAGCAAGCAGGATACATGAGTTTTTCCTTGTCTGTGAGACCAATTGATACACAAATTGTAAATGAATAATATAAAAAAACAAAGCAAAAGCCCAGTTGTCCTGTTTTGAAGCAAGGCACCATTAGGGTCTAGAACTTACACGAAGCAAGACTTGAATTGGGTCCAAGGGGAGCTCCTTGGGGTTGCCCTGGGCGGTGTTCATCAGCAGAGTTCCTTCGAAGGTGTACAGACTGTTGTTAGGCTGTTCCGAGCGAATGAGTCCTCCCAAGTTCGATGCCTCCAGAGGTGTGATAAGGTGAACTGTCTCTGGCAATGCCTGTTTGATCTTCAAGTTGGTCTCTCTAGAATAACAGGAACGAAAGAGATAACAGGGGTTAAAAAGAAGGCATGTAAACAAACAATAAAGTCAGACATAGGGGAGGGGGAGGAGATCATTCACCATGGAAGTGATCACTGCACTGCGGGAAGAGATGATAAAAGACTCACCCGTCCAAGTTACTTGTCTCGATGTAACACATTCCTTCGGGCTCGGATGAACTCAACAGAACCAGATCGGCAGGGAAGGACTCGCCTCCCTCGACACGGACAATATCTCCGACCTTGATCGAATGCCAGGCGCGTGGCACAAAAGTGCTGCCCTGCAGAACCTTGGAGTGCCTGGCGTTGGTCTCGCTGTCAGAGGCATGTCGTTTCTAAATCATGAAAATAATAAAAAGGGGAAGACACACACATTAGCCAAAGGGAGAGCACACGGCAAAGCAAGCAAGCAAAAACACTGTTGTAAACGTAGTCAATCGTGTCAATAGGAAGCGAGTAGCGAGGGCACAGGATCAAGTATACTCTTGGAGTTTGGCGGTGGTGGGTTGATAAAATAGATGGATGGTAGGATATTGGTGCGAGCTGGGTGTCATTGGAATTGGCCCAGGAGGGACCTGGCCTGGGAAGAAAGAATGAAAAAAAAGACCGCACATAACCCATGTTCATAGAAACTCCTTGTTATTTATGCAAAGCTGTAGACACTTACAAAGTCCTCCATGACTTCCTTGACGGCTGTTGCGAACAAGACGAGTACCAATGGCACTGCTGTCGTGTATCTTGATGTTGGAGAGACACCATCGATTTGCTATTTTTGTTTTCGTTCAAATCGACGGAAAGTTCAACAGAGAAGACGAGAGTACAAGGAAGAAAGAAGGAACGGGTTAGATGAAGAACCGACAAGATCTTTTTTCAACGTCATCTGATTATTATCCTTTCGCCGACTTGCTCGTCATTTCCAATTCCGACGACGAGGGGTGGACTGTACCTGAATGCAGGCGGTGAACAAGAAAAAGATGTTGGCGTATTTGGAGAACTGTTCGTAGAGGAACTTTGGGAGGAATGTAAAGTAGTTGTACTTTGAGGTGGAGATGCGGTTGTGGAGGTATTTTGCTTGTGCGTTTCGCTCAGTGTTATTGAGGTAGATGGTGCGGATGCCTCCCTGGTTGGCGGTAGAGGGTCCGGTAAAGTTGGAAAGGAACTTAGAAAAGGCACCGGGGGACTGCCTGCTCTGACTGCTGTTGTTGCTGGGTGGTTGGCTGGGGTTAGGGGAGGAGTAGGAGGGTGAGTCTGGGGGGTAGCGAGAATGGGACGAGAGTGAGTTGTTGGAGCCTTCAAAAGCGTAGTGGTCGTCGGCGGCGGTGAGTGGGATGTTCATATCCGAGTAGTCGGACTCCTTTGAGGAGAGGCCACGCATTTTCGATGGGGCTGGATGCCTTTCCTTCTGAGCAAGCGACACCTGTAGCTGTAGGGCAGGGTTGCAAGCGGGGTAGGAGTAGCGAAGGGAAGGAAGGAGAAAAGGGAGTTCTAGTGTTATTTCAGTGGGTCTGGTTTATTTTTCATCCATAGAAATAAGTGAGGTCAGAAGGAGTGGAAGTGTGGATGATGATGATGATGATGATGAGAGGAAGCGAAGGATTAAGTGTGTTCAGGTTGCACACCGTTTTGTTAACAATAAAGAGCGAACACAGAGCACACACTAGTGTCCACAATGGTATTAAGCCAAGGGAGGAAGAAAGTAAAATAAAAAAAAAGGGAAGGGGACAGACAGGCACTGGCTGAACCACACTTTTTTTGTGTGAAGGGTCGGATCTGATGAGCACAGGTGGAGAAGGGGTGGAGTTGAGTTGAGCCTTGTGGGGAGTGAGTTGTGTATGGCTGAAAGTGAGTGTGCGTGATACGGGCAGTGAGTGGGTGTGTTGGAAGTGGGTGGAAGAGAAGAGACAAGCGGCGATGAGTGAAAGTGCGGGTGATTCTTACGTTGATGGTGACTCTGCCGGGGGGTGATCAAGAAGGAGGGGGGATGAAGGGCGAATGAACGAGTGAGAGAGCGAGTGAGTAAGTGTTCTAGGGAGACGGCAATGAAAAAGAAAGAAGGGATGATGGAGTGAGAAAGGGGATGATGGGAAAGAGGAAAAGAACAAAGGGAAAAAAAAAAATAAGGAAAAGAAGAGAGAGCAAAGAGCAAAGAGCAAAGAGGGAAAGATGACACCACGGACAGAGAGAGGACAAAAAGACCGCCATTTTTTTGTTCTTTTTGTGACCGTCAGCGTGGCTGGCCATGAGAGGGCTCGCTGGCTGGCGGACAAGGAATTGGCGTCACCCTACCGAAGAAACCCTTTCTGCCTCAACACACACACGGAAAGGGAGCAGGGACAGAAGGGAGCAGGGACACAGAAAGGAACAGGGACACAGAAACAGAAACAGAGCAATAAACACACCATACCCGCCCTCATACCCACATATACACAAACAACTCTCGATTCAACCGGGCGTTTATTCTTCCTTCTTCTCTCACCTTCTCACTCCACCATCAATCATATACTCTCACCCACACTCACGTTTAACACAACAGACTACAAACACACATGCTCGCCGCTATTTCGTCTTCTCATTGCCGACCCCTTTTCTCGATAGTTATTCTTGTTGTTCCCCCTTTCTCGTTCCTCCCTGGTAAAGAAAAAGGATACAATAAAAAAATAGGGTCGGTGGCCCACGCTCAGGAGATCGTCCACATGGGGTCGTCCATACCTACCCCCCCCCTCCTCCTTCTCTTTCCCTCTTCTACTCATTACATACACTTACATGCCTCTACCAACAACACCTATTGATCACTCGGAAAATACCTGCAGGCTGACAATACTTTGAGCTGAACGAGCAATGAGACTGAGTATCGCCATTGCACTTGATACCTGCCTGCCTGCCTGTCTGCCCACAAACAAACAAACAACAAACAAACAAACAAACAAACAAACAAGAGGATCCAAAAATCCAAAAATAACTCGTCCACCGAGGCTGTGCCTGCCCACCTATGGTCAACTTCTAAAGAAATTCATTCATTGGCCATGTGCCTGAAGACACAAAACGTAGAAGAAAAAAAAAAAGGTGTCGTCAGTAAAAGAGGAAAAAAGGGGGAAACGGCGGCAACAAGCGTCATGGCCGTTGCTCCTTCGTAATGGAAACAAGGGAAAAGAAAGAGACAGCCTGCCTGCTTCTTGTTGTCTGTGGGATCGGTGATCATCAGACTTGGCGTTTGGCTTTGCGATTGGGCGCTGCTGTCTCTTCCTTTCTCACCGTTTTGCGTCCTTGGTGAAAGATTGTCCGCCATCCCGCCTTGCCCACCTTGTAACAAGTTTCATTTTTTTGAACGAGAAAATAATGTTGCCACCAAATCGACCTTTTCAGTTAAGGGGTTCGAGTTGGAACATCGACTGAGGGATTACATACCCAACCAAGTCGTCTTGAACAAAGATCACTGTTTAACCAACAATCAACCCTAAGACACATGGACTCTGAACACGAGAGTGACGACGACTTTGCTCAGAACGACGACAACAGGTCCGACGACGGCTCAGAACGCGGCGGCGAGATGGACGATGGTAAACTTCTAGGACGCGATTTTCCTGCTCTCAATCGCATGAACATAATCTGGAACACTGAGCTCTTGTTGTCTGGATTGCCGAGTAACAGTTGCACGCCAAAAGGAGTGCAACACATAGGCTAACATGGAATTCGTCATTGTTTCCTATCACCAGCCACGGAGGGAGCCATATCGTCGTCAGCTCAGGCAACAGGACTAGAAGACGCATCGGTGGTCAGGGTACACACACCCTTGACCCTCCAGCCCCATGTCCTCGATTGCAAGACTTTTGATATCATACCCTTGGTAAGCTTATATCTAGATGGAAAGATTCAAGAACAATGCTTATAAGTTTTACTCGGTCGCTGATGCCCATACATTCCCTCTTTTTTTGTTATATAGGCTTTGGCGGTACATCCGTGCAATATTTACACCTTGGCCGCGACAAAATGTATGCGATGGGTGTTCACAGGATCAGAGGATGGATATGTCAGAAAATATGATTTTTTCGCGTCGATGAATGGAAAGACTTTGCTCACACAAGGACAACGACACGGCCAGGTCGACTCTGTCACCAAGGTAACAGAATCGTCCCTAGTGTACGCCAATGTTTGTTGATATTACAAGAACCAAATAATTTCACTGGTCACATTAATTGACATGTCTTTGTATCGGATCTCTTGCAGGCGGGAATTTTGACGTCGTACTGGGAGAACGAGGAACAACCTAACAAATCATTACCAGTTCTTGGAGAAGACGGGTTCCCAAATGCCACACCAGGACCCTCGGAACTCAATCCGAACGACATGGATATCGATGTGAAAATGATCAAACGGGAAGGCAGTCTGGATCGAGCCCTGACCCCTGTAGCACGAGCTGCATCACCCTCAGAAGAATCTAAAATGTCGGCGGTCTACAGTTTGGATTGTCACTCGGAGGCCATTTTTGCAGTCTCGGGATTGGAAAGTGGAGCAGTCAACCTCTGGACGCCCAGACATGAGGAGGGGACATGTCACCATGTCTTCCGGCAACACACTGGGCCTGTCTCGGCTATTAAGCTTACGCCGGACGAGCAAGGGTTCATCAGTGGCTCTTGGGACCAGAGCATTCTTGTAAGGATTTCACATGTTTGATTTGGTGGCAACATAATGCAAAACAAGCCGAAGCTGTGGAGAAAAAATGACAATAACATTTATTATTATTTTTTCTACGGCATGATAGCAATGGGATCTTAACAACGGAGCAGTGGTACGGAACTATACAGGTCATGGATCTCAGATCTCATCGCTCTCATTCCAACCCGCAGAAGCCCCAACTATGACCATGGATTTCTCAAACTCCACCACCAATGTCTCAAACGACGCAGTTTTGATGTCGACAAGTGTCGACGGTATGATTTGTCTATGGGACAGGAGAGACCCGACCCAGTTGCCAAGGAAACTGCAGCCACCTGAAAAGGTCCCACCATGGTGTCTGTCTGCCTGCTGGAGTGCTGACGGCAAACGGATCTTTTGTGGGCGCAGAAACGGAACAGGTAAGCGCCGTTATCGGATAGCTACGATCTGCAGGTTTTCATGAATCAAAAGTTTAGACTGACATTACTTTTTTTTGCTTTTTGTTTTGACGTGACTATAGTGGACGAGTGGGATTTTGCAGAAGGCCGGTTCATTCAGTCAATCAAGATGCCAGCCAATTCTGGTCCCGTCTCCTATGTCAAGATGTTGCCTAATAACAAGCATCTCATCTGGTACGGGGCCGATATCATGGACATCATACATGACAGTTAAAGAGAGTGCACTCTAACTCACCCTCGCTTACATTTGAATGGCTAAAATTAGTGCGTCGCAGGACAATATTCGCCTTTGGAACGTGACCGAGCTGGATTCGAGATCGTCTCTCAGGCCGTTCCAGATCATTGCAGGACACCATGGAGGCCTCATCTCTAGCATTCGTAAGTTACTTTTGGCGTTATACTTTTCCAAGTTTGGAGTGTACAAATTCTATCGAAAATATTAACCATGCTACTTCTCCCTGTCATTTGGATAGACATTGACCCGACCTGTAAATACATGATCACGACGTCTGGAAACCGAGAGTGGGAAGGACCCAGCACAAACGGATGTCTCTTCTATGACATCCAGCCCATGCTATAGTTTCCACAAGAACCAGAAGATATAACATACAACACATTTCATCCTCCAAAATCTTGTTTTTGTTTGTTTTTCGGCCCCCCACCTTTTTTTTTACTATTGTACAATGTGGTAGAAGACGTTGGTAGAAGATGTTACTCTTCGTCAGTGGCGTCATGGTCGGTATCGGTTCTGCCTTCGTCGTCCTCGGTCATGTCAGGGTCGAGGTCGGGGTTGGGAATCACAGCATTCAGGCGGGCGATATAATCGTTTTCCAACTTGACTGAGATGACATCCATCCGGTGGATTGAAGAATCCGTTACTGCTGCTCTTGCCGCTCCTTCTGCTCCCACTGCTTTTGCTGATGCGAGCGACTCGGTTGAGGAGGACGAGTACGTCTGTCGCATTGAAGTTCCGAACCTCATAAACGTCGACGAACCAGCAGCAGTGGTAGTTAATGGGTAGTGAGGATGATCGATCGGAGACCTTGGGTGTACCGACGACGATAATAGTCCCGTATGATGAATGCCTGCATCCTGACCTTGAAGACCTTGCGCCTGCGCCTGTCCAGAAACCCTCCACCCAGTCCCCTGCAGCTCATTAATAACCCTCAACAGCATCTGATTATCCGCCTCGGCCCTCGCAGCCCTCTCCATCGCATTGGCCCTCTCCTCCCTCGCCTCCGAAACCATCTGTCTTGCATCCCGCATCTCCGCCCTAGCCTTCGCCATCACTTCCATGGCTTCGGCCCGCTTGAGCTCCAAATCCTTTGTTAGATTATCAACCCTCTCCTCCTGCAGCTCATTCCTGACCACCGCCAAATCATTCTCCAACGAGTGTCGGATCCGTGATTCGAGATGGCCCTCCAATTGACTGATCTTCAGATCCTGGGCGAGTGTACGTTCCTTGAGGGAGGCGAGGTCGAATTCACAAGAGTGGGTCATTGTGGATATTGAACGGTAGGCTTCTTGCTTTTTGACCTCGTCGTCCCAACGGGTCGTATGGGCCTCCAGTTTAGATTCGAGGAGAGTGTTCTTGGCGAAGAGGCTTTGGAGTAGGGCGGATTGGTCTTGGTGCTTTTTCGTTTCGGCCTCAATCCAGGATTTGAAATCTTGGAGCAGCGAGGGGACGTTGACTTCTGCTGTTGCCGTCGTAGTCGTCGCGACTGGATTCGGCTCCTTTGGTTGCTGGAGCTGTGGGTGATGATAATGAAGCTGAGGCCCGAGAGCCACCACCGCATCGGGTTGCGAGGCAACCATAGAGGTATCCTGCGGATCCTGTAATGGGTTGTCGTCCTTAGTAACAATCGTGCCAACAATTTTCTCCGTCGTGTCCTTCTTGATGGTCGACAACATCTCCCCAGATGGCTTGGTAGGTTGCTGTTGTTGTTCCTGATCGACAACATTGTCCAGTTCCAGATCCATTGGTGTATCCGCCATCCAATTATGGACAGTCAACGCAGCGTTGGTAGAAGCGTCCACTTTTTTCTCCACGACCTCCTTGTTCAGCGGTTGCTGTCCTTGCTCAACTGGCGGTGGATGTTGTTGTGGTTGCCTCTGAAGAGGCGCCTTTGTCGAACGAGTCTGCTCAGGAACTGGCGAAACGGGTAGAGTGTCAATTTTGTTGTTGCGCAGAGACGGTTGTTGCTTGGGAGATACAAAAATGACCGGGTTATGGTACTGAGCATGACCCCGCTTAACTTTCCGAGTAGACTGGACGACAGGCGGCGTAGGTGCAGCAGAGTCCTTTGGCGCTTGCGCAATGTACTCCTCGAGTTCCTGTTCTAACCTCGCCTTTTCCGCATCAAGATGTGTTGTTGGATGAGCTGCTGTGGGTTGAGCTGGCGTGGTTTGCGGCGTTTTGTTCCGGGGTGATGTACGCGTAGGTTGTGGCGCCGACTGTTGTAGCTGATGCGTCGTCTTAGGAGATATAGATGGAGCTGTTGTAGGCTGATTCGTTGCTGGTTGAGCTGGTGCTGGTATGTTCCGGGATGACGTGAGCGTGGGTTGTGGTGCCGTCTTGGAGGGTGTTGACTGAGCTGCTGTAGGCTGAGTAGCTGGCGTGGCAGGAAAAACATTAATTTGCGGTTTGGGCGGAAGTTGATGAGTTAACTTGGGAGGAGGTATTGAATGGGCTGTTGTCGGTGTCAGTGGTGTTGCGTGTTGTAATATAGGTTTGAGAGTTGCTTGAAGAGGAGGAGGAGGAGGAGGAGGAGAAGAAGGAGAAGGAGAAGGAGAAGGAGAAGGAGAAGGAGAAGGAGAAGGAGAAGGAGAAGGAGAAGGAGAAGGAGAAGGAGAAGGAGAAGGAGAAGGAGAAGGAGAAGGAGAAGGAGAAGGAGAAGGAGAAGGAGAAGGAGAAGGAGAAGGAGAAGGAGAAGGAGAAGGAGAAGGAGAAGGAGAAGGAGAAGGAGAAGGAGAAGGAGAAGGAGAAGGAGAAGGAGAAGGAGAAGGAGAAGGAGAAGGAGAAGGAGGAGGAGGAGGGGGAGGGGGAGGAGCTGCAGCAGACTGATGTCGTGCGACATGAGGTGCCGATGGCAGCCTGGCAGTAGGTACTGCTGAAACGGTAGAGATGGCCGGTGTTGGTAGTAGCGCATCGCCGCCACGGGTGGGAGTGGTAATTGTTGTTGTTGTCGAAAGTGGGGTGAAAGACATTAGCGATGGTGCAGGAGGTGTTTCAGTGGTCCTAGATGTCGCCGTTGACTGAGACTGTGAGTTTGGGGCGATAGTTCGAGATGTTGCATTTGCCTGCAGTGAGTTGGGCGAGGTAGGTGAATTGGCAAATCTTTTTCTTCTTGGTCTTGGCTTTGACGAAGGAGTGGCAGCAAATCCAGATGCTAGTGGGTTTGGCGATGAGGGATTAACGGCTGCTGATGCTTGTTTTTCTGTGGGCGTAGTTGGTGCTCCTTGTGCTGCTTTTAGTATTGAGGGTGGTGGTACGACAGTTGATGCGGTATTCGTTTTGGCCTTCTTGTGAGCGGGTGTGTCTTGAGGAGGCTCGATGTTGTGCTTGTTGGCGGACTTCTGAGTGCTCGTACTCTGGTCTACAAAGGACGAGCGGAAAATATTAATTAATTTACGGAAATGTGGACTACCTGTGTTGAACCTGCATGGTATTAACCATAACGAAAGAGCGTACCTTTGTACCATTTTCCAAAATGGGTATTGTTCTTGAACCACTTGTCGAAATACACGGAAGAGTCTTCCTGCGCGCCCTCCTTTTTCCTGCTAATGAAATCCACCACCGCCGTGCAATCTGGTCCTTTGGTGTTCATGATAAGAACTGCGCGGTCGTAGTACAAACTCATGTTGAAGTCGTATTTGTTGGCATCCATGACTGGGTAAAGTGCGCGCAGATACTGGAGCCGGGTGATCACCCACGAGAGAAGGATAATGTATTCGTCGTTAAACACAGCCGGCTCCCACAGGTCCGTAAGAATATTCTCCCACCGATTAATGTCGAGTTCCACCGCTTTGAAGGCCTCGGTCATCCGGCTGTGATTAAACGATTTGCATCTGATCCGAAGAGGTGGTGGCCACGGCATGTCGAAATGTTCGCCGACCCTCTGCCAGCCCGCAAAGGAGTGGTCGAGCTTGAATGGCGAAGATTGGTAGCCGGTTCGCGAGGAACAAACGGGTGCTGGTCCATGCCAAATGTATCGTTGTGCGTGCTCGTCACAGTCGAAAAAATCCCCCGGTAGACTATGGATAGCTCTGTTCTCTTCGGCGTCCGAGTCGTCTGAATACTGTTCACTCTGTTCGTCTATTAAATACGTGCTAGATTCCTCCTCCTCAGACTCGTCGTTCCTTTGACCTCCTCGTTTGCCTTTGTTCTTGCCGCGGTTGCTATTGTCATTGATATTACTGTTGTTGTTGGCTTTGCCACGATTACGGTTGCTGTTGCGGCGGGTATTGCTATTACTGTTGCCACGGTTGATGTTGCTAATATTGCGATTATTATTGTTGTCGTCGGTGTTGCTACGGTTGGTGCTGCGGCCTCGCGTGTTGTTGTTACTGTTGTTGTTGTTGTTGTTGTTGTTGTTGTTGTGGCCTCTAGTCCGTCCTCTGCTGTTGTTTGTAGTATTAGTGTTCACTGCCTGGCCCTCGGCAGATGAGGCCCTGGCTGGCTTCTTGGGGAGCTTGTGCATGTAGTAGTAGGATGAATGGAAGGGAGCATGTCCAAGAAAGAAGTAAAAAGTAAGCCATGTTTGATTTCCGACTATTCTGAGACTGGTTTTTTTTTCAATTGGGCACCCCTGGGAATTTAAGGAGACGACGACAAATCTGACCTCCTTGCTCAAGGCTGTAAGAACGAAGACGTTTACAACGGATTACGGCATGAAGTCCTGCACCCGTACTCCTTTTCTCCTTGGGGCTGTGCCATCGAATATATATTCTTTGGACTAGAGATGTTGTGCGATATCGAAAGTACTGTAGATGCCTCGTTCTTATTTGATGGCACTTGGCTGCCGCTCTGCCATTGGGAAATCTTATGTGAGACAGCCCCGGCCCCCACATCAAATTCCTCCAAGCAGTCAGCCCCGTCCTCTTCCTTTTCTCCGCCCGAATATGGCCCTGTCTACACGGTCACCGTCCCTGGTCTTGGTCGAATCATCAACCTCGCAGACCCCGAAAAACTCGACCACGTCCTGCGCGTCAACCTTGGACGTACAAAAAGGGGTCGGATCTGAGAAACACGCTTGCTCCGATGGTCGGTCAAGGTTCGTTCGTTATTGGCTGAATCTTCCTGCACTTTTCATCGGTGGTATTGCTCATTCTTTGTGTTTGGTGCATGTGCCTGCCCCACAAAGAAAAAAAAAGAAAATTATCTGTCAACAAGCTGACTAAAAATGCTACAAACAAACAACTCTCCATAGGCATCTTTGGCACGGATGGCGGTGGCAGCGCAAGTTGAGTTCTCATATCTTCAACGTCAATGCCTTCAAATCCTACACCAACGATGTCTTTTGTCAGGAGGCGAAACTTGTGATCGACTACCTTTCCACAGCTGCAGATTCGGGAAAAGTCCTCGATCTTCAAAAAATCTTTTACCTGTTCACACTTAGTAAGTGGACATAACGCACTGGCAAGGCTTTAACATACACGACAGCAATCGAAATGACTCTTTTTGTGTGCTTTGTCGCTCACCTGTCTCTTTCTCTCAGTCATACCTAGGTTCATTCGGAGAGATCGCGTTCGACCAAACATTCGGTTGTCTAAAGAATCTTGAACAGGAAGTCGAGCTTTCTGTCGCCTTTGACCGCCTCAACAACGCCCTCTCGGAGCGCATTGTGTCGCCCATCTGGAAGATCAGGGACTGGTGAACAGGAATGGCAGAGGATGTTCGTTAAGATACCAAGACTGCTCAGGATTTTACCCAGGGTGTTATCAAAAGCGTCGTCAGGATATTACCGTGGGTATAATCAGGAACCACAACGACCTTATGCAGCTGTTCATGGATGCTCGCGATGAGAACGACAAGCCTCTTTCAGATGAGATTAATACGATCCTCGGTAAGTGTTTTTGTTCTCTATTTTCTCACGTTTACCGTCATTATCGTACGATGGACAAAGTGACTGGCGGAATTTGCACACGCGCATCAATTCTTCATTTCAGCTGGACACGATACAACTACTCAGGCGCTTTCGTGGATGTTTTGTGCTATGCATCGCTCGAACGCCTCGCCCGACATCCTCTTCCAGATCACAGAGGAGACCGATAGCATACTGGAGGGAAAACTACACACATACGAGAGCATCAAGCAACAAAAGTGCGCCGAGGCATTCTTCTTGGAGACACTCCGACTTTACCCAAGTGTCCCTCAGAACTTGAAGCAGAGTGTTCAGGATGATGTTCTTCCCGGCGGTGTATCTGTCTACAAGGGCGAGAGCACTAGAAGGTGCAGTTGGGGCAAGGGTTGTACTACATTTTCTACCTACTCTAATAGAAATAGAAAATGGCTATGTTAAAGCAGTTTCTTAGCATGGTGGCTTAGAGAGCACCCCTCAACCTTTCTCTCAATCGTTTTCTCTCACGAAAAAAGACTCGCTTGAGAATATCATCTGTTCGGTCGTCGGCATCAACTCCTTTTCCATTCGACTCGACGACCGACTCGCTCCACAGCCAGCATGGAGCACGCCCTTGCTTGCGAGAAAGTCTTTGCGATCCCGGAGCTTCTTGTCCTCATCCGCGCCCACCTTACGAAACGGGACCTCTCGCGCCTTATGAGCGTGAGCAAGAACTTCAACGACATCTTCTTCCCTGTGTTCTACAATGATGTCAACCTGTTGAGGTGCTCCTACATTTTTTCGCGCTATGTCGCCACCCAGTCCTTGATCTTGAGCGCACCTCATATCCGCAAGGTCACAATGGACGACGAATTCCTGGCGATGTACAGTAAGGGCGTTGTTGCCTTCATGGACAATTCTACAACAGCTGTCAACCACAACCGCCTCCACCTGACGCACACGATACCCCTCCCTCCAATGGAGTTACTGTCCGGATTGACATACGTTCCATCACCGGGCCCTCAGTTGGAGACCAGGACAAAATATCGTCAGAGGGGGATGAACTTTATGAGGCTGTGCTGGGCAATTGAGCTCAGCCCACTCCTCACGCAACTATCTGCGGGAGATCTGTTTCTCGGTAACAGCCACGAGCCAGGTGCACTTACCAGGGTGATTGGAGGACTGGTCCACTTGAGGAAACTCGAGTTGCTCGTGCAGGGCAGCGAGGTATTGTGGACAAGACTTCTCGTGGGCATCGCTCGCCATTGTCCAGCCATGGTTCAGGAGATTCGATTGGCATGGGCGCGAAAGGACTGCAATTACCTGAACGTGTTGAAGTTGGACCAGCTGGACACGACCGACGAGGAAGAGTCTCGACTCCCACTGCCACAGGAGCCTCTTCGCTACTTGACCAAGCTGGACCTCGAGGAAGGCTACTACTACCTGTTTCGAGACATATATCCGCTCTTGGCGCGCTGTCCATACCTGACCACTCTGAGCCCTCCTCCTTGCGGTTATCCTGAAGATCGGACCCTCATAGTGACCTATGTCTCGCAGCATTGCCCCAAGTTACGGAGAGTTTATCGGCGGGCCACGAACAGAGAGGTGAACGGAACGACTACGCTCGGTGCCATTCTAGGCGCCCTGCCCAGGAACTCTCTGCACCATCTCTCGGTCAACCACCAGAACCGTTGCGGGTCTAACATTTGCAGGACAATCCCCAATCACTATGAATCCTTGATGTCGATCAAATTCCCAGGCTGCGTGGGTCTGGACAGCGCGGTGATTCTGGGGATTCTACTGAACTGTCCCAGTGTGGAGGAGTTTGAGGTTCAGGGCTTCGAGGGACATTTGTGGCAAGTTTCGATCACTATGGAGGATGCTGGCGAGGAACCCTGGGCGTCAGGTAGGATACGAGTACTGGAATTGGCGATTGACATGGGCGATATCAACGAACTCTATTACCCTATACCACCGGAGGAGCCCTCAGGAAGACAGATGGCACGAATGAAGCAACTGGAGACGTTTTACAAGCGGATCGCGGCCCAGCATCGCTTGACCAACCTTTGCCTGAAGATCGCGCACACGCCTGCAGACCGGACCAGAAAAGCATCCACCATAGCTATTTTGAGTTCCCGTCAATGCTGGACCTGGAACCTTCTAAGGATGCACCAAAACAGACATATGGAAGACCAAGGAGGGGGTACTTGCAGATGTTTTTAGGACTGAGCCATCTCAAGTTGGTGACGGGGTCGTTTGGCAATCAGTTGTGTAATCCTAGCAAGGCTGAACTGGACTGGTTGCACAAGTATTGGCCAAATTTCCAGATTCAAGCTTTGGCTCGGGACAGGGCTCTTAGATCACTCCGTTGATACCCCTTATTGGCAGCTCATATACAATATCCTTCGACTTCATTCCGTTTTCCATTTGCTTTTTATTTACCATCCTTTATGCGTACATGAACACTAAATAGTGCATCACTTTCTTCAAGTAAACTGCAATCCACTCCAAAACTTGTCTCCTACTCTCTTCAGGTCCGTCCTTACCCACTGTCCTCTCTGGCAACGCCGACCAAGACGCATCCACTGGGAGATATTCCAAGCTCTCGCCCCTCAACAACCCTAGCATCGTATGAAGTCGCGGCCAGTGGGTTCCAGACCCGATGCGATGCGCCATCCTGGAGACATTCAGGACTCGGAGCTGCTTGAACCCGCCTATCAGGCTGAGTCCGCTCTCGAGCAAAAACTCCAGACAGTCGTCTCGCTGGAACAAGCGCAGGTCTGGTCCTTCTCGCAGTGGACTCCTAGGGACAACTCCTCCAAGGTCGTAATCGAGCCCAAGATCTGACAGACCTCGTGCTACAGTCCGTAGAGGTCCCCCATGGGCGGTGGAATCGAAGGTGACGATGACGACCGATAAAGATCTCAATGAGAACTAATCGGCGGCACCGCCAACTTTAGAAGGATTATCAAACAACTCAATCACTACTCTCAGATCTTGAGTGTTTAGGCGCTAGGCCGAGTAGTTGAGGATGACTTGAGCGACAAACTGAGAGTCGGAAATGCGGATGAAATTATCGGTCAGCATCACCCTTAAGAACTTTAACTCTTGCCCAATCGAACAGAACTAGAGAAAAGAGAAAGGCACGTTTTGCTCTCAACACCATCGCCAACTGCCGCTGACCCCGCCGACAAGGACAGGAACACCATGACACCCTCGGCATCGGAGAGGTTCTTCGGAATCAACGAACTAGTAATGCAGCTTGGACCACTCCTCAACCAAAACACATTGGCAAAACTGATGCGGACGAGCAAGCGGCTGAACGAGATCTTTACACCCTACTTCTTCCACGAACTCGACTTTTTCGACGAACCTTCCCGTGACTTTCGGCTACTCCGGGCAACAACACCCATTGAGGCTTTGAGGAAGGCCGTCACCCATGTCCGCGAACTGGCAACGGGACCTCTCTTTACTGGATACTACTATCAATGCCTACTCTTGCACCAGGAAGAGATAAACGCCAAACGTGCCTTCGCCACCTACCAACCAGCCTGGATGCCGCCCCTCGACCTTTCCAACAGCCATATTGTCTCCCTCCCGCCTCTGACCAACCTCACAGAGTTCAATTGCTTTTCTCGGCCAGGATTTTCCGACAGTCATCATCGGTGTTATGTCAAAGGGTTTCGGCAAGGTGGCGTCCCACTGGCACAGGTTCTCTGGATCATCAATTGCTGTCCTTCCCTCGTCGATCTTGGTATGGAGGTCTTTGTGACGACGCAGCAGGATGTCTTGGTGCTCGCTTCCGTCATCTCCAAGATCCCACGACTTCGGCGGCTAGAATTGAGCATCCAGAGGATGGAGTCGCTTTTCCCCACCTTGGGCTCAACACTCTTTTTCAAGGTTCCATTAACAGTCGACGAACTCAGTATCCACTACGACGACTTTGCGGATGAAGACGACAGCGACTACGACGAATATTTCGGAATCGAGCAGGATCCTGGAAGTGGCACCAACTCAGAAGAAAAACCAGAGCGAGGAGGAGAACACAAGCGGGGACCGACCTCGACCTTGACGTATGCGGAGCTCCAGGATGTTTTGACTAGGAGAGAGCAACCACTATCCAACCTCACACGGCTGACAATACAAGCAATTCGATACAGCACACTCGCCGACGTTTTGGATATCTTTAACCACTGTCCCAATATCACCTCGCTCTCTGTTCCGGGCCTTCCGGACCATGTCGACACGGATGAGGTCGGCCGACACATTGCCAAGGTCTGCACTAAACTTCGCAAGCTCGCCCACACGTGTGTCCTTTTTGATGGACGACTGGTTATGTCGATCATGGGTGCAATACCGGAGCAACAACTGGAGTGTCTCACTTACTTTCGCCTCGACAAGGAATCGGCCACAGCCGCAGCGTTGATTTTGCGACACTCGACAAGTCTTCGGACCATCCGATTCGACCAGTGTCACTATTTCAGCAGCAAGGCGATTCAGTCGATCTTGGTCGGATGTCAGGGTCTAGAGGTCCTGACGTTCCGCTACAGTGATCAGAAGAGCATTTCTCTGGACCTTAAGGATGCAGTCGAGTTCAGGTGGGGCGCGACCAGATTGAAGACGCTGCAACTGGTGATTGATATTGGCGACATGTCGTCATTGCTAGGCGAGGACCCTTACTACAAGCGAACAGCACCTATTACTTTCAGCGACGAGGAGATAATCCAAGTGACGATGCTCGAACGGTTCTACACTCAACTCGGCGAACTCGTACAGCTGGAAAAATTGGATCTAGGGGCTCATGTCCAACGCTTCCCACGCGTAATTGATCCCAGAAAAACCTCTATCTACAGGCGCGTGACGTTTCCTGGGTTGATGTCGCTGGGTGACCCATCAACGGGAAGGCCAGGGTTCCTGCATCGTTTGGGAGGGCTGCGGAAACTGAAGGAGTTGAAGGGATCTGTTCATGGGGGGATGGAGGAGACAGTTGTGACGATGGGACAGAAAGAGGTGGAGTGGATAGTTGCGAACCTTGTATCCCTCGAGCAGGCAGATTTCTGTTGTCGACATCCGATGGTGAACAAGGATACGGAGAACTTCCCGTGGTTCAAGTGGTTGAAGAGTCAGAGGCCCAACCTTACCTTGTCGTCTTTGCTCTCGCGGTGAACAGTTGATTTTTTTTTGTAGCGCGACTTGTGATTTATGAATTATTTATTATCTAATAAAAGCGAACGAAGAATATGTGCTTGCATCTGTAAATGTGCCCTTTATGATATGATTATTTCGTCAGCTATGATGAACTAGAGGCTGGGACACAATCTCCCTCTCTACTTAGGCTCGACTCCATCTGTCGATAAGCGCCTTGGCTGGCGTCCTTTTTGTTACATGGTGTCATGGTGAGCCTCTGACGAGCAAGCCACTCGTCAACTCAACTATCCCCTCCCACGCCGCTCCTTCCTCTGAAAGATTCCCTCCCCCCCTCTTGTTTTTTCTTTTTCTTTCTCTTTCTCTTTCTTCCCTTCTTTTTCCCTCTCTTTCTCTTTCCCTCACCCTCCTCGTCTACATTCTCTTTCTCTTTCTCTTCCCCTCACCCCTCCTCGTCTACATTCTCCACTCTCAACCAGCTCCCCTCTGTCCGCATCGTCCTCGCCACCTTTACCTCTTTTTACTTTCGGTATCTTCAATCGCCCTCGAATCCCCTCACCTTTATTGTTCGATATTGGACTCACCCGCAGTCGCGTAACCCACACACGTACGAACAAGGAACCATACCAACAAAGAAGCAAGGTAAAAAAAATGGCTCAGTCTTGGGTGGCAACAAGAATGGCGTGTGTACGGGTGTTGAGAAGTGATGGTGAGCTGGGTCCACCTTGGGTACAGAAGGGCCAAAGACTATGCCGTGCGCTGGGCTGCTCTTCATATGACCTGACCGTCAGCCTCGGCTGGCGGGCGCTGGATTTGGGCGGGCTACTCGAACCACTCTGTAGGTACAGAAGGGCTATAGAACATGCCATGCGCTGGGCTGCTCTTCATATGACCTCCGCCATCGGCGGTGTTGCTGGTCCTTGTAGCTTTGCTCTCTGTCAGACTCGTGGGTACTTGAGAGTGCATCGGCCCCTCACAACGACCTCTCTCATTTTCTGGACATCCACTTCTCGCTGAGGATAATCGCAGTTTCGTATGCACTGGTGATGAGTTCAACTCCGTGGGTACCGAGGGGCTATAGGACTGCCGTGCGCTGGACTGCCCATCATAATGACCTTACCGCTACCTGGGGTGGGCTTCGGGTAACGGTGGTGCTGCTTGGACCTGGATCTAGTGCCGTCGTCCGCGATGTCCATGGGGTCTTTTGAGACCTCGATCAGCTCGGCTGTTTTCACCGCTGGGTGACTGGGACCATTCACCCCTGCTTTGTGGGGGTGGCTTAATAGCACACAAAGGTGTTGTACGGTAAATTTGTCGTTGCTTGAGACTGAGCCATTGCCTTTTCTTCTTTCCAGTCTTTATCTGTCCTTAATAGGTTTGTGCGAGTTTTGTCAGGATTGTTCGAGCAAGACGATGCAATAGAATCGAGCAAGAGGGTAGCAATATTAACAACGACAAGATAAGATTAGATGCATTCCGGTTGCTCAATAAAACATGGAGTAAAAGGCGCTGAAAGACAATGTTCAACATGACAAATATAAAAAACTCGCACGGGTGTTGCAGTTGTTTGTTTACATCGAAGAGAGCGAGAAAACATGTCTGTATTAATATACGAGTAGATTGTCTTTTTTGCTGCCATTATATAGCGGGCGTGGCGCCAGACACCACATGCTGTCAGTCTGAGTCCTATGAAAGACACATCCCTCCATCTAACCATTTTCAGCTTCTTCCTCCATCTCTCTCTCTCCACTACACCTTCTCACAGACATTTATCATTGGCATCCACGGCATCAGAGCTTGACTGCGAAAGAAAGAAATATACCCAACCTCTCGCATGGGCACAGCGTTCTGTCCAACATGCAGCCTCGGCTCCTTCTCTCAGCACTCCATCCATGTCGATTTACTGGGTGCTCTCTACCCTACAGTTCAATATGCGTGTAGCAGCAACAGTATCCAAAATCGCATGGCTCACACAAAAACGTTTTGTGGAGAAAGAAGCTCAAGGCAATCAATTCTGGCCAATCATTTTTTTCGGAAAAGCTCCCCTGTCGATTGGAAATTCAAGCATAGGCATACAAAGTATCTGCGGTTCTCAGGATATTGAAACTCGCTGTGTTCGTGTTAGAGTCATCAGGCAGATTCGGCCGTGGACGGAGTCATATTATCTTTGTTCGATCGTTTATGTGCTATCGTCCTATTTTCGTTGTTGCTTTGGGGATGATGTTAGAAGGCTTTCCGTCGTCATACAGAAACACACACACACACGCTAAAACCAAGAACGTGGTGGTGCAATTGGAGAGTCTTCTTGAAAGTACTCGTATAGTTGATGTGTCACTTGTGTCTGCAATATGATTTTCATACAAAAATAAAAAAAATCGCCTCACTTCCTCAGCCCATCCTTTCTTTGTCATCATTTCCACAGTCACTTACTCCTTCTTTGTCGTTATCGTCTCCGGTCTTTTCGCATGTCGTCGCTCCTGCTCCAAGCTCGAGTTCCGCTCCGTTACCGGTTCTTTCGCCTATTATCATACCCGTTTCAGCTTCGAGTCCTGCTCCTTCTGCCTCAATGAGTCGATCTACACCTCACTTCCCCCCGAAAGTTACTCCACCCAGCACTGCAACACCTATCACTCCAGCGCCTTCACCCACTCCAGATACTCTCATCGCTCCCTCACCTCTCCCATCTGGCGCAACCGATCCTATCTTTGAGCGGGCAGTGGACACCTTGGACAAGGCTTGCAGAGAGCGCCCCCTCCATCCCACGGCCGAATACAACGCCGAGGTCCTTCGCATCGCCAGTGAAACCAAGAAACAACAAACGGCTGAAAATACAAAGTATGCCATGCTCAGAGCCCGATACTGGAAAGCATCTTGCCAAGAGGCTTCAAGACTTGGCTGTCATACTTTCCACAATCGATACTCAGGTCGTCATCGCAACCGCCCTCATCACGACTCTCTCTAGTTGCTGCAAGATTGTTGTCCTTGGGATACATTCGCCGGGCCACCGAGGCCATCAACATCACCAACACCACCAATACCGCCGATACCACCAACGCCACCAATAGAGATTTCTCAACATTCTTTTGCCCTGCCTTCTCCAGCAAGGATTTAGTCGAATGCAGCAAAGGAGGGGACAGACTAAGAGCCTGACAAACCCGAGGGACCCCAGGAACACGACAACAGCCATGACAAGAAAAACGAGGCGCTATGGTTTCTCATGTTGCTCCTTACAGCCATACATTCTACCAAGTTACCCAAAAAAGGGGGATAGGTGTTTGCACGTTCGGAAATTCATCGAACAAGCGCAGGACTTCTTATCCAACTTTACAGAGGGTAGAACTACAGAGGAATATTATGGGTCTTCGTTTCTGAGGTCTGCCGCATTGCAGTTATCCGTCAAGCTAAAAAAAAAAAAAAAAAAAAAAAAAAAGATCAATCAAATTGCAGTACATAGACTGTAATTTGACATTGCAGTGCATGGGTGGTACTGCAATTTGATCGCACAGTACAATTCAGTACATGGCTTCTATGCTGTGTAACATTTTCAGTACCATGCACGATATGGTTTCTACCCCATGTAACCTATTAGGGGGCACCTAATACCAACTCTTTCTCTTTAGACCCTCTACTCCCCGAGTACTTCTTTTTCCTCTCTTTATCATCTCTTCTGCAGGATAGCTTTTTCTTTGTTTTATCCATCTTGTAATATCACCAGAGCAAGAAAGTGTGGAGGAGAGTGTGGGGATATGGGGGATAAGAGACAAGAGGGAGGGAACAAGAGACTCTGGAGTATCAAGACAAAAAAAAAGGGTGTGGGGGTCAAGAAAAGACAATGTCCTCTGCATTCTACAAATGCAATACCGACCTATAAGTGCATCCTAATTCTCCGTAAAAGCAATATTTCCATAAATAGAACGATATGGTAGGATCTTGCAAATGAGGAAAATTATGCACGTTGTTCAGAGAGAGAAAAATTTGTGTACTGTTTTTTGCATGGCGTGGAACCAAAAGTACTGAAAATCATGAAGAAATCAAAAAACAGTACACATACTGAAATTGAATTGCACCTTTTTTTTTTTTTTTTTTTTTTGTATAGACAAATGGATGCTTGAATGTGAATGATGTGATTCAAGTATGTCTTCTAGCTCACTAACATCTTGTATTTTGTGGTCGCTCAAGGCTTCCCAAATAAAGCATACCACTATTTCCTTTTCAAAACTGACTACGCAATGTTGTTCATATTCAAAGGTGAGGACGGACATCTTGAGAGAAAAAAGAATGGCAGAAGAATTCGGTGTCTGAAAGACTTCAAGGTCTGACAGACGTCTGACTCTGATCAAAGTCACGTAGGCTTGACCAGAGACAAAAAAGTCTGAGACAATGATCCGGTCCAACGCAAGGGATTGAACACGATGGACAGTCAAAGAGAATGCAAGTTTCAAGGGAAACTGTCTTCGACTCTGACGCCCGTCCAAAGTTTCCTGGACATGTCAACTGAATTGGATGATCGTCCCCGACTTTTACATTTTAACAAACACAAAGGAGCCCTGGACCTGACGGACGATTCCCAAGGCGCCATTGACGAGGTCTTGTTCAATATCGAGATCGGCCGTCAACATAACCCGAGCCCCAACCTTCAAACAAAGCTCAGTTTCCAGACCAGTTTCGCGCTCAATTTATTCTTTGCGCCATTCCAACGGTTTTCCTCCCACTGCAGTGTCGATAGCATCAGATTGATAAAGTGTCGACTGGATTTTGGAAAGACAAGCCATATTCATTTTCTTGACATTGAACCTTGTGCCAGCAATGACGAGGGCCTTCTTCTTTAGGACCTTCCTAACCACAGTCTCGTAATCACCGGCCAATCGGGATTCCAACATGTCGTTGACACGCTCAATGTCTCTTGGTTGATCTTTTCCATCCCGGAGAGCGTTCAGCAATCTGACAAAGTTCTGATCCTGGGCTTGATGATGCACTTGTCTGAGACGGACTCGACTGAAATCCTTAAAGATGGTCGAATCAAACACCCACTTTCCCATAGCTGCCTGTTCTCCTTTGACGATGGGACCCAATTGACCAAAGTCCCCAAACATGACGACAGGGGCACCTCCAAAGGGTTTGTACTCATCGCTTGGACTCTGAAACACCTTGTTGGCCACGTCCGATAATCCTTCGAGTAGATCGCGATCTACATCCGAGGCTGTAGTGTTTACTGCGTTATGCTCTGTTCACTGACACTTAGTGTTAAAAGGGTAAAACTTGTTGGTCTTCATCCTGTGATCAGTCCTATGGCATGCATTGCACGACTTGGCCACTAGCGTCGGAGTGGATGGTCGCTTTTGACCAACACCGAACGAAGTGCCCATGTTCTTGATGATGTTTGCTTGAGTAACATGAATTCTGCTTCAGTATGATAGGAAGAACCGACATCGAAGGATCAAAAAGTAATGTCGCTATGAACACTTAACTGGTATGCTGTACTATTTATTCTGCCTCAATTTCCCCCGCCATCAACTTTGAACCAACGTGCTTCTGAGCACATCGTCTGGTCACTATGGTATGCAGATCAGTTTGTGACTATATTCCTTCCAGTCCAATACTTGGCACTCCCTCGAACAGTATTTAGACCGTTTGCACTTCGAGCAAGAATACTTGGATTGGCCTTTCCCGCAATAGTGGCACATATCTACTATTTGGTGCGGAGAGACAATGACAGAGTTTGGATCGTCGATTCTGATGATGGGCCTGCCGTCCATGGCTGTTCTAAGATATGGATTGATGACGCTAATCTTTGCTCCAATCGCCAGGATGTGTTTTTTGTCGAAGTTGTACAGACTGACCCGCTGCACATTCAAGTTGCTATCTTCTGCAACAAAGGAAATCGACATGTTGTTGTTGAACGGCACCGTTATAAGCGTGAGCTCCAGCACAAAACCGTCAAGCACCTGGTCTAAAGTGGGGTTGATTTCGTTCAGATATATAGACTTCAGTCCAACCCACGACAGTGGCGCGCTCTGGCTTTTCGAAGGCTTTGCTGTGAAATTGAACTTGGCGTGTTCGTCACTGCTCATGATCTTGCCGTACTCGCTGATGCCTCGTCTGTGGTTCACAATCAGCTCCTTCCTAAATGGATCGGCCAGCTTGACGACAGGTTTTTCCTTGACCTTACTGAGCCCTCCAATAGTCCGCAGCATCAGTTCAAGCATCTCTTTGCTCGTCGACTCGTACGGCAAGAAGAACGGAATCTGCTTTTCCTCTGCGTTCAGCCCCTGTTCGTAGTGCCGCGTGATGCTGTCTGTGTTTCTATTCGACATGCTGCAGACCCCCAAGGAGTAGTAGGCTTCGGGCACCTTCCTGTGGTCCGCAGACGCAACCAATAGGAATTTGGTGTATGCGTCTGTTGCTTGCTTGTCCCGGCCCATTAGCTTCAACGTAGCGGCTTTGTGATATAGGTTGTTCACATCGTCTTTCGAAATCTCCTCAATGCGATTGAAGTCTCGCAGTGCAAATTCGTGTTTGTCGATGAAGTTGTACAGACACCCGCGAATCTCCAGGAAGAACTTGTTGTTGGGATACTTCTTGATGCATTCTGTCAGAAAGTCTATGTTTTCGTCGGATTGCATATTCAGTACCGCATGGCAGATTCTACAGTCCTGGTTAAATGCCAGCTCGTCGATGTTTTCGCAGTGTTTTACTGTGCGGTCGCTGTATGACAAAAGCAGAAGAACGTGCTTTCGGATGACCTCGCGGATATCGATCGGCATGGATCCGACAAAGTGCTCCAGCTTGTAGCACATGGCCAGCCGGCCAATGAACGACCTTGAATCGTTGTCGAGAACAACAATGCTGTGCCGTGCAATGCTGTGAAATGCGACCATGGCCTCCATATAGTTCAGCACAGCTAAGTACATCCGGTTGCTAAACTCTGATTTGTCCTTGCGCTTGGCCAACACCTCCAAATCGTACTTGTAACCATTTCTTGTGATTCTGGTGGGCGACACACTGACTGATTTGTTCTTGATGCTCTCCAAGTCTTTCAGTGTTTCCAAGACTTCCGATTTGTCAGGGTATTCGTATGAAAGTTTGCGGAAAACTCTCTCACGGATAGTCATGTTTTCGAACGGCTGATTGAGCTCCTTTTCCCAATCGATTACGTCCGAGATGTCTGCGTTGCTCTCCAGTATCATTTGGGCTATTGCTTTCTCCTTAAGGCGCGCAAGCTTCGAACCCTGCTTTTTGGATTTCTCATTCAATTTCTCGGCCTTGTTGATGTTTCCAGACGCCAGATAGAGACTGACAAGGTTGTCCATAGCGTTCGGATCGCCGTAGTTCAGCGCACATAAGAACAGCTGCTCGGACTGTTTGAAGTTCCTGACCACACCTTCTCCGTTCATATACATAAGCGCCAGATTGTTTGCCGACATCCCGCTTCGATGCGAAATCGCCTTCTCGTACCTAGTGTTTCGCAAATGCGAATGCGAATAAAGGGGTTTCCATTAATTTTACATGATGCGAATGCGAATGCGAATGCGAATGTACTATGTTCTTGAGAAACACTACTCGTACCATACTACAGCCAGCTCAATACTTTTCTCCGCAATGCTGCCTTCGTGGTGGCCCAATGCAATGCAGTGTTCGGCCTCCTTCACCCCAACGACAGGATCCTTGTGTTTGTCGAATGCGTCGAACTTGGAGATCTCCAGCAGTAGTTTAAGCGCCTGTGGGTAGTCTTTGCTGACGCCGTGCCCGTTGATCATGAACAGAGCCAGATTGTACATGCCTTCTGCATTACGCATATCGGCTGCCTGTTTGTAGCACTCTGCGGCCATGTAGTAATTTTGATCATCGCGGTATTCGTGGCCGGCCCAGACATGCTCCAGTGCAGGATTGAAGTTGAACAGCAGCTTTTTGAACTCGTCCCTGTTTTTCATGTCTTTGAACTTCTGTGTACTTTTCAAATTCAGATCCTTGATGCTTTGGTCGTTGTCTCGCTCTTGCAGCCCCTTTAGTTTTCTGGCGTCCGATCGCATCCGCCGTATTTCGTCATTGTTCATATCTAGGCTGAGTGCTTTGTCGAAATTTTTGATGGCCTTGTCGTATTTTCCCAGCGACTCATACGCCTTTCCGAGCCTGATGTACGCCTTGAGATAATCGGGGTTTAGGCGCTTAGATAGCTTAGCATCTTCCAGGGCTTGGGCGTATTTGCCTAGCTTTAGGTAGCAAAACGACCTGTTGGAGTACAAAACCGAAAGATCTCCGTCTGAAATGCCCGGCAGAGTGATGGCGTCGGTGTATTTGGTCACTGCCATTAGGAATTTCTGCTCTTTTAGCAGGTTGTTGCCTTCATGCTTGAGTTCGATCGACTTTTTAACGTTTTCGGTCATAATATACATTTTGGAGTCGCTCGAATGCGAATGTATAATGTCGTCCAGCTCTTCGTCCGTAACGCCTAGGAACAACAGGATGCCTTTCAGTTCGTTCCAGTACTGTTGGTACTCTTGAGTGCTGATTTTCTTGTCTGAATGGTGGGCAATGCTGTTTCGGATAGGCATTAAGCGTTTAAGATTGCCTTGGAACACCTTGTCTTTGTTGAGATCGGTCATGGTGAAAATAGCGTTGAAAATCGTCAGGTCCCATTTTCTGATGTCGCCGCCTTCCAGATACTCCTTCTGAATCTTGCCTACGTGTCGGTATACTTTTAACCCCACGTTGTTCGTGAAGTGCTGTCCACACTCAGGCGAGTTGCTCCACGCCACCTTGTACTTGTGTTGCCAACTTTGCTCAAACGCCTTTCTCAGACATTCCGACGCCTTTACAAGCAACAGTTCGACCTTGCACCAGTTATAAAACTCTGCAGAATACATGTTGCAGCCTACGTTAGATTGAACAATACGGTTTATCAGTTTACTGTTCAAACCCTGCCCCAGCTATCTGCACATGCACATATCTGATAAATGTGTATGCATCGACACAGTCAAACAAAATCTGTAACAAGCACATCGACTGCGCGGAACGCATTGCGTACTCAGAAAGCACATCGCAGCCAAAATGGGGCTGTTACTAAAAAAAAAAAACAATAATCCCACACAGTGCCGTGTTTGCAGCAGATACGCCAGCAGTAGACGGCACCACAATCAACTCAGAAGCCACGTCCAGAGAGGTTGCTGGACTACGAAGTTCCCAAGAAAAAAATGCGACTGCTGCAATGCATATGTGTACGCTATAGATTTCATCGAACATGTCGAGTTACAGCGTTCCGCATTAAAAGTGCGAGTTGTCGTCGAAAGAGAATTATTATAGTGTTGCGCTTTACCTTTCACCAGTGAATATTACAAAATAAGGAGATGAAGAGATGAAGGGTAGAGATGAAAATGAAACCAGTTGTAGAGAGGAACAGGATGAAGGCAAAATTTTCAAGGCGAGAGGGAAAAATCAAAAGACGAGGAGTGTCACGAACTAGGGCGGGAAGGGGTTGGTGCAGGGAAGTAGAGATGGGTTTCTGAGGTGGTTTATTCGAGTTGCCAGATGAGGAATCAAAGTGTAGGGTTGGTTGGCTAGTTATATAGTAAAGTATAAGTCTTGGCAAAGCACGGAGAAGTATGGCGAAGTAGGTTAAGCAAAAGGCAGGCGAAGTTAACATAAAGGCGGGCGAAGATAGGTGAAGAGCAGGTGTGCTTGTGACAAAGGGATAGGAAAGATTCAAGAGGTGACGGAAGAGGAAAAATTCAAGGGTATCGTTGGACAAAATGCACTGTTTGCCTTTGCTTTGCCTTTTGCATTGCCTTTTGCATTGCCTTTTGCATTGCCTTTTGCATTGTCTTTTGCATTGCCTTTTGCATTGCCTTTTGCATTGCCTTTTGCATTGCCTTTTTTGCATTGCCTTTCGCATTGCCTTTTGCATTGCCCTTTGCATTGCCTTTTGCTTTGCCTTTTACTCTGTACATGTTTCTTTGGAATGATTGGAAGGTTTCTTGGCGTTGACTTACAAAACCCAAGGGGCACTGAGGAAAAATTCAAGGGTATGGTAACACAAACATAATTTGGGCTTGCGTGAGCAGGCAATGGCCCGAAGCTATCATCCGTTGGGTTACGGCTGAACGCCTATAAGTCAGAACCCGTGCTAGAACGCGACAATTACTGCCTTTTTCCGATTTTTAGTTGAATACGAATAGACTCTCGGGTCCATGATCATACTACATGGGGTTACGTTGCAGAGCGGAAAGGCTTTGTGAGGTTCCTGCTAATGTTAATTCCAAATATCGAAAGAGATAAATCCATTGCGGACGACTTTAATTGAACGGGGTATTGTAAGCAGTAGAGTAGCCTTGTTGCTACGATCTGCTGAGATTAAGCCCATTGTTCTATAGATTTGTTCGAAAGAACAACTCTTTTTTTTCTTCTCCGAGCGCAATTTAAGGGCCTTTTATGAAGACAGATGGTGGTTAAGATGGTTCGATAGAGTAGACAGGCAGTGCAAGTCAGCGCCGTGGGGTTTGCTTGCGTGGACTCAAGAGAACGAGTCCCCTCCCTCTCTTTCTCTCTCTCTCTCTCTCTCAAAGACAAAAAAAATCATTACAGGAATGGAGCGATCGATCTCCGCAATAATGTAAAAAGAGTTGAAAGTTGTACCTTCTATTAAGTCATGTTTTTGACATTGATCAATGTTAACGCAATTTCTTCTCCCATAAATAATAGATCGAAGTCCTCAAGCACAAGAAGCGATTGATTGGGTTGTGGAACAGTGTCCTGCTCTGGAAGCATTCGATGTCCCCTGTTTTGCTGACGCGTCTGTTGGAGATGCGGTGTCGAGTCTCTTACAAAAACGGTGCCCCCATATCCGTCATCTACCCGTCCAACGGCCGTGCCTTGGAGGGGGGTTATGAATGTTATGGAAAAGATCCGGGAGCAACGACTGGAGACTTTTTATTTTAAGGGATACATTGATGAGTGGCCGCTACAGCTTGGGTTGGCGTTGAGTCGGCATAATAAGACATTGTGCAAGATCCAGTTTGTGCTTTGTCGGGGGATGAATAGCTCGACGATAAAGACTATTTTTTTGAAGTACTGCCCGGCGTTGGTTCATCTCGAGATTCAGGGGATACATCTTAGTACCACTTATTTGACACTTGAGGACGCGACCAATTCCAAGTGGGCCTGTCGCAACTTGGAGAACTTGCACGTCACCATCGATATGGGTCGACACAAGAGTCCTCATCCCTGTTCTTCCTCGCCATCTTCATCATCATCCCACATCCGCAAGCCGCCTGAAGGATTGATGACGCTAACACTCGACGAGGAAACAGACGCAGACGAATTAATTTACAGGGAGAGCCTCAAACCCCTCTACCGCATCATCGGTTCCCTATCCCGACTCGAAGTCCTAAACCTTAAAGTACTCGCATTCAACAGCCGCGGCAAAGAACTCCACCACCACCCCAGGCCTGCTCACCCTCGGCGACGGCGCAGACCGTCAACCAAGCAAGCATCCTCTCCCTCCTCTAACCTAACCCGCCTGCGAGAACTCCGAGGCGCAGTCCGTGCGGACACTCCAGAGAGTATGGTCACGATGGACCAGAATGAGGTTGAATGGATGGTTGAGCATTTTGGCCGTCGTTAGATCTGGTCGAGTTCTTGCCGACGGGTCATGTGAACAAGGTGGTTTCTTCCAGGGAGGAAGAGATGATCCCGCCGCACCTGAGGTGGTTGCAGAGGCATCGTCCTGGGATACGGCTGTCTTTGAGGCCCGAGGCTCCTTCCTTTGAGGCCACTTTCTAAAGATGTGATGAAGATGGATAATTCGTTTTATTCCCTGTGTCTGACACCATTTCTTCCCCTTCACCCCTGTGTCTTCTTTTCATGCACTCTAGTTGATTAATGGTTTTTTTTTGCCAACATGAAGAATCTAAATGAGCGCCTTCGCCTCTTTTGTCGTTATTCAAGTGTTTGGACATGAAAAATGAACGCGAGAAAGAGAACCAAACGAGAAAGAAAAGAAGACACCAAACAACAAACAATAAATATATAAACATCAATTACGAGAAAAAAAAATGACTGGAATAAGTAACAGAAAAAGTCACTCAATATGCTTGTTTTGCACGCCTTTTTTTTAATATTTATGTGTAGGGATAAAATAGAGAAAAGTAACCTATAGAAAAGCTAACATTAAATGACGTTCAAGTAAAGACCAGCCAGGAAAAGTTCTCCTCAACCCACTCTAGAACTCGCTTCTCGCTCTCTTTAGCTTCTTCCTTACGCTCCTTCTCCTCCGTCGCCATAGCTGTCGACACTGATGTGTTCATAGCGGGTGCGTCCGCCTGGCGATAACTCCAGTTCGCAACCCTCAACAGCCCTTGCACAGTATGAAGTCGCGGCCAGTGGGTTCGCATCCACTGCAGCTCCGTAACCCCAATTTGGTGGGCCATCCGTGAGACGTTCAGGATCCGAAGCTGCTTGAGTCCACCCATCAGGTTGAGCCCACTCTCGAGCATCATCTCAAGACAGAGATTTTGCTGAAACAAGTGGGGGAGGAGACCGCACAACTGGTCCTTCTCGCAGTGGACTCCCAAGGACAGCTCCTCCAAGGCCGTGAAGGAACCCAATATCTGACAGACTTGGCGCTGCAACTCGTAGAGAACCTCCAGAGGCGACTGCATCGGCACCGAAGACGATGACGACAACGAAGAAGAAGAAGAAGCGCTCATGAAGCTGGGATCGACAACACCTGAAGAGTGCAGCAACGATGAAGGTGGAGGAGCTGCCGCAGAGGAAGAACCAGTACTAGTAAAGACACTAGCATCGGGAGCGAGAGGAGTCTGACCGCATCCATAGATCGCCACCCGTAAGACCTTGAGGGTATGGGTGCTGGGCCATGGGGTGTTGAGCGAAAAGAGCTTGACAAACTGCTGAGCATTCAGTCCCAACAGATATGGTCGATAGTACGACCCCGAGGGCAACAGGTCCACCTCCACCAACCGATCGCAGGCCCGCAAAAGGCGCAACAGGGTATCACTCGCAAACCCGCCACTAAACTGACAGTCTCGCATCGACAGGTGGGTCAGGGAATGGGACAGACGGAACAGACTCTGAAGGATGGGACTCTGGCTGTTGAAGATGAGTCGGTCGAGTCGAACCTTCTTCATCCCTCGGCGACGAAGAATTAACTTATCAGTTACAGGATCCGCGGAGACCATCTCCTCATCGTCACCGTTGTCGACACTAGCCGAGCCCCAACAGGCTGCATTGAGTAACATGGAGATGCTCTGATCCAACTGAGGATCATAGGCTGCTTGGCGGATGGGACTGGTGGCAAACTCTTCAAGCTGAGGCCAGTGGTCCTTGACCTTGGCGGCAACATGACGAATGACCTGCCAATTACAGGATCCCAAGGCGAGCGACTGGAGGTTGGGACAGCGGCAGAGAAATTGGATCCAAGTCTCGGCATCCTGCAAGTAGTCCTTCTTCCCGATATGACCCTCGATATAGGCCCGTCGCAGGGTAGGAATATCCTCCAAGGCGACCGATCCAGGACCTGCCGCACCGGCGTCGTTGTTGATGCGGGTGAATTCGTGAGTGGAAGGGTGGAGACTTATGTCTTGCGCTGAGAAGGACAACCGCAGGCTCTCCAGGCGAGGAGGGCATCGATCGAGCAAGGCTGCAAGTTCGAGGTGGCGTTGTGAAGGTTGGCCGGTGGCATGCTTGAACAGTACCAGGGATAGGACTCGCATATCCGACCAGAGACGACCCATCGAATCCCAGACCTCCTTGTTGGACAGGATCAGGTTGCCGCTCCCAAAAGCCTTGAGTCCCGAGAATCGCGTCATGAATCGCACCAACCACCGCTCATCCTCCGCGTTGTCGACAAACCAGGGTTGGGCAGAGATCGACTCAATGCTGTCAAGATAGGCCTGGACTCTTGGAAGGACCTCGATGCACAACTGAAGACGTTCCATGGCCCGGACAAGAGTCAGCTGATTCACCTGCTGCTCCTGAAAGTTGGCTGGTCCTAGAGTCGGTTCCACCAGCTGCTGTTGTTGGCCTTCGCCCTGGGTGATTCTCCTCTGGGTCAGTTGAATGGAGACCAGTTGTGGCAGGTATTGATCGACTTGTGTCTGGGCTTGGCGGTGTTCCTGCGGCGAAAGTATCTTGTGTTGATGGACGATGCCGTGGAAGTACACAAACTGTCTCTCCGCATTGATAAGAGCCAGATCGTGCGTCCGAAGTGTGGTCTGTCGGCCTGGCGAGTAGTCTTTCCAGGGGTGTTGTTGGTGAACCAGTCGTTGAGACTCTAGGAGGGCCGCCTGCTGGGTCTCGAGCGCCTGCACAGCTGACTGATTGTTGACACGTGGGCCTTGATGCCCTCGTCGATTCTCCTCAAAAAGCAGTGACGCCTGCTCTCGATTCTCCATAATAGCTAATTGTTGTATCAGCCCCGCTGTCTGAGCCGTTGCATGCGCCTGGGCCGCCATTTGTTGGTTAGCAGCAAGGATGATCTGCGGTGTGCCAAGCTGCAATGAATGATGCTGGAGGCCGTGCTGGGCATTCTGACGCGACTGCTGCTGCAGAATCTGAAAGTGAAGAGTGCCATGGGACTGCTGGGCTTGCATTCCCTGTTGGACCTGGTTCTGGAGTTGTTGGAGCTGGAGTTGTTGTTGGTTCGACAGTATAGGCAGTTGCTGCAGTGGAGGCTGTAGAGGTGGTGTATGTTGAGTTTGTTGTAGCTGTTGTGCTTGCTGTTGTGCTTGCTGTTGTGCTTGTTGTTGTGCTTGCTGTTGTGCTTGTTGTTGTGCTTGCTGCTGTTGTAGCTGTTGTTGTAATTGTATCTGCAACACTCTCTGCCTGTCTGCCTGTATATTCTGCATTTGCTGTAGCTGTCGTTGACGCTCAAGTATATTGGCCATGCGCTGTTGAGTTGGCGTTGTGGTGGTGTTGGTGGTCGTGGAGGCAGAAACATTTCTCGAAGAGGACGAAGATGCAGTTGGAGTTTCAGGCGGGGTAGCAATGGTTGCAGCAGCAAAAGCAGTAGCCTCTTGGGCCTCGGCCTGTCGTCGTTGCAGATCCTGAAATCGTTGCAGATACCGAAGTTGAGTACCGACCGCTTGCTCCCGAGCTGGGAACATGCCCTCGGCCCGGAGCCAGTCCTGCCGGGCGAAGACTCTGTCGATGGCACTGTACGAAATCCGGGGCCGCCGTTCTTGTCGCGACTGTCCGGCGTCTTGAAGAGCTGATGGAGGAAGGGTGTAGACCGAGGACGCAAAGGAGGGTTGGTAGTCTTCATCCATGTCTTGATAATGATAATATTGGTCTAGGGTCTTGAGGGTCCAAGGGAAAGCTACGGTGTGGAGGAGTTTCAAGTGAGCGGGGTCGACACGTAAAAAGGGTTCGAGACTCTTGCAGGTGCGGAGGTAAATGACACGGATATGGGGCGCGTTTCGGACAAGGGCGTCTTGGACCTCGGGAACGGTGGTGAAGGCGACATGTTGGTGATGGGTCCTAATGGTAATGGTTTCCCAGAGGAGGGGGGTGAAGAGGGCTAGGAAGGGTTTGGAGACTGCGGCACACTGGACAAGATCGTGCGGGGTTAAGTAGACCTGGATGGCGTCGAGGAGCTCTGGGATCGACAGGGCTTCGAACACGGGGGTGCTATCCAGCATTAGTGTGTGTTTTGAAGGAAGAGGGTATGAGGGGTGAGCGTGAGAGAGTGGGAGGGTGAGGGGGTGGTGATGGAACAAAAGGAGAGGGGAGATGAAAAAGGCGGCCTGCCTGACCGTCTTTTATACAAGAAATTAAAGCCACACCGAAGGTCGAAATGTGCCTGAATGCCGTATAAGCTGGTCCAAGCAAGGCTGGTCGACCATCGTTGCCATGGTCCATTATCTGCTCAGCTTTTTTTTTTTTGAAATTGTTCACATCATGTGACAGGAAGGTGGCAATGGTCCATGGTAAGTTGGCAACAGTGTTTTCACGGTTTACAAACAAACGCCCCCGCCAGGGGAGGTCGATATTGTCGCAACTAATTACTACCATCGTCGTCGTCAACGTCTCGTCGTTACCACCGTACACTCCATAAGGCCCTCTGGACCTTATTATCCAACCCTGTCATTTTGGACAAGTGTTTCGAATCACTTTTTTAATTAGCCTTTTGCGACGCGTTCTTTTAAGTTACTTCTTTGTGCGGGCTTTTTCGTGTGAAGGTCGATATGGTATGCGCGTTGAAGGATACGCGGGAAGCAAAATACTTTCACAATCTTTGAATAAATGATTCATCCGCTTCTTTTCACGCAATTGAACACACTCATATTAAACAAAACGTCAATAAAACAAAGGGATTGCCCTGCTGGTGATGTACCCTCTCTGGAGCAAGCCAGCACTCTTTACCGACAAGGAATGGAACCGCACCAACGCCTCTACCATAGACGTCCCACCGCGATAGCTGTTGAATTAAAACGCTTCGAATGTCGACTCGGGGAGGTGGGTTAAAATCGCCTCAAAGTTTGACGAGATGGGTCTTGTTTTGAAGACTCTTGATTGTCGTCATTGGCCAGTCCTCTGGGTCGTCATAGTATGAATCCGAGAGATCATAGCTGTTATTATCTTCGTCGGAGTCGTAGCTGTAGTCGGAGCCATAGTCCTCACCGGACATTTTGTGTTAATAGGGAAAGCAAAAGGACAATGGAAAAACCAAGTCTGGTCAGGGGTGGCTGTGCGCGAAAGATTTTTTCATGCACATAGTACCCAAACGAGTCGGCACAAGAGACAAAGGCCAATTAACAAAACACGCCGCGTTTATCAAGAGTTTTCCTTCTTCGCTGTTTGTATTGGACATGCACTGTGTCTTTTTAAAACTTGTCGACGTGCAATAAAGGTGCTGTACAACCACCATTACATAAGCGTTTAGAACTCTAAGTTCAACTTTGGGCGGAGCTTCTTCAACCATCCAAAGCAAGTCCTTTCGTCCCGTCCATGGACACCATCCAAGAACTTATCCCTCGGCATGTAAGAACACAGATTTAAGTCCTCCAACACAGGCCAATTCTCATTCAACCACTCACACTCTCTCTGCCCGAACGTTACCCTCGTCTCGTCCGTCTTTGCTCGCACCGACCCATTCAACGACCTCAATTTCTTCAGCCCGCCTAACAGGTCCAGGTACCCCGGTTTCCCTACGACTTCATCCCCTAACGATAGCATACCCGGGAACGAGACATCGTGATACGAATAATGGAATGGGGTGCACTCTACCACAACTCGCATATCAAGATGCTCCAACTCAACCAAGGCACCAATTTGACGATAGAGTGTCTCCAAAAGCGAAAACTGCGCCCGCTCATCCTCGGTCAGAACAAGAGGTTCCTCCTTCTCCAAACGCTTGTAATAAGCATCAGGAGATGGAGGCATCGTTGCGCCGATCTCAAATGCCAGTCCCAATTGCTTGATCTTCTTACTGACCCACTCCACGGCAACCGCATCCTCAAGAGTAATATACGACGTGGCGCGGTAGATGGATACTATACTGAGCACCTCTAGCCCTTGTCCGGTACAGAGGATCTTTTGAACGGACTTGCTTGATAACCGGATGGAACCATCCAACCGGAGCTCCCGCAGAACTGTCGAATGTCTCTGCAGCATCACCGGAATCAAATCATCGCCGCCCTGAGATGCCGAGAACAACAACACTTCCAGCTTTTGCTCCTCTACTGCACGAACAATCTCCAATGTCAGTTGTTGATCGTCGTATACCCTGCCGTGCTGAAAGACTTGAGTGATCCTGGGGCAACTCTCGGCGATATACCTCGCAACCCTCCGGACATCTGCGCCCTCGTCCAAGTCTGGGATATGTAATTCGACCACCGCTGGGCAATGTGCAAAGATCGCCGCCATGTCGGTAGGCGAGACCTGAGCGAAACTGGCAATGTAAAGGCGACGCAAATGAATCAATGGCTGCCCCTGTCTCAGCTCGCCTGTCCAAGCATCCCGCGGTCTTGTCATTTCTTCGGGCAGCTGATCCAATCTGTGTCCAGCTGCTGATGAAGAGTCCGGTTCCTGTGGGTCCTGCTCATCCCAAATGACAGAGGTATAATCAAAATCAGACTCGTAAATGTCCTCCAGCCACATCTCAAGACACTCGAGCGACGCCGGGGCATTGAGCACGAGAGTCGGCACCAACTTTGACCAATCCTTGCTGATATCCGTCGTAGCCGTAAAATGTAGCTTCTTCAAGCTCCGCAGCGCGGGAAGGGCCTTGGCGAGCGAAACAAGTTCCTGTTCTTCGGAGAACAAAAGATCCATTTTCAGGCTCGTCAAGTGAGGGCATTGTTGTAGAATCCAGAATATCTGGGCCTGACGGGTTTTGGGGAATCGGGCGCTAAAGACAAAGGCAGGGTGATTGAAGAACCGGATGGAAAGGTCGGGGAAGTAGGTGAATGAGACGAGGTTGGTCATCGTGCCTATAGGCATCATGGTCTGTTTCCATGGATCGCCAGCTGTCGGGGGTACTCCTGCTGCTCCTCTTGCTATTCCTGCCATTCCTTCAGCAGTCAGAAGGGGTCGAAATGACAAATCCTGTTCGAGGTTTTGAGAGGAGGCGGTGGTGTGGGCCAGGAGCAGACAGTTGTAGTAGAAGGACGCAAACAATGGTCCAGAGATGACGTGGCGGACGTTCTGAATATTCCTCGCAAAGGCAGATGTGGCTTCAGGGGTGTTGAGTATACGCGCGGTACTATGGACTGTTGTGTCCAGGAAGAAGTTCTGGAAGGAGTAGAGACGGGGTGTGCAGATGCTGTTTATTCTGCGATTCGTCTGACAGAGGTTCGCGATTACGGCGCGGTCCAGGAAAGCGGTGAGGGTTAGGATCAGCTCTGTGATGTCGAAGAATCTTGAGCTGGCTGATTGGTGCTGTTGTGTCAGTGGTTGTTGTAGGTGATCCATTTTTTGTGCATCGGTAGGCTGGGTGTGGGTGATGAAGAAAAGGAAAAAAGAAAAGAAGCGGACTAATATTGACACACAGCAAATGCTACAAAATAACCTTACACATACCGAGGGAGTTAGAAGGGCCTGTCAGTCGTTCACTCCCAACTTCCTTTTTCACCTTCTCCTCGACCCACTCTTCCGAATCCTCACCTCCTCCAACGCCGACAACACCCCATCACCATCCACACAACAACACCCTCCAAAAAAAACAACGTCTCCATAACCCGCGGCCACGCATCATCATCCGCCAACAACACACAAATCTCCACCCTCCTCAATCGCCTCATCCCCTTCAACGTCTGCGCCAACTTCACCATCCCCCCATCCCTTCTTTCATAATCATCTAGAAACATCACCTTGAGGGACAGATCTGTCAAAGAAGGAATACATAATTCCCGAAACCAGTACAGTTGAGCTTACCGAATGGAGGGCATGAAGGTGTGGGATCTCATGATTCGGAGCGCGAAATAGGTTGTGAAGGTGAACTTTTTCAGGCGCGCCAGGGGTTGAGGGGCGTCAGGGTTTCGGTCGGACGATCAATGCGTGGGAGTCTGGAAAGAGTCTTTTTTCTAGATCGATGGCGACGACGAAGAGGATGAGGAAGATTACTCGTGATAGGCGAGAAGACAGCTATACAGGAACGCCGAAAGGAGCGGTCCAGAGGTAAGTTCATGGATATGATGGACATTAATCGCCAGGATTCGACAGATCTTTGAGTCTTGCGCTGAACCCTGGACCGAGGTGTAAAGGAAGGGGCTCTGGTTTCGAGGTTAGTTTCATGACCAGTTCTGGAATCTGAAAGAGGCGGGATGATGCCATTGTCATCTCAGGAAATAGGGCTTCCGTCTTTTTATATACGAGCGACTGTTCGCCCCCTTCTATACCAACAACAACCAAAAACAAAACGACGCGCCGCGCAAACCCTTGTACCATCATCATCATAACCCCCTCTCCTCCACCTCACGTTCAATTATACCTCAAAAAAGGTGCCCGCTCCCTCATCCAAACCCTCATCTTTCTATCCCTCTCCTTTACCTGCCTGCTCCTCTCAACCCTCTCCGCCTCCGGCCTCCCTGGCTCACCCTGGAACCAACCCTCTCTCAACAAGCCCGGCACAAACTCCAATTTTGGCCACTGATCCATCATAAACTCGACTTCCTCTGTTTCGATCAGATGATCCATCCTGGCAACATTGAAGATCTTAAGACGTTTGAGTCCAGACATGAGGTCGAGCCCGTGGGTGAGCGAGAGGGCGAGGCAGGTGGATTGGATACCGACAAATTTGAATGCTCCGTAGACGGGGCCTTGTTCGTGGTCTTCTGCGCTTGGTGCGAATAAACTCGTGTCGTCCAGGTCTTTGTCCATGTCCTTGTCGCTGTAATAATGACCAAAATTAGGCCACTGAGCGGTCGCCTTCTGTCGCGCAGCAGACGTCAAGACCCCCAACGACAACTCCTCCAACTGCGGAAACGAGCCCAAGAACTGACAAGCCCTCCTTTGCAACATCCGACTCGTCTCCAGATCCTGTTCCCTCGTCAACGAATAACTCGACGCTTTCCTCAGTACCCCATCAATATTTATCCTCAACACCCGTAATGATCCCTGACAGGTCCAGGGCTTTGAAGACACCTCGGACACGAACCGCAGGCAGCCTAGGGTATGTTCGAAGGAATGAAAGATCTCGCCCGAGGGAAGGAGATCCAAGGACTCGATGTTCTTGAGGGCCTGGAGGAGACTGAAGATTGAATGGGATTCTGCTAGGAACCGGAGGCGGAGGTACTTGCAGTCGTTGAGCGAGATCTCTGTCAGTGACTCTGTAAAGCGGTGTTGGATCACGCCCAGGATTTGACTTCTGGTTTCCAATGCAAACGTATCGATTCGGAGCCGTTTCAATCCTGTTAGTGACGACAAAAGAATCGCCAGGTTCGAGTCCAAGTGCTCATATGAAGGCGTGCCCAGATAACTCTTGTAACCGATCGCAAAATCCTCCAGTCTTGGACAGTACAATTTGAGGGACTGGCCGACCTCGGGCAAGACCATGACGGAACATCCTCCAAGGCTCAGTGTCAGCAGGTTGGGGCATCGTTCCAAGAAGGCGACCCATGTCTGTGAGTCTGCGCTGGGGTGGCCGATTGTGCTGGTCTTTGTGAGTGCCGGATCGCCGAGGGTTCCTTCAACAAATAGCCGTCGGAGGTATCGCATGGGTCCTGCACGCTGGATGGATACTCGAACAAGATCCAGACTCATATCTCCACCATCCTTTGATCTGATGTTGTTGCTCGTCGTCGTTGTTGGTCCTGCGGCAGAAGATGAGGTAGAGGTCTCGAACATTTCCGCAGGCGGCAAAGTGGCGGTGGCGGTGGCAGTGCCGTCTCGGTTCCTGGAGTGGGCGGTGCCAGTCATCATGTCGACTGTGTCATCATCCTTGTCCATGAACGAAAGTCGAAGGATTTCAAGGTTGGGCGGACAAGTGTTCAAAAGCGTATGAACATTCGCCACTTGAGCAGGCAAACTCGCATGGTATATCGTCAATGAAAGCGACCTCAGAGTAGCCAACTCTACCACGGTCCGTATGACCCCGTGGCTAAGAAAGGGTAACGAGGTCGTCATCAAGGTCTGGAGGTGAGGGAACCTGCCCAGGAACTGTTCCAGGATCTCTTCATCCGACTTTTCGTAGCCCATGCGGAATCCTGACTCGCCCTCCGTCCATAATCCTATAGAGTGATTGTTGTTGTTGTTGCTGTAACCTTCGTTGTTGAATCCCAACCCTGCTCCTGTTGGCGGTGGTAATGACGATGCTCGCCTCAACGTCTCTGTCTCCTCTTTCGTCTCCCGAATCTTGCTCCTCAACAGCTCCAAATCCTGTCCAATCGAACTCGGTCCCAACCCCATAGCCACAGTCGGGAACTTTCTCTCCAGGACCAAACACTCCTGCTCCATCTGCGCCACCCTCTCCCCCTTCTTCTTCAACTGGACCGTAATATAGTTCGGATCATTTGTAATCTTCCAGGACTCGAGCCGTTGTTGACGAGCAACCCGTTGTTTCTGGAGCGCGTGGAGTTGCCTTTGGCGGTAGAGGCGGTCGATAAAATAGCGACGACGCATGAGGAACATCCCGTTGTACCGTAGCCAGTCCCTTGTCGGTGTCCGTGTCCGTGTCCATGTCGCCCCTGCTGCTGCGGCAGTTGATGATATTCCCTGCTGTCCCTGCTCAGAAAGCAACTCTGGATCCGGGAGCAAGTCATCCATCTCATAACTCCTCAAACTCCTGTTATACACCGGAAACTGCAACGTATGCAACCCCGGCATTACTTTCCCTCCTCCTCCTCGTCCTCCTCTGCCCACCTCCTCCTCCTCCTCCTCCTCCACCAACTTCAAAAACGGCACTAGACTCTTACAACTCCGAACGCGAATAACCTGCACAAACCGCGCATTCTTCCGCAACGCCTCCTGCACCTCTGGGGACGTCGAGAACCAGACATGTTGATGATCCTGTTTGAGGGCGATGGTGTGCCAGAGGATGGGTGTGAAGACGGACGCAAAGGATTTGCAAACGAGGATACATTGTGCGAAATCGTGCGGGGTGAAGTCTTGGAGGATTATTTCGGAGAGTTCAGGGATGTTGAAGACTTTTGCGGCTGCTGACAGTGTCGGCATTGTTGCTGCTGCTGTTGCTCTTGTTGGCGGTGGAGAAGAAAGGGAGAGGCGTTGGAGTAGAAGATGGATGGATGTATGAGTGTGTGAAAGAAAACGAGGAAAAAAAAGAGAAAGGAAAAGAGGGGGAGACAACAGTTAAAAAATGCGGTGAACAAAATCTGCATAAAAATACACTGCTTAGTGACGGGTTGGTGCTCTTCTTTATTTCTGTTGTTTGCATAATTGGGGCGTTCTTGTTAATGAACAATGGACAAACTGGACGACGGTCTATCTCGGTCTCGATTGCTCCTCCAGCGACCCCTTCGGCGCCCTAACAACTGCGTACTTCAAAAGCGGCTTATTTTCCTTGATCCAATGAATGATATCCTGCTCCTCATCCTGCAACGCCTCCCACTCCTCGTCCGTATCACTGTAAGCCGCCGACGAAAGCAGACCCGGAATCGCTTCCAGCTTGGGCCAATGTGCAACCATCCATTTCACCTCCTCCAACCGGATCTTGTGCTTCATTCTCATCACGCTCAGAACTTTCAACTCCTTCAGGTCCTCCATCCGGTTCAGTCCACTGTCGAGTGATAGTTCCAGACAGTCTTCCTGGACGCCTGTTAGTACCCTGCAGTATTCGAGTTCGTCTGTGGGTTGGACACCGAGGCAAAGTTCCCGGAGGGATGTCAGTAGATTGAGGTGCTGACATACTTGGTGTTGGAGGGTGTTGATAGTGCTCGTCCGCATAAGATCAAATTGGCTCTCTGCCTGGGAATCCGATACGGGCTCAATGTCGCTGTCCTGGTTATTGTTGGTGCCGTCGAGATCCACGGGTGTAACGGTAACTGGCGTAGCAGGTGCTGCAGCCGATGCCGATGTCGATGTCGATGCAGACGATGTGAAGCCACTGATGTTGACCTTCAGCACTCTCAACGTCTCCATACATGCCCACTCTCCAGAAGTCACCGACGTAATCCACAGCCCCGCATCCACCCAACCCTTGTTACGATGCGCCCTCATCCTCGCATACGGCAACGCATTCATCACCTCCAGCTTGCGGAACTTTTGCACTATCCGCAAGAAGAGCTCTCCATTATCATGCTCCATCATGCTGTCGAAATCCAGATGCGTCAAACAGTGCATGTGTCGAGAGAGAGCCCGGAACGGTGTGATGTTGTTACGCGCAAAGGGATCCGAGTCTGGCGCGTAATCCTGATCCTGGAAGGGCACACCATAGAGTCGAAGCTGCTTCAGTCCTGTCGTCCTCTTGCTGGATGTGAACCTCAATATCGGAGGTAGAGCCAGGGTGGAACATGTGGCTTCGTCGTCGGACCTGGGGCTACATGCTGCAAAGAGTGAGGCGACGTTGTTGTCTGTGGCGCGGTGATTCATCCAAGACTGGGTGCTGCTGACACATCCAATTGCTAGGTCGTCAACGAGGGGGCAGCACTCTGAGATGATGCCGGCGACCTCTATCAAGACAGCCGAGGGAATGGACGAAAGACTGAGGGATGTGAGGTTGATGCAACGTCTGAGAAAGAAGAGCCACGGTTGAGGAGGTTTCCTGGTATCGGCGTCGGTGTAGAAATGGACATTGTCCTCGACCATGAGACTCTTCATCGACAGAACGGGTGGTCCTGCGACTTTCGACTCCGACAAAGACGACGATGTGACTGCATCAGACTCGCCTTGGTCATTCGAGTGTACAAAAGTAGTCCAGCCAGTGTTGGAGAACATCAGTCGAAGACGCTCGAGGTGCGGATACTCCTTGTCCAGTAAATTCGTGAGTGTGGCATACCGGTTCTTGTGACCCACATCGTCCAACGTCAACGATAAGTACCGCAACACCCTCAGCCGAGTTCCAAAGGCCTTGAGAACAGCAGGATTAAAGAACACAAGGGACGTGCTCATAAAGATCTTGAGCTCCTGAAAGTAACTCAGAAACAAAATCAACAGCTGGTCGTCCTTGGGATCCTCATAGAGCTCGTAAGGCCGTGGGTCCGAAGGAGGTGGGACAATCTCATTTCGCAACCAGATAGGGACAACAGGCGGTCTAGCCTCCTTCTTCTGCAGTCGCAATAAACGAGCTCGGTGCAAGTACCTATCCTTGGCAGTCTGTGAAGGTCCATCTTCGACCTTGGCACGCGCTTGATAAAGCTCCCGCAATGTCGCCTCGCGTGCCCCCAAGTTCAACGAAAACGTATGCTGCCTCTTGGTGACCCTCCTCCCCAACGACCAAGCAACCCTCTCATTCGACGTGTCCCGAATCGCAGATCGCGCAACCGTCTCCGTCAAACTTGTCGCATGTCCACCCTGCATCCTGAGCCATGTAAACTCCAAGCTATTCAAGGAACACAACTCCTCCGCCTTGACATCCATAAAGGGCCGAAGACTCTTGGCAGTCCAGACACGGATGACTCGAACGAACCTTGCGTTCCTAATAAGGGCCTTTTGGACTTGAGGCGATGTTGTGAAATGATTGTGCTGTTCGAGGGTGGTGAGGGAGATGGTGTGCCAAAGGAGGGGGGTGAAGAGGGTTCGGAACTCGGACGAGACGAGGACACACTGAGCCAGATCGTACGGGGTTAGGCTGGCCTGCATGATGTCAAGTAGCTCAGGGATCGATAGCACCTCGAGCGCTGTACACCTCTTCGACATTTTGTATGTGTTATTGTGGCTTTTGTTTTTTTGCTTTGAATTTTAGTGTTGTTTTTGAGCGAACAAGTCGGGTTGAGTATAAAGGATGTGTTTGTTTGTTTGTGTGAGAAAGCAAAGGATTTGTCAGGGTCTGGGTGGGGGTGTGTGTGGGAATCAACAACAGCAAAGATCATTGAGGCCGAGGCTGTTGAATTAGTATCTGTCTGAGTGCACGTGTTTTTTTATGTGTACGATGTGCTGTATGCAAAAGGGAGGAAAGGAAAAAAGGGAGAGGATGGCGGACAAAAAGGAAAAAGGAAAAAGGAAAAAGAAAGAAAAAGAAAAAGACTCACGGGGGACGAAGGAGAGGAGGATATCTCCTCTCGCTGAGGGCGAAGCAGATGACGATTAAGGGTGCACGGGTTGTTCTTTGTCGACAGAGTGGGATTGGTTTTGCCATCTGCATCCGCTATGACAAGGCTCGAAGGAGAAGGACATGCCTACCATCCTCGCAAATATTCATGCAACTATTTTCTTGCCTGATTATTTTGCAAATCGATGCTCTCTGTTCTCCGCTTACTCCTTTTTTTGTATTTACAATAGTTTGTGCCATGTGGCAAAAGAAGGAAAAGAAGAAAAAAAACTACGCGGCAGAAGGTTTCTTGGGTTTGAGGACAAGGATTAACACGACAGCAATCAGGATAGCAGCAACAATCCACTTTAGCCTGAACAGCCAGTCGCGCCGAGTGCCAATTAGCCGTTTCGTAAATGGTATCGAAGCACCAGAAGACGTGGCAAGACCCGGAGCAGTTGGACCCCCTAGATCCACTCCATCTCCTGTTGCCCCTCCTCCTTCTCCCACGACTCCTGTTCCATCATTGGCCTCGTTATCATTCCCATTCACACCAGCGGTCGTTGTTTGCTGTTGTTGTCCGCTCGCTGTGCCATCACCACTGCTGCGACCTGCACCAACAGGCCGAGACGTCACAAACGGACCCTTCTTATGTGCAGGGAGACTCATAAACAAGTCGTCGAGCCGGGTACACATCAGCATCATGGCCGTCTCACAGCGCTCGCCCACCTCGGTGAAAATCTCTAATTTGCGTGAACTGGCAGGGCGGTCCCTGGCTCGGTTGGCAGGTCGACCAGGCCTGTAGACTGCAACAATTCGACCCAGAAATCCAGTCGAACCCTCCTCCCGGCAATGGTAGCAACCCACCTCATCATCGTCCTCGTTGTCATCCCCCCTTGCACGGTCGATCGCGGATTCTTGCTCGCTGAGGGGTGGGTTCTCTTGTATCACCGCCAACGCTGGAGTGTTAAAGGTAGGTGACGTTGAGGTGTGAACAATCACAGAGTCCAGAGCAATGTTGGCAGTAGTCGATGATGATGTCTCTGCAAGCTCCGTGCTTTGTCGGATGGGCTGTCGCGATCTCCCAAAGAAACTACCAAACCAACCTCCTCCCCCACTCGCCCCACCTTCAGCCATTCCTCCGCCTTGAGTAGAAAGAGTCTGGCTCAATGGTCGGGTCGATCCTGCTCCAAAAGATCGAGATTGCCGCTGCTGCTGAAGTCTATTCCGTGCTTCCTGGGCTGTGGTCGTAGTGCTCTTCCCAGATCCCATCTTCCAGCAGTACCTCCTGTCAGGCGCAATCTGGAAACTTGCTCCGACCAAGCGGTGGACGATAGGTCCTCCAATTCGTGTACGTCCATGCTTCCAGCGCCACTCCATGATAACGTTCTTGTGCTGCCGTCCAAAGACCACCATCTGGAGAGCCTCGGTCCCCCACCAGATCCATCTCGAAGGGTAGTGGTCCGCCACTAGTGCAAAAGCAGGAATGAAATAGGCATTGGTGGCACCAGTGATCGGGAGTGCTGTTCTGTCGGTGTGCTGTGGTCTAATGATGCTGTACTTGAGTTCGGCCTGGTGCTGGGATGAGAGTCCACGCTCTTGGAGAAGAACCGATTGCGGGCGAGAAGGGGACGACTGTGTCGTGGATATCAGCCAAAAGTCGTACAGGAAAGGGACACCGGTCGAGTCTTTGATGATGTACGTGCGCACAGGAATGGGTTCCAGTTCAAAGTAGTGTGGCAGAATTGTGTGTGTTGGCGAATAAGGTGGAGGTTCGTCGGCGGAGGTAAACATGGCACTGAACGTTGTTGGAATTGGGGGGAGGTTCAGTGGCGGGGGGATATCGCGAGATTGGCGTCGTGGCGTCGAAAGTTCTTGTTGTTCTACGTCTTGCCGTTGTTCCTGTTGTTGATCTGCTGCCACACCTACAACTTGGCCGCTGTCGGTCTCCGAGTGGTCGACTACAGTCATTGAGGTGCTGGTGGTCGCCGCTGATTCTGCAAGAGACGTAGGTGAAGAGAGAACTTGGACTAGCGACTGAGGCATTCCTGTAATGTTGTTGTCGCTGTCGTTGCTTCGGTCGCGTTGAACTGAGGGTAGTCTGTGGTTGCTTAGGCGATCCTCCTCCAAGGGTTCGGCCGTTATTGAAGTCAAAACTAGATTATTGATGGTTGATGGTACTTCCTCGGAACGTCGCCGGTCGGTCAACTCTTCGTTTCCTTGGTTTGGCAGAGCTGAGAGTGCTGCTTCCTGCTGCACTGGGTCGTCTATGTGAAGGGCTGTCTCGTTATTATTGTCGTTGCCCTCTGTCCTGGACACAACACTGATGCCAGTGAGTTCAGTCTCTGGGGGGTAGTTGATTCCATTGTTGACGGGTGTGTTGGTCAAGGTCGACGACATGGCAGGAGCAATGAACGTCGTAGGAATCAGGTTGTTGTCGGACGAAGAGGAGGAGGCAGGAGGGTCCAGACAGGTGAGAGGTAATGAGTTCGTTGTTATTGTTCTTGTTTCTCCATGCAGCAAAACAGGTTCACCGGGGGGCGGAGGGGCCGGTGGGTCGAGGCTGTTGTTGTCAGTTGCTGGTGTGAGGAGAAGGGGAGGGGTGGGAGAAGAAGGAGACGAGGAAGGGGTAACGACAGGAAGAAGAGGAGCAAGAGTCGAGGGGACAGAGGGGACAGCGGAAGAGGAAGAGGAAGTAGAAGAGAGGAAAATGGTCTCGATTGAGTCGCGCTCCGAGGGAGAAGATAATGCCGTCATTGTGTGGGTGCAGCAAATAGAGGCGATGGCATAAGTGTGTACGGTAGTGTGAGTGCGGTGAATGAACTGAAAAGAAAAGGATTTTTTTTGTTATGTGCAGGTCATCGACAGTTGCAGGCAGGGTACATGAGCCATCGAAGAGAAAAGACAGAAAACAGAAAGACAAATTGGTCAATGGTATGTACAAAAAAGATACAAGAAGAAAGAAAGACGAAGAAGAAGAAGAAGAGGGGAAAAGAGAAAGTACGGAAAGTACGTTAATGCACAGTGCACTCACTCGTCTCACTCTTTCGGGAGGGCTCTGGTTGAACCATTACCCTCACACATACATACACACAACTGTTGATTCCCCTTCTCTCTCATCTTTCTCAGGCGGACAAACAATTCTATCATCTATGTTCACAAAAAGTGAGAGCACGGAACGAATAAAGAAAGGACCATTGGACAAGCAAACACAAACAAACAATGAAAAAACTGGATCATTCATTCCCCCTGCTTTAGCCATATCCTTCTCTCCCACGGTGGGCAACGCGACGTGCGGTGCGGCTGCCCATCCAATCCCCTGTTGAAGACTAACCTCTATTCCCTCCACAATAATATCGCTCCCGCTTTTCGCTTTTTCTAAGTTGGCTACTCACTTCTCATTTGCTGTGGGGTTCCTTCCTAGCCTATTACTTTTGCTTTCACCCTACGGCGCCAATTGAAAGTCTAAATAAAGGGGACCGGCAAGCGAAAAGTAGGGCGAAAGCTTCAAGAAAAGGTAGGGGATTACTTCACCGGCCACACGGACAAGGGCGCAAGCACTAGTAGTAAATGCGGGGTAATGAGAATCGTGAGTGAGGGAGCACACCATTCGGAAGCGAGCCCTTCTTGTTTGTTTTGTTTTCGTTCAGCATGCAGGCAGGTAACAAACATAAACCTACTTCAGGGTCTGGTAATCGTCACTTCTTTTTCCGTCAAGCTCGCCGATTGGACTAGCCTTCCTGTGAGCGTATTCACTGCGATTCGAGGCAAGTAAGATACGCTTTCTAGCTAGGCACCGGGTGGACTAGGGGATTGGGGCTCCTACTTACGAGTAGCACGAGAGAGAGAGAGCAATTAAGGTGAAACAAATCGTTGCCACCAATTGCAAACTGTCACTCGGAACTCCCTTTGATCATTTATGACTCTCCAGGCACCACCACCACCACCACCATCAATCAGTAAGCTGGGCGGGTGACACATCTTCGTCGACTCCTAATCCTCTCTCTCTCTCTCTCTCTCTCTCTCTCTCTCTCTCTCTCTGACTGAATGAACTCTTCTGGTCTTCTTACCTGACTCGCTCTATTTCTTTTCTCATTTTCTCCTTTCCCTTTCTCTTTCTCCCATTCCTCATTCCCTCCATTCCAAAACAACAACAGGAACAAAATGCATTGCTTCTCATTGTCAGTCCTCGTATTTGACATCCCCCACCTTCTCCAAGAAGTCATCTCCTCCCTCACACCCTACGACCTTACAGTCTGCGCCCAAGTCTCCTCACGCTGGAACAACCTCTTCGAACCCTTCCTCTGGCGCAATCTCAACTTTACCAACCGCGGGACCATAACCCACTTCACTACCCTCTCTTCCTCCACATCCACTATAACCCCTTCCTTTTCTCCAGGAGCACAAACGGGACTCTATAGGAACCAACATATTATCCGCACCATCAGAATCGACGATGGATGGGTCCTCGATGCAGCCCTCCCCGAGTCGCACATATATCTCAACTTGGCCGCCCTTACCTTCAGGGCTATGGACACTTGGTCCAAAGCAACAGACCAGGATGGCCTCTTACGGATGATCCGTTTCCTGGAACGGAATCCGAACCTCCAAACCGTTCGTCTGGACGTCTTTCCTTTGCATAACGATGTGGTATGCAAGAAGTTGGGTGAGGTTCTGGGGACACATCGTTCGTTGAAAGATTTGGAGATTAGGGGAGGGGCGCAAGCGAATCGCTCAAGTGTTGAACATGTCCTGCGGGGTGTTGTTGGGAGTTGCACTATTAGTGCGCTCAAGTTGGTCTCACCGTTTCATCATGGATGCGTCCGGATCGAGGCACAGGGTCCCTCAAGTCCGCCTCCTCAAATATCTTCGTTGTTCCCCCTCTCCTCTTCCACTCAAGGTCCAACTGCCACTCGTCTGAAACAACTCTGGTTCGACCCCGACATTCATGTCCCAGAATACCATACCCTCCTCCTCGCACTCCTGAGCCACAGCCCCCACCTGGAACGACTCTCCTTCGCTGCGCCCAGCACGCCCTACCAACTCTCAGACCTCGTCTCCGCCTTCTCCAAGAACCTCAAACTCCGCCATCTCGAACTCATCGAATACAATACCAGCGCCTTCAAAAACAGCAACAACAATGACTACCCCGCAGACTTGATCCAAGCTTCCACCTATGCCTCCTCGCATCTCCACAGCTTCACCCTTCGCTCCTTCCAAACCAGGGCGACCTCTTCCTTCATCGACCGAGCCGTCCATGCCCTAGTTCACCATCAACACAGCCGAACTCTGGAACGGCTGGATTTCTGTAAAGACGATGAAGTCGCGAGCAAGGATCTGCAGCTATTGTTGATGTCGTGTCCCAATCTGACGAGGTTTGTGGTCATTGATGTCGAGGCTTGTGAGTCGACTACCAAGAACCGGTCCAGGATTCACATCGAGGATTTGGCGGCTGGCGAGTGGGTGTGTCGGGGGTTGAAGGAGTTGTGCATTGGGTTCACAGGATTCTCCACCCTCGCCTTCTCTTCCTCCTCCTCTTCTTCTTCTGGCGAGTCAGCAACAGCACAATACCACACAGCCCTAATCTACAATCACCTCGCATGCCTGACCTACCTCGAAACCCTCTGCCTCGCCGGAGAACTACTTCCTTTCTCGGTGTCACCAAGAGACCGCTGGATCCCTCCCCCACCCTCCAGCAGCACGTACTTTGACCTCTCCCTCAAAACCGGCCTCGCCAGACTAGAGCCTCTGAAGTACGTGCAGACGTTGAATTTGAGTCAATGGCAGCAATTCCGGATCGGCAAGGCAGAGGCGGCGTGGATGGTGGAGCAGTGGGAGGGGTTGCGGTATGTAACCTTACCGGCGCAAGAGCCTCCGATGGTTCCGGAAGGGTACAGAGCTGCGGGGCATTTTATGGATCTGGTCGCTGTTCGACCTAGCTTGATCGTGTCAATCAAAGCCTGATGGACAAAAAACCATCTGAACAAAGTATGCTTTTAAAACAAATGAATCACTTCGTCCTACCTTCTTTCCCACTGTCCCGTCATTGTAATAAAAGCACATTTTTCATATATATTGCTCCTTGCTATCCTACTGACGTGCCTTCATGAACATGTTATCCTGTCATCCTTACTTGGAGGTCCTGTTTTCTGCATGTTGAGAAAGATGGATTGTGTTTGTGAGGAAAGAAACTCGCTAGGCGTGTAAACCCCAATCTCTGTCAAAGGCTATTGTTTTCATTTCATTTCTTCTCCATTCTCCTTTGGCCTTCCTCCTCGGCATCCACCTCTACCGTTTGGGCCCCACTCGCTGGTTCAGCGACGCTTGGTAAGATAAAGATTCCCTATCCCTTCCAAGCAACAGTGAAAATAAAGAGAGGGCGCGTGTCGTGTCGTTGCTTCTCTTCCCGCTCTTTTTCTCATCTTCATCTCGTTCTTTTTATTCCCAATGGGATACGGCATTGTCTTTTCTTCTTCCTTCCTTTCTCATGCTTTTTGTTGGGGTCCGGGTTCGCGTTGTTTTTTCATTTTTTTGACTCTTCCTCGTGTCTCCGGGATACGCGTTTATGTTTGCTTCTTCCCATGCCTTCCCATTCCTTCACGCACTGTTTTCCCATATTATCCCTCCTCCTGCGCCTTAACTGATCACCATTGACTAGTAATCAAGAATCAGAAACACCTGCACATAATTTTGGTGGCGCAAACTTTTTTTTCTTCATCGAAAAAACTCCATTGTCTTTGTATCCCTTTAGTGACAAGGGGTGACAAGAGGAGGCCAAGAGGAAGCGAAAACCCCCACCTCCTCATACCTAAGTGTCCGCAATCCTGACTTGGTATGGGTGGCCCTTTTCGGAGTGGGTGCGCCGGCATGGTGGTCACCTTGGGGGTGTCGGGCCCCGGATACAGCAGAAGAGCGCGCGACCCAAACGCTGGTGTCAATATTGCATTATCAGGATTCTGCCAACTTCTGGGATATCCAAGAAGCGTTGGCAGGTCGTCGGTATGCGTTGAGGGAATGTGTTGAGTGAGAAGAAGAGAGAAAGGGAAAAAAAGGAAAGTAACAGTTCGAGAGAGCGGGGTTTTTCTCCTAGTCTTTTTGCTCGCTTGCTCCCTCGTTGCTAACATTTGCTCGGCTGCTCTCACCCATACGCGGCGACCGGGCGGCATATCATACCCATAGCATATCGATATGTTTTCACTTTTAAGCAACAGCAAAATCCGAGCAAAACACGAGCGAGCAAGCACCGAGCGAAAATCGAGCAAAGATTATTATGTCAACACGTGACTTACTACGCCTAAGCAAGCAAAAACAGTCTTGTTCGCCCCTCATTGTTTTCGTACTTTGCTCGGACCTTGCGTGTTTTGCTCGGATTTTGCTGTTGCTTAAAAGTGAAAACGTATCGATATGCTATGGGTATGATATGCCGCCCGGTCGCCGGCGCGTATGGGTGAGAGCAGCCGAGCAAATGTTAGCAACGAGGGAGCAAGCGAGCAAAAAGACTAGGAAAAAAATCCGCTCGCTCGAACTTTTATAATCAGAAATCAAAAAACGTTGTAGGTTCAAACAGGGGATCAAGAGTCGAGGGGGCGAAGAATTGGTGTATTTGTGTCAAAGGCTAGATGGCAACAAGTAAATAAATCATCTTATTGCAGACTGATGCGCAAGTCGGGGCGGTTGATCTGCAGCTCGTGTAAACACTCCGGGACAGGTATCATGTTCAACTCATGGTTAGGGGGCATAAACTCGGCAGCCCTCAGAGACGACCAATTCTCGCTCAACCACGCAACTTCCCTTGCTCCCATCGTCCCTGTCACAGCTGTCATGGCGCTCATCCTGAAAGATCCTCCCAGTTCCCTCAGTTTATGCAAATCCTTCAACTGGTCCAGGAATCCAAACCTATTCTTGCTCCTGTCCTCTAACGTCACCAGACCAGGGACGGGGACTTGGTGGTACCTCGAGACTGCACTTCCTGTCGCGACATTCAGGGCTCTGATATCCAACACCTCCAGGTCTCGCAAGGACCCAATCTGCAGAGCGAATTTCTCGACTAGGGACCAGCGATCCAGATCGTTCTCCGACCATGACCATGAGCCTTCAGAGTTCATACCACCTTCCTCAAAGTCGCCAAAGGTCATCACAAGCTGTAAGCGTCGCAGCCTGGTCGACACCCACTTGAACTCGACCGCATCTTCCAGACTAAGATCGACCCTGCTCGGAAAATGGGTCAGCCCGTCAATCACAAACTCCTCCAGAGCTTTGCACCCCGTCAAGATCTTCATGATCGTTTGTCGCCCAATCCTGCAACAATTATCGAACCGAATCACTCGAAGACTCTCCGAATGACGCTGCAGAGATATCATCATCCGATCGGGCAAGAACTCGCGGTAACTCTTGAAGGAAAAGACCTCGAGTTGCTGACTGGGCATCTTCTCCATGATGCTGATGACTGTCGGTCCATGCTGTTCCTTTCCTGGGGCGCGGACGGTGAGCTCTCGGATCTTGGGGCAGTGCCTCTGAAGTGTATCCGACAGTTCTTGACCTGCCTCCTCATTATCAACACACGGGACGACCCAGGACTCAATAACAGGACACTGTTCCATGATCGAACAAAGATCCTGTGCACGAAATCCAGCATAATGCTCAGGCAGTCTGAGATCCTTCAAATTGACCAACGGTGCCTTCCGAACCACAACTGGACCCTCATCCCGATCCAAGTCGTTGGGCATCCGACCGGGAAGCGTAGGTCCACTGACAATCTCAGAGTCCAAGATAAAAGACTCGATCGACTTGGGGCAATTGAAGAGGAGGATCTCGGCAACGCAATGTCCGACATGAGCCTTGTGGGCGGGGGCAAGGGTGAGGTGCTTGAGTCGATGGAGGCGGGAGATGGTGCGTGCGATCACTCGTAGGACAAGATCGTCGCCCAATCGGAGACCGTCCACAGCGAGTTCTTGGAGTCCTGGGTTAAGACTGACGAACCAACAGAGCTGGAGGGAGAGTTGGTCAGCAGACCATTGTGAGCCACAAGGGAGGTTAATCGATAAGGAGCAGTAGAGTTGAGTCAAGTTCGTCAGGGGAGGGAAGGACAAGCTGGCGGGGCAGATCTTGTTGGTCGTCAAGGAGGGCAACCAACTGGGCCTGAGGACTTCTGTAAGGGGATTACTGTCGAGGAATGAGAGTAGACCGATGACATAATGCGCGATGAAATTGGTCTCGGCAGCAAGGGAACGAATGTTGCCTAGGTTCTCGGTGAGGGCTTGGAGGGCACTTGGAGAGTGTATAAGGGCAAGGGCAGCGTCAGGGTTGTGGATGTCGAGGTCGGACCAGAAGAGGGGGCCACAGGCGTGGGAGAGGAGGCGGTTTGTCTTGACAAGGTGGGCGATGTCTTTTGTGTTCAGGAATGGGGCCAAGGAAGCCACCAGCTCAGGGATATGGAAGAAGGTGGTGCATGCAGTCATTTGTTAGACGTGGTCTTTGTTGTGAAAGAGGAGGGGGTAGATGTGTGTGGTTGGGTGGGCGGGGGTGGGCGGGTGGAGGGGTAACGAGACATGGCAAAAAACAAAAGAGAAAGAAAGAAGAGGGAAGAAAGGAGGGACAAGAGAAAAGAAAATCGAGGCCTTTTTATTAAGTCTTGGACACTGATGCGCCACCAACTCTAACACTGATCATAAAACAGTGTGAACCCAGGCATAGACACCAAAGGGCCATTGTTGTTATTGCCGTTGCCTTCGAATAAAGGAAAAGAGGGTTGCCCACGGAACACCATTCACATTAATCCTACCCCACGGATCACAGCAAAAAAATAAAGGTCTAATAATAAAAGAACCTTGTTTGCCATGGTCAATGACTGCGCTGCAGTGGGCGTAAAGGAAGCATTCGTAGGGGTGTGCATCTTGCAGAGGAAGTTAGAAAGTGAGGAAGGTCAAGAAGAAAAAAAGAAAGATGAAGCATTTTCACATTCTTGTGGGAAGATATTGAAGAAAGGATGGAGCGGCGTTTCGTTCTCGAAATAGACCGTTCCAGACAAGTGGATAGACAGCCTTGTTTGCTTTCTTCTCTTTGGTTGATGGAAAGGCAATTGGGCTTCCATTTCCTTCTTTCTTACTTTCTTTCTTACTTTCTTTCCTTCTTTCACTTTCTTAATTTTCTTTCCCTTTTGTCTCTCCCCCTCTCTCCCTTCCCTCTCTCGGCAGACCACGTTGCCCTCTCTGTTTGTTGAGCGTATTCATACAATGCGACTTCTTGTGGCGTGCTTGGCCACAAAAGGCATAAAGGAGTCCTCCACCTCTCTTTCTACTCTTTCGGCAACCCTTTTCTTACCATTCTCCTCCCACGACAGTTACAGCTCACAAGGATGACTTGGCCATTCACAACAACAGACACAACCTCGACAGCAACAAGAGCAACAGCATTGAGAAACCCACTCGACCTGCCAGAGATCCGCCTCCTCATCGCCCCTTACCTCGATCGCGCCTCCTTACTAGCCTGCTGTCAAGTCAACCGCGCATTCCTTTCTTCCTTTCGCTACGTCCTCACCTGGGCCTCTGTAACCCTCGAACGCAGCACACGAGAAGATTTCCCCCTCTGGCTCATCCAACAGAACGAACACCTTATCCGACGCCTCGTCCTTGAAGACACACAAGTCTTTATCAACGGCTGGAAGTTTCTTCATTGTCGAAACTTGAAGGTACTGGATTTGTGTGTGGACTCGAGACGGTTCGATGATGATCATGGACGACACCCTGCGATTCGGGAAGTGGGCGCGCAGATGCAGCAACTTGTTCGACAGAACCTGGGACTGGAGGAGCTGAGGATTAATTGGGCACCAATGAGTTTGCAGCATCGGCAGATTCTGAACAGGGAATTGGACAATGTGTATTCGTATTCGATTGTGAGGTTGACGCTGTTTGAGGCGACCTGTGATGCGTATATGATTAATGCGTTGATTGAGCATTGTCCAAGGATGGAGGAGTTGGAGATAGAGGGGTACCAATTGATACCCCCAGGTGGGCTGCAGGTGGAGCTGGAGTTGAAGCAGGTCAGGAAGTTGACGATGGCGAGGGTGGCGTGTCGACATGGGCATGTTCTTTTCGTTGGCCCCGAGGTTAGGGAGTTGAGGTTGCGGTTCTTTTTGCACCATACGCTGGTGGGGCCTTCGTGGGGGTTGCCGAAACTGGAGTCGTTGTATTGTGAGGACCTGGAGGGTGCGGTGGCGAACAGGGTTATTGGGCAGTGGAATGTCAATCAGCTTCGCAAGGTTGAGCTGCGGAAGATGAGTGATTTGAGGGAGACTCTGACGTGTCTCGTTGAACGGTCTGAAGGGACGATACGGGAGCTGACAGTGGATATGGATTCGATGTGGACGTTGTCGTTTGCGGAGAGGAGGGAGTTTTTGGGACAGATGCCTCAGCTGGAGAAGTTGAATGGGTATCACCCGAGGTCATGGGCATCTTCTGCACAGAGCTGCACCATTAGTTGAACCCCTCCTCCTCCAGCAGCAAAGTAAGGTTATGTATATGATTCGATAGCGCATCCCGCAGTTTTCTAACACTCAAATAAAAAAAGTACGCTTTCTCTTTCCCTTTCTTCTTTTTCTTGTTACTTTTCATTCAGCAACACCCACAAACCATCGTCACCAGCCAGAAAAGCACCAACAAACAGATGCAAGAAGCCCTCTCGCTCTCAGAGATCAGGACCCACATCGGCCTCTTCCTCATCTCTAACACCAACAACAGCAAGCGAGACCTCATCGCTTGCATGAACGTCTGCAAGGACTGGCGAGCAGACTTTCGACGACTCCTCTACCGTGACCTTGTCCTCGGCCACCGCACCTTCCAACCTATCCTCAGTCATACCCAGTGGCGCGCTTATGGGATTCATACCCAGTCTCTTGTTCTGGAGGAACCTTCGGTCATGCAGAAGGTTAACCCGAATATCATTCGGGGGAAATATAGTGGGATGGGTGCTGGGGGTGGTCAGGGATCCAAGAGTGTGCTAAGGTCTTCGGACTATAACCTCGATCCGATCCAGTACTGTCCGAACTTGTTACACCTCACCGTCAAGCTCAGCCCGATCGTTCAGGGACTCTGTTATTGGACTCGAGAAGGGGACGACGATGATGACTATGGGCATGATGATAACGACTCTTTGGGAGCTGCCCCACCAGCACGGTTCAGAACTACAGTTGCATTTCGATACAATCAGCAGAATCAGACTTGGTTCGTCAAATCCAGTAACCGGATCCTGGCCTTGCTAGAGTATCACCCCAACCTCCGAAGTTTCCATTGGATCGGCGACTCGAACGTGCATATGGAACGGATTGGACGGCACTTGCTGTCGAAGCAATCACCTCATTGTCTGGTCGATCTGGCACTGGATTCTTTCACGGCTACTTGTGCGGAGATCAACAGGATCATTGAGAACTGCCCCGAGCTTCGACGGCTATGTTTGATGTCTTTGCATCTAGTGTCCACGGCGATGTGGCCTGACTTGGAACCGGAGCAGGAGATATCCACAGTCTCGATTGCCCCAACATCACCAACAACATCGTCACCGACTCTCCTGCAGCCAACTCAAATCCAGCCAACCCTCTACCTAGCCAACATACAATCCCTGACCCTTGACCGCCCACAGTTCCTCGCCCCAGGAATCTTCAAAATCCACGGCCCACACCTCCAACACCTAGAACTCGTTGACTGTGCTTTCCCCCCTTCCTTTCTCATTGAAATCAGCAGAGCCCGAATCGAGGGTTCGCCACATGCCCTGCTCACCCCTCACGTCGTCGAATGGAACTGTCCCCTGCTTACAGGGTTCAAACACGATCAAGGAAGTCTCATGCCAGAAGCCTTCTCACACAACCTCCTATCATCCACCAAAACTCCCTTCCGGTCGCTCGAACTCCTCAAATTGACCCTCCAACCAACCTTTGTCGCGGACCTGACCGCGTATCCCAATTTATGCCAGCAACTGACACACCTGGACCTCTCAGAAAGTGAACGCATCAAGAGCACCGATCTCCAGTCCCTGCTCTGCCATCTCCCCGCCCTCCTCGACTTCAAAGGCCCCGCAGGCGTTCTCTGGGGAGAAGATGTCTTCCATTCTCCCAAACCTTGGGCATGTCTTAAACTCCAGAAACTCCAACTGCTCATCTGTCTCGCCCGACCGGATTCAGGGCTTTGGGAATCCGACAATCTCTTCTTTGGATTCCCACTCTGGGATGCCCTCCCTGCAGACTCGAACCGCTTCCTTCAGGTTCAAGAGGCTTTGTTCCTTCAGCTAGGCAAGCTCACAGAGTTGGAGGTTTTGGATTTGTCGGGTGGATACGAGATCGAACATTTCTTGCATGAGGTGCCGCGTGGGTTACCGTGGACGCTGGAGGCCGGATTGGAGGCATTGCAAGGGCTGAGGAGAATGAAGGAGTTGACGGTTTCTGGGTGGGAGAACAAGATGACGAGGAAGGAGGCTCAGTGGTTCCGGCAGTGGTGGCCAGAGTTGAGGGCGATCCGGACAAAGAACGACGGTGCTTTTTCGAGGCCGTCGCGATCACAAGCACCTCAGCAACAGCGACAGGAGGAGGACGACGACGATAAGCCTGTGAGCGAGGAGCAGGTGGTGGGCTGGCTTGCCTTCCGGATGTGTCTTCACCAAGAATGGCCCGCGCGGTTCCCCGATCCTATGCTCTAGGTTATTTCATTCTTTTTGATATGAAGCTAATTAATAATAGACATCTTTTTTAATATGATCCGCAAAATGCAAACTAAAAAAAAAAGTAGCAAACAAAGACACACAGTCGCCTAAAAAGGAGAAAGATCAATCTCAGGCCTGATCTCCTTCAACCACTTCATGTGCGGCAAGAACTCCCCTTCAACAAAGGGGTCCTCAGGGCAGAAATCCGCCTCCTCCAACTTTGGCCAAGCGTCCGCAATCCACTGAACCTCCCTCATCCCAACAACAACCCTATTCTCATCCGAGTAGGAACTAAAAGACCCACGCAACGACCTCAAATTCTTCAACCCGCCCCACAAGTCCAAGAACCCCGGTCGACCAGCAACGGGGTCGCCCAGGGACTGCAGTGCAGGGAACGTCAGATATCCCAATGAGTTATGCTCGATCCTCCACAGTTCCAAGACTTCCAGCTCTGTCTGTACGCCCAGTTGTTTGTAGAACTTTTCGAGGACTGCCATCTGTCTTTGTTCTTGATCCGTAAAAAGAATAGGTGTAGGACGAAGGTAATAGGGCTCTGGAGATTTGTCATCCTCCCTGAAACCAGCAGCAGAATAGGCAGCCTCAGCAGTAGCATGAGCATCAGTAGACGACAATGCAGGAACAGAGCGAACAAGGTCGCCGAGCGAAATCCGGAGGTTGAGTTCCTTGATCCGCGAGCTCGCCCACTTTCTCTCAACGACCTCTGAAACCGTCAACACGGGCCCATCCGTCCTCCAAGCACCGCCGCCTCCAAGAATAAACCTTTCTAGGTTGGGGCACTCAAACAACACGAGCTGAATAAACGGGGTGTCCATCTCCTTGTTGGAATCAAACTGCACCCAAGACAACGCCGCCGTATGTCTCCTGAACGCCGCCGATAATCTGCTCGAGATCTTAAAATACCCTACTGCCACAAACTTCTCCAACGCAGGCGCCGCCACCATCGACTCCATGATCTCGAGCACCAGCATCTCCTGGCGATCATCCACGAAGCCTTTGCAGTTCATCTCCGTGAGCTTAGGACAACCCTTGCCAATTGTGCGTCCGACCGAGACAATGTCGACCGTCGACTTCAGAGGGTCGAACTTCGTGCCCATAAACGGCAGCATAAGATGTTGCAGATTCGGGCAGTCTCTAAAGACCTCGCAGACTTCCTCCGTCGTCAGGTACGCCAATTCTTGGAGCGCCAGAGACGTCAAGTTGTCCAGTTTCCGTCCTCTTTTGTGGTCGACACCCCAAGAGATAATCTTTTGTAAGGCGGTGCTGGGGCACTCCGAATCATCCTCGCCGTAATCGTCGCCATTCGATCCCTCAACCTCAACCTCAACCGCCAGTGCCTGAATCGAGCGCGGGCAGGCAAGGAAGAATGAGTAAGTCAGCAGAGTCCACAAAAACCTGTTCCCTATGAGACCCAGAACCAATTTCTCCAGTCTGTTCAGTTTGGAGATAGTCTTCGCCAAGACATACAGCGCCCCGGTGTTGTTTGCCGGTATCCCGAAAATGCTGACCTGGACCAGGTTCGGGTTCAAATGCAAGATCCAGCAGACCTGTGTGACATGGTTGGTGGTCTCATACTTGTCCAGGAAGCACTCGCCCTCAAACTCATCCTGCACATAATCCAGCCCAATCTGGACCGATAGACGCGTAAGACGCGTCATGGGCGGGAACGGGATCAAGAGGCAAGGTCGTGGATCTGGCAGGGGAACCCACTGAGGACACGAAAATGCACACGCTGCGTCGCCGCCTCGACTGAGTAGCAACCTCGAGGCCATTTCGTGGAACGCAAGAACGGCGTTAAAGTAGTAGACAGAGAAAGTCCTTCCTGTATCGAGAGAGCGGACGTGTTGAACGTTCCTGGCAAGGGCCTGGAGAGCGTCGGGGCTGTCGAGTAGATATCCTGTGTGGCAGACCATGTATTGGTAGAAATACGGGAGACAGAACGCGTGGAGGCGATGGGAGGTCTGCATGAGGTTGGAGAGTTCTGCCTGGGTTAGGTATATGATCAGTTTATGAACCAGTTCTGGGATGGCAAAGACTTCGTCGCAGGCTGAAACCATGACTTGAAGGCTGGATGGGTGAGTGAAGAAGAGAAGGGTAGGGAAAAGAGGAATGATGAAGGGTAGGGAAAAGAGAATGATGGGAATGGATTGTTTTTTGCCTCTTGTAAAAAAAAAAGGAGCTGTGGACAGTCACGATTGACCATGCAAACTCGTAGGCTCTCGCGACTTTACTCATCAGCCCCGCCACCTTGGACACAAAGCCATCTCACTACAGCCAGCCCTTGCTTACAGACAGGTACGCGGATCAAAATATTTCACTTGGAATGGTTCCAAGTATAGATGGTAAAGTTGGAAAAGACTTTAACGTGTAACAAAGATGTTCTTAATTTAACGACATTGAACCTTTAGCTTGGGTCGTTTCGACTGCAGCCAGTGCAAGCAACCATCATCAGACCTACTACCACAATCCCCGTGTTCTTCAAGCTTTGGATGTCTAGGCGGCTCCAACTCGATCCTCTCCAGTTTCGGCCACTGCTCGACCATCCACTCCATCTCGGCCTGCCCCAGCGCCAGACGGGTCTCTCTTGTGTAGGCCGAAACCGATCCCACCAACTCTTTCAAGTTTTTGAGTCCACTAAAAAGTCCCAGAAACCCCGGTCGACCCTTGTCCTTGTCTTCTAACGCCAACATCCCAGGAAACGAGCAGCAACAATAATCAACTCCGCGATCGGGTGTGGTGGCAACAAAAATCTCCAGTGTCTCCAGAAGAGACAGAGATCCGAGTAGAGCCGGATAAAGGTGAGATCGGTGCTAAGTGCCCGCACATCCTGACCGTATCTCGTTAAAGATGACAAGGTGCACGTTCCGCTGGAGATAATGACCTTGGTAGAGGAGCTTATTCTTCAATTTATTTCTGTTGGCACGCAAAAGGAGGAAAAGGTACAGGTTCAAAAGTCACATTCAGTCCAAGCATATTTTTTTTTATTTCAATGCCCTGCAACCCATTAACGCTGCAAAGACCGCATGTTAAGGCCAGGCATTTGTTCCTCCAACCAAGCAAAGCAAGGCCTAATCTCTGACCGTGCGTCAAAAAACTCTGCCCTCTTCAACCGAGGCCAATTCTCCCTGATCCACTCCACTTCCTTCCACCCCATAGTCGCCTTCGTCTCCTTCGTCGACACATTCACGAACCCCTCGAGGATTTTCAACTTCTTGAGCCCAGACAGCAGCCCAAGGAACCCGGGGAGACCCTTGGTCTTGTCGCCGTCCAATGTCAGCATCCCTGGAAAGACGTACCGGTTCCAACCGGTCAGATTTTCGTCCTCCTCTTCCTCGTCCTCATCCGGAACACTGATAATCAGCGACAAATGCTCCAGCTCCGTCAACATGCCGATTTGCCTATATAGGATATTCAGGAACGACAATTGGTCCTGCTCCTCGTCCGACAACAAAACTGGTGCATCTCGTAAGTATAGGGATGACCTGAGGATTCCTGTGTCGCCAATGTTGACGATGAGCTTGAGCGTCCGGAGCCTTGTCGACGCCCAAGGGATAGCAACGAGATCCGCCAGATGTATCTCGCCAACTGAGTAGTAACAACTTTCGGTTTCGATGTCGAATACCTCCAGTGCCTCACAATCGATCAGGATTGTCTGGATGGTGTCTTCGGTCAACTCTGCATATTCAATGACGATGGCGGTCAGGGAAGCGGCATGTCGTTCGATAGCTTCCCCTAGCTCTCCCGATCTGTCGGTGAACTCCTTGAACTCTAATGCCCTCAGCGTGTCCCGTGGCATAGCATTCATGATAGCCATTGCTTCCTGCTCCTCCTGGCCGTACGTATCGTTGCCCCAACTGAGGGTGTGAAGGCTCGGACAGTGATTGACAATAAACTGTGCCAACCCTGGTCTGATGATCTTCGGGATCACCCTGATATTTGGCATCTCCATCTGGACGAGCGCCGGGCACTGCTGGATCATGGATCGGAAAGTGTCGTCCATGAACCCCGGGAAGGTTTGGACCTGCCAATGCGTCAAATTCAGCAATGGCTCCTGTCGCCTTGACACCGGGCCCTGAGTCGTCCTGACACCTCTGTCGAATGTTGCGGGATCCTTGTACTGTTGACAAAGATTGAGGTTGAATATTCTTATCGATTGGGGGAGGCTGAAAAAAATGGTGGAAATGGTGTGGTCCAGGACGTCGGCAGTGGAAAGAAGACTGGTGTGGAGCTCTTGTAACTGAGTCAGACCGTTGAGTGTTCGTGCAAGAAGGTTGATGTCGTCCATGCAGAACGTGGGTAGGTCGTGCAAAGTCAGCCGCGTCAAACGCGGGCTCAATTGGACGACGTAGCACACTAGCGCAAGATATCCGCCGTTGTGATAGAGTGAAGTGAAGGCAGAGGTGTCGCTGGTGAAGCACCGAGAGGTGCTGCAGGAGAGTGCTTGTAGGTCGCTCATGGGTGGAAACGGAACCACTAGGGTAGTACGAAAGTCGATAGGAGGGAGCCATGGTGGTAGCGACGGAGAAGTACCGGACACCGTGTGCTGCAAGTCCTGAAGGGTGATAATCCCGCGATAGTACTGGAAGAAAAAGTCATCAGGCATGGTGATGTCTCGTACCGAACGCGAGCACGCAGAAAGAGCCAAGAGGGCGTCCGGAGAGGTGCAAAGCGCCTTGTGGAGGTATTCGAGGTCGAGGGTGTGGTAGAGGTATGGCGAGGAGATCTTGTTCAATCTCTTGCTGGTCAACATGAGATGCACAATGCTTTTTTTGGGCAGGAGCATGGCAACCATGGCCACGAGCTCAGTCGCCTTGAAGAATCGAGCGCAAGCTGAGTCCATACCAGGGAAAGTGCTGGCAGACAGGGCAGGGTGAGTGAAAGTTAAGAAACGGTCTTTGCAGGAGAAGATGCGAAACGGGCCATCCGATACGAATATCACCGCAAAGCCACATGGTAAACTTGACCCTGGCGATGCGAATCATACACAGGGACGCTGGCATGATCACCTCCACACCATGCACAACATATCAAAGATAACTAATTTCGTCCGCAATACTATTTCTTTTCTTCAATAAGAACAATTAAAAGCTATCGCTGTAGGAAGTAGCCATACCTAGTTCTCAATAACAATCCGTAACCCACCCATCACCCTCGTACGCCTCTAGCTTCTCCATCATCTTGTGCCTAACAAGTGTCAATGTCTGACCATGCTCCGACTAGCCCTCCCCGTCAGATAGCCACCCAGGTCCCATCGAAGCTGCTCCTTCTTTTTCTCCAACCAAGAGACTCCTTTGGAAATACTCCAAGTTCGTCATTGACTGCAGCCGTCGGTACAACGTTCCCGTCAACGAGGCTACCGTCTTTTGCGCTTCACTGATGACACTCTCGCTCTTGGACTCTCCTGGCGCCAACTTGCTGAACTCTCTCATCGATTGCACTTGGATTGACAAGATCAGCTCATGAAGTACCTGTGAGGCCCACTCGAACGACACCGGTTCCCTCAAGGGTATCGCTGTCGCCTCCACATACTTGGCTTAGATCGTAAACTCCTCTAGTATTCGGCATCCCTCGAGAATGACCCGGACATCATCGCCGTCAGAACATCGGCAAAACTCAGAAGCCTTCAAAGACGGTCGACTTGACAGTGCTCTTTGGCAGGGACTCAAGAATGGCACCCATCAGCGATTCATTGACGTCCGTGTAGGTCAGGATGTTGGTCGTCAGATGCTCCAGCCTAGGACATTGTTTCCCGATAGACCGACCAACCATGCTCAATATCCCGCCACTTAATCTCCATCGTCGGCACCTCCATCCGGACTAAAGCTTGCACCGCTTGATCAACGCACAGATAAACTCGGCGCTGAAGCCTCGCTTTGACGAAAAGTCCCAGTCCTGCAGATGCTCGAACGGCTCCTATCTCCTACGTCTCTTGGCGGGCCTATCGACTGGGCTTCACGGGCGAGTCGCTCAAAAAATCATCCGCGCCATGACGACACCGGCGAATAGGACGAAACTGGAACTCGCAATTGGTTCCAGAATACCTCGAAAAGATCTCCCAGACAACGTGGTCGTCCCAGGCGTCCACAGGGATCATGAGACCTAACCCTTATGACTCAAGCTGGTCCAGATTCAACAGGGCATCGCAAAAGACCTTGAAATCGGTGTTGTCGTTGGTGGGAAAGTCGTCCAGAACCAAAATACATTCCGCTCTTATAGCCGACTGGGGTGTCATATTTGGCGTTGCGTGGTGGATCATCGGAATTCATTTCGGTCAAGGCAATAACGGTGAAAAATCTCAGGCACATCAGCCGCCATAGACACGACCTGTCTCAGTCTCTCGCGTTCAAGAACAATAAGGAATGTTTTTTCTTCCTTGTATGTAAACGTAGAATAAAAAAAAAGTACTAAACCATCTTCAGATCGGGCCTCTCCTTCTTGAGCCAGCGAAAGCTATGTCGGCTGACGCTACTCCGAAAGAATTCAACCTCCTCCAACGCAGGCAAATGATCCGCAAACCAAGCCAACTCCCTAGCGCCCATCGTACGTCGTGCCTCCTCCGTCATCGCTCCAAACGAACCCCTGAGAACTTTCAATTTAGTGAGACCCGTCAACGTCTCAAGGTAACCGGGCCAACCTTTTCCTACATTATCGAGCGAGAGCCAACCAGGGAACGACACGTCTTGATAACTAAAATAATCCGTGTCGCTATCGTGGTCGCTAAAGAGTTCGTCTTCGTCACTGCCGTCGTCAGCAGAGGCCTCATACTCTACCACATCTTCATCGTCGTCTTCTAAATCGGCGCTCACGATCTTTGAGGAGTCGTCTATCGCCACCTTCAACTCCAGTCCCTCCAGCTCCTTCAACACCCCGATCTGATGATAGAACCTCCCCAGCTGCGACATCCATTCGGTCTCCTCTTCCGTTAAAACAACGGGGGCTGGTTGAGAATACAACGGGTTTCTGAGCGTGTTTAGATCGCCGATGCTGATCTCAAGTTGGAGATTCTGAAAACACCCATGACTGTGAGACAGCGTCCGCGAGATGAAGGCTGATATCGTCACCACCACCCACGCCCTCGTTGACGATAAAGGTTTTCAAGGCGACGCAGGAGACAAGAATCGAAAGGATGGTGGCGCTGGAAATATTATGGCAGTTGTAGAACTCGATAACGGTCAAGCTTCCCGAATGTCGCTGGATGGCCTGTCCTAGTTGAGGTCGTTCGTTCTGAAAGCCGTTGATGTAGAACGACTCGAGACTATTCTCGGCAACAGCCGCAAGAACCTTGCCGACAAACTCTCCAGACCGGTCGTGATATTTTTGTGTGTCGTCTCCAAGGTGCTTCAAGTCTGGGCAGTTGTCGACGATACACTTGGCGATACGGCTGTAGTCTTGGGGTTCTTGTACGAAGGGACTTCAAGACGAGTGATTGATCCGCAGTGTTCGAGGATGGAGCAGATCGAATCCGCGTTCACGAAATCCGCCTTGGAGCCTTGCCATGCTGTCAATCGAGGGAGAGGGTCCCGCCGGGGTGTGAAGGGTTCGACGGAGCTGTTGGAGTGAGCTGGCGGGACCACAAGTATTCTACGTATAGCACAGTGAACGATATTGACGGTGAACGAGTTGAGTGATGGCGAGCAGCTGAAGAAGATGCGTGGGGTAATGTTGGTGATCCTTTGTTGCGGAGAAGGCGATACAGTCAGAAACAGCGTCTCCAAGTGGGTCAATGTGGCGACAGTCTTGGCAAGGAGGCGGACATCGTCGTCATCGTGGACGGGGACTTCATACAGGGTCAACTCCAGGAGAAGGGGGCTTGTTGGATGAAGTAGCAGAGCTGAGCAAGAGATGCTCCAGTCCGGCAAAACTCTTCAAGGGTGGGGTGATCAGTTCTGCATTCGAGGTTAGTGAGGTGAACCAGCGGCGATAATGGCATCACAAAACCCGTGCGAGGATATGTCGATGGAACCCATCTGGGTCGACTGTAAGGGCAGCGTCCAGCAGGTCCTGAAAGGCCATGAGCCCAGCAAAGTAGAGCGAACAAAAGTTGCGGGATATATTCAGGGACCGGACATGACGGACGTTCTTTCCGAGAACCATCAAGGAGTCCGGTGTGGTGGGCAGGCTTGTTAGGTAGTCACTATCCAAAGTGTGAAAGAGCACAGGAGTGAAAAGGTCGTAGAAGTGTTTGAGTGTTTGTTGGTCTGCATGAGCCGAGAGACGGACGACTTTGGCATGAACTCCCCGAGCATGAGCATGAGTTCCCCAACACCGAAGAAGCGATCACGAGCAGAGTCCATTATCCCCTAGTTTGTTTGTGGTGCAAATTTGCACCACATTTTTTTCGATTTATCCAGGTTTCCAATAAAACGGGTTAGAAGACTACGTCGTGGGAGTGTCCTTGTCGTCTTCGTCACATTACATTCATCACTCTCGAATTCAGCTCTTTTTTTCTCATCATCATCCCGCAACCCATTACCTTTTTTTTCTCACACATCGACTTCACCCTACTCACTCATGGACTCCAGTCTCGAGTTCCTCGGTTCCTTTGACGTTTCTGACTCTCAAGGCACCGTAGTAGCATCTGCGGAGGAGGTTGACGAGGCACAGGAGGAGGAGGAGTTGTTGTTTTCGGTCCGTTGTCGTACTCGACCAACGCCTGGTACAGATAGCTCTGGGGACGAGGAGGAGGAGAAGGCAGGAGATGAAGGGGTGATAGATGCTTCAGCTCCACCGACAAAGAAAATCTTCTCCGACCCAGTATTGACGGATTTGGCAGACAACACTAACGCATATGCAGCATCAAAAGGAGCCGGCACAGGAGAGGGATCGCGCCAATGGGTAAAGACCACACCTGACGAACTGCGCACATTCCTCGGCATCATTGTCTACATGGGCGTGTTCAGGCAGAACTCTGTCTCTGAGTATTGGTCAACCTTCCCTGAATGTCCTCAACACAACATCACTACCTTCATGTCCCTCGTCCGCTTCGAACAACTGAAGCGTTTTTTTCATGTCTCCAACCCCAACGAGCCTGAGCAACATTGGTTCTCAAAAGTAGAGCCTGTGATAGATAGGTGCTTCGCTTCCTTTTCTTTTATTTAACGAAGAGAGTTACCACTCTTGCCCTCTGCTAGGCTATAAAAGCTAACCGCGACAATCGCCAGACCCACTTCAGGTTCTTACCGTGTTCTGGATGGACAATAGACCTGTCTCCATACTCTTCACCGTCCATGCCCTCAGCCTCGGCGACAACGACTGATCCGTTGTCCAAGATCGCAGACGCCCTCGAGAGACAAGCGCCAGCGCAAAGTCAGTGCGGGCTGCTCATAAAGGACGTTCCATGGCGTTACTTCCCATCCCAAAATCATCGATGACAACAACCACCACATGAACGGAGTCGACATTGCCGACCAGTTATGCAGCTACTATTCGACTCAGCTCAGGACTTATCGCGCATGGGCTCCGATCTTCTTCTGATTACTGGATACAACAATCATCAATGCGTACCTTATCAACAAACTCTTCGGCTCTTCCATGCATCAAAGGGAGTTCCGATAGTTCCTGGCTAAGGATCTGATAGTGTCCGCCAAATGTCGCGACACCCCTACCTAAGTATCCCCTTATGTCTCGAGAAAATTCAAGGGACCAAACGATGAATTACTGAACTACTCATGACTGGCTGCATCCTGTGCAGATAAAATAAACGAGAAGGCATAACACAAGCATATCCTCAACCCACCCAGCGAATCTGCTCTCTCTGCAAGGTCTTCTTTGCACCAAGAATGATTTAGGAGTATCATACGCGCCCTGAGTTTTAGAAAGGGTCCTGTGCCCGCGCCGATAGCGTTGCATCTCAGTGTCTGTCCACTGAGGCTGAAATGCATGGGATTGGTGAGAAAGAACCATCCTACCCCTTAATTCGCTCACCCCTAGCTCATAGCTCTGACGTTCACGGTGACTGAGTGAGCGGCTGAGGCTGAGTGAATGAAGACCACCAGCTTCTTTTTCACCGTTCTGCATCGCCTCGTGTCCCTTTCTTTTAAACTGCCCCCTTCTCCCCCTTCTCCTAAACTGCCCCCCTTCTCAATTGAGCTTCAACAGACCTATGTAAGGCCGATGTTGAAAGTGATTGCGACCCGTGCTATTGAGAGAATCTATGAAATCAGACTCGCGCTAACCATCAACCTTCAATTGTGAATTACTTAGAATTACAGCAATGGGCATCACAAATCTCACCGGGTGGATCAAGGCGACAGACGGAGTGGAGGAAGATCTAACCAAGAAGAGATGTGAAGTAGATTTTGCGTCGATGTTTTTTGCGTTGGTGAACTCGCTGAGTTTCCATAAAACAGTGCAGTTCGCTGCAAAGTCCGCCCGATGTCAATTATCTACTCACACAACAACATCGACACAGCAGGCTTCATCCGGCCCAGAGCGAGCAGCCGACGTCGATGGCGCGGGCATGTCTACTCACACAACAACATCTACACGGCAGGCTTCATCCAGCCCAAAACGAGCAGCCGACGTCGACGATGCGGACACCGCCGACACTGCTTCCTCTAACAAACGCCTCCGACCCCTCCAAATCAGCTCCGGGTCGTCGACTCTCGTTGAAGACATGCAGCGATTGCTGGCAACACAGCCATCCCAGATTCGGTTCGACGAGAGCGGCGCTCTGACCACAATCTGCGCCCAGGAAAAGGTCATTGTAAGTACCATAAATCATACCATCTGGAGAAAAGCTAAATGGATTGTACTGATCTGGAAAAAAGTTAAATGATTCATGCTATCTGGAGAAAAGCTAAATTGCTGTGACCAAAATAATAATTCGCTGTTTCCAATAGGATTTTCGATCTGTCGGAGCCGCAATTGAGAAGATTCTCTCCTCACGATTGTCTAAGGACATCACAATGCTCCATATGGATGGTCTACGATCAATGGAGAAGGAATGGGCGCACGGCAAACGAGATCAGGCGCTGTCCAAGCAGTTGGAAACACTTGAACGAGATTACACGGAGGGCAAGCTGCACAACAAAAGACAGCTATACAAACGCCTGAAGGCGTCGTACCGAGCACCACCGGAGGCATTGCGCGCCGTTTCGGAAGTACTGCGTCAGAGTGGATGGACGATTTGCCAATGTCTCAACCAAAGCGACACGTGCATTGCGCGGACAGTCAACAACGCTGCCGTACCCGGAGATATCCGAGTTATCACCAAGGACTCCGATCTCATGGCATTCGAGTCAATCATGTCCGTCACCATGCCAGTCAAGAACACTTGGACTACTTTCCACAAAGATGAGCTTCTGAACGAGCATGGCCTTCCGACCCCTGTACATCTAACGCTTGCCGCTCTGGTATCGAACAACGACTACACCAACGGAGTTTTTTCCTATGGCTTGACATCCAATGTCGATACGATCCGTCAGTTCAAGATGACAGGTCTTGATGGAACGGTTGGCCAAGATCGAGTGGAGGTGGTTCGGATCTATGTTAGGCGCTACCTTGACATAATACACCAAAAGGCCCGTACAATCAAGGACTCAGCCACCCAAAGCGCACGTCGTCGACTGCGATGCAATCCTAACCCAACGGTGAAGGCACACGACAAGGATCTGAGGAGGATCGAAACGGCCGATCGACAGCTGCGTGTAGATGTGACAGAATTCGGCCATGCTCTCAAGACATTCGTGCTTTGCGAGGAAACCACTCTGGACAACAACAGGATCAGCCCGGCGGCCGATACACACACACGACTGATGGCCATAATTAAGGAAACAGAATTCAACAAAGCCTACAATGATTGGCGTCGCTTTTCCGCGAGTCGGACGGGATCGTTGCCGCCTGGGCTGCTAGTAGATCCAGCTTCTCAGGGGGCGGCGACAGACGCAGAGGCAACGCCACCACCACTCCCAACGGCACCCAAGGCAGGATCAGCACCATATCCGCAAGCTACATCAGCGGGATCACCTTCCATCAGGCAGACGCATGGCCCAGCCGAACATCCACCATCGCACAAGCAAAAGATTAAAAAACAACGCCGACATGGTTCACGTGCCCTCCAGCGGCGACGACAGAAGTGGCGTCGTTCCAGGTATGTCTTTTCTCCTGGTATTTTTCTCCGCCTTGTCCAGCTATATACATATATTTCCACCTTAACACAACTCATTGCAAAATCGCATCTAGATTCCGCTCGCGCACAGACGTGCAAGATCGCTATGTGCCGAACACTGTTTTCCTAGAAAAGGCCAGCCCTGTTGATGTCGTGGAACTTTCAGGATTGAAGCCGTCGACCCCCCGTCCTTCAAAGCCCAAGGAGCAATCCCCCCGTATCAACCAAGTGCCTGCCCCCGCTGCCAAGAAGAAAAAGAAAAAACTCCTTGGCGAACCTAAAGGAATAGCTGGACCCAAGGCCTTGAAGAGAGCGTTCCAGTCTGTTTTCGCAACGGTCACGCTCACGACTGGATCCCTGCAAGGCTGCCTAGGAAGATCAACCAATCTGTCGAAAGCAGAGGTTGCGCAGCTAACCCAACACGTGAGTTCGGCAGTCTCTACCGTCAATAGCGCCAAACACATTGTGTACAAGCTTATCGAGATGCGCATTCTACAGCCGCTGATCGAGACTGGACTGAACCAGGCAGAGGATGGACCGGACGAGAGCTTCCTGGAGAAGATCCTGGATTCCGATTGGGCGGAAAGGTTTGTCCAAAACCTACTGTCCTTCGTCTTGAGGAATTCCATTGTCCCCCAAGGACGTCCACCCGCGTCGGACAAGAGCAAGGATGCTGTCGCTGAAGCAATCTCGACGTTTAACGAGTTCAAGAAGACGCTGTGCCCAGGGTTCAAAGCCCTCAACTCAACGGATCTGGCTTTGAGTAATATCATCGCGGAACTTGCACCCAAGATCTGCCTAGATCAAAAACTGCATTACAGGAGAATACCGGAGACTCTTAGAACAAAGGTACCATCTATCCATATCCATTCAGTTTGTCAAATATTTTCAATGGGGTGTAAAACATATTTTAACACTCCTTTTGTTTATGCAATGCCAGCTCTCCAAGCTGTCCATTGATTGCGATGGTCTTCCTGAAATAGATCAAGATGACACCGACGCTGGTGGTGATGCCGGGGCTGCTGACGTTAACGAGGGTGTGGACGACGACGACGCCCTCAAGCGATCCAAGAAGATCATTTTCAAGCCGGGTCATATTCAACTCTGCTGGCGATATTTCCTCCTCTTATCATCATCCAAGCGGCCCCGGTTCTGCACCCAGGCCAAAATGAGCGATTCCTTCATCGACATCAACGAGGAAGCGTTGGTTGCGCTTCTCTGGGGAGAGAAGGCAGCTCAGTTGGACAACGTATGGGAGGACACCCGCTACACTCACAACTGGGCAGCGGCAAAACAGCGTTCTTCGTACGGAGAGGTGATCAAAGAACTATTCATCGGTGACCGAGATGTCATCAAGGAAGCCAGGAATAAGCAGCAGACGACATACGGGAAGAGGACAACAACCATGGCTGAGCGTGAGGAGGCCCATCCACACATCTACGGACAGTTAGAGCTCGCACGGTATTTGACGAATAAGGTCAATTTTTTCCGAGAACGGCACAACGCCTCCTTCACGGCCCCGACACCACCGTTGCCATCATCAACGTCATCGTCATCGACGACCTCCACCCCACCGCCTCTTCCCACCCCACGTCAGCAGCCGCGTTCTTACCGCTACGCCCTCAACAACTATATCAGGACGGATGGCCACCAGCTGCAGATTCTCGCGTATGACCTTACAAAACCCCGCCAATCCCCAAATTACAGTGAGTTTCTTTCTAGGATCGAGAAGCTTTATCCAACGCGGCAGCATCTTATCGACGCGTTTGGCGACGACCTGGATTCAGTCATTGTCGTCGGTATTGATCCCGGAGAGGTAGTGAGTGGTGCATTTTGTTTGACACTTCCCGGTGGAAAAGTCATCAATCTGCTGATCAAGAGGGCCTCCCTATACCAGCCTACTCTGGCCTTCCGAGATTGGGAACAGCATTGGAAAAGGCGACACCCAACAGCTGGTCCAGGCGATGTTGTCGACTCATCCCTTTGGACACGGATTACCGACCTGGACAAGCTCACCACTCTCCCGTCTGTCCACGACCTAGAGAATTCTCTCCCCTCAACGAACTACGACACCTCGTTGGATGCTTTGACGGCAGCTCACAAGAAGTACTACGAGCAGGAACCGCTGATCCACGGGATTTACGCGTCAAGAGAATGGAAGGTAGCGGTTCACGAGCACAGAATGGCGAAAATGTCGGAGTTGGATCTGGCCGTCGCTGGCGTTTTGCGGATGGTGGATGAGGCATGTGAGGGCGTACCCGTCCACCAAAGAAAAGTTTTTTTTGCCCTGGGGAATGGAACCTTCCGGTCTGGCTTTAATCTCTCTTCGGTGCACATCACGTTTCTCAGACGTCTTTTACAGCAGGTACGAAAGGCAAAAAAAAATTGTGAAAGGCATGGTTGTATCTTTTTGTCTTGATTGTGTGCACTCATGATGCCATGGCAAATCTATGGAACACAATTTTATTATTCCTGCACCGATAGAGTGCTGCGCTCGGATACAAGGCTGCCCTGGTCGACGAGTATCTTACTTCCACCATGTGTCCAACATGTGTGGTTGAGAACCGAGCCACCCGCCTCGCCAAGCCGTCGATGAGGACATGCGCCTGTGTTGAGTGCACTCGGTGGATTCACCGAGATGGAGTGGGGGCGCACAACATCGCTTTGATCGGAGAACAGTACCTCAAGTCTCTAGGACGGCCCGAGCCCCTTGCAAGACCCCCCAAACAAACCTAACCTCTATAGATAGAAACTATAGTTTACATTATCCCCTTCTACGGATTAAGGGATAGGCAAAGAAACTTGTTTTATTGGAAGGGGGGGAAAAAGGGGGAGGAGGAGTGGAGGAGATGGAGGAGAAGATGGAGTGAGGAGGGAGTAGAGGAGGAATGAAAATAAATGGCGTTTGTTAAAATCCACTCACGCATACGAAAAATTTCAGAGTTTGCTTTATTTACAACATAAATAAAAGTTCAATGAGAAGAAGCATAGTCATCGCTATCCGATCCCCAACCATACATAGTATTCGTCTTGAGCTCCTTCAGCGTCTCGAACCGATGATAGGAGAGCGGCCGGCCCGACTTGACCTCGCCTCCATATAAGAACCCAGGCCCCGACGACGTAAACATCAAGCTCTCCTCCCAATCCTCGAGCGATAGCTGCAATTGAAGATTCTCGAGGCTCTTCAGGAATCGGATCTTGCGGTACAGCTTTCCCAAGGAAGTATTGCCTTTCTTTTGTGCCTCCGTGATGACCCCCGATTTTGACATGGCCTTGGACCCGCTGGGAACTTCCATCGCATCGAGCTCGCGCATGTTGGGAAACTTGACCGCAAACTGGAGGTACCGGAGTGACTGTGAGACCCACTTGTAGCGCAAGATATCCTTCAACGGCACCTCGAAACACTCCACCCTCCTGCCGTCGACGTTGAGTACCTCCAACACCTGGCATCCGTGGAGAATGGTCTCAAGAAAGTATCCGTCAAAATGACGGGTCTCCTCAAACTCGATCCTGATCAGCGAGTCAAAGTGTCTGTGGAGCGAGTCTGCCAAATCTGTGTTGTGGTCATGGTACCCCTCAACATAAATCGACTGGAGCGTATTTTCCGGCATGTTCTTGATAATATCGGTCATCAGCGACGTGGAGACATCGCAGTTGTCGTCAAAGTGGATGGAGAGATCCGCCAACTTGGGGCAGCAATCGACAATGTGCTGGGAGACATAGTCCTCATCCTGGCCGCGTTCGAGAACAGGGACCTCTAGGGTAACGATCTCGGGGCAATGGTCCATCATGGCAAGAACCGTATCGGCGTCGAAACCACCTGGAAACTGAGCACGTAAACTCGTCAACTTGCTGAGAGGCTCCTTTCGCCTAGGGGAAGTGGGTGGGGACTTGTCATCATTCGTGGCCCTATCGCTCGTGCCGTATCGAGAGGTAACAACAATGCTCGCCTTCTTAATTGATTGTGGGAGGCTGAAGAACAACTTGGCCACAACCTCGTCACTTAGACCAACTTTGGGAATCAGAAGGTTCAAGTCAATCGCGTCCAGCATCTTAAGTCCACTAAAGCTCTTACAGAGAGAGTCAATGAACTCCTCGTCGTCGATGAATAACTGGCCCAGCTGCAGGCTAACAAGCCGGGGGCATCCTTGAAGGGCGCGAGCAATCGACTTCGGGAAAGCGTCCTTCTCGATGGCAGCCTCGGACTGGGAGTGCGAGAAACCATACGAACGCTCCAATTCGCAGGTGAAGGACGTCAGGTTCGGTAAGTGCGGAAAGACAGTGGCAACTCGAGGAGACGATGACGCTTCAGAAGAGTTAGAAGAGGTACCGACGATAAAGCGGAGACAGAACTCTCTAGCCAAGGAAATGGAACGGACGAGTTCGGCGTGCTTAATGAGGCCCCTGATACCCGCCGAGCCAGAGAACATTCGCCAAGTGTGGAAGCTATTGAGAGTGTGGTAGAGGACTGTGGGGCCGCTCCTGTAAAGTGACCTGTTGGTCCTCATGAGCCTGGCGATGGATTGACTTGTAGAGAAGGAGAGGACCATCTCGACGAGCTCGGGTAGATCCCAGAATCGGGCGACAGCAGACACCATGTTGGTGGTGGTGATGTGTTTGATGAGTGAAATGAAAAGATGGAATGAAAAGATTGAATGGGAGAAGAGGTTAGGAGGAGGAGCTAAGAATGAGAAGGAGAAAGAAAGTTTTTTTTTTTATTTTGCGCTTATTCCTATTGATTGCCGTTGGAGTTTGGCGTGGCTTTCAGTGAACCGGTGGTGATGGTGAGGACAGAGACGAGGGATTAGAGGGAGGAGAAAATAGTGTGTGTGTGTGTGTGTGTGTGTGTCTTCAAAAGGGGAGAGAGTGCAAATGTGTCTGTCGTCTTTTTCTTTTTGTGGGTTCCAAGTGTCAAGAGAGATGGATTTGGTGGCGTACAACGCGCCAGAAAGGATTCAGCCATAAATGCATATCTATTTATTCAAATAAATCCAGGGGTGTTTGGATGTTGGCGCGCTGGTCCACGAGCCATTGAAAGGGCGCTGTCAGGGTGGTGCCCCGGCTGAAGAACGCAATCTTTTCAATACGAGGCCAATGCTGGTGGATCCAGGTGCACACATCCTGGTCGATCGTCAACTTGGTCTCCTCGGTGTTCGCACTAAACGAACCCTGAAGCGTCCTCAAGTTCTTTAGCCCAGCCAACAGATGCAAATATCCTGGACGCCCCGCCTCCTCATCAGCCAGCGCCATCAAACCAGGAAACGAAACATTGCGATAGCACAGGAAATTGTCCTGCCCGTCCATAGCACCAGCAGGGACCGTGATCCTCAGGTCCAAATTCTCCAGCTCATGCAGCGATCCAATTTGCTGGTACAATCGCTTCAGCTGTCGCATTCGGTCCACCGTGGTATCATTGAAAACAATTGGGAGTGGTCGCGAATAGAAGGTCTCCTTCCTGAGATCCTCAATGTCTCCAATGTTGATCTCGATGACCAATCGTCGAATCTTCGTAGAGGCCCACTGCTGAGCAACAGCGTCTGCCAACCGTATCTCGTGCGGGTCATACCCGCCTTCAATCGTCAGCTCCTCCAGTTCCCGACAACCAGCAAGAATGGTCTGAATGGTCGCGCTCTCCATGTGATAACACACCCGCATAATAATGCTCTTCAGAGAACCAAAGTGTCGTTGGAGGGAAGTCCCGAGTCTATGGTTCTCGTCCTCTGCTCCGCCGTACTCTAGTGACACAAGCGTGTCCTGAGCCATGGTGGTTATAAGGGTGGTCAACATGACCGCTAGAGGGTCCTGTCCGCTGTACCAGTGATGGATGTGTTTCAACTTTGGACAGGAAGTCGTGATGACGGTGGCGATTTCCGGTATATCCTCCTCCGAGAGGTATTCGGGCACACGTAGTCGCTCGAGCTCCGGACAGTGGCTCAGAAAGGCGGTAATTGACTCCAAGTCGTGTTTTGCTGTTTCCAACCCAAGCCAGCTCCTTAGCCTGCAAAGTGGTTCCTGGCGTCGTCTCGATTGTTCTGCCGTCACTTTAGAAGCTTCATTACTCGCCGCCGGCCGTACATCGGAACTTATTTGGCTCTGCAGCGTGAGGTCCAAAGTCTCTAATCCCCTGGGAAGCGCGAAAAAGATGGGCGAAAAGACTTTGCTCCTAAGGGTGCTCCTGCTGCACAAACGAAGGTCCAATTTCACGTCTCTCAGCGAGTCCAGCCCGGATAGAGTCCTGGTGATGAGAAGGATGTCCTGCTCGTTGTGAACCGGGACGTCGCGCATGGATAAATCGACGAGCTGTGGGCAAAATCGTAGGATGTGGCAGAGGTGAGCCAGGTAGTCGCCGCTGTAATAGTCGTGGGTGTAAGTCGCGTCGGCTTGTCGTAAATATGATCCGTAGCTCTGGAGTTGTGTCAAGTTGCTCATCCGCGGCGGCGAGGGAGGAAGCTGCTGGTGGGTATCGATGGGTGGACTGCAGGGTTGGCTGGTGTGGTGGTACTGATCTTCGAAGGACTTGAGGCTCCTAGAGTATGGGCCACAGAGGATCCCGTTGAGTGTCATCTTGCGTGCATATCGAAAGCTCATGTCGAGGGAGTCGAGAGAGTCGAAGACGTTCTTCGCTGGTTTTGAACGAATGGAGATTGTTTGGTAGATGAGAGGGGTGTAGATCTCGTTCAGTTTGTGATTGACTTGTGCAAGTGCAACGACAGATGGTGTTGACAGCAAGGGTTCGAGTGCTTGAAAAAGTTCTGGAATCGAGAAGAACTGGGATGCTGGGGAGATCATGGCGGAGGGATGTTAAGCTTGGAAGAGAAATAGAAGTGGGAGGTAAAGAGGAAGACTGAAAGAGATAATTGGAAAGGATAGTTGAGGAGCGTACCAAGTTGTACTTTATGGGTGCAAAAGGCACGCCGCACTTTTTGACACGTCCTAGTGGCAAAAAGATGAAAGAACAAGTCCGCTTTGGTGGCAAACATCTGACGAATAAACAGTTCCGCTTGGAGATAGAAAAGTCGGTGTTCGACAGCCTCGACCAATACTCGGTCATACAGGGCAGCTCCAACCGTCCGATCGTCCGGAACTGACATTTGGTCCACTTGCCAAAGCAGCCCTGGAGTGTCGTCCACCAAGGCGATTTGGCGTTACAGGCTCTCAAGTCGTGACAACCACACTATACCCTCCTGCAAGTGAACAACAGTTGAAAGGGGAGATCTTGACTAGGGTCTCGGAGTGTCGCAGCAGCGACAGAACAAGAGAGAATCCTTGCTCCTCCACCTCTGCCTCTGCTTGTGCTTGTTCCGCCACCTCCACCTCCACCTCCGCCTCCACTACCACGTCATCTTCCCACAGTTCCTCGTCTTGTTACTGCTGTTATTGCTGCCCCTGCTCTCTCTCTCCAAAACTCCGAGGTCGAATGATACGAGTTGCTAATCTAGGATGGTTTGGGCAATAGCAATGATAGTAGAACGAGAGGATCGTCATGACTGTTGGATACATACGCCTTGAGATGGAGGGCATCCAGGTTGTCCATCTTGGCGATTGTGTTGTCCGACAAGACAATGTCGTGAGAGTCGTGGATGTACAAGGCTCTGGTCGAGGTTGGTGAGGCTTGGCAGAGACTCCGGAGACTGAAGGGGTTGGCTTGACGGTGCAAGTCGACCTTGTTCGCACTTCTTCGTGCACGAACAAAAAAAAAGTGACTGGTTTATCATTCGCTTTTTGTACCAAAACCTTGTTAGCCCTAGCCAATTTCGCTTTCTTCTGTCTCTTCTTCCTTCTCTCTTACACCTCCCAATTCCACCCCTGCACATTTCCACAGCAACCGTCCAACTGAAAAGTGTCCACACTCTTCGTCTCGGAAACAGCTACTCAGCAACCACTACCGTCGACATAACCCCATTTGCACACAAACAGACAGACAGCTTTTAACCATGGCAAAAGGCGCAAGGCCATCTCCTGCGTCTGCTCGCACTCCAACCACTCCGCATTCACAGCAAACAACACCACACCCACAAGCACCCTTCTCAGTCAACATCCCCATCATCACCACAACACCACAACAACGTCCACAGCGACAAGCACAAACACCCAGACCACCAAGCTCCCCTTATCCACCGCACCGCGAAAGACTCTCAGGCCTAACAACCCGCTCTCCTCGCAACCAGCAGTCCTCTTCTTCCTCCTCTCAGGGACGGTCCACAGGGGGAAACAACCAACGTCAGTCACCTACTGCAACACAAGGACCTCGAAACATTAACGCCAGGATTAGGCCAGAGGTGGCGTCAGTGGTCAATACTCCGAGCTCTTCGAACAACATAACCTTATCTCCCCGCCGACTGACCCATGGACAAACAGGCTCGGGAACGAGCCATCAGAGCGCTCCCGAAATCACTGACCAGCAGTCTTTTTCAACTCAGCTAGCCATCCCTCCTCTCACCGACCTGCTGGCAAGCATAGGCAATGTCGAGGCGATGCTGGCGTCCTGGGAATCAGAGTCAAGGGACACCGACGAGACGATTCGTCAGCTGTATGCCCAAGAGGCTAATTTGCGCTCAGGATCTCGCTCGACAAGCTCTGCCTTATCTTCATCATCATCGTCACGGGCCACGCCGTTCTCAGCAACTCCCCAAGGTTCCAGCACCAACACCGACACCAACATGGCTGGCAGCAGAGGCTCGATGAGAAAAAAGGCCTCGGATGAGACTATCGCCTGCTCGATTGCCTTTCACAACAGCGAGCGAGCTCGTGCACGCGTGAACCTATTTGAAACGGTCCCAACAGAGGTCTTGTGCGTGATTCTCGGATGGGTTGTGGAACCGATTGGAAAAAAAATGTCTGCGACCGACGACGGCGATGGACTCCGGATCGGCAATCCTCTTCTGTACTGGCACTTGAACCCGGACCGGACTTTACTTCGCCTCGTTTGCCGTTCCTGGAACCAGACTATCGTTTTCATGGCCCGAGAAATCCATGTCAAGCTTGGCTCAGATGAATCCATGGTGAAGCTCTTGGAGACCGAGGAGCGGCGTCGAACTAGACCAGTCACATTGACAAGGACTACAGTGGTTCAAGGTAGAATTGGCGGCGCTCGTCTCCCGCATCTTTCCTTGGCGATCCGAAACGCCTACAGTAACTCGCTCAGTCGGAGTAATATACCTCGACCTCAATCACCACTGCGGCGACAGCAACCAAGTCTACTCGAACAGCAGCTGCAACAGCGACCTCCTTTGAGACGGTCGGCTCGACTCTCGCATGTTACACAACACGCTACGTCATCAATGACACCATCCTCATCGTCGCTCTCAACCCCTACCAGAACCACCCCTCCTTCACAGGCGACCTCAGTTGATTGGGAGCCATCGTTCACTTATATTCACACAAGGACCACAAGGGTAAGTCAAAGTTCTAACAGTACTGCACAGTGTTGTTTATTAATATTCATTCTAACTATTTAGTCGCCACTCCCTCCATTTGTATAGGAACAAAATGAACGTCGACGACTGGTCAAGCAGACCGCGGTGCCAATTCAAGGGTTCTACCGACTTTCTTTGCCTATCCATGCTACAGAAACTACTACTGGATCCACATCAAAGGCATCAAGCTCGACGTGTGCAGGAGGCGAGGTCTCTAGAAGAGTCAACCCATGGTCGTTCCCTCCTTCTGTCAGCTCGCTCTCTGTTGAAGGAGACCTAATCCGGTCATCAGATCCAAAGGAAGATGTTACGCTTTCATCAAGCTATGCAGGAACCAATCCACGACCGGGGGGTGGATCGTTTGATGTCACGTCGAGATCGCCGCAATATCGAATGAGCAACGCTCAATTTGGGACAATGCTTGATCACTGGCTCCGCGCTGCCGCCCCCGAGGGTCTCGTCAAGTTTTCCGTTTCAAGCTCAGCGGACTTTGGATTGAATGGGTAAGAAGCTGCGTAATTGTTTCACGGACAAAAAGTCCTATATCAACCCTCCGGATATTAATCAATGCTCACGCCGTTATTTCAACTTGGACTAGACTGCTCTCTCTTCCACGCACATTGACGACACTCAAGATCAGTCGATGTCCTCGAAGTATGTCATGTTATGGCGCTTTTTGAAGATGCATTGAGTATGACTGTCCTCGCAATATGTGAATATTTACTCATTCCTTAATTTCATCCGCTTTGTGAAAATAGTCAGCGGTGGGGTTTTGCATCATGGATTTCATCATTTGTCGAATCTGACTTCGCTAACCTTGTGTTCGGAACTACTCTTCACGGACGAGACTTTCTTGATTGCGCTAAAGTCCCTGAGTCAACTGACGCGCTTTGTCTATGTGTACCCATGCGACGCTGTGCAGCCAGTATGGAGAGACTTGTTCCGTTACTGTTCGTCGTGTGAGCTCTACCACCGTCGAGTTACGACCAAGACCTACAGCAGGACACTGATAATGCCTGAGCTCCCCGGCCAGATTCAAGACTTTACGTTTGAGATGGATGAGCCGAGGTTCCAGGAGTTGCGAATTGAGACCTTTGAGCAGAACCGACATGGGTTGGACAGGAAGGATATCCGGTACGCGGTCACCTTGTGGAAGGCAGATGATCCAACAGCCGTACAGTCACCGACAACTCTTTGGTGTGGATTTGATTTGGCGCAAGACGAGGTTCGGTCGTGGTGGCCAGCCAACTTGACGCGACTCGACCTGTCAAAGTCCATTGTCACAGGATCGACGTTTGATGTGCCCCCACAGCTGCAGGAACTAGTGATTGCGTATCCTTTGGAGCCCAACGAAATGACGGCGACCGAAGGCGACGGATCTGGATTGTCTATCGAGGAGAAGCAATGGTACCCAGAGTCGCTCTCGACATTGGATATTCGAGGAGTACCATACCATGTTCCATGTGTCATTCACGATGAATCTGATACCAAAATCAAAGGCTGGATGGTAAGTCGCGTCTTTTCTGTTGGGTCAATATCTCTATATTTCTTATTACTTGGTTTGCTTGCTGACACAAAGTTTGCTTTACCTTGTCGCTAATAGGCATATATTAACAGGATGCTGAAGATGGTGCCACGGCAGCTGGAGCATTTGACGACCAGCAGCTTCCAGGTCCCTGAGGCGGATTCGATGACTGCGATGAAAGAGCGTGTTCAGAACAACCTCAAGACATGGAAGGTCCGATTGCTTTGCCCCCAGCGACCTCGTCAGACGGGGTATTCGATGCTGCAACTTTATGCTCCGTATATCTACGTGGATGACGAATCTGGCGAGGACGAGGAAGAAGAGGTTGAGGAGGATATTGCTGTCCTGTCAAGTGGAGACGACACGGACTCTGATTCATCTATGGACTACATGGAGTCGTTCCTTCGGCGAGGAGAAATTGCGGCTGATCGACTGCGCCGCCGGCGCCAGCGAGCACAGCGACAAGCTCGACCGACAATGGGACAAACCCGTCCATTGGGCCAGACGACGAGCCATCAGGGAAGCCAGGGAGTTCAGGCAGCGATGGGATCATTGTCGGCGGCAGAAAAGTATGATGTAACACCTGTGATGCTTCGGCAGGCAGTCAAGAATATGAAGGTATTGGACTCGTTGGAGGTGTATGTAAACTATCAACATTATCGACTCTGTCGTGCCAATTGGAAGGGCAACTTGGGTTTGTCTGAACCACCACCCGTCATTGCCTTACCGACACCCAACGTCAACAACGAGGAGGAGGGAGATGGTGATCATGTCGGCCAGGGTGAGGCCCACCCACGAAAGAAGCTAAAGTCAATCTTGAAACGACCAACTGGTACTGCATCGGGCGGATCTACTCCTGCTGGATCGCCTGTAGACCAAAAGGGCAAAGGGCGAGCCCACGATGATCCCAAGGGGAAGGGAAGAAAGGCAGACTTTTCATCCCAGCACCCAAAAGCGTCTTGGGTTGGAATTGGAGGACTTGATGGGGTGTTGGAAACGGGACGACAGGACAAGGGCAAGGGCGTCAAGAGAGGCTATGATGATGGCGATCGTGATCTTGATGGTCAATTACGGACTTTGGCGGTGACTACGTCTGTGACCGGTATCGGAGGAAATGTTCGAGGAGGCGGAAGAGGAGCAGCAAAGACGTCGCTTCGATACTGGGAGAACTCCTGTTGCGGCGAGCGTTGCCTTGGCTGGGGACGCGTTCATTTGGACTAAGGGCCTCACCGTCTTTCCTTGCATCATTGCTATCCTTTTTTTTTTTGTTTCTACCTGTTCATCCTGTTCATCCTGTGGCTATGAAGTATTGCTTTCTCCTTTTCTTTTCATACACTTTCTACTGTTTAAACACGCTTTGCATTTCTTTGCTGCCAATGCTGAATAAACAAACTATCAAAACAACACAAGAGAGGAAAGAATTTTGAGAACAACAGCCACATTCCTCTTTGGATTAACAAGTTGTCGAGAAAAAGGCGATGCTTGGAAAAAGGATTTTCAAGCGGTAAAAAGGGCGGTGACCCTGTGAAGGAAAGAGAGAGAGACACACACACAGGCTTTTGTTTTTGTTACCGAGAAAAATGCAAAAGCGGGCACGAGATAAAGAAAAGGATACCATGAATTGTGTTTTCTAGATAACAACAGTAAAAAGTGAAGAGGGGAAGGGTGGATGAGAAGGTGAGTGAGTGAGATAGTGAGGCAGAGTCAAATGGCCGTTGCGTTTTGTTTTTTTTTGTCTCTGTCACAAGTGCTTTGAGATATTGCGCGGGTCAAAGTTTCCTGTACCTCTCCCATCAGAAGGATTGGTAAAAGGGAAGAACCTAAGCGTACCATGAGCAATCGTCGTCATCGCTCAATGCATACCTAAAAATAGTAACTCGAAACTGGAGCACAGCCCTAGCGCGAACAAACAGAAGTAGAGGAGGGGCGAATGTCCAGAATTGAAGGAGACAAAGTTTCCCTCCTTTTTTTTTTAGTATTCCTTGCTAACGTGGATGGAAGGAAGAGAAGCTTCGAATTTGAAAGCTGTGAGGTTTGTAAGAAAGGGAGAAGGGGGGGCGGTGTTCAAGAAATAGTACAACCACGAGAAGGAGCCTTTTTTTGTTCACCATGTACCGTTCATCCTCCACATGGCACAAACAAAGCCAACGAAGAGAAGGCTGTAGGATATAGAATCCATTCTGGGATTTAAAAGCAAGTAAGGGTTCACTCTCGCTAGTAGGAGAAAAGGCGATGATATGCCCAAGGGGCAGTGAGACAGCCACTTCCATTCAACACGAAAGAAGGTCAGCAGGGGTATGCGGATGTATATCCTTACTCTTAGTGGGTTGACGAAAGTCTTGGCATTTGATGATGATTGGCGGGTTATGGAAGGTCCTTGGTCGACAGTACGACAAACGACTAGGAAGGATGCGTTTTCTCTCCGATAGTCAATGGCAGGGGACACCGGCTGTTGTTTATATGTGCACCTTTAAGCCTTATTTCTGTAGTCTGTGTGTCCAGTCATCCATAATTATGCTTCGTTGGGAGGGAGTGGGAGGAAGTGGGAGAGGGGATGTGCATGCGTGCATCTTTCTTATTCAATTGTTTACACTTTACCGCCACCCCTAGTTCTCCTCGTCCATGCAAACCAGGCGAGGAAGGTGTAGCATATTTTGATGTTTAAATGATTTGTTTTTTGTCTTTGTCATTATTCATATGTTGCTGTTGAGGTTGTCGTTGTTGATATCTTCCGTCTGTTCTATTTGTTCTTTTTGTTCAATTGCCACCCTTGTGAAAGATCAATTACAGAAGCTTAGAGGGAGGAGGAACCCTGTGGAGGTGTGTGGGTACCTCGGTTTATGATGTCCAGGGTCCCTGTCTTAGTGGGACAACACTAAAAAACAAATTGCATTCAAAACATAAATTGTTAGCAAAGTTGTCGTTGTGTATGCCTGAGCACTCACACCGCCCCTTTTCGCTGGCGCTGATTAGTGATGCTCATTTTGCGCCCTTTTGTTTTTCCTTCTTTCACGCCCACCCGAAAATAAAAAAAAGTGCTCATGAACGAGGAGTCGAGGATGTTCAGAGAAACAATTGTTTTCTGCTGTCGCTACTGTTGCTGTTGCTTGATGATGTGCTCAGATGCATTCAAAACATACAACTCACAAAAACTCTCACTCACTCCAAACATACAAATAACCCCAAGATTGAGAGGATGTGGACATTGAAAAGGTCTTTGAAAAAGAGTATGAAGGGAGATGGAAGGGTGTATTCGTCGTACAATGAAGCTCATGAACAAAGATGCCCCGAAGGGTATCGATGGAGATATGTGGATGAATAAGGGTACAAGAAACCGTACGTGTGTGTGATGTTCCTGTGGCCAAGACTGGGTGTGAGTTGGAACAGCGTAAAAATAGCCTTTTTTGCGCCCGACAGCCCACTCCCACAAGCACTTCTCCCCTGGGTATATAAGGAGCGCCCTCTCCCCCCTTTTTTTCCTCTTCCTTAGCCATTTGCTTATCTTGTTCACTCTTCTCTCCCCTCTCTCATATTTCCTTTCTTATTCCCATAACAAAAACCACAACAACAACAACACCTTCGCCTCTTACTCTCCCTCACTCATTCCTACAACAACAACAACACTTTACAACCACAGAATGTCCTCTTTAAAGGCACGATCCATGGCCTTCTTGGCCATCCTCCTCTGTCTCTTCACATCCGTCCTCGCCGCACCACCAGAAATAACCGTCCCCGATGTCGGCGGTGAAAATGGCGGTAAGTATTTTAACCCGTACACACTTTTCACAATAACACTCTTTCATTTACAGGACACCTCTGGAGCTTTGCCTGGAGTCGACAGCGGATCAGTCAAGAGAGAGGAGCAAAGAGACGGGAGAAGGGACTAACGTTCGGCAGAGCGCAGTTCAAAAAAAAATCCAGGACAACAGCCTGCCTACTTATCTGGATGGGTGCGCCTTTTTTTCTCCCAGTTGAAGAACAACAACAGCAGTAACAGCAACAGCAACAAGTACAACACATAACAGCCCATGCTTGGGAAACAAGCAAAGGCGACAACAACAGACAATCAATGGTAACAGGAGCAAGGAAACGAGGAATGCGTCAAACAAACAACAGAGAGCAAGGAGAAAGAGCAAGAAGAGAGACTGATAGAGTAGTTCTTCATCCATCACTTCCTTCCCTCTCTCACTTATCAACATCTTCTCCAGAGTATCATGTTGACAATGCACAAACCATTGAAACTAACAATGTATCTCCCTCTCCTTGTCCTTTTGCAATAACAATAGCTGTCAAAAAGATCACTGTCTCTGGAACCGTTGTTGCCATTGTCTTGCTTGTCGCCGGCTTCATCTTTGCTTTCTTTGGTCACCGCTTCTTCAAAATCACTCTCTTCCTCGCCGGTTTCTACGTCTGCAGTAAGTTTTTCGATATGCATTTTTTTTCTCTCTCCCTCTCATTTGTTTACATCGGGAAACACTTTGTCCCTGTTATTTCCTCCCGTTAGCCAATACGAAGCAAAGCGCATTTGCATAAAACAAAGTCTCGGCGATTTGACACTAACTACCCCTTTTTCTCTCAAATAGGCACACTCGCTTGGATTGCTCTCGCAAATATTAAACCTGGCGCAGACGGATATGGCGCCAACACTCAGTGGGTCTACCTTGGAGTGACAGCAGTGGCGGGACTTCTTGGAGGTGGACTCTTCCTCTGCTTCTGGCGCCTCGGTTTTGCTGCCATTGGTGCCATTGCTGGATTCTACCTCGCCATGTTCATCCTCTCCTGGAGCTCTAACGGAGTCATCTCCAACGGAACTGGCCGCACCATCTTCATTATCGCCTTTGTCATTGTCGGTATCGTACTCACGTTCTTCGTGGAACGCCATGTCGTCATCTTGGGTACCGCTATTGTCGGCTCGGGATCGTTCTTCATCGGACTCGACAACTTTGTCCACACTGGTTTCGCCGACGCTTTCACCGCCTTCCTTTCTGGAAACAAGAACGCCTTTGGCGGTAACGGCTATGAGGTCACTGGCAAGGTCTACGGCATGTTGGCCGGTACCCTTGCCATGATGGTCGTCGGAGCCTGCTTCCAGTACTACAAGCACCGTGGCTCCTGGGTCCCCAAGACTCACCGCCCCCACTACCAGGCCCAGCCCCAGTATCAGCACGTGTAAACGACCGTTGGCCTCGTCCTTGCCTTCCCTTCCCCCTCTCGCATACATATTACCCCATCCATCTAGCTTTTCGCTGTTCTTGTATCTTTTCTGAAATATTAAAAATCTACTTGTAAATACTATGGAGACAACCTTTGCCTTATCTTTGTACCTTTTCTTGACTAAGCTCCCGCTGCTGGTGATTCCAGGTGACGCGTTTTTGAGGGCAACTTGCATGTTGCCTGTCATGATGCTCAATGGCGATAGGTTTGGAAATGTAACCTCGCGAACTTGAATGAATATCATTAACAACTGCCAGTATCGTCCCAGTGCCCATGCCTCTTTCACGCGCCTACCGCGTGCAATTTTTTGTGTTGTCTCTTTGTTTGGAATTGAGCGTAACCACAGGAGCACAGGAGCCGTACTACATGCGTGGGCCACAAAGTACAATAAAAGTAGTCGTCTGAATGGGGGTAGGCTATTTTGCGTGTAGGTTTTGGAACTGTGATGCCGTAGGACGGGTTTTCGTGTCAAGAAATGAATGAGTGGGGGTCCTTGAAGAGGTTGGCTGGAATCGTTGGGGGACGTAATGATGTGTTTATTTTTCATCGCTTTTTCATCGTCTTGCCCTCACGTTTTCCCTCGTCATTGTCATTTCATCTCATTCTCATGAAGAAAAGAGCAGGAGAATGTAGCTGACCTGGCTATAGTCAGGCGCCGGGCAGGTTATGGGCTGGTGTCTTTTTATTTTACTGAAACTATCACGTTGGAAGTACCCTCTGCCTTGACAAAAAGGGTGGGGGGAGACGGGTGGGTTGTTATTTTCGTTGACAAAAAGATTATTTTTTTTTTTTAACAAAAGGAAGAATGCAGGTGCGGAAATGAGTGTGGGTTGGTGGCAATATATATATGGACCCTCACTTCATTGAAAATAATAGAAACAACGTCTTTATTTGATCATTCTATTCCACTTACTCTACTATACCTTACATACATCCTTTCCAGACACTTACCTTCATACAGGCCCGGCTCTCGATCACACGTAGCTCATCCAGAAATTTTCGGTGTAGGCGTGGTGTATATAGATGAATGGAAAACAAAATGAGAGAGAACACCGGTTAGCTGTGCACTGGCTAAGCAAGCACCTGTACAGGCGCCGGCCCCGACAGGACGTCCAAGAGCCATGAATAATGAGACTCAGCTAAACAGCGACCTCGGAGCTCTTGCAGCGACTTGGCTGGTTGGCTTTTCATCTGGCTGGGGATACCCCGGGACAAAAACTCAACAGGAACCCCCATCCAGAACCAGATGAGAAGCCGACCAGTCAAACCGCTGAAAAGAGTCCCGCGATCGCTGCTGTCGCGTCGTCTCAGAGTCCATGCATCTCCCTAAAGGTAGCCGGCCGACACTCCCTTCCAGATACTTGCCTTCATACTGGCTTGGCTCTTGATCACTCGTAGCTCATGGAGAGGTCTTCGGTGTAGGCGTAGTGTATATAGATGAATGGAAAACGAAATGAGAAAAAAAACCGGTTAGCTGTGCACTGGCTAAGCAAGCACCTGTACAGGCGCCGGCTCCGACAGGACGTCCAAGAGGCATGAATAATGAGACTCAGCTAAACAGCGGCCACGGAGCTCTTGCAGTGGCTTGGCTGGTTGCTGGCTTCTCATTTGGATGGGAATTCCTGTCGTGTTTTTGTCCCGGGGTATCCCCAGCCAGATGAGAAGCCGACCAGCCAAACCGCTGAAACGAGTCCCGCGACCGCTGCTGTCGCGTTGTCTCAGAGTCCATGCCTCTCCCTAAAGGTAGCCAGCCGACACTCCTTTCCAGATACTTGCCTTCATACTGGCTCAGCTCTTGGTCACACGTAGCTCATCGAGAAAGTTTTGGTGTAGGCGTGGTATATATAGAAGAATGGAAAAAAAACAAAAACAAAATAACGGTTAGTCTTCGAACTTTGCACCTCACCGCTGTGCACCGTCAAGCAAGTCATCCAAGTAGGCACCGGCCACCACGGGATGTCCAAGAGTCATGAACAATGAAACGCCGCTAGACAGCAGCCACCTCTAGCCCTCCCAGTGGCCAACTTCCCACCTTTCCGCTGAGGGTACCCCGGGACAAAAAAGCAACAGGGATCCCCAGCCAGATGAGACCGACCAGCCGAGTCGCTGCTAGAGCCCCGATACCACTGTTGTCGCGTCGCCACATTGTCCATGCCTCCCATCGCTTGAGCAGTCGACCGGCACTCCTTTCCAGATACTTGCCTTCACAGATGCCCAGGTGCTGATCCCGAAGGTGCTGATCCCGAAGGTGCTGATCCCGAAGGTGCTGATCCCGAAGGTGCTGATCCCGAAAGTGCTGATCCCGAAAGTGCTGATCCCGAAAGTGCTGTTGTCATTGATGACTTCGCCTAGCAGGCTGCTGGTCTTGGTGGCATCCAGTTACGAGAGGAGGGAGGCGATCTTAGCATGGGAAAGGTTGATTGCAAAAGAGGGAGGGGGGAAAGAAGGAAGATGGGGCTGATGGCTGTCTCCTTGTTGATGGCTGTTGATGGCTGTTGATTGCGGATGCAGTGGCTGGAGAATGGAGAGGGAAGAGAGAGAGAGAGAGGGAAGAGAGAGGGAAGAGAAAGGGAAAGAGAGGGAAAGAGAGAGGGAAAGAGAGAGGGAAGAAAGAGAGAGGGAAGAGTGAGGAATGGAAGGTGGTCTGGCCCTATCCTTGTCCTGGTCAAGATCTTGACCATTAGCTGGCCCTTGTAGGTCCTAGTCAAGATCCTGTCCCTTAGATCCTAAAGGTCCTGGTCAAGAGATCCTGACCATTAGCAGGCCCTTATTGAGCCTAGTCAAGATCCCGACCCTTTAGGCCCTTAAAGGTCCTGGTCAAGGTTCTGTTCCTTAGGCCTTTAAAGGTCCTGCTCAAGGCAGGTCCTGGCCCTTAAATTTCCTGGCCCCTTTTGCGTCCTGGAAAACGGATCAGTAGGTTGAGGAAAGAGGGAAAGAAAAAAAGGAGAGGGGGAAAAGGCCCTTTCGTTTTGTACTGGCTGGATTTGAAAAAAAAGTGGCAGCTGGGTCTGAAATTTACTTTTAACCTCATGGGGGTCAAGTTTTCAAATTCAAAATTCGAAAATTCAAGTGAGTGGAAAGGCAGTCACCCAGTCACTTCGCGTGGGGATAGAGTGCACTGACACTCACACACACGGAGGTTGACCGTCAAGCAAGACCCAATCGATAGCTACTGTTCCCCTCCACGTCGTTGCATTGCTTCCACCAACACTTTTATTCTCAAATAACAATTCAAAACTGTTAAAAGAACACGCTTATGCTCGCCAAGTGACAGACAAACGTGAACCTGGGCTTGAAGGTTAGAGAAAAGGTACCAAAAGAGCAAGGACAGAGAGACAAGCAACGCGCTAGTCAAGGTAGGCAAGTTGATCATGCTAACAATGTTTGAGCACACATGCACCTATGCTACAAACGTCTCCTATCTAAGTTTTGTTATAGGCATCCATCGTGCAATAGGAAAGGCGGCTTCTGAAGCAGAGCAGAAGCTCAATCCCCATCAACAGCAGGGCAATCAAAAAAGAGCGCAATATGGGGTGATATTGTTTATTTCGTTTTATTACTCCTGCTAGGAACGTCTATTCGATGTGCAGAAGCTTTCCCTGACGGAACCGGTACCAGAGCTTGTCGGGAAGGAACCACTCACGCTGCTGGATGTTGGGTGTTAAAGGATTGAAATCCGCCTTCTCTAACCGGGCCAGGTACAACTCTGTTGGAATCTCTGCCATCAAAACAGGCAGTACTTCCTGACTGTGCGGCTGCCAAGCGGACACGAGTCGCTGTTGCTATTCCAATGTTGCGTCCTGAAGAGCTGGGGTGATTGTTGGGCTCCCGAACAGCGCCTCCTGCGACAAGTTGTGCTAACTAGTTTTAGATTTGCAGGATGCGGATCAAAATACATGTTAACCTTTGTCACTTTAGTCATGTTCATATCGCAATGCTGGGTTCCAGATCCATGTATGTGACAGTTACTTTGGCGGGGATCTCGGAGGGGATAACCATGCGATTCTGGTGCATATGGAACGGAAGGTATGCAACATGGTAGCAATGCCCATAACTTTGGCCATATGACTAGCCGTATGATCTGCCTCCAATGACTTGTCGCCCACAGACTCCAACTGCAAGTACAACAACGACCCAAACGCGCTCTCGCAGTATGTCTCCATTTGTGCCAAAGTCATGAGCTGTGGATCAGATAAATTCTGTTCCCGCTCCGTAACCATTCTTTTGAACCAGATCAACGACATCACAGAGTCGCCGCTCCCTCCTTGTTGCTGGTGGTGGAGCTTCTGTTCCTGAATTGTATGAGCAAGTGCCAGGGCGACGGGCTGTTGTGGTAGCATGCTTGCAATGATCTTGTCCAGTGACTCTCTCCAGAACTGCATTCGCGTCTGTCCAATGTCCGTGCTGCTAACCGACTCTCGTATCGAGGCCAACTCGATGATGAATGCTCGGAGGGCCAGTTGTGTAGGCTTTTGGTGTGCTAGGAAAAGCTGTGAACAAGGGAAGCCCTCATAATCTGCTTTGCTCTGGAGATCCACTGCAAGTGTCATATACTTGGATCCTGCCTTTATGCTGCTGAATGCGACTTGGTTCCCAGCGGGCGAAAATTCGACATTGGGCGACCACCCCATGTGCTCCTTCAAGTCAAAGACCACTACCCGGTGCGGGCGTCCCATACTGAGCTGCCAACGCAAACTGCTTGCCAGACGAGGGTTACGCCAAATCCATCACCCTATCACACCAGCCATCCAGCACATGTCAACAGATCCTGTTTCGCAGTTCCATAATCGCACGGCTATGTCCTCGCTGCCCTAGAGAAGTTGATGACCAGTGGCGAGAAGGCGAGTCCTGTGACGCACATCCTCTGAGCTCGAAATGTAGTTGTTCTCCTCCAGGTTGTAGTGTTGTAAATGTGGATGTCAATGTGGCCCTTGACAAGACACGTAGCGAATGACTTTCCATCTGGCGAAAATGCGCATGCCTATACATTTCTTGCAGGATGAAAGAAGCGTTTCAACTTGCAACCGAAACTCATGCCCCATTCAATTTCTACCAGGGATCGTAAATGCTGCTGATAAGGTCGATCTGTGTTCGCCAGCCTCCTCTGTCTCTTTTTCTCTCCTCTTACCCAAAAACACACACCACCACAACCAACAACAACAGCAACATGCTTGTCAAGGAATCTCACGTCGACCTTCAGACTTCCTCAGGACCCATGAGGGTGTTTATCTACCAGCCCAACGTCCCTGATTACCCTGATGCAAAATTCCCTGGTGTCGCCGTCTTCACTGGTAATACTCTCGCGCCATTCGTGTTTGTCTGGCTGGACATAGCATGGCCTATGACAGGAATGAGCTTTGTGTGCTAATCGGGGGGTTTTTTTTGCCCTGTATGAGAGTAGAGATCTACCAGGTGACGGGACCCTTGGACCGCTTCTGCAGGTAAGACAGGAGCTGGATTGTAATAGAACGAGTTTTTTTATCGTTTTTTTTTTCGTTCCCACGCCACGTTTGAGGACAAGGAGATCAAATCACGGAAGCGATTGAACTTCTTTCAACTGACACTTTCACCTCCTGTCTATTCTCACTCAACTTGTAAGACAGATCGCCAGTCAGGGATATGTGGTTGCTTGTAACGAGTCCTTCCACGAATTTGAGCCCCTAGGATCGCCACTTGCCTATGATGTCCCTGGAACAGGTACCACCCATCAACATGAAAATGCACTGCGCAGACTACTGCTCCCAGTCGTCACTGGCCCTTTACTTTGTTCTCTCAAGTTGTATATTAATTAGGACAATCAATTATGCTTCGTTCCTGCCTCGACCTAACCCTAACTTACATGTTTACGTTATTGGTCGAACGTTAGATAAGGGCAACTTGTACAAGATTGAGAAGGAGCTGGCTGCATATGATGAGGATGCGACACTGGTGATTGACCACTTGGTCGGCCGTCCTGACTGCACTGGCAAGATCGGCGCCACTGGCATGTGTCTCGGTGGACACTTGGCCTTCCGCGTAAGTCGTGTCTCAATTGCTCTTAGTTAATGTCCTCGCGCTTTCTTGAAAATGGCTGCCACAAGAGCGCGTATATAATGGCTTTTATTTTCAACATGATATTATAGGCGGCGTTTGACCCACGCGTGTTGGCGACTGTATGCTATTTCGCCACAGATATCCACTCTGAGACACTTGGAAAGGGAAAGAACTCAAACTCGTTGAAGAGGATCCCTGAGATCCAGGGCGAGGTCGTGATGATCTTTGGCAAGCAGGATAACCATGTACCTCGGGCTGGACGGGATTTGATCAGAAAGACTCTAGAAGATGCAGATGTCACGACTACCTTCTTGGAGGTGCAGGCTCAACACGCTTTCATCCGTGATGAACTGAGCAAAGGAAGGTTAGCCCTTTGTTTTATTGCTTTCTTTTGCTTGATCAACGGGATTGCCATGTCTTGAGGAAAGATGGGGAGAGAGAGGGAGAGGGTAACGTGAGAAGAGGGGGGTAAATAAGACGCGTTGTGGACCAAATTGACGCAGTGCTATGAGTGAGCAAGGCAAGGACGAGATCCTAGAAAATAGGGCTTTCTCCTTTCCAAACTTGGCCACATATCACAAAATACTTTTCCAACGCATAATTTATACTGCTGTCCATATCACTTTTTCGATGATGAGAACAACAACAACAATCACAACAGCAGCAGCAGCAGCAGCTAACAGCAACCGAGGATATGTAAACAAAGAGGCATCAATAGTTTCATGACAGACAACCATCTGTTCAAGGAAATAATCCATCCGACTGGTCATAAGTGAAAACAATAGGCGTGAGGAGACAAAAGAGAGAGGGGTGGAGCAATTAGAGCGCAGTTCCAGTGCCCAAAGCATCATTCGGCTTCGATCACTCAATTGTTTCGCTCTCCTTTGCTCCTTCTCTTTTTCCTTGCTAGATATGACGCCGCAATCTCTAAGGTGTGCTTCGAGCTGCTTCTGGAACTTTTCCACCGCAACCTTCACCTGGACTTGGGTCCTCGCAAGGGCCCTAAGCGCGACACCAAGGACCTCCCTCTCATTTGCTAGGCGCACTACAGTGAGTGCCACCCTGGGACTACAATTGAAGCTAGAAAATAAAAGGTCGTGAAAACGAAACCATGAATTTACATGTTAGTAGTTTTTCTGTTTGCAGTTCATCATTCAGCAAGTCGGATATCATTATCATTAATCTGAAATTTGCAACCACACAGTTCCACCCTGCAGCGCCAAGCAAACACGCGGAACTAAGGGAAAAATACGTTGAGTCCGAGAGAGGAAGGAGGGGACAGGAGACGAAAAATAGAAGCGTCAAGCGAGATGATCTCTGCCTAAACATGCACCCATTCACCTCCCCCTTTGCATCCCCTTTTAGGATCCTCGTCCCTCTTATGCATCCTCTTTGACCATTGACATGCAGAAAAAAAAAGAACAAGTCAATATTCTCCGAAAGGAGGCTCTTGTTATATGGCGTATATGTTTACATGGTGTTGCAAATCCAATGGTCGGCTGACTAATGTTATTTCTCTCACTTTTTCCTTTGATTTCTTTTGCAGTTGCGCGAAGTGGGGCGAAGGATACTGTTCCGAGATGGATGAAAGGGTGCAATGGGTGTGGATGGAAAAGGAGCGATTAACTGGAGATGGGGGGAGGAAGGGCCCGAGAGCCAATAGGCAAATTGGTTCGTCTTCTATTGCTTCGAGGTGGATGGGCTCAAATTTCTGCTACTTTTTATAAGGAAACAATTGGCCTTGGATTATAAGCATGTCGCATAGCGAAGAGAAGGTAGAGGACGAAGTGGAAAAGGAGGTCTAGACAGAGGAGGACGGGTGGATTGAGAGATGCAAGGATGAGATGATGAAAAGTTGCTAAATGTAGGCACCGACTTAATTAGGCAACCCTTGCATGAAGCACTGGGCGAGAGAGGGTAGGCAGGGGCTGAGCAAAATAATACGGTGCAGAGGCTGAACTGTGTTTTAAGACTCTTAGAAGGTCAAGCCTGTTCATGCTCTTTAACTGCAGACAGTGACATGGAGTGCATTGAGGATATAGATGGACTAGGCGCAATGACAGTTTATCACACACATAACACTCCGGGAGAATGATGCTCAAACCGTAACGCAGACGATACTCTTCCTAATTACTGTTGATTGGCGGATGGATTCCCCATTGACCATTGGACGAAATGTATATAAAGAGACAGCTTCCTCCATGGATATTACCATTCTCGTTTCCTTCTTTTCTTCTTTCTCTTTCTCTTTCTCTTTCATCATCCTCCTTTCAAAGAGATCTTTTTCCCTTCACTGCTCGATACACTCCACCTTCCCTTCTCCTATTTACTCACAACGGGTACTTTTTAACACACCCATCCCATACTCAAATTACCTAATGTCCTTTTTTTAACACCTTCCTATTTTCACACCGTTCTTCTTCTTGCATATCTCGCTAATACACAACACCCTGTCATCCTTTTGCACTGACACCCTCTTTCCTCTCTGTCTCTCGTCTCGCTCTCTCCCCTTTGTTTCTTGACTAACGTTGCCCTTCCTCACTCTCTCCTCTCCCTCCATTCCCTTTCTCCTTTCCTATTTATCCTCTGTTTGCGCTGCCTGACACAAATATCCACCCCTGGTCTTCATAACACACACGCGCCTCCAACCGCAACCCACAATTACCCCAAACTCATCTACCGACCGACCAACATCCCTATTTCCGAACGCAGTACCCCTTGTGTATCTCTGCCATCTCACTCCTTTGACACATATCCGCTTTCACTTCACCTTCGCCTTCCTCCACGAACGAGTGACACGCGCTTTTTCTCTTCACACTTGTCGTTCAGTCTGTCATTCTACTCATCAAACCTCTTCCCCAACCAGTAACTCATTGACATTTTGAGCACCGCTGCAACTGTACCTGTTGATTCATAGACCCTTCTAGACTCTCAACGCCAACTTCTTTCATTATTCGTTGTTCTTTGTGTAGACTTTTATCCTATATATTGCACTGTATTTTTCACTGTTTTCTTTTCTTTTTGTTTTCTTATTTTCGCCATGATCTTTTCGATCGTTCTCGCATTCCTACCTCACCTACAACTCCACAACCAAACGTCAATGGTATCCCACTTTTCACCCGACCTGTACTCTGAAGAAGCCGTCATCGCCACCAGCGTTTTGTCATCGTCCTCCTCCACCGCGACCATGAAACCCCCAGCGGACGATCTCCTCTCCCAAGTCGGCCACCTCTTAATCCTCCTCCACGGCCACATCCTCCCCAGGATCCTCTTGGCCTACATACTGATCTACTCGGTCTTTATCTTGATCAAGTACCGTCACACGTCCATCTCGGCCACACCTCGATCCGATCTCCCAGGTCCCAAGGGCCACCCCTTGATCGGAAACACGATCGAGATGGCTCAACGCCCACCGGGTTCCACCCATCAGCGCCAGATGGGTTTCCATAAACAGTACGGCAAAGTTTTTTCGCTGACTGTCTTGGGACTCGGTCGAGTCATCCATGTCCGCGAACCCCAGGTGGTTGACCATATCTTGAGGGTTAACTTTTGGGCGTACGAGAAAGGTGGTTTTTTTCGTGAGACACTCCGCCCCATCTTTGGCGATGGCATCTTTAGCGCCGATGGTCAGGTACGCTGCAATACGCTATACGGTTTTTTGGATGGAAGTGAATGATAGACAATGGAATGGGAGAAAGAAGAAGAACGAGAGTAGAATGTGAGGTAATTGGTGTGGGGTAAAAGAGTAGAAAAAAAAGAAAGGATGTACATACATGGAGGGTTTATTCTCACAAAGTGGAAATGCAACCGATTGTTCTTTAATTTTTTAATGGATGCTTGAATGCAAAGGAATAGGATAGTTGCGGGATGAAGTGAAAAAAGAAAAGAACAAGCCGACATACCAAAAATAGGGTTACTCAGTTGGGGCAATGATGTAGTTTGGACATGTGTTGTCGCGTTTGCAACTGACGGTCAAAAAAAATGCCACTAGTTGACTCCTTTCTCTCTTTAAATTCTTTCCGTGTATTCCTTTTTTTCTTTTTTCGTTCGTTATTACTGCCTTTGCATGCTACTCTTCCTGGATGTGAACAGCATTGGCGCTGGCAACGCAAGGCTGCGAGCAAGATCTTCAACGTAAACTGGTATCGAACCTACACCAGCACCGTCTTCCGCCAAGAGTCCCAGCTGGTCATCAACTACTTCAACAAGATCACCGACACGTCCTTGACCTCAATGGCCAAGTCGTCTGCTGCTGCTCACGAGTCGTCAACACCAACAGGCCCTCATGTCGATATCTCTGTTCCAATCTCGCCAGTGACTCCCCTCCGAGAAGATCGCGCTCTACTCGACCCTGCCAGCAAGGTCATCGATCTCCAGAGCATATTCTATCTGTTTACCCTTGGTAAGTTTGTTGCCTTTTGTTTTCTTTGGGGCAGGAACAAAAATACTGTAGTTGGCTGGTTAGTGTTTATTGTGCTGGGTCTCGAGAGTTGGCGCTGATGTAGCCCTTTGTCCTATTGTTGTCTTTTCTTTTTTCCTCGTAAAAAAAAGTACTCATTCACTATTCAATTGAATTGAGTTGGATGGCTCGTGCACTGCACTGAACTGCCACCCCTTTGTAGCTCCTCTTGTAGCTCTTTCTTTTCCCTTTCTTTTCGATCTTCCTGTCGTCAACTGCCCCCTTTTCCACACAAAGTGCGACGGGCAACACAGGCGAGGAGTGGACACATGTCCCGCACGAACCTCCTATCCTTACATGGACTCCACACTCCACAACCCACATGCACAAACAAGGAGAGAAAGAAAATGCAAACCTGACATGTGCACATGTAAATTTGTTCTCCCTTTCACTCGTCTCGCCCCTTCTCTCTCTCGCTTGCTTGCTCCCTTCCCACACACTCGTACACAACCACCCTTTTTTTTTCCGTTCTCATACCCTATCTTTACATTCGGACCAAATGTGGGCACTTGTTTTTGTTTACTTGACTAACTACTATCCTTCTGTCACACGATGGCATAATACCAAACAAATGCACATACTAACAAAACGCCTTCTTTATCTCGCCTTTCGACTTCCTCCTTTTTCACCGTCCCCTAAACTCCCCTTTCCCCCATCTCAACCTACCTTATACCCATCACTGCTACCCCACTGTACAAATCTAGACTCGTTTGGTCGAATTGGATTCGGAGAATCCTTTGGCTGCCTGATCGACCCCGAGAAGGAGGTCCCCTTTGCCGGAGCTTTTGACCGTCTCACCGCCAACCTTTCCCTTCGTTTTAATTGGCCTTTTTGGAGATTAACCGACTGGTGGACGGGTAATGACAAGAAGGTCGCCGCGGATACCAAGATCATCTATGATTTCGCTTACAATATCATCCATCGGCGACGCGCTCTTGAAGAGAAGACGGGTGTTGAGGGGGGTGGAGTTGTGCATGATATGAATGAAGGTGGATTTGGTGAGGCAGGTGCAAAGAGGCCGGGGGTTTTGAGTAATAGCGGCAAGGATTTGATGCAGCTGTTTATGGAGGCTACTGATGAGAAGGGTGAGCGGTTGACGGATGAGAGTCTCAAGGACACGCTCGTCAACTTTCTCCTGGTAAGGTTTCTCTCCTTTTGCCGTTTTTTCTTTATTTATGCTTGTTACTTCTCCCCTTTGTTTTTGCCTCATTGTGTCAAGAGCTGATTACGGCTATTTACAACGAAATGATGGCTATGGATCGGGCTTGAATGTTCAAATGAGGTAGTTACTGACTTGCGAATCCTTTCCTTTTCTCCATCGTTTTCATTTTCTTTAACTCCTTCTCACTTAGGCTGGAAGAGATACGACAGCACAGGCGCTGTCATGGATGTTTTACCTAATCCACCGCTCCCAAACGAGCAAAGAAGTCCTCATAAAACTCCGCGAAGAAATCGATACCGTCCTTCAAGGCGGGTCCCCGACCTACGAGGCCGTCCAGGCTCAAAAGTACACCAAGGCCTGTTTCTTTGAAACCCTACGTCTCTACCCAAGTGTACCCCAGAACATTCGTTGTGTCCTTGAGGACGACACCCTCCCTGGAGGGATCAAAGTTTACAAGGGTGAAAAGGTTACGTGGGGGATTTGGGGGATGGGTCGAGATACGGATATCTGGGGGCCGGACGCGGAAGAGTTCCGACCGGAGAGATGGTTGCAGGGGGATAAGTTTCCTTCTACCAAGTTTGTCTCCTTCCACCTCGGTCCTCGCACTTGGTAAGTTCTTTTGTTCATGTTTTTATTCTGTTGATGTGTGCTCTTTTTTACTCCCTTCTTTTGCACATGCACAATAACTAACTCGATGGGTCTTGATTTCATTTTTCTTTGTTATTAGTTTGGGCCAGCAGTTCGCATACATCCAAGCTATCACGGTAACATCGATGCTGCTCCAAAAATTTGAATTCGAGCTAGTAGACCCTCACAACGAGCCTGTCTATGGAACTTCCCTGACACTGCCCATGGCCGACGGTCTCCCTGTCCGTATCACCCGCCGTCGCGATGACCCCTTCAGTCGTGAGGAGTGAGCATCTCTGCGCCTCTCTTTTTCGCGTTCAACATTTTTTTCGCGTTTGTGCCTTTCACGTTTTGTTCACAAAGAGAATATCTTGAGGATGGAAGTGTATATATACAACTTATTGTTAACCTTTTGAAATAAAACCAATAAATTATATGACATATGAATGAATGTTATAGCTCTTTGATACGGGCATAGAATGGTGTGTAAAGGAAGGAAAGTGTCAACCGTGTCGCATCTTTCCACTCTCTCCCTGCAAGATGCTCTTATTTTAAAAAAAAAACAAAAAAAAACTTACACAATTATTTCTCTGACAAACAGCACAGAGAAGTCATTTAGAAGTAAAAGGGAACTACAGACCAAACCCCTCAGTGCACCATCCATCAGTTGCAGTCCGGTCCAGAACCTGGCTCTGCACAACAATTGTCGCTGCTCTTCACAGCTTAAACGGAAGAAAATAAAACTAGATACGAATGAAGGGGATTCTTCCCATCCTCTCCATCATTAACAACCTCCTCCTTCCTAACAAACTCTCCAACAACCGCTCGTCAGCAGCGCGTGTGTCCTTGGTCGCTCCAGGGCACCTTCCTTCACAATGTGTGGCTAGCGAAGCGCCACACGGACAGAAACCATCGTGCGTGATGTAACCGTATCCTTGACTCCAGTCACCTCGGGGGCCTGTGTGTTTGGATGTCTTGTTCTTGGCAGAGATGCCCTGGGTCTGCTCCCACGCGATCGTCGCGGAGCACCGAGGTTTCCAGATCAGCTCCGAGGCCTGCGCCTCCAGGTAGCCAACAAACTTGTGAAGGACTGTCTTGGCGATGGACATTGGGGTCCGGAAGACCGCGGACCTTTTTTTTTTTTTTTTTTTTTTTTTTTTTTTTCGTGTCATGACTTATTATTTCTAATATCACGTGATCTAATCCTTAATTCCCGTGATAGGAGCCTAACCCTACTTAATCTGAAAGGAAATCAAGAAACGTGTGGGGGCCTCGAGCAACGTCTGCAGGAGATACCACGCAGTCTCAACTAGACTGGCAAAGAAGTGGGGGAAGAGGAAGAGGAAGAGGAAGTGATCTCAACTAGATCACGCTCAGGGACGACAGGGGAATGAATGCGGATCTTCGGCGCAAAAAGGGGACAACGGGTTCGAGGTTCTCAACCTAGAATGGTATGATTAACAGTGGGGGGAAGATCTTTATTTAGTGGCTGTTCGGACAACGAGAACAGCCGTTGACAGGGGAGGGGGAGAGGAACTTACCTAGAATGGTATGATTAACAGTGGGGGGAAGATACTGTTCAATCATCCATTCCAGGTGTCCTTTTATACTATCTGACTAAGGTCGCTAAACTACTACTTGTGGGGTCACTGAATGAAAGAGAATAAGATGAAGACGTAAAAAAAGAGATGGCCCGGGGGAGCTACTACTAACTGGTGTAAGAGTTAACAACTTGATGAACAACGAAAGGAAGTAGGAAGGGGCCATCAACAACAAAGAAAGGGCCTTTGACAAAGAGGGTCTTTGTCAAAGGGATGAACAACATAAAAGACAAGAAGAGGAAATAATAAAAGTGACTCGGGGCGATGGCTCCTTGTGTCACTGGGTGTTGAGAGCGAGCGGGGCGACGATAGTTGTCATCAACAAAGGGGAAAGGTGTAAACGAAAGTGTAAAAGAGGTAGGAGTCGCGTTTGCGGGTAAAAGGGAAAACGCAAACAAAGAGAGCAAAAAAGAAGGGAAAGGAAGGAAAGTAGTGGGAAAGAAGAAAAAAGGGAAAGTGGTGAATATAGGGGTGGCAATTCACGACAAACGCATGAAACATGTCCAACTGGCTTCTGTGGCGCAATTGGCTAGCGCGTCTGACTGTTAATCAGGAGGTTGGTGGTTCAAGCCCACCCAGGAGCGGTTCTTTTTTTTTTCTAGTGGGATCTTTTCTTTGTTTTTGAAAGTGGGATCCTACTTTCTTGGGCTAATGTACTAGACAACCTTGGGGGGGGGGTTTTTTTTGACAGTCCTGTGCCAAGTCCATGCAATGTATTGCTTTATTAAATCCTCAGAAAGGAGGAAATTCTGCCTTTATTGTTGTGGCACGCTAAATGTTCTGACGAAAATGAAAAAATTGGCCATCAATGCGTTACGGATGAAGGGAAAAAAAATAGGTTACATGAACCTAGCACAAGAAGCATAAGGGGGTTGTCAAATATAACGAACAACCCAGGTTGCCAAATAGATGAACACCACTTTCTTTGTAATGTTACCACATTGTATCCTTTCATATTCTCTTTGGCATCTCGTTTTATTTTTTATTGGAACAAAGAAAGAAGTATCAATAAGCAGCAAAGAGGGCACGACTGACATGCACCCTCGCGACAAGCACAACACCCGCACAGACCAGATTCACAACCCCCACAAACACAATCGCGCCCTCAAAACTCCCTCTCGACTCTACAATAATAAACTGCACCAACGGCGTTCCCAGCAAGTACCCAACCGTATGTGCAAAGAACACAAACCCCAACGCCGACGGGACCTGCCGCCCATCAACTGCTTTGGAAGCCGCGACGGGGAGTAACATGATCGTCGCACCACCAAAACACCCATAGAAGAACATAAACGTCCCGAGCACCGCAAAAGAATGCAACGCATGCAACCAGATTAGGAGGGAAGATAGACCAGAAAGGAGAAGACACAGGATCGTGGCGTTGAGGGTTCCGTAGCGGTCGGCGAGGTGTCCAATCACGATCCGGGAGACGATCCCCACAGAGCTGACGATGGTAATCATGAGGGCACCCTTGGAGGGTGGGAGGCCGACGACGGAGGTTGCGTAGGTGGGTGTTAAGAGGATTGGGACGAGGTAGACGAGGGCGAAGAGGTTTGTAGAGATGAAGATGAGTGTGTAATGGAGGTTTTTGAACAGTGAAAAGTCTAGTGATGGTCCTGCTGGTGATGCCGTTGTGAGTGTTGGGGTTGGGGTTGGCGGTGGTGATTGTGGTGATGACAGCTCTGACGCCAATACAAGTCGACGATCCGTATCCACATCTACACGCTCAGTTCCCGCAACCGCCTCTTCACCTTCCGTCGTGCTCGCGATCCGCGCACTACTCCTCGACCGACCAACGAATAAATCCACTCCCAACCCCGAAGGCCGATAAGGTCGCACAAAACAAGCAGCCGCCGATAGGGAAACAAACATACATCCACCCATAATGCGCATAGTCCACGGAAACCCCAGCCTATACAACATCAGATGCAGTAACGGAGCCATCACACTCGATCCAATCCCTGACCCGGAGATTGCAACACCCACGACGACCCCTCGGCGTTTGTTGAAGTATCGTGCTAGGACGTTGATGCATGTGAAGTATAGCAGGCAGCCGCCGAACCCATATAGGAAGCCCTAGTGCGCGCATAACAGAGATAGAGAGGGAGGGTCGGTGTTAGTGTGTCGTTTTTGCAGCTGGATTGATTCTTTGGGGGGGGGGACAAGAGAGGAGGAAACGGTAGATGATGAAGCTGAAATAAAATGGGCAATTGCTAATCTTAGTATCATCCTCACTACTACTACTGCCATCACTACCACCTGGGGCAAAGAACCCAAAAGGATGATGTGTTTGTGAGAGAGAAAGAAGAAAAAGAGAGAGGGCAGAGGGAACCTAAACAAGTTGAGGTGAATAGCCGAATAAAGAACACAAAAAAGAAAGCAGGCAAAAAAGAAACGTACGACGGTGATGTAGAGGTGCCAGTAGGTGGTAGCGAAACTGGCGGCGACAAAGCCCGTGGTGACACAGAGGACGCCCGAAGCAAGGACAGTGCTCGTTCCAAAGTTGGTGATGAGCACCACGATTGCTGGGGCGGCGACAAAAATGCAGGCACAGCTCAGACTGCCCACCCACGATAGCTCCTTGGCACCCGTGGGGGGACCAAAGGTCTCCATTCGGAGTAGATATTCTTGGAATACTCCCCAGCAGAATACTATTCCTATGCACCTGTTGTTGTTATGGAGAGGGAGTGAGAAGAGACTGTGTTACAATGTGACGTTCTTGCTTGTTTGGACTTCGATGGCGAGATAAGAGAGGAGAGAGCTACGAAGAAGAATTACCAGAAGGTACAAACGAATGTCGCCGCAAGGACAATCCACCCATATCCACCCTCAGGGTAGAACTGTCCCCCCTGTCCACTTGCTTCATCAGCAACAGAAGACGAAGGGATAGCAGCGGCAGAGACTACAAGATTATTGCTGTTGTTGGACAGAGGTGCAGGCGGCTCAGCCAAAGCATTCAGTCCATTCTCATACAACTCCTTGTCCCCTGTCCCTCGCCATTCATTATCATGTTTTATGTTGCTGCTGTTAGCGTTGTCGCTTTTGCCGCTGGTGATAGAGTGAATGGGTTGATGTGTGGATGGGGTTTCTAGTGACAGAACGGTATGCCTGTCTCCTTGACTACAAGTATCGTTATCCTCTGGGTGCATTTCTTGTTTTATAAGGGCTGAAGAGCCAGAGAGACGAAAAGATCGGAAAGAACCAAAAGGAGAGAAGAAAGAGAGTGGTATAACGTCAAAAGGAAAAAAAAAATTGAGACGACGAGGGAGTGGGGGGTACAAAGAAGAAGACGAAGAGAGGAAAGAAAAAGCCAGGACCTACTTGTGATGAATGAGGTGTGAAAATGGCCAACGGTTGGAAAGTAATTAGCAAAAGGAAGAGAAAAAGAAAAGTACAAGATGATGCAAGCATGGCTTTGGAGTTCATCCTTTGACAGGATACATGTCCCTTATCCTACCTCACCCTCCCCCTTCTTCACTTCATTTTTCTTCCCCTTCGGCCTTCGCTACTGATTGTATTTGGACCTCTCTGTGAGTGAGTGGTCCCTGCGTGTCCAAATAAATAACTAGGAAGGAGGGGAGATGAAAAAAGGGTTCAGCAAACGGATGATGTAAAGGGGGATGAATATGAAGAAGTATCGTGTCCTAATGAGTCTGTCCTGGATGATGTTACAGAATATTGGGGAGTAGTGTGAATAGATGATTTTGTTATTCGAGGGTAGAGTGGAATCAGGCCACGATGGCGACAATAGTGAGAAGGAAAGAAGGTTCATGGCACCAGGAGTAGTAGCCATCTCACTTATCTCACTCATCTCCTATTCTCCCCCTTTCGAACAAGGGCACACGTTCCATCGCTCTCACTCAAAAGGCGCCCTTCCTACCTATGTGCCGACCGGTTATTGTGGGCTGGAGAATTAGTGGCGTCTGTCTCACTCTTACTTTTCCCATCACACGTTTCTGATCAACAGATCGGTTGATCAGTTGTTTATCTGCAACTGGCCCGTGCTCCTTCTCTCTCTCTTCGATAGCATGACGCGCATTGCCCAAAGGTTTGAAATGACGATAGAGCTAGGCAGATCTACATTAAGCAGGGGTACGGCAGAAAAACGTGTTCATGTCTGTCTTTCTCAAAGTGAGATGAACCTTCTTGCAATTGAGGGTGAGTCAACATCACCCTCTTCCATACATCTGCTAACCATCTCACACCCATAAATTGATCTTTCCGCCTTGCTTGACTTCCATTGTCTGCCAGTTTGAGTGTTGCAATTTAATAGCTTAAGTTTGCGTCTGTTCTTTGTCTTGCCAAAGAAACATGGGAATGTGGAATCATCAACCCCGATCTTGTCTTTTGTTCTCCTTTTCCAACAGTCTACTTGAATTTTTTTGCCTTGACATTCACCATGGCGTAACCCCAAATTTCGATTTGTCCTTGCCCTTGTTTATCACAAGCACTTTGCAATTTTTTTTTGGCGGTTGGTGTTCTTTCTTCTTTCTCATTTTTGCTCTTTAACCCCTAGTCCTCCTTTCCTTCATAATAACCCCCACTCATCTCTTTCCCTCCAATTTTCTTCTTCCATCACACCAACAACAACAGCAAGCGAGCCTAAGTGTTTCAGCAAAGAGCCGAGACGAGAGATATGGACTCACCCACTGGCGACACTCCCCTCAGTGAGAGCAACCTGAACACCACCACCAACAGCAACAACCTCATCACCTGGGTAATCAAAAATGATCACTCCAACACCCAGTTGTTGATCAACGCGGGGAAGGGGGTGGAACATAGGAGTCAGGTGAGCGATCAGCTTGTCGAGTCATCGTCTCCTGTTACAGCACAGCCCAGCAGCGTCAACACCTACTCGACCAAGCCAAATGAGGCAGACGCACTAGACAACAGCATCCTCAACCAGACTGGCATCACCAACAACACTTCCATCGTCACCAACATCAACACAACAACCGACACCACCGGCAACAAGAAGCCTACTCCAAAGAGGGCTATGATTCTCTCAGGTCGCCCAGCGCCGCCCCTCCCACCTCGGCCCGTCTTCCCGGCCGACCTCAAGAACTACCAACTTCAATCCGGAACCGCCGAAACTAGCTCCCACATGCAGGCCTATCTCTCTCGGGTCCGTCGCGACTTTGAACAGCAGACTGATGATTTCGAAGTCCTAAAAGAGATCATATTGGAGGACACGCATCACATGACGGCGGTGGTTGATGAGCTGGACGCGATGGATGAGGATCCGTTTACGTTGGACAGTTTTGAGAACCTAATGAGAATGCACGCGAGTAAGGGGAAGGATTTTATTATTGCAAGGGTTACGACGCAGGATCCGAATGACGGGGAGAAGCATTATCATTCGTATTACGGCGCGCATCAGATTAATAAGGTCTTGTTTCGGACGCAGCCTGATGAGGGGCTCTTGCATCGTATGAAGGCGCGTAATGTAAGTACTTTCTTCCTTTCTCTCCTTATACTGTTATGTTGTGGTTGAGGCTCTAATACATCAAAGATCCAATTCTAACAGCTCAAACTTATCCGTTACGTTCTACAACACATCGTAGCCTTTGAACAACATGTTGGTCGTGGGAGACGTCCACTATTATATAATATCAGCCGCAGATGTCAAAACAGTCCGACCACTGCCCACCGTCGTCCGCAGCTCAAGCGCATCAATATCTTCTCACTCCTCACGAATGAGTCGGTGCAGCAAACTGGCGGCGCAGGCGATCGCCAGTCAATCGGCCTCGGCCAGATCATCCCCGATCCTCGGAAGTGACAAGTCACTCTTTTCTCGGTCCTCTGACCTCGAATCCCCCGTGTCGATCATCTCTCCGCTTATGGCGCTCTCGATCCTTAATGCTGACCAGGAGGATCTTATTCACCACGGTGGCAGCGATGGAGGTTATAGTTCGAGTACGACACCTGCATCAGCAACGGCGGAACATGATGTGATACAGCCACACAAACGTCATCGTCGTGGGTCTCAGGGTTCGACTTCCTCAACCACCTTGACTCCAACTTTTCCCCAGGGTGCCGCCACCTCCCACCGCCAACCCGGTCGACCCTCTCGTCTCCGTCAAGCAATTGAGACGGAGGAACTTTGTGATAGCCCTGTCACCATGATGCCCACTGCTGGTGCTGGTTCGTTTGCAGAGGATGCCTTCAGTCCCATGACACCCCCCGCCCATCATGCGCACCCTTCTTCTTCCCAGGCAAGCCCATCATCCGCAACAGGACAGAGCCCCCTCTTCCAGAGCCTGATGGGTGGCAGAGTCCGCAGTCGATCCAGCACCATCTCCAGCGTCTCCAGCGACGAGAGTTTCACCTCGACCATGAGCGCTCGAAGCCACGCGTCCAAATGTAGCGCCACCACCAACGACAGCAACAGCAGCGCCACTTCCAGTAGCAACGAATGCTACTCTTCCTCCGTCTTGAGTTCACCCATCAACAACTCCAACCTCGACAATACCCAGGACAAAGACAAGGAGTCCAACAGCAAGGGCAGTGGTGACGACAACGTGGTCTACAAGTTCCGGTACCTAGCCTCAGACGACGATTTCTTGTTACGTTCCACGGTCCGTCAGACGTTCAGAGTCAATGCACTCGAGACTTGGGATGCGATTCTGTTTACAATCAGTAATAATGCACTGAGGGAGTATTCGAACCAGGGCGGTGAGCAGGTCTTACAGCCTCTTGCTGGTCAAGGTCACCACCAACCTTTTCCTTTGCCGCCGTCGTCGTTGCCTTCACAAGCCTCGGAACCAGTGCCATTTCAGCACCCAGAACAGCAAGTGCCGTCGTCGTTACCAACACCCACCACCGCAGCAGCAGCCGTTGCGGCTCAATATTCTGCAGCTCACAACCAGAACCAAGGTGCCACCAGCCACCCACCTTTGATTGTCCCTCGCCCTCAGGATATCTCACCATCCAGTCATCCAACAACAGAGCTCCACCACCACCATTCCGACTCTACCTCCGCCCCCAATAATAACACTACTTCTTTCGACAACGAAGACTCAACAACAACACCGTCATCACCACTCCATGGCAGAATAGAACGAAGTGGAGGTGGCGGGTTGTACTCTGCCGGCGTGAACAGTGTACCTCACACATTCGACATCCATAGCTTCAGTCACACACCCCGTCATCAAAGTCATGGCGGTCAAGAGATTCAACAACTTGAAGGAGAAGGAGGAGCAGAGGGATTGAGTCGAAGCATGAGCAATAGCTGCCACAGCCGACGAGTGGATCTGTTCCGCAGTTTGCCTGCCTTGACCCTTGGTGCTTCCGCTACCGGTGTCAGGCAAGAAGGTGGTTTGGTGGGTGGTGATGGTGAAGTGTCCGAGTTGAATTGTGGTGCCAGTAGTACAACTGGTAGTTGCAAGAAGTTGCGCCACGTCTTGAGCAAGATCTTTTCGCGCAAGTAACGTTTTTTTTTGTTTTTTTTAAACATTTCTTTTCACATCTACACACAATCGCCTTTTTTTTTTTCTTTCTATCGCCCTAATTAAATACAACATTGTTTGTTTATTAATTTTGCTTTTGTTAATGCAATGCAAAAAACAAGGAGGGAGAGGATAACATGCACGCTCACTTTAACACTTTGGCGATGGGATTCAGAAAGAAATGAAAAGGTGGAATGATACGACGACGTAATGCGCACACTTGTCACAACCCCACCGCCACCATCGCCATCACCATCGCCGTCATTGGTGCCGCTTTCATGCTGGCGCTCAAAGATCCCGAGTCTGTACTATTGCTCAGGTATCGGAAATGAGATCTCAAAATATATATCTACCCCACCCGCTGACCTGGTATATGCGTTGCTGGCGGCATTAGTGGCGATCATGAAATACTTGAGCAGATAGTCGAGTGTGGACAGAGACCAGCGAAAACATGCGAATCTTCCTGACGCCTGGAAACATACGACTGCCATCAATCTCTCTTGAAAAGAGCTGTATGAGGATTGGGCACGATCACATGACAGTGATACTGCAGTGTACCGTCACCTAGTCGCAGGAACTTGAAGTCGGGGCAGCAGGCAAACAAGCTCTAATCGACGCGTACCCAAACTCACCTCAGAATGTCAGAGTCCAAAGGTAACCTATCCATGTCCCAGGGAGAATAGGGTCCGTGTCGAACAGACCCCTGGCACAGAGGTATGTCAGAGTCTGACTGAAGGCAAAGTCAGTGTTGACGATCCCCCGGGTGCCTGCAGTATAGGGTTGGGTGACCTCGACGCTCTCGATCGAGACCAAGGCATGAGTTCCAGGTGTATCCTCCTGTGCCAATGGTCATCTCTGTCCACCATGAAATCTGTTGCTGCTGCTGGCTGTGATGTTCCTACCAAGTCTCTCCATGTCTTTCTTCTCTTGAACGGCCCACTCAAACACGCCACTGTGAAGCGCCTTGAGCTTCAAGTACTTCATATTCCGACACCGCTGGAGGAAGGGTCAGTTGTCGTGGTTGGTGCCCTCTTCGTACCAAAACTCTGGGAAGCCTTTGTCGTTCAGCTCCTGAACATGCGATAGATCGATAGAATGAGGGCGGGCCAAAAGTTGTATCAAATATAGACGGCTGTTCTCCAGTCATCATTGTTCCAAAAAGTCTTCTCGAAGCAGATGGCGGTCTTGAAGCGGCCGGGGAAAAAGCCGTGTGTGCTCCTGGATGAACCGAAACATGTCTCGGATGACCTCGTCGTTGGGTGTGCCCATGGTGTCGCTGCCGTTGTCGTCGATACCGTAGTCCTTGTCATTGCCGCTGGAGAGGCCAGACTCGAACCAATCGGTCATCACAAAGCGGATTTACTGCAGGCCCCTGAAGCGACCAGCGACTTTTATATGATCCATGATAGTCAACATGTGTTCGATGGTGAAAGACTGGAGCTGCTCGAGGATTGTGTATGATAAGCACCGGAGTACCTCTTGGTCGACCTTGAAGCGATAATAGTGATAAAGGGCCATCTCCTTGGGATTGGACACGAAGAATGAGGCGACCATCTCTGGCTGGAAAGGGTTCAATTGAGAGATCTGGTCAAACTTATAGCTGCCAAGGTACTCCATTAGTTGAGGAAAAAGCACATCACGCAGCTCAGAGCTGTCCAGTCGGGAAGCGTGAGAGGGTCTTCTACGACAATGCTGAGGTGACGGATATGGGCAAGGCAATGGAGTGGCGAGCTGGTTGTTGTTGGAAAGATGTTTTTTTCTTTATCGTGGTTGGGCGGGTTGACGATGGGCGATAGGGGGGTCACTGAGGAGCATGCGATGGAGCAGTTCGAGTGAAGACATGGTATATATTACTCCAGGCGATCACTTGTTTCATTGGCGAGAGCAAAAGGGGTGTCGTCGTTGTCGAGTGTAAGGAGGATATGTTGGAGACATTAAGTGGTCCGAGTCCTATCAGCTAATCGTTTGGGCTCTTCTTCAAGTGATGACATCCTGCGTCAATTAGAGAGATGGACATAGGCGTGCCTGACTCTCTCGTCATATCAACCCCTGGCGGTGGCGCATGGCACGGGAGGAGAGAAGACAAGCAAGACATGATGGACTTACTTTCACTCTCGCACTCACGCCTCATTCACAACAGCAACAACATCAGCAACAATGGACGACCCTCTCTCTCCGCTACTTCTAGCAAGAAGCGATCCTTGCTCTTGGCAGAAGTGGCCAAATGATTGGCTATTAGGGCTCGGACACCTTCGACAGTAAGCCGGGTCTGCTTCGACGAAGACGCGAAATGACTATGGTCGATCTCAAAATCCGACTCTTGTTCCACTTACATCAACTTGAGCCTGTCTTTCATTCTCCTCGCTGACCTGAGCACTCTGAGCCGCTTCACTGTTGTCTTCGTCAACCTGGGGTGCAGTCGCCGCCTCATCATTGTCGCGATGAGTCTCTGTCAGGGATTTATACCCTAAAGAGAACTGGCTCGCTTTAGGTTGCTTGAGTATACAGCACAACGTGTGTGGGGTGTGGGAAACACAAAAAGAGGAAAGAGGAAAGGGGCTTAAATTGATGGGCGCAATGGGCATCTAGTTTATTTCCCTCTCCGATCAAAGGAAGACACATGCTCTAGTGGGGTCCAACCCATATCCACCTCTTGACAATCAATCTCAGGGTCAATGCAAAACCGAGAATCGCCATTACATTGACAGGATCAAGGGTCCTTTCTCTAACGGCAAGACGATCATCTTTCAGGAATACAAAATCTAGCTAAGGCTCGGTGGCCGTGGAGTTTGGCCTTTTAAAGTGGTCTTCGTTGTATTCAAGGTGCCAGGTATACTTCAAGAGTCTAGGTCCCTCTTGTCTTCTTCCTCCGGTAACATCACTTTTCCACATTCCCTCTTTGCTTATTCATCCGTCCGTCTGCCTTCTCTCTCCCAATGAACGGTCGTTCTGAGTTGGTTAGAGTGACGAACACTAAGTCCATATGGGGATTTCATGACCAAAATTGGCTAGTTGTTGATGTTGTTGTTGGCTTCATTACCGTTGTCAAAGTGTAGAAATATGCTTGGCTTCCTTGACCCCCCTGGTTGACTTTGTCTAGATTGCTTGGAGCTGTTCAAGCCATGCGCTCACTTGCCTTTCCTCAAACACACTTGGCCCCCTTTTCTAATCAAATCAAATTTTCAATATCAAGAAATTAACCAGGACGATTTGATTGGCTGCTGATGATCGCTGGCTAGGTTACCAAGTTTCTGCTGACCGTCATCGGCGGGCGAATGATTGCAGGCGGCTGTCTTTCTTTCTCGCTTCACCCATCGTCTTTTTGACCATTAGCCCGAAAACGAGGTTTTTAGGCTCTTGTTATCCACTGAGGTGCCTGTCCCACTTCTTCTTTCCTCTTCACTTCCCTCTGAAATCAACTCCCGCCTTTTTTTTTTTAACATTTTCACATCTTTTTATCTTCTACCTTCCTCCCGTCCAAAACGCAGCTGTTTACATCTCTTCTTCAATACCCCCTCTCCACTCTTCTCCGCTCTTCTCCCCCGTTTCCCTTCACTTCTTTCATAATAACGCCCACTTCCTACAATGGTGCTGAGAACAAGTATCACAGTACTGTTGGCTGTACTCTTCCTGGCCACCCTCACATCTGCACACTCCCCCGCATGGCCAACTATCGCATACACAGAGACTCTCGGTCCTCTTCACCACGAAATCCTCCCTCGTCATCTCCACAATAATCCTTCTTCCAACTCACCCTTTGCCAAACGAGGAGACACTTCAGCACCAGCACTCATCGAAAAGGATGACAGGATCCGGCTACGGTTCCAGGCCTTCAACAAGACATTCTTTTTGCACCTCGAACCAAACCATGATCTCATCCATCCAGACCTCCTCGCATCTTCTTTTTCTGCATCATCTTCTCGTACGACTTCGTCGTCGTCAGTGTATGATGACATCAAGCCGTTCAAGGGTGTGGTGGTCGAGGATGACTATCACTCGAACCAGAAATGGGAGCGAGCCATGAGTACGAACCAGGCGGAGGAGCAACGGTCGACAGTTGAGCAGATGTTGTTTGAGGAGGGTGTTCTTGGCTGGGCGAGGATGATGATTGAACACGATGAAGACGAGTAAGTTGCTGTTGATTGTTGTTGTTGTGTGTGTGTGTGTGTGTGTGTGTGTGTATATACTGGTGCTCTTTCTTTTATTCCCATGGATGCAGTTGTACATGCATTTTCTACAACTCTCGCTAAATTTTTTTCTCTTCGTTCATCCAATCAACTTTTTATGAGTAGTGAATCAATCATCCTGCGGGGCGCATTCACGACAAAGGACGACACCTACCACATCACCTCTCGCCAACATTACCACGTCCAGAAACGATCCGATGACCACTCCTCGCCACCTTCTTCGAATTCACTCTCGTCTCAATTGATCATCTACAGGGACTCAGATCTTCGTAAGCCCACCAAGAAACTCCATGCCCGCAGGGATTTTGAATCGGACGAGGAAGAGGCTGCGTGGGAAGAGCGGCAGACGACCACTTGTGGTGCAGGTTTCGTCGCCAGTAGGGTTGATCATAGCAACTACTACAACAATGGAAGCAGGTCAGCGGCAACAGCAGGGAGTGGAGAAGAGCATGGGTACTATTACCCTCCCGATTTGACGGCACCTATCCCTATGGGAGGAGGAGCAGGAGCAGCAGGAGCATCAAGTTTCTTCAACATGGCAGCAACAACATTCAGGAAGCGCAGCAGCCCAGAGAGCAATATCATGGTCAAGGTAGCTGGTCCAAGTCCCGTCCCTACAGGATGTCCCACCACCAGGATGGTCAACTACATGGGCGTCGCTGCTGACTGTACCTATGTCCGGTCATACGGAGGACTCGCTAATGCTCGCAAGCAGATCCTTGCCGACTTCAACACTGCCTCCGGGATCTACGAGTCAACTTTCAACATCGCACTGGGGATCATTGCTGTCGAGATCGAGTCGATGAATTGCCCCAAGACACCTGTCAAGGGCAAGGTGTGGAACCAAGAGTGCTCAAAAAACTATACGATGAACGATCGGCTGAGCGACTTCTCGTACTGGAGAGGGAAGAGGGCCAAGGATGGAGCTGGGTTGTGGCATTTGATGACTCAGTGTAGCTCGGGAGCCATTGTTGGTATCGCTTGGACGGGAGCTGTCTGTCAGATGGCATCACAGTCACAAGGGGGAAGCACTTCGTCTGGTATAGGAGTAGCCGCAACTCCTACACAGTACACTGCCGGTACGGGTGTCTCGTCCGTCTCTCCGAACGAATGGATGGTGGTTGCTCATGAGATTGGACATGGCTTCGGTGCTAATCATGATTGTACGGCGACTTCTTGTGTCTCCGCCAGTGCCATCGCTGCTGCAGCCTGCTGCCCTTACTCGACTTCGGACTGTGATGCTGACAACCGGTTCATCATGAACCCCTCTGAGCAATCTGTCAAGTCGACCTTCTCGCCCTGCAGTATCCACTCCATCTGCTCGACTGTTGCCAAGTCCGGGAGCTGTCTCCAGCCTGTCGCCGCTGCCTCTACCAAGCCTATACAGTCATTCGAGGCCAATGTCTGCGGCAACGGTGTCAGAGAGGAAGGAGAGCAGTGCGACTGTGGTACGCCAGACGAGTGTGCCTTGGACCCTTGCTGCGATGGAACCACCTGCAAGTTCAAGGGCTCTGCTGTCTGCGATGACATGAACGATGACTGCTGCCACAACTGCCAGCTGGCAGCCAAGGGTCTAGTCTGTCGATCCGCCATTTCGAACTGTGACATTGCCGAGACCTGCTCGGGTAGCTCTGCGATGTGTCCTCCCGATGTCCAGCTGCCTAACCTGACGCCCTGCGATATTCTTGGAGCCGGCAACCTGACGGAGGGCGGTGGTCAATGCGCCAACGGACTGTGCACTTCCCGCGATCTGCAATGTGCTCAACAACAACGACTCGGAATCGACAAGCAATGCGCCGCCGCCACGAACCAGTGTGTGCTCCTCTGCAACGACCCCAATGGCAACAAGGATTCATGTATGAAGATTCCTGGAATGTACTTTGTCGACGGTTCGCCCTGTGGATCCTCGGGCGATGGAATCTGTATGTCGGGCAAGTGTGAGCTTCCCGGTGGATGGATTAAGAACAATCTTTCGATTTTTATTCCTGTCATCTGTCTGGTTATTGTGTTGATTGGCGCCGGTATCGGAACCTGGGTCTTTTTGTCCCGTCGCAAGGCCCGTCGCAGCGCCAATGAACTCCCTGCTCTGCCCCCACAGGCCGATGGTTTTGGAGAGTATGGCGGTGCCGCTGCTGTTGGTTCTGACGGTGTGCCATTGTCCAAGAGTAAGGATGTAGATATTCCCAAATGGATGTTGACTGGCGATCGCCGCACCTCCCAAGTCGTGATCTCTCGGCGTGCATCCCTCTCGTCCCAGAACGTCCTCCGTAACGCCGACGGCGATGTTGTCCCCATGTCGACTGCCCCCGAACTCGCTGCGATCTATATGCAACAGCATCCTCAACATCAACAACTACATCAACTCCAGCATCGACAACAGGAGCCTCAGCAACAGCAACCACATGGCAACGGGTATGAATACGACGACCATTACCCAAATAACGACCCCTACCAGGACATGTACCAGAGCCACGAAGAACTCTACCAACAACAACTCAGACAGCAACTGCGCCTTCAACAGATGTTTGGGTACCAATCACCCACGGGGTTCATGTCGCCAGCTCCAGAGTACTCTCCTGAGTGTGAGCACTATTCTTCGACCTCGCCCCACAGACAGGACTCTGAGCATGAGCAGTATTTGTCCAGTTCCAGTTCGCCGCTATCGCATAGCCAGTCCCCGCTGATGCAAGGACAGGGACATCTTTCGCCATTGGTGCACCAGCAACAACAACAACAACAACAACAACAACAAGGGCGACCATTATCACCACAGCACCTTCAGCAGGCCCATCACCGGAGTCATCATTTGAACCTCCAGCATCAACAGCAACAACAGCGGTACCATCAAGACCCATTTAACCACAACTATCATGGGCATGGTGAAAGTAGTAGTAGTAGTAGTGGTAGTCATGAGGATCCAGAAGAGAGCGAGAGCAGAAGTCACCCACAGCGACACCCGCACAAGGGGCATCATTAGTTCCATCGTGTGGTACATCCCTTTTATTATTTTTTTGTATTTGTATTTGTATAGTAAATGGACCTTTATTCGTGTAATTGATGGGTGGTCAATGGTATTGCCTCTTTCGTCTACTTTGTGGTCGTGTGTGCGGGTGATTTTTGTTTTGTTTCTATGGTGAGCCCACTCGCGATGCAATTTTCTTCTCATGATCCTTTTTCCTTGATCATATAGATCATCTTCATCTGACCGCAGTGGGAGTGTTCGTTGTTGTTTTTCTTGAAACCTCACATTAAAAAAAAAGAAGTAAAACGGACACGCAAATATCGATAAAGCTCTCTCTCGCTCTCTCTCTCCTCCCCATATCCCATTCATCCATCATCATCGGTCGTTGGTGTTTGGTATGTTGAGGATGGGAAAACATTCGGAGGGATTTTCCCGCAACTCCAAAAAAACAAGGGGGATTGTGCAAGGCAAGAGATAAGTCGAGCCTGTATGAGTGGATGGGATGGGCGGGGTGTAGGGAGGCTGCAAAAGGAGATCATCTCCCACGTGCAGGGGGGGAGGGGGGAGAAGGGAGGGGGAGTGGATGTGTGCACTGTGGGGGAGAGATGAGCGATTAGAAGGATGTGAGGGGTATGTTTGTCCGGTTCTTCCTTCATCCCTCTCATCCTTTCATATCGACGATTAATTGAGTGATTTGATGATGACATTTTTGTTTTGTAGAACAAAGAGCAATTATTGGGAAAAAATTGTCTCACTTGTTTTTCCCCTCTCCCCCCCACCCTCCCGGCAAAAAATGAATAGTACCCAAGTAGAGTAAGAGTGATAGAGGCGGAGAAAAGGTGAGGATGTATATGCAATGCGATGTATGGTCGTCTGCACTTCATAAGGGTCAATTGGGCGTGTTTGTCGGTTAAGGAGTAAAAAAAGATGGAAGAAAGTAAATAACCGTTCTCAATTGATTCGGGCTTTTTCGTTCCGTTACACATGAAAAGGACCCTGTGCACAAAAATTAGCGTAATTTGAAGCGAGATATGAGTTGCATCGAATTGTTCTTTTCTTTTTTGGTGTACAGTTTTCACATCCCAATCGAACAAAGGAAGGGGAGTGACGATCGAACAAACAAAGGATGAAGGACAACAATCATCGAACAGGGACAAGGAACTGGTTTTGCTCGGGCAAACATAGCAAGAAAATAGTTTAGACAAGGAAGGGAATTTGTCTTGATTTATATCTCTAGTTTCTGTGGTGTTCGTTCAAATGCCCCATGCATTGGGGTAAGAATAGATGTTCCGGACGGAAAGAGAGAAGAGAGGCAGGTATAGTACAATACACCAGTGAAGATACGACTGTATTACACATCCTATTGCCGTTTTGATCGATAAGCAAGCCATTGAGGGGTTCCTTGTCCTTTTTTCCCACCCACTGCTAGCAGATCAGGATAATTATTATCCAGGCACATGAAACGGCCCTGACGCCCCTGTAGATCGTTGACAAATGAATCGATAGATAACAAAGGGAGGAGGGGTAAATAAAGCAGAAAAAGTGCAATCTGGGTCCACTTGAAAGCGACTTGATCGTCAATGGGAGGAGGTCCTGCTTGCGCGAATAATTGCTTTACTAATTCGCAAATGACGTTTGTGAAGAAGAAATGGAAGAACAGATTACGAATTGCCAAGTAAACGGGAAGAATACTCTGGGCCTGTACGGTACCCCATCCCTTCGCTTCGCCTTTTACTTCTTGCATCATCGATATGTATGTGTAGAGTATATGAAAAGGTAGCTAGGATGGTAAGGGTCCGGCTCTTTTGTCTGTTGGTAACTTGGTATTCTCTCTTTCTCGAGAACCCTGTTTCTGTATTTGACCACGTTATTCCTAATTGCACATGAGCAGGAGAATCAAAAAAGATTGGTGTATCATGTGACATCATGGCGCAAATCAGACGGCAGAAAGGGTCAGGCTGAGCAGGAGAGGCAAGGTTGACAGCAGATAGGGTGCAGCGCACAGGGTAAAAGAAGGGGGAGGATTGTGCTCTCAAAGGGTGATGAAAAGCAACGCCGAGAAAAAGTAGCACACGGGTGGAGGGATATTCGAGTTGGGACTGAATTGAAACCTTACTTCTGTCGACTTTTGACATCAATATTTAGTCGGGAAATGAGGGAGAAAGAGGGTTTTATGGAAGAACACCAGGAAAAAAGAACAGGAGGAGTTCTCGTCAGTGGCCTTAACTGCAATGCAGCACACAGCCGTCAGCCATCAGCCATCAGACCAGCCTAATCCAGACCAGAAAACCACAATGAAAAGAACAGGAAGAAAAAGAAGTCAAGTGGCAATGCCCGCCATGTAATGGCTGTCTGTCATGCACACAAATGTACTAAATAAGGAAGGCAAACCGTGTCAACGAAGCAGAGCGACAGTGAGGAAGGACGCTTCGATGTGCACCAACAGCCCGCCCACTCACGTCTCGTCTTCAACAGGGTCAAGTTAAGCCCATGCGCACAAGTCTCCTTCCTTTCTTTCTTCCCTTTCAATTCTTCCGTTTTTCCCTTTTAAGCCCCTCTCTTTCTTTCTCTCTCTTCTGTTCTCTTTACTCTTCACCCATTCCTTTCCTTTCTTCCTTTCCCCTTTCCTCCATTCCATTCATTCTTGAATTGCATTCCACCCTCTCTCAACAACCTCATTCATACTCTTGACTCTTCCTCCACTCCTCCACTCCTCCACTCGTTCATTACCTTTACACTCCCACCACCCCTTATCGCCCATCGATACATGACGACTGTCGCCGAGAGACTCGGAGAGGCCCACGAGCAGCTCTTGAAACTGTATACTTCCATTCCCGTCCTGACCCCTTGTCTCGAATCCATCAAATCCAACCAGACCGAATTCGTCGCCCTCAACAACCGTCTCCGCAACCTTCAAGAAATCATCACCTCTGGCCAAGTACGCGCGTGAGTATCCTTTTCGTTTCTTTGTGAATAAGAGCCAAATAACACACTGACCGCCGAGTAATGCTGGTAGCCATATCGTGATAGCTGTGTGTGAGTGCCGAGGATGTTTATAGTGCGATCCCAGCATTCAGTAGTCGAGGCAGCATTTAGGCTGTTCTTTGTGCAGCACAAGCACAAGTGCAGACATCGGTTAGATCCGCGCCCTCCTTCCTTTTATTTTCATTTCTCGTTCGTTGCCTCCCCTTTCGCCTTGGCCCTCGTCCTCTTCACCTCCTGATTTTCCATCCTCCCACTCCACTTCGCCTTCTCTTTCCACCCCTTCATGCCTGCTCTTTTCTCTTTGTTCTCATTCAATTAATGATCCATTACTGTACGAAATCCATCGAATACCGGGGAAACTCGAACGAAAACATGCATCCCCAAAAACACCAATCCGACGAAGTGAGCAATAACAGGACAGAGGCGAAGAAAAGTACGGAGAGGCGAGGCGCGCCTAAAATATCGGTTGGTGCCTCATCCCTACTGCTTTTCCTCGCACACAATTTTTCTTTCTCTTTCGCCCCTCCCCCCTCACTCACTCACTTTCGCTCCACTCCCTTTCTTTCTTTTTTCATTCGCGCCTTGACCATCCACATTCCCTCAACCTTCACCAAATATGACCCCCAACTCTTCCCCTTCTCTCCCTTTTTTTGTGCTGGGGTTGAGGCGTGCCGGGTCATCCTTTTCTTTGTTTTACGCGTTTGTGTTGCTAACGAAGCAATCGGTCTAGGTTGTTGGACAAGGGAGTACAATACTGTGTGTATCTTTCGATCGATGGGTGGGTAAACACAAGGTTGTTTTTGGCCCTTTTCTTTCCATCTTTCTAGCTCGAGATGGTCATGCCGTCCTTTGATTTTATTCGTTCTTTGTTTGTGCATGAGGGTGTGTGTGTGGGTTGTGGATTGCTTCGTGTGGGGAAAAAAAAAAGAGCTCTGGCACCCCCTTCTTTGCTCATTGGAGTTACGAGATTCGAAAATGCTGCCATGTCAGATTTCTTCTCTTTTCGTACGCATGCATACTGTCGCCAGCATCCACACCTCTTTCCTCTGCTCAGTAATCAGTACAGTGTGCACGCTTTCGTTTCTTTATTAAAACAAAGGTCGAGACACTTTTCTTTGTCCCCCGGTAGATCCCTTACTTTGGAACCTTCCACCGATTCCGCGAAACTCCTTTTTTCTTATTACTGTTCTCACTCTTTGTCATGTCCTTGATATTCCATTCCATTCCATTCCATTTTGCACTCCCAGATCTTCTCTGGTGTTGTCCACTACTATTCTCTCTTGGTCCACTACAACCAATCGTACCCCCACATACCTCGCAAGTGGGTTTCTCCCTCTGACAATACTCGTACTTTTGTTCCCCTTTCCCCACAAATAGTGAAAAGACAAGGAAGCAACTCGACTCCGTGTTCACGATTAATAAGGGCGAAGTAGAAAAGGCATATCGTCAGGAAATCAATGATATCAAGACCTACGAGGATGAGCGCCGCATATGTCTGCGCCAGCGAGACGACGTCGTGACCGTGGTAAGTCCTTGTGTCCCTCTTCTTCCTCCGCTTTGACCCCGATGGGGTTCTTCATTGTGCCTGAATTCCTTGCATTAATTGCAATCCTAACTTAATTCTCTTCCCACCTTTTGACTTCTAACAGAGATACAGACTTCAAAAGGAACGCGCCATCTTGCTTGAGGAAACTCGTCAGCTCAAGAAAATAACCGAATCTGTATTTGACCGATCCAAAGACGAGGTCGCGAACACAGATTTCCCTGAGGAGCTGTACTGGCAGCTGGAGCTCAGGGAATACGACATTAAGATCACAGAGGTTAGGAATTCAGTGTCCAAATTTAACACTGCCCTCACAAGCCTGGCTCGAGCTGCTAACCTCACCGAGGCCGCCCTGATGGCTTTTCTGGGATATCCCGATGCTGCCTACAAGGTCTGGCGAGTCGAGTATGCACTCAAGGCCAGTCAAAAGATGAGACTTTGTAAGTTCATTTTTTTTCTATTGTCAGGTTGTTTTGAACTCTTTTGTGGCTGGTGTTGTTCAAGTTCAGACATGGCGTTTCGCAGGGCTCTAACGTCTCAATTGTATGTTTTCTCTTGGTGCCTATCTCCGTTGCCTTCTTAGATCTTCGAGTGGAGTTGTCATTGTCGAGCGCTTACTCGAACGCAGAGAGTGCCAGGGATGCTTGCCCTAGCATCGTCTCCCTGCAAGCGCCTCCCGTCAAGGCTTCTGCAGCCCAGAGTTACTTTGGTAAGAACTCCACAAAATAGCGCTATCGTTCCTTCTATTTGAATCACTGCGTCGTTTGTTCTGAGAGCTAATTTTGATGTTCCCTCGTTGTAGAACCGGTTACGAAGAATGCAAAGGGCAAGTACAAAATTGTCCCGTTTGATTCTGAGGCACCGTTGCGGGACTACATTGCGCGCCTCCGGACAGCACACAAAACGGCCGAAAGGATGTTGGCTCAGGAGACGGAGCGTTTGAACGCCATGCAAAAATACAGAGAGTCGATTATTCCTCGTCTGGCACAGATCAGGAGACACGTCTTCCAGAACTCTGGTCTCGGCGGCTACCATATTGAAGGATGGGAGGATGCGATGGGCCGGTCTCTCTTGGGCACCGAAGCTGATATCTTGGTCCGTGGAGGTATCCATAACGTTGGAACCAACTCTGATGGATCGCCATTGGAATCGCAGGCCCGTCCACCACTATCGACATCTTCTTCGCAGTCTGTCCCGACTAACAACAGCTCCGATTCGTTGGAGGAGGCGATGAACACGGTACATTCGAGAGGCGAGCGCCGAGGAAGCGGACGCGGGGTTCCGGATGTGGACGAGCAGGGTTCATCGTCTGATTTTAACCGGCCCATGACCCATGACAATCGTGTGGTCCTCAGTGTTGGTTGTGCTCCTCTGTCGACGATTGCTCCAGGAAACATACTGGGGTCTAAGGTTCTGATGCAGGTCGATCGTCAGAGACAGGCCAAGGAGATTAAGGACAGGGAAAGCGTCCGAACTCGCTCTAGATCACGATCGGGCCGTGAACCTGAGCCTAGTTTGTCGTCCGACTCGGGCTCATCAGACCATCATCAACGTCCGGGATCTAACGGCTTCTCGGCTTTAGGTGGAAACAGCACAAACAGCAGTAGCAGCAACAACAACTTGATCAGCAATGGGTCTGGAGACGGAGAACGTGAAGGTCGCAAAAAGTCTCGAGGTCTCTTCTCATTCGCGAGAGGAAAGAGGGGCGGCAGCAGCAGTCGAGCGCCCGATGCCGGTGGTGATGCGGTGGTCCCTTTGGCAACACCCATTTTCCAGCTCTCTGGTCATAATCACCGCAGCAGTGTCGATGTCTCCAACAATACCCAGGGTCGTATACACAGCCAGGGAGCAGGACACCACAGGAATGTACCTTCGATTTCCATCTCAAACGAGGATAACGAGGATGGTCTATCACAGCACCCGCTCAGGAGAACCCTGTTGGACAATGCGTCTCTTATCCAGTTGCCGTCATCAGTGTCGACGTCGGCTTTTAGACCAGTTGGTGCCAGCAACACGAATGATGCGCCACCGCCGTTTTCGATGCCATCGGCAAGACCTCGCGTGGTGAGCATGGATGAGTATGTGGGTGTTGGACCTGTGGTCCGTGACGGAGGTGGAGATGAGCCCATTCGTCCATATGGGGATGGCCATGGTTCAGGACCATTGATTCCTAGTTATGGCGAGCATGAGCAGCACCAGTCCATCGATCCGGAGTCTATGATGGTCACCAGTCCCAATGGAGCTTACAACGGCAGCGGGCTGGGATCATTGGCTGAATACGATGAAGAAGTAGAGGTTCGGAACCTTCTCCTTGGACGTACTTCTTCACCTGCGCCTCCAGTATCGTCATCGTCGCCGTCGTCTGTGTTCCAGCCACACCATCGTTCAACACAATCGTTCCATTTACCACTACCTTCCGAAGGCGAAAGATCCCGATCTAGATCGTTGTCACCTCAGCCTTTGTCGCCATACTCCTACTCCATGGTCCCTGCTGCAGTTGGATCTAACAGCAATCTTAGCAGTAGTAGTGGTGGTTCCAGTGGTCGTTCACCTTATCAGCAACATCAGTACTCGTTCTCTGATCAGACGCCTGATGGCGGTGCGTTGAGTCTGAGTGTGCCGCCTCCTGATTATGCGGTTAGTCCACCCGAGTACTCGCCTTCGATTGTCTTCCCTACTGCAACTTCCGCCACCACTACCTCACCCTTGTAAATGCATCCCTTCTCCTCTTCCTTCTTCATTGTACAAAAAATAAAATCACATTCTTTCATTTCATTCATTTGTTTTGTGGATCGAACCGACCGGAGAGGAGAGCAAAGGAAGTACGGCGCTTCGGAAGGAGAGCACATGGGGAAAGGAGGGGTGGGGTGGGTTTGCCAAGAGAGTTGGTTTTTTGGGAGTCGGCACGGTCCAGGTGTCTCCTGTGCAAGGCCGCACAATTCGTACAGACTAGCTTGTGCACTTTATTCATGAAAAAAACAAGCAAACTGCACAACACAAACAAATGTTAAGAAGGGACACAAAGAAAGGATTAAAAACGTGTCCAAGAGGAATTCATTTTAGTGTGGTTTGTCTGCATCCTCCCTCTCCCCGACACAATGCTGGTGGTGCTGACAGATCGAAATATGGGGTATTGGGGGGGGGGGATATGGGACACAAGGAGGAGAGAGGCAATGGTGGGGGGAGATCCACAAGCGGCAGAGGGGAAGAGAAAAGATTACATATCTTGCCAACGATCACTAGCCACTACCATTGCTACCTAACAGTAGCAAGTTCGCACCAATCCTCCTCTTTGCGTTTTTTGGCATCTCTTTTTATTATCGCACACCGACATTGCTACTGATCAGGGTAAACATGGAGGGGGACTGATTAGATAGTGGGCGGGCCCCTGGTGCGCGTTATCTCTGTCTGTCGTTTTGTTCTACCAGCGTCTTCCAACTCCTCCCCAAAAACCAATTGCTTGACTGATAGTAGGGACACAGTCACGGTATGAGTGGTTCTCGCTTGGGGGAAGGGTCAGGGCCCGATCAAAAATTAAAAAAAAATGGGTTTCGGGGGAGCAAAGGCAACGAACGATGACAGGGGACGACCCCCAAGAAAATCGAATTTGGTGGGCAATTCCATTCTACTGTTGGGTTCAAGACAACATACACAGACAGACGTTCGCACTACTCCTCCACGACTACTATGCGCTCTCTTACTCATTGCATCTTCTACTTTAACACATACGAAAACAACAACAAGGAGGAGGAGGGGGTATCATCTCAATTACAACTCCACCTATCTATCTATCTATCTATCTATTCTCTAGAAAATGAATGGGCTGATCCCTATGTTTGCTCTCTATTTATTAATATCGGGAACAAAGGAAATAACAAAAAAAGTGGCATGGTCCATGTAACGGTTTGTCTGTCACCCATTCAGTGGCGTGATAATTTCCGAAGGAGAGAGAAAGAGGATCTCTTTGGTTCTTTTGTTTTGTTCGATAAGTGTTGCATACAGACTGCTCGGAGAATCTGTCGGTCAGCATTAACAATCTCTTCCTTTACGGGGGCGTTCATTCAGGACGTTGCTGTCTGTTCATTATTTTTGGGATGTGCATGCAAAACACCATGTTTGTTGTTCTCGGCCAAATTAATGCCGTGGTGAATGTAGGTTCGATTTTTCATTGGGGTGGGCGAAAGGAAGACAAATCCAACAAGGAGAGAGGACCTATCGGGGCTGGTTGTGAGTGAATGAATGAGTGGATGGGGTGAGGCGGTGACAAACAGCCAGCCAGAATATGAACGGGCAGTAAGGGTCAGAGTCATATCTGTATTTGGTGCACAATAGGATAAAAAAAGAAGAGCACAACAAAAAAAATAACTGTTCTTTGGGCAGTACAGCGAGGTAACACGGATACATTCTTTGTCTAAAATCAAGGGCAACTGTTGCGAGGCAACCTTATTAGAAGGACAGGGCAGGGGTTTGTTGTCCACGGCTTGCGCAAAGATGTGAAGGGCGTCGATTGGAGCCGAGTAGAAGCAATTGTACAGCTGGACTCTTGTTTGCAAGAAATCACTTGTCGAGGCAACAGTTTTTCTTATTTTTTGTTGGTCATTTACAGGATGAATGGCTTGTTCTTTGATGTTCCAGAGGAGTATCTGTGCTGATTTGCCCGTATCTTTTCTACTGAAAGAGAGTTGAACAAAAGTAAGAAAAAGAAGGGAGTCGATTGGTTGGTGTGAGGATGGCGCGTATTATTTTATTTTTGGTTGGGTGCTTTGTTGCTGTTTGGGTGTTCGCCCCAGCATTCAACATTTTTACTTTTTGCTACTTTTTTTGTGTGCCATGGACGCACAGTTGCCAAGGTCTACTTTTTTTTGCTGGGACAAGGGGGTCAACCCAACCAAGCAATTAGCCTTCGTAGAGTGATTGAAAGAAAAAAAGATTGGGTGCTTGAAGGGTGTATGTGCGCACTCGCTACTTTTCTTTACTCATATATTGCTGTTGCTAATCGTTCTAAGAATTGACACCCAACCCAACCCAACCCAACCCTTTATCCAAGCCCAGTCAAGAAAAGCCTTTTCATTGCTCCGTGGGCTTCTTAAAATCAGATCAGTCCACTTTTTCTCTGTCCCTTTATCATTCGTCCAGTCATCTACTCCGTTCATATCATATCATATATCAGTGATTGGGCACTCATCATTGTCTGTCTCTCTTCGTCACTCACCACTTAAATACATCCTCTCCTTCCCCCTTTTTCTTTTCTTTTCTTTTCCTCTCTCTTTCCTTTCTCCACTTTTCCCTTATCCTTCTCTCTCTCACCACCTTTCTTCACTTCCCCCTTTCTCTTTCGTTGTACATTTCTCCCTCCTCCTCTTTGTTTCTGTACCCATTTGTATACCTAGACCCACGAACAAACACAACCCAACCCTTCCTCCTCCCCAACTAGCATCACTCTATCTTTCCCACTTAATCGTCTCCGTATCTCTACTATATAACAAGTCATGTCTGCCAAAGCTGTTCGCGAATACGACGGAAAGTTGTTGCTTGCCCACTGGCTCCACCGCGTCGCCGTCCCTTCGACCTCCACCGAACCCACCACAGGATCCAAATTCATCCAGCCCACAACCCGTCTGGCCCACATCTCGATCGACACGTCGCTCTTGCAGGACAAGGCCCAGTTCGACCAGCATGTCCGCTCGACCCTCGACCAGCTCGAGGTTTCCCACCCCTGGTTGTTGACCAACAAGCTCGTCGCCAAGCCAGATCAGTTGATCAAGCGTCGTGGAAAGTCTGGTCTCTTGTTGTTGAACGCCGACTGGGCGGATGCTCGTGCTTGGATTGAGAAGCATGCCGCCAAGGATGTTCTTGTAAGTTTGTTGTGTAATTTTTTAATACTTTTTTTTTTTTACTTTGGGTCAACATTGTTTGTTACTTTTGGCTCTACTTTTATTTTTAATGGGTGAGAAAATAAGAGTTTGAAAAATGAACGGGGGAAAAGGGTAGACACCACCATCGGAAAATTACGAAAGGACAAAGAAAAAAGAGAGCAAGAAGGTGGGCAAATGGATGGGATTGGGAGGACAAAGGACAACCAGGAAGATATGTAATCAAGTAATACTTTAACATGAACAACGAAGACATGTTCTTTAGTAGAATGTTGAGGAGTTATCTTTATGAAGAAAAGACGAACGAACAAACAAAAAATAAGCATTGCGCAATATTTCAACTGCAGCAAGAAGAAAGACCGATCGTCAATTGAAGACAAGGATGAATAAGAACGAGAACAAGCACAGGAGCAAAGGAACAAGAAAGAAAGTGAGGGGAACAACCAGAGGACAACTGGATGATGGGGTGACAGAGCATACCCGGACACAGAAGTGTTATCCATTTTACTTTATGTTAAGGTTAATGCTTGTCCTTCTTGCCATGACACTTACTAACCCTTCCCTCCATAATGTTATCCCCTCTCTAACAATAGGTCGACTCAGTTCCAGGTGTCCTCAAGACCTTCTTGGTCGAGCCCTTCATCCCCCACCCCTCCAACACCGAATACTACATCTGCATCAACTCTGACCGTGATGGCGACAACATCCTCTTCACCCACGAGGGTGGTATCGAAGTCGGTGATGTCGACGCCAAGGCCTTGAAGCTCCAGGTCAAGGTCCAGGACGCCTTCCCTACCACCGAGAGCATCCGCTCTGTCCTCCTCGTCCACGTCCCCGAGGCCAAGCACGATGTTCTCGTCGATTTCATCTCGCGTCTCTATGCCGTCTACATTGACTTGAACTTCACTTACCTCGAGATCAACCCCTTGGTCGTCTTGGACCCCACTGAGGACGAGCCTGCTCGTGTCTACTACCTCGATCTTGCTGCTAAGCTCGACCAGACTGCCGAGTTTGAGTCTGGTCCCAAGTGGGCCATTGCCAGAGCTCCCCAGAACATTGGCATTGCTGGTGTTGTCCCCTCGTCTATTGTCGGTGCTGATGCTGGACCTGGCATGGATTTCCCTGCTCCCTTTGGCCGTGAGTTGACCAAGGAGGAGGCGTATGTCCAGGAGTTGGATTCTAAGACCGGTGCTTCGTTGAAGCTTACTATTCTCAACAAGGATGGCCGTATCTGGACCATGGTTGCCGGAGGTGGTGCCTCTGTCGTTTACAGGTAATAATCAACATTTCTGACCAAATCATCTCCCTCCCGGTCTCTATTTCCCTGACACAGATCACTTTAAATGGTCCACGCTTAATTTTTTCATGCCTCTCACACTCCCTATCTTTACCCTTTAATCCAATTAGTGACGCTATTGCTGCCCTTGGACAGGCCCATGAGCTCGCCAACTACGGAGAGTACTCTGGTGCCCCCACCGAGACCCAGACCTACGAGTATGCCAAGACCATCCTCGACCTCATGACCCGCTCTGCCGTCCCCCACCCCGAGGGCAAGGTCCTTATTATCGGAGGAGGTATCGCCAACTTCACCAACGTCGCCTCCACCTTCAAGGGTATCGTCCGCGCCCTCACTGAGTTTAAGCAGCCCCTCATCGCCCACAAGGTCCGTATCTTTGTCCGTCGTGGTGGCCCCAACTACCAGGAGGGTCTCCGCTCCATGCGCCAGCTCGGAGAGTCCCTCGGAGTCGAGATCCGCGTCTTTGGTCCCGAGACCCACATCACCGAGATTGTCCCCCTCGCCTTGACCGGCCAGTCCTCCGACAACCTCGCTGCCACTCCCAACGGCGCCCAGGCCTCGTCTGGCAACCTCTTGCAGGATCAACTCCTCGGTAACACTAACAGCAACGTCGGTACCCCTGTCCCTACCGCCCCCGTCTCCCGTGCTGGTACCCCTCCTCCCGGCGAGAGAATGACCTACTTCACCGATGCTGAGAAGGCTGCCGGTGGTGCCCACGATTCCAACGTTCCCTTCACCGCCCACACTCGCTCCTTTATCTACGGTATGCAGCCCCGTGCTGTCCAGGGAATGCTCGACTTTGATTTCATCTGCAAGCGCGAGGTCCCCTCGGTCGCTGCCATGATCTACCCCTTCGGCGGTGCTCACGTTCAAAAGTTCTACTGGGGAACCAAGGAGACCTTGTTGCCCGTCTACACCACCTTGGAGGAGGCCTGCACCAAGTTCCCCGAGGTTGATACCATCGTCAACTTTGCCTCTTGCCGCTCGGTCTACCAGTCGACTGTTGATATCCTCAAGCATTCGGACCAGATCAAGACCGTCTCGATCATTGCTGAGGGTGTCCCTGAGCGTCGTGCCCGTCAGATCCTTTGGGAGGCCAAGGAGAAGAACGTTCTTGTCATCGGACCAGCCACTGTCGGAGGCATCAAGCCCGGCTGCTTCAAGATCGGAAACACTGGTGGTATGATGGACAACATTGTCTCTTCCAAGTTGTACCGCTCTGGTTCGGTCGCCTATGTCTCCAAGTCTGGAGGAATGTCGAACGAGTTGAACAACATCATCTCGCGCACCACCGACGGTGTCTACGAGGGAGTCGCCATTGGAGGCGATCGTTACCCCGGTTCGACTTTCATCGACCACTTGCTCCGTTATGAGCGGGATCCCAACTGCAAGATGCTCGTCTTGCTCGGAGAGGTCGGAGGTGTGGAGGAGTACAAGGTCTGCGAGGCCATCAAGAACGGAACTATTCGCAAGCCCGTCATTGCCTGGTGCATTGGTACCTGCGCCAAGATGTTTGCCACCGAGGTCCAGTTCGGTCACGCCGGTGCCTTGGCTCAGTCCGACTTGGAGACTGCCGATGCCAAGAACAAGGCCCTCCGCGCCGCCGGTGTTGTCGTTCCCGATACCTTTGAAAAGCTGCCCTTGGTCCTCAGCCAGACCTTCCAGTCCCTTGTCAAGAAGGGTACTATTCAACTCAAGCCCGAGCCCGAGACTCCCAAGATCCCCATCGACTACTCCTGGGCCCAGGAGTTGGGACTTGTCCGCAAGCCCGCCTCGTTCGTGTCGACCATTTGCGATGACCGTGGACAGGAGCTGTTGTACGCCGGCATGAGAATCTCGGATGTTTTCAAGGAGGATATCGGTATCGGAGGAGTTCTTTCGCTCCTTTGGTTCAAGCGTCGTCTTCCCGAGTATGCCTGCAAGTTCATCGAGATGGTCCTCATGTTGACTGCCGATCACGGTCCTGCCGTCTCTGGAGCTCACAACACCATTGTCACTGCCCGTGCCGGCAAGGACCTTGTCTCGTCCCTGTGCGCTGGTCTGTTGACGATCGGAGACCGTTTCGGAGGCGCCCTCGATGGTGCCGCCGAGCAGTTTTCGTCCGCCTACGACAAGTCGTTGACCCCCCGCGAGTTCGTCTCGGTTATGCGCAAGCAGAACAAGTTGATCCTCGGTATCGGCCACAAGATCAAGTCGCGTACCAACCCTGATCTCCGTGTCGAGATCATCAAGGACTATGCCAAGAAGCACTTCCCCTCGACCCCGGTCCTCGACTATGCCCTCCAGGTCGAGAACATCACCACCTCCAAGAAGGACAACCTCATCCTCAACGTCGATGGTGCCATTGGTATTCTCTTCGTTGATCTCTTGAGAAACTCTGGCGCCTTTACCCGCGAGGAGGCTGAGGAGTACATTAAGATCGGAACCCTCAACGGACTCTTTGTCCTCGGTCGCTCGATCGGTTTCATTGGTCATTACTTGGATCAGAAGAGGCTCAAGCAGGGTCTTTACCGACACCCTTGGGATGATATCTCGTACCTCACCCCCGGAAACGAGTTGGGCCGCACCGTCGCCTCCCTCGATTCTATCAACAAGAAGGCATAAGCTTTCCTTCCTCTTTCATTTCTTTCTTCCTTTCTTTTCCCTCCATTGCTTTCTTGCATTTTCATAAGAAAATAACATATTTTTGTCCGCCCCTTTGTATCATAATAAAAAAAATATCGCAACATCCACATCTGTAGTAACCAAAAAAATAATTGAATGTATTATTATTGTGGGTGACAATGCATGCAGTCAAGACAATTGTAAGAACAATTGTAAGAAGCCAACTGTAGCGAGGTGGTTCCAAAATATCGTCCTTCTCCTTTCCTTTACTGTTGTTACTGCTGTCTTTACCGCAACTCTTCACACATCCCTCATCGTCACCATCGTCACCGTCATTGTTTGTACCAACACTACCAACAACGTCGTCGTCATTGTAGTATTCATCGTCGCCTTCAAGGAATCTTTCGAGCCGCAAGTGGGGCGAGAACAACGCCAGGTAGGGGCAGTTGCTCCACCAACGCACGGACAAGGCCGTAAATGTACGGGGGTTTCAGTCCTCAAATAGTGCGAGTAGGCGGACTGGTTGGGGCCCCAGCGGGGGAGGACCAGGTATGCGAATCTCGGTGCCTCTATTCCTACTTTGGCGGGGGTAGGCGTGTGATCTGATCATCTTGCTTGCTAAGAGGTTGTAGTATTGTGTATACTTACACCCTTTTTCATTTTATTTGTTGCAAAGGTGCCATTCGATTGCTATTTTCTTTGTTGTACACAGACTAGAATAGTACCCGCGGCTTCGCTCGCGGAGGTGTTGGGTGAAAAAAAAAAAAAAAAAAAAAGCGAAATGGATGTGGTAATATTTATTTCTGTCTGTCACTGTCTCCCTTGATCCCTACCCTCCTTTTTTTTTTCTTATGTCATTTTTTTTTTAGTCACTCAGGGCAAGAATCTCTGGGTAAACAACATTTGTTGTACAGCCATATGGTGTATCGGGACCCTCCCTCTCAATCAACACATGCACGTTGTTCTTGTTCGTCACTCGAGATAGGGCAACGTACAGTTGGCCATGGGCGAATACCGGCTTCTTGAGATAGATACCAACGGTGTCTAAAGTCTGACCTTGGGACTTGTTGATCGTCATTGCAAAGGCGGGTCGGATAGGGAACTGGAGTCGTCGGAACTTGAACGGAATATCGAGGTCAGAAGGGCAGATCGGGATGCGGGAAAGGAATACGTGATTGCCGGCATGTGTTCCTGTAATGATAGTGGCTCCCAAGACGTACCGTGAGAGCGATGTACATATGAGTCGCGTGCCATTGCAAAGTCCTTCCTGTGGCATGAGGTTTCGAAGGAGTATGACAGGACAACCCACGGTCAATCTCAGGCAGTGAGGAGGGAGCGAAGACGACTTGAGGCTGTTCAGAAACTCGATAGGAAACAGAGCGTCCACCCTATCGTCTTCTTTGTCGATGATGGAGTCCTGCGAGAGAAACTCTCTTGATTCCCCTTGTATGGCTGACATGATGTGGTTGTTGACTTCATCGACGTTGTCGTTTGTTGGGCAGAGCACTGCGCGCTGATTGAGATACTGGGCATTGCCAATATTGTGCTGGAGATCAGGGTAGACCTTGGCAATGAGATCGCCAATGTTGGCATTGGCTGGCATCACCATCTGGGGTGGAAGTGTGATGGTGGTGGAGATTCTGTGGTCTGGAGACGGGCCAGGAACAGTACCTTCTCCGACTTGAAGAAGCCAGTTTGCAAACCCGGTCTGTTCCTCGATGTCGGGAGCGTCGGCATTTCTGAGGAGGCGCATGTTAACGGAAAGATGAAGGTGTTGGATGTGGTCCCAGAGTGGAGATCGTTTAAAGCAGGCTCCAATGGTTTCCTCTCTGCGGCCTTGCTTAACGACTGGAGGAATCTGCCTGAAGTCGCCGCCAAAGACCATGAGCTTTTCTCCAAAGGGACGATGTTCGTTCGCAGGGTCCACAGTCTTCATCAGGTCTTTGAGAGTGCGATCTACAGCCTCAAAGATATGCCGATGCGTCATCGGAGCCTCGTCCCAGACAACGATCTTGGCCCGGATGAGAAGATTGGCAATTTCTGACCTGTGGTTGACTGAACAAACGCTATCCTCGTGGGTAGGGACGGGAATCTTAAAGCGCGAGTGAGCGGTTCTTCCGCCTTGTAGGAGTAATGCGGCGATTCCAGATCCAGCAACGGCAAGAGCGATATCGCGATTCGACCGGACCATAGACAGGATTAGGGAGTACAGGAAGGTCTTTCCTGTACCTGCAGGACCATCGATGAAGTACGCCTCGGAAGAGTTCATCTCATAGGAGTGCTTGATTCGGTCGTATGCTTCCCTCTGATTCGCGTTGAGTGACTGCTCCATCATGGCGAAATCTTCTGCGCTGGGCAAAGGGTAATTCAACTCGTCTGCAATAAATGCATTTACGTTGGGACCATGCTGCTCCAGTATGACGGGCTCGGGCATGCCTTCGTAGTCGTGGAGAGTCTTGCCGAGGTTCCTCAGGAGAACTTGTAAGTGGATCAAGGCAGCATTTGCACGCTGGTCTGCAAAGGATTGTCGCTGCTCAAGGCTGGTAGCGTCACGTTCCCTTGGACGGAGATCATCAGACAGTGCATCGCGAAAGGTGGTCCAAAGCTGAGCAGGATTTGTCGGGTTGCAAAAGGCAAGAATCTTTGCAAAAAGGGAGCGGAGTTGGTATCCCGTTTGGCTGACTGCGGCATCCCGAAGACAGTTCTCCCACTCGCGATCATCTTGAAGCATGCCAAGGGCGATGCAGGCGGCCTTGAACGTGGGGTGGACCTCGTTTTCGACTGTTCTTAGGCCCTCAAACGATATAGGACTTGGCACCGAGAGTAGTAGCAACCGCAAATAAAACAGATCGCCTGCGGTATCATGCACAAAAAAGAGTCGGCCGACTGTACATCCTCTCTCTCTGAGCTTCCATCGCTTTTCCCTCTTGAGGTAAACGTGGGTTTGAGGAAAGTCGTGGTACTTTGATGGCGGTTCGTCAGGATGGTCGCGGTTATAGTCGAAGAATGCAGTCAGCGTACTGCGCTCCAGTGCGGCTCTCTCTAGGACATCGGCGATGGGTTCGTCCGAGCGGAAGGCGTGCATGAACTGGCCGGGAAGATGCAAATGCAACCTGGTGACGGATGGATAGGCACTGTGTAGGCGGAATCCGAATATGCCCCAAGAAGACTCGGAGGCAGAGACATAGCGACCGTCGATGAAATCAATGATCTCGTTGACTTCTGGCACAGGTAGATCTCCGGCTTCGGCTTGAGCTCCGTCTTGTGCCGGCTGTTGAACCACAACAGTGGCTCGATCATGACCCTTGTAGACGTACTTGTAAAGATACTTGACCGCAGTGGAAGAGGTGCAGCTCTCGACATTGATATGGGCACCATACTTTGCAGCCAGATAAGGGTTGTGCGGAACGACCCAACGGTTGTCAATCTCGAAATCTCCCCGGCCATCGATCCTGACTGTCCTTCCATCCATGCGGCGCCGGTACTGCGGATATCCATTTGGTCCGTTTGTGGTGGTTGCGAGGAAGGGCTTGGGATAGCCTTTGGTACACACGCCGTTCTCCATGCATGGAGAGTTCCTGTTTGCCGGTCCACATGGGCCATGGATCATGGATTTCACAACAGTCTCATAGGCGGCCGGATGAGTTGCAGGGTCAGGAATCTCGGCAGAAATGTATTTGTCGTAGTCCTCAGGCAATCCAGGCTTGTGCTCGGGGCTCATGATGAGCAGAATGTGTGCATGGGGGAGTCCACGCTTCTGGAACTCAATGACATGAATCATGCCGACGACCTTTCCGAGGACATGGTTTTTCAACAGATCATGCAGGAGTTCCTTCAGCTTGATGTGAAAGACGCGGGTCGTGCAGCGAGGATACTCTCGTCCGAAACGGTGTCAAAGATGGTTTCGAGGTAGTCGCAGTTGTTGGAGTGACGCTTCTGGGAATGGCTGATCCTTGCACTTGTCGTTTGCTTCCCTTTAAAGTATGGGCAGCGACGACTTGTTGACCTTTGGTGATCGTTTCCACGGCACCTGCTACACCTGCTAATAGGGGAAGAGGAGGAGGAAGAAGAAGCGATTGCATTGGGTGTGGTGATAGTGCTATTGATGGGAAGCGAGGAAGGAGAGGAGGGAGTGGTAACAGTAGATTTAGTGGCAGCCGTACGCCTGGTGGTGGTAAGGGAAGAGAACCTGACGGACTTGGTGGGCTGCGACCTTGTTGAGTTCGTCGCTCTAACCCGCTTGTATCCTGTAAAGGCTGTAGTTGAAGAGGTATCGATACTGGAGGTGGAGGTAAGAGGAGCACGGCGAGTGGAAGGCATGTTGAATGGTGACAGATGTGATGAAAATGAAATTTGGAGTTGTGGCTGATGAAAGACTGTAGTTAGGAATAAAGGGGCAAAAAAAAAAAAAAAAAAAAAGCACAAAAGCGAGGAAAAGAGTAGCAGCAAGTTATTAGAGAAGAAAAGGTTGTTGCTGGAGGATTCTAGAGGTTCTAGAGGACTCCCACTTTGCTTATTTAGCATTTCTTGGTCAGCAGATCCTCCTAGGGGACACGCACTTCGCTTTCTGTGGGATACGCATACGCACTTTTGCTTAGTCAACATCAATCAACAACAATGGGAGGTGGAAATTTAGTGGCGTTCGTCAGGCACACACACAGCACACACGATAGACATAATACAATCATGTGATTTAGGAACGATTGATTGATTGTGACTGCGAACTATATCAGGTGATCACTACAGTCGCTTTGTATTATTAGATACTAGAAAGGTTGCCCGTGGGCGATGCCACGGGTGCCGGAAGTTGCTGTAAGGGGGTCTGGGGTGAGGGGTGTGGGTCTTTGAAGGGTCTTTGAAGGGTCTTTGAAGAAGACTCGTTTAAAGATACGGGTGCCACTTGCCTATTACCTTTTTCCTTTTTCAAGTATAGTGTGACTGTAAATTTTTCACAACTACCTGTGGCCAATGGCACGCTTGGGTTGTAGGGTTCATACCTGTCGAGTTTTTGTTGTGCCATAAAGAATAATATCCCTGGTCCCAGCTGGGCCCAGCTGACCTCCCTTATTAGATAGTCATCTTAGTAGCTGGGGAGCCATCCCTCTGGCCTTGTTTGTATTTATTATTCTCTCGGGTCACCCTCACTCGCAGTATATTCAAGATATCCTTGACTGCCCTTTGCTCTACATCACGCCAGAGGATTTCTTGCTTTTTAGTAGGCTTGCGAAAAGGGTCGTTCACAGCATACTGGCGCTTCGCGCTAGATGGCCCAGACGGCCACGCTCCAGCGGTCGCTTCCTTTTGCCGCAGGCGGCAACAGGTATCTGACAGCTACAGCTTTGCCCTTACGAAATATCGGGGCTTTGCGCAAGAAAGTTTCTCTGGTTCGGGCTACGCCCTCACATCCTCTTTTTAGTCCCTTGATTTGGGCTACGCCCTCATATCCTCTTAGCCCGTGCCCGTACGCTCGCTGCGCTCACAGGATACTGGCGCTTCGAGCAAGATACTTTCGATTGTCGCGCCAGGGCGCGCGCCCGTGACCATTGCTCGCTGCGCTCACATCCTCTTCAAAGCCCCTTGATTCGGGCTACGCCCTCATATCCTCTTGTCCTGTGCCCGTACGCTCGCTGCGCTCACAAGACACTGGCGCGCTTCGCGCAAGATACTCTTGATGGCCTTGCCCGTGACCATCGCTCGCTTCGCTCACAAAATACTGGCGCTTCGCGCTGGCGCTACGCGCAAGATACTTTTTTTTAGTTCGGGCTCCGCCCTCACGTGATTTAACTAAAAATCAAGTTTTTTTTAAGAAGACTAGAAAGGTTGCCCGTGGGCGATGCCACGGGTGCCGGAAGTTGCTGTAAGGGGATCTGGGGTGAGAGGTGTGGGTCTTTGAAGGGTGTTTGAAGGGTCTTTGAAGAAGACTCGTTTAAAGATACGGGTGCCACTTGCCTATTACCTTTTTCCTTTTTCAAGTGTAGTGTGACTGTAAATTTTTCACAACTACCTGTGGCCAATGGCACGCTTGGGGAATGTAGAGCTCATACCTGTCGAGTTTCCTGTTGTGCCATAAAGAATAATATCCCTGGTCCCAGCTGGGCCCAGCTGACCTCCCTTATTAGATAGTCATCTTAGTAGCTGGGGAGCCATCCCCCTGGCCTTGTTTGTATTCATTATTCTCTCGGATCACCCTCACTCGCAGTATATTCAAGATATCCTTGACTACCCTTTGCTCTACATCACGCCAGAGGATTTCTTGCTTTTTAGTAGGCTTGCAAAAAGGCTCGTTCACAGCACACTGGTGCTTCGCGCTAGATGGCCCAGACGGCCACGCTCCAGCGGTCGCTTCCTTTTGCCGCAGGCGGCAACAGGTATCTGACAGCTACAGCTTTGCCCTTACTAAATATTGGGGCTTTGCGCAAGAAAGTTTCTCTGGTTCGGGCTACGCCCTCACATCCTCTTCAAAGCCCCTTGATTTGGGCTACGCCCTCATATCCTCATATCCTCTTAGCCCGTGCCTGTACGCTCGCTGCGCTCACAGGATACTGGCGCGCTTTGCGCAAGATACTCTTGATGGCCTTGCCCGTGACCATTGCTCGCTTCGCTCACAAAGTACGGGCGCTTGGCGCAAAAAAGGTCCTCTGGTTCGGGCTACGCCCTCACATGATCTTCTCCCTTTCGTACCCGTGCGGTCACAACATACTGGCGCTTCGCGCAAGATACTTTCGATTGTCGCGCCAGGGCGCGCCCGTGACCATTGCTCGCTGCGCTCACATCCTCTTGAAAGCCCCTTGATTCGGGCTACGCCCTCATATCCTCTTAGCCCGTGCCCGTACGCTCGCTGCGCTCACAGGACACTGGCGCGCTTCGCGCAAGATACTCTTGATGGCCTTGCCCGTGACCATCGCTCGCTTCGCTCACAAAATACTGGCGCTTCGCGCTGGCGCTACGCGCAAGATACTGGTGAGGGCCACGGCCCTCACAACATTTTTAGTTCGGGCTCCGCCCTCACGTGATATACAGAAATCGTTATTTTTTTAAAGAGAAAGAGACTAGAAAGGTTGCCCGTGGGCGATGCCACGGGTGCCGGAAGTTGCTGTAAGGGGATCTGGGGTGAGAGGTGTGGGTCTTTGAAGGGTGTTTGAAGGGTCTTTGAAGAAGACTCGTTTAAAGATACGGGTGCCACTTGCCTATTACCTTTTTCCTTTTTCAACTGTAGTGTGACTGTAAATTTTTCACAACTACCTGTGGCCAATGGCACGCTTGGGGAATGTAGAGCTCATACCTGTCGAGTTTCCTGTTGTGCCATAAAGAATAATATCCCTGGTCCCAGCTGGGCCCAGCTGACCTCCCTTATTAGATAGTCATCTTAGTAGCTGGGGAGCCATCCCCCTGGCCTTGTTTGTATTCATTATTCTCTCGGATCACCCTCACTCGCAGTATATTCAAGATATCCTTGACTACCCTTTGCTCTACATCACGCCAGAGGATTTCTTGCTTTTTAGTAGGCTTGCAAAAAGGCTCGTTCACAGCACACTGGTGCTTCGCGCTAGATGGCCCAGACGGCCACGCTCCAGCGGTCGCTTCCTTTTGCCGCAGGCGGCAACAGGTATCAGACAGCTACAGCTTTGCCCTTACGAAGTACTGGGGCTTTGCGCAAGAAAGTTTCTCTGGTTCGGGCTACGCCCTCACATCCTCTTCAAAGCCCCTTGATTTGGGCTACGCCCTCATATCCTCTTGTCCCGTGCCCGTACGCTCGCTGCGCTCACAGGATACTGGCGCGCTTTGCGCAAGATACTCTTAATGGCCTTGTCCGTGACCATCGCTCGCTTCGCTCACAAAGTACGGGCGCTTGGCGCAAAAAAGGACCTCTGGTTCGGGCTACGCCCTCACATGATCTTCTCCCTTTCGTACCCGTGCGGTCACAACATACTGGCGCTTCGCGCAAGATACTTTCGATTGTCGCGCCAGGGCGCGCCCGTGACCATTGCTCGCTGCGCTCACATCCTCTTGAAAGCCCCTTGATTCGGGCTACGCCCTCATATCCTCTTAGCCCGTGCCCGTACGCTCGCTTCGCTCACAAAATACTGGCGCTTCGCGCTGGCGCTACGCGCAAGATACTGGTGAGGGCCACGGCCCTCACAACATTTTTAGTTCGGGCTCCGCCCTCACGTGATATACAGAAATCGTTATTTTTTTAAAGAGAAAGAGACTAGAAAGGTTGCCCGTGGGCGATGCCACGGGTGCCGGAAGTTGCTGTAAGGGGGTCTGGGGTGAGGGGTGTGGGTCTTGGAAGGGTCTTTGAAGAAGACTCGTTTAAAGATAAGGGTGCCACTTGCCTATTACCTTTTTCCTTTTTCAACTGTAGTGTGACTGTAAATTTTTCACAACTACCTGTGGCCAATGGCATGCTTGGGGAATGTAGAGCTCATACCTGTGGAGTTTCCTGTTGTGCCATAAAGAATAATATCCCTGGTCCCAGCTGGGCCCAGCTGACCTCCCTTATTAGATAGTCATCTTAGTAGCTGAGGAGCCATCCCCCTGGCCTTGTTAGTATTCATTATTCTCTCGGGTCACCCTCACGCGCAGTATATTCAAGATATCCTTGACTGCCCTTTGCTCTACATCACGCCAGAGGATTTCTTGCTTTTTAGTAGGCTTGCGAAAAGGCTCGTTCACAGCATACTGGCGCTTTGCGCTAGATGGCCCAGACGGCCACGCTCCAGCGGTCGCTTCCTTTTGCCGCAGGCGGCAATAGGGATCTGACAGCTACAGCTTTGCCCTTACGAAGTACTGGGGCTTTGCGCAAGAAAGTTTCTCTGGTTCGGGCTACGCCCTCATATCCTCTTGTCCCGTGCCCGTACGCTCGCTGCGCTCACAGGATACTGGCGCGCTTTGCGCAAGATACTCTTAATGGCCTTGCCCGTGACCATCGCTCGCTTCGCTTACAAAGTACGGGTGCTTGGCGCAAAAAAGGTCCTCTGGTTCGGGCTACGCCCTCACATCATCTTCTCCCTTTCGTACCCGTGCGGTCACAACATACTGGCGCTTCGCGCAAGATACTTTCGATTGTCTCGCCAGGGCGCGCGCCCGTGACCATTGCTCGCTGCGCTCACATCCTCTTCAAAGCCCCTTGATTCGGGCTACGCCCTCATATCCTCTTAGCCCGTGCCCGTACGCTCGCTGCGCTCACAGGACACTGGCGCGCTTCGCGCAAGATACTCTTGATGGCCTTGCCCGTGACCATCGCTCGCTTCGCTCACAAAATACTGGCGCTTCGCGCAAGACACAGGCGCTTCGCGCTGGCGCTACGCGCAAGATACTGGTGAGGGCCACGGCCCTCACAACATTTTTAGTTCGGGCTCCGCCCTCACGTGATTTAACTAAAAAAATCGTTATTTTTTTAAAGAGAAGGAGATAGAGATCCTTTGCCGAGTAAGTCTCCTGTGCAACTTCTCACCATTGTATCCATCAGCCCCTATTTACAATCAACGACCTATTTTCCCACTCTCTCTCTCGCTAACGTCCTTGTCCCTCTGCTGTCTACTTTCACGCCTTCCTCCCATTCAGCCCACTTGTATCATTCTTTCCTGTCTTTCTCACTCCCCCTTTACTCCTTCATGTCGCGCACGCCTTTCTCTTAATGACCATTACACACACACATACCCTTCCACAGCCACACAACTAGCAATACCCTAACAATGACACGGTCTATACCATCGCTCGCTTCTGCTGCTGCCATACCCCTCTTTCTCTCCACTACAGCAATGTTCCATCCACACGTCGATGTCTGCGGTGTCACCATCCACAACGAAGTCGCCTTCAAAGCATCCCGTATCCTCCTGTCCACCATGATCAACTTGCCTACCTTGACTAGCGCGTTGCTTGTCTCTCTGTCCTTGCTCTTTTGGTACTTTTTCTCTAACCTTCAAGCCCAGGTTCACGTTTGTCTGTCACTTGGCGAGCATAAGCGTGTTCTTTTAACAGTTTTGGATTGTTATTTGAGAATAAAAGTGTTGGTGGAAGCAATGCAACGACGTGGAGGGGAACAGTAGCTATCGATCGGGGTCATGCTTGACGGTCAACCTCCATGTGTGTGAGTGTCAGTGCACTCTATCCCCACGCGAAGTGACTGGGTGACTGCCTTTCCCACTCACTTGAATTTTCGAATTTTGAATATGAAAACTAGACCCCCATGAGGTTAAAAGTATATTTCAGACCCAGCTGCCACTTTTTTTTCAAATCCAGCCAGTACAAAACGACAGAGCCTTTTTCCCCCTCTCCTTTTTTTCTTTCCCTCTTTCCTCAACCTACTGATCCGTTTTCCAGGACGCAAAAGGGGCCAGGAAATTTAAGGGCCAGGACCTGCCTTGAGCAGGACCTTTAAAGGCCTAAGGAACAGAACCTTGACCAGGACCTTTAAGGGCCTAAGGGTCGGGATCTTGACTAGGCTCAATAAGGGCCTGCTAATGGTCAGGATCTCTTGACCAGGACCTTTAGGATCTAAGGGACAGGATCTTGACTAGGACCTACAAGGGCCTGCTAATGGTCAAGATCTTGACCAGGACAAGGATAGGGCCAGACCACCTTCCATTCCTCACTCTTCCCTCTCTCTTTCTTCCCTCTCTCTTTCCCTCTCTCTTTCCCTCTCTCTTTCCCTCTCTCTTTCCCTCTCTCTCTTTCCCTCTCTCTTCCCTCTCTCTTCCCTCTCTCTTTCCCTCTCTCTTCCCTCTCTCTTCCCTCTCTCTTCCCTCTCTCTTCCCTCTCTCTCTCTCTCTTCCCTCTCCATTCTCCAGCCACTGCATCCGCAATCAACAGCCATCAACAGCCATCAACAAGGAGACAGCCATCAGCCCCATCTTCCCTCTTTCCCCCCTCCCTCTTTTGCAATCAACCTTTCCCATGCTAAGATCGCCTCCCTCCTCTCGTAACTGGATGCCACCAAGACCAGCAGCCTGCTAGGCGAAGTCATCAATGACAACAGCACTTTCGGGATCAGCACTTTCGGGATCAGCACTTTCGGGATCAGCACCTGAACATCTGTGAAGGCAAGTATCTGGAAAGGAGTGCCGGTCGACTGCTCAAGCGGTGGGAGGCATGGACAATGTGGCGACGCGACAACAGTGGTATCGGGGCTCTAGCAACGAATCGGCTGGTCGGTCTCATCTGGTTGGGGATCCCTGTTGCTTTTTGTCCCAGGGTACCCTCAGCGGAAAGGTGGGAAGTTGGCCACTGGGAGGGCTAGAGGTGGCTGCTGTTTAGCGGCGTCTCATTGTTCATGGCTCTTGGATATCCCGTGGTGGCCGGTGCCTACTTGGATGACTTGCTAGACGGTACACAGCGGTGAGGTGCAAAGTTCGAAGTCTAACCGTTTTTTTCCGTTTTTTTTTCCATTCTTCTATATATACCACGCCTACACCAACACCTTCTCGACGAGCTACGTGTGATCAAGAGCCAAGCCAGTATGAAGGCAAGTATCTGGAAGGGAGTGCCGGTCGGCAACCTTTAGGGAGAGGCATGGACTCTGAGACGACTCGACAGCAGCGGTTGCGGGACTCTTTTCAGCGGTTTGGCTGGTCGGCTTCTTATCTGGCTGGGGATACCCCGGGACAAAAACACGACAGGAATTCCCATCCAGATGAGAAGCCAGCAACCAGCCAAGCCGCTGCAAGAGCTCCGTGGCCGCTGTTTAGCTGAGTCTCATTGTTCATGGCTCTTGGACGTCCTGTCGGAGCCGGCGCCTGTACAGGTGCTTGCTTAGCTAGTGCACAGCTAACCGGTTTTTTTTCTCTTGTTTTGTTCTTCATTCTTCTATATACACCACGCCTGCACTGAAAACCTCCATGAGCTACGTGTGACCAAGAGCCAAGCCAGTATGAAGGCAAGTATCTGGAAGGGAGTGTCGGCCGGCAACCTTTAGGGAGATGCATGGACTCTGAGACAACGCGACAGCAGCGGTCGCGGGACTCTTTTCAGCGGTTTGGCAGGTCGGCTTCTCATCTGGTTCTGGATGGGGTTCCTGTTGAGTTTTTGTCCCGGGGTATCCCCAGCCAGATGAAAAGCCAACCAGCCAAGTCGCTGCAAGAGCTCCGAGGCCGCTGTCTAGCTGAATCTCATTGTTCATGGCTCTTGGACGTCCTGTCGGAGCCGGCGCCTGTACAGGTGCTTGCTTAGCCAGTGCACAGCTAACCGGTTTTTTTTCTCATTTTGTTTTCCATTCATCTATATACACCACGCCTACACCGAAAATTTCGCGATGAGCTACGTGTGATCAAGAGCCAAGCCAGTATGAAGGCAAGTATCTGGAAAGGAGTGTCGGCCGGCCACCTTTAGGGAGAGGCATGGACTCTGAGACGACGCGACAGCAGCGGTCGCGGGACTCTTTTCAGCGGTTTGGCTGGTCGGCTTCTTATCTGGCTGGGGATACCCCGGGACAAAAACACGACAGGAATTCCCATCCAGATGAGAAGCCAGCAACCAACCAAGCCGCTGCAAGAGCTCCGTGGCCGCTGTTTAGCTGAGTCTCATTGTTCATGACTCTTGGACGTCCTGTCGGAGCCGGCGCCTGTACAGGTGCTTGCTTAGCCAGTGCACAGCTAACCGGTTTTTTTTCTCATTTTGTTTTCCATTCATCTATATACACCACGCCTACACCGAAAATTTCGCGATGAGCTACGTGTGATCGAGAGCCGGACCAGTATGAAGGTAAGTGTCTGGAAAGGATGTATGTAAGGTATAATAGATTAACTGGATTAGAATGATCAATTAAAGGCGTTGTTTATTATTTTTAATGAAGTGAGGGTATGTGCAAGATCGTGTCGACATGATCGTGTACGGTCCCCGATCGCAGCATGTTCTGTATAAGTGATGCACCTTAGTCTGGACTCTGAACCTCTGAGTAGACTCAACATGCACATATTCATGTATATTCCATAAACCTTTAATTATGTCAAGCTGGTCAATTCACAGCGGAATAATTAGGGTCGCAAAGTTACAAGCAGACGCGACGAAAATGCGACTGATTCAATTAACACCTCGCTATTTTATTGAGACAATTGAATACGGTGCGTTGTTTAGATCCCTCACAGCCCAGTCGCTGTTTAGAATTAGGGTCTTGACAAGCGGCAACACAGCAGCACCCTTGAATCCCAACCTCCTGAACTCCCCAGTCGACTACGACTCGTTCGCTCCAACAATACTCTTGTCCACGCACCTGCATTCCGTTGGCAAGTCCACCATAGAAACAATTGTCTCCCCCTTAATTTTTTTTTGTAGTGCTCAATTCTCGTCATCTCCTCATGAATATTTCTCAGACTCGTGTCGATGAACGGGAACCCCGACCAATAACAAACTCTCGAGTTCACAGCAGCTCTTCAATCCATCAAGGAGAATTGACGCATCCCTGACCTTGTACGACCTGCGGCAGTTGTGCATCGAGAATTTCTTGAGTCGCTTGCGTCTCTCCAAGTAACCGTCCGGGTATTCTTTAACTCACCAGGCTTCTCGTCAATAAAGAGCGTCAACTTCCAGACCTCCAACCAATCCCGGTGCGCCATCAACGCATTGCTAAAAGTATCATCAAACTCCCACCGTGCTAACTCGACGTGGACCAAGTTCCCAGGCTCATAGGCGTTAACAGTATGCGCCATCCCTTCGAGCTCCTCAAGGATCGTGGAGCCCCAATCTCTAGATGCATTATCCTGAGAGACCGGACGCTAGGACAGCACTCTTCCAGGATCCGAGCCAGAAACGAGCTAACCTGATCATCGATCTGTCCAAGGATGAGCGGTTCCTGGGCTGGGAATGCGCAAAGAAGGGTATGAGTAGCAATGTTTGTCCGTTGCCAATTGACTTGAAGTTCAAGGGTCTTGACATTGGAGCAGTGTAGGCAGTGTAGATATCGTCCTTAAATTAATTCAGCGGCCTCGGCTTTCTGTTCTTCCGTCATATGTGAGATACATTGATCCAACACAACCCAAGGTAAAGACTGTTCCTCCTCCGGAGGACAAGCAGGCTCTTTCTCCCCCGTCTGTGGGGGAGCAATTTCATCGTCCGCTTTCTGAGAGGTAAGTTGATTATCCGCTGCCTGAATAGCAAGCTCATCCTCCACTGTCAGAGTAGCAGACTGAACCTCCGCCTCCTGAGAAGCCGGCTGGTCCTCCAAGTCCACAAGTCTGTTCCACTTCAGGTTCATAGGTGCCGCCTCAAGGAAACTCGTATTAACAATCCACCTCCCCAGCAGAACTTCCTCAAAGCTGTCGGCATTATTATTCACGATATGGTGAAGATAAACAAAGTTCAAAATCCAACCCACCAAGCCAAGGCGACGCAAAGGGGAGAGGACCATGTGATCCTCTGGGCTTTGACGAAGATAACCTAATCGCTTCCAATGCACCACCTGCAGACCCGGGTTCGCCTCGATCAGCCGCCCGATATACGCGACGTTGGTGGTAAGAGAGAGGCGAATCTCCTGGAGCCGGGTACAGTCGAGCTGTAAGCTGCTCCACGGGGAGGGCTTTATACTCGTGCTAGTGGATTGTCAGATCAAGGTAGCGCCTTTCTCGATTCTACCAACAAGGAAAGCATGAGTCTCCCTTTTCTCTGTATCCATTTTTCTTATCCTTTCCTCTCCGTCAATTTTGGCACCAAGAATGAAAAAGAACCCCTTAATTTACCTTCTCAATGTTACTCAGGGGAGAGGGTCGACGGCCAGAGTTGTAGGACCGCTGTTAGGTCCTCAATTGGTACGGAGGGGGGGAAGGGGGTTGTAGGTTGGGGGGAGGGGAAGTGACAATAGCGTCCTAAAAGAATCACACAAAACGATACACTGCAGCGTGCCAGCGAAACTCTTGTCAATACTGCTCTCGTCCAAGTGATGTGTAAAAGGACCTTGTATTCATATTCTTAAAGAGGGGGTTGTTACCTGCAGCGTGCCAGCGAAACTCTTGTCAATACTGCTCTCGTCCAAGTGATGTGTAAAAGGACAAAGAGCAGACAAGAGGGCTCGGCGCACTACTAATACTATGTCTACTAAAGAATATGACTGCTAACCTAAGGCATCGCCGCCACTGCCTAGCCACCACATCTTTTTGTAACAATAATGGGCCTACAAAGTACAAATACGAGAGTTGGAGGTTCTGTTACTCTTCAGCCTCAGGCGCAGGAGGTTCCGGTTCATACACACGCAAGAACTTAAACCAACGGTAGCGTGGTCTCAAGTCCTTCTTTTCCTTGCAGGTATCTTTACCACCACGACTGTGACGGCCTAGGCGAGTATTATTGCTACTCTCACCGTTGTTGCGAAATCAGGGGCTCGATACGGAAGATAGAGTGATCGTTGCACTCTCAGTTGTTGTCTCTGAAAATAATGCAGTCAGCTAACGTTGGTCGGATGCTCGAGTGTCTTGGAAAAAGGCAAAGAGCAAAAGAACCACCGTGCTACCCTATTTCTACTAGTGCAGCATTTACGTTTGGCTACCTACTGTGAAGTTGAAATTGTGTACGGGGTCTAGAATTTTGTAACACCGTCAACAGCAGCAGCAATATCGTCGTCTTCGACCTTATCTTCCAGAACTCTCTCGCAAAACATAAAAGTAAAAAGAAGGGAATACCTGGGCGACGTAAGGCAGGTTCCCTCAACAAGGGAAAAAGAAGCTTGTCAGAGTAGCGTCTACTATCCCATGCATTCCAGCAGAATGATAATCCTTCGAGTCTCCAAGATAGAAGGCTCAAGTATCTGAGTCTGGGTCCATATGTATCATCTACTTGTTCTTCATCGTGCGTAGGAGACGAGGAAGGAGAGCGGAGGCGGGCGAGCTGAGATTGGAGGACGGATCCAGGAATGGCGTTCATGTCGTTGCAGATGGTGTTAGCGGCATTGGAGGTCGGCGAGGAATGAGTTTGCCCTGACGTTATGTCGCTTCCACAGACAAGTTTCTAAGAGCTGGACTGTTATCTCCTAGTCAAATTTTCCCCGAAAAATTGGCAACCATGGCGACGTTCTCGTTGTCGAGTCAGAGGTCGGCGTTGTCCAGGACGCTTGAAGGGGGGAGTATGTGTATGCCTTTGAAGAAGCAGTGGAGCCAAGCTCAAGTCGTTCGAGTCGAGGTAGGTGGTGTTGCAAGATGTCGAGGAGTTTAGGATGGGGAGTGAGGAGATCTGCAGGAATGATAATAGTGTTGATGCTGGGATTATGAAGGGGAAGATTGAGGATGTTTGAATGGAAGAGAAGGTGCTGTTTGGTGGTCAGACCTAGTCTAGTGTCGAGGACGGTGAGTGCCGTCAGGTTTGTGAGTCGAGACTGCTTGCGGAGGTAGAGGTTGTTCATGGCGGTGGAGAGTGTAGCTGTAGAAGGGAGTTGGATATCGAGAAGAACCTCCTCCGCCTTGTCTGCCTCTTTCTCCTTCCTTGTTGTTGAAACTGGCAGATGTTCATGGAAAAACAAAGACGACGAAACGACAGCTGGTACGAGCCTGTCTGTGAAGATCGGCAAGAGGTCATGGTCCAAGACAGACAGGGTAATATTCTCGAAAAACAACAAGCTCCGACGGATCACGTAGGGTCGACGAAGGGGGTGTCCAGAAGCGGGTCAAAGTGTTTCCATAGCAATGGATGGAAGGCTTTGTAGAAAGTTTTGGAGACGAGGGCACATTGGGTGTATTGGTAGAAGGAGAGATGGTGGGGGACTTCTGCAGTCAGTTCTAGGATGTCGAAGAGGGAGATCCTGTGCGGTTGGGTTGGTGTTGCTGCGGTGTCCGCTATGGCTTGAAACGGGAACGACGCGAACGTTGGTGAAAGGTAAGGATGTGTGGGGCAAAAAAAAGAGGACGACGATCCTTTTTATGCTCTCATATCCCAAGACTGAGGCAAGAACCAAAAGTAACAATTTTTTTGTGTTCAAGATGATGCCTGCTTGAGGGTTAGATTCCAGGCCCTCTTTTGAGGAAGGCAGCAAAACTAAACTAAACAACAATCATACTATGTACTATGTCCTCGGACATTCACTTTTGATCGCTTTTGGTTTCGTCACATTACACGAACGCTTGTTTGTGTAAATCATACTGACCGCAAAAACCACTTTCGACTGTACTGAATGGCCTACCTCTGCTCTTCAAATCGCTATGGGCCAAATGAGTGCAAAAAAAGGCGAACCAGATTTAATGCTTGCTTGAAATATTGTCACCTCTACGGCGCTTGACTTCCTTAACGGTGTCTGCCATTTCCACAGCTAGCCGTTTCATATTCTTGATTGCCTGAACATGATCTGCCGAGAAGAGGTTGAAGTTGCTGTCGTCGATTGTCAGGGCAATCTCCGTAAGGCCATCATAGTGCTTATTAAGGGACCTCTTCAGGAAATACTCGGCAATCTCGGCAGGGTAGCTCACGATGAGGCTGATGTAGTGTCCTTTGGGCTTGCAGAACTGACTGAGCTTGACTCCATGTTTCCTGATCTTTGTTGGCTGTACTGTGCTTTGGGCAGCAATCACGTCGTTCCTATAGAGCTTCTGGCAAAGCTTGACCTGCACAAAGACGGGGCAGACGATGTCGGTAGATGCATAGCCAGGAGTGGGTGTCGAGCTGCTACCTAGGGCGTGATCCGGTGCCAAGCCGCTGAACCGGACAACAAAGAGAATGTCCGGACCCGACACATGCTCCACAGGGTAGAAGAACGGAGGTACAGATTGACCAGCACGTTCCGACCTGTTGTTGACATGCGCATCTAGAAAGTCGGCCATGGATATCTCCTGGCTGCCGATAGTCCGCATGACACCAGTCCATCCAACTACAGATGCCTTGTGCCGAAACATGTCGTGAGGAGGTTCGGTACCGTGGAACAGTAATGGCGAGACTATTTTACCGTGGAATATCCGAACCATCTCGTATGGGATGCTGGCCTCCCATTCCTTGCTACGTATTCTCTCTGTAGAGCAGTGGTTTAACTGGTCAATGCGATACTGGAAATAGTCCGGGTCGTCGGTCCGAAAGTAGTTGTCCGCTGCTAAGAGTGCAAAGGGCTCATCGATGGTGGTGTAGAAGTCGCCGTTGATGAGACTGATCCGGCCAAAAGCAGTCTCCACCAACTTGGGCAACTGACCCTTAAACGCCATGTACCCGCCCTGCGTGATAAACGTGGCCACAGCGAGCTTCAGGGTGGCTTCGACATTGCGGAACTCGGCATAGGCCACGTTGCCCTTGTTTTGGCGGACATGCTCAAACATCCGACGCAGCTCGCTACAAAGGTTGCCCTCAAGACGTCTCTTCTCGCCATCGGTGGTGGGGATACATGCTGTCGTCAGTCGATCCTCGCGCTCATGGATACACTCCTCCCAGACCATGGGGTCGTCCGCCTGGATGATGTCCTCGATCGTGGAAATAATGGGTCGAAAGCGGCCACGTAAATGGAGAAAAAGCGTCTTGACGGCTTCCTCAGGGATTATTTCGTCTAGTCGCTCCTTACCTCCATCATCCAGTACCTGACGAAGGCGCTTCAGGTAGGCTGAAATCGAGCCGACATCCGTCCAGCCAGCAAAGTCGACCACCATCTCCGAGAGCCTACTTGCCTCATATTCATCCGCGGAAAGCTTGGCACCGGATGCAGAGCCTCCAGACCAGGTCAGGTCATAAGAGCTAAGACCAGTACCGCAGGGCATGACACAGATGCTGTCCTGAGAAGTACCTTCTGCAAGGCGTCGGAATGCAAAGAGTACAGGAGCCAAGACTGGACGGACAGTTGCCATGTCACTGTCGAAGAATGCTTCTGAGAAGACCCTGCCAAGGAACTGCGACTCGTCGAGAATCACAAGGAATTTGGAGTGGACAGTAGAGGATGGTGAACGGCCGCGAAGAAGCTCTTGCACCTTTCTGAATTGTTCCTGCACAATGATTGCCATGGTGCTATTCATAGTGGTACTTCTTGGGAGGCAAATATGTATGTACGTGCTGATTGATTGGAAGAGCTCATGGAAGATATCCTCGAAGGCTGGTGTGGCGACTTGAAGGAGCATCCATCTCTGGCAAGAAAAGGTGTCCCTGGTTCCAACGATGTTGAGGCAGCGTTCCAAGATCACCAGCCGTGCATACAAAAGACCGTATGTAAGGCATCGTATCCTCTCTGTGTTCTGCTTGATGTCCTTGGAGACATAAACGTCGCTGTGTACCGATAGAGCCTGGACCAAAGTGTGCATGTCGCTCGAGCCATAGTCCGCTGCGCCTGCGTTAAAGTAAAGTCCCCAGGATCTCGACAGGAGATCTACAGTTGTCCGCGTTTTGCCACAGCCTAGTGAGAAACAAGGAAAAAAAAAGAGAGGGTAAAGAAGAGAGGAAGAGAAGAAATCAGTAAGTCAGACAGCTCCCCCATCAACATATCCCCATCATATGGAAAGGGCATATATATTACCGCTGACGCCAAAGAGAGGCAAGTGACGTATGCCCGGAAACTCTGCCAGGATCTTTTCAGCTTGGTTGTGTGTCATGTCACGCTGAACAGGAGAAGGAAGGTCGAAAAACATCAGCGACGGGGCTGTTCGAGGCCTATCGAGACCGCGCTTGCCAACACATGGGAGACCTGAGATCCTGCCGCTGGTGACGGGCAAATTGTGGATGCCTTGTACAAACTCGCTCAGGAATGCGGTGTGTTGGGATGTTGGATCGAAGAGGCTGTCCACGATCTTGCTGAGGTCTGCACGAACGTCTATTGTTTGAAGACAGAGCGGGCCTTTACAATATGAACACAAAAAACAAACAGAGAGTGAGGAAGAGGGGTGCGCTTTTCGAACCTACCTGTCACTGGTGAGTCTGGACGACACACATGAGAGTGATGGGTAAGGGTGCCATCAGGTACAGGCGCATGGACTATGTGTGGTACGACGAGAAGAAAAACAATTAAGTTAGCAACACGAACTCATACCAGACAAAGAACAAATCAGCAGATGCGTTTGATTACCTGGAGCGGGTCGCTGGACGATGATGTGGACTGTCTCTTCAGGCAGCTCCTCAGGGAACACCTTTGAGAGACGCGTGGCCGGGCTAAGCTCTGTCGCTGACTCGAGAAATTCGTTCAGGAAAATTGGTCTGTGTTTGTTGGCTGGCAAAACGGGGATTGAGACGCGCCAAAGGGTGAGCTGGTCCCCTGTGATGTCGTTGAACGTAGGTGATTGTTTCGCCCTGATAAGGTCCTTGAGGTGAGCAACGGTACGTGTCTCAGAGACCTCGATCTCGAATGCCCTGGACGAGGGCAGTCCATCAACAAGACAGAACAGGATCAGGTTCTGAAAGTTGTCGGCCATGGTTCTGTGAAGTATCTGTGAAAATGAGGCGAAGAAGGCTGGAAGGTAAAGGATATGGAGAAGTCGGGGGTGAAGAGAACAAAGCGAAAGGATGAAAGTGTGTAGTAAAAAGGGAAGAAAGAAGAAAGGCTAGGGATTAAAAGGGCGTGGGGACGGTGGCAAATGCGATGAACGTATGGAAATAGTGGCAATAAGGGAGCGGAGAAACAAACTGACAATAAAGTCGAACAGAGGAAAAAGGTGGGGAAGAGACGATAAAAACGCACGGGGAAGGTAGCCCAGCAACAAGATGAGGGAAGAGTGAGGAAAGGAATCGAGTGATGGTAAAGGCGGTAAAGAAAGCGCAGAAGGTGGTGGAAAGGTAAGGGCGTTGGAAGTGTGGCAGAAAGGAAGGCATGGAAGGTTACAGAAAGGAAGAAGAAAAAAATCGCTGCTACTTCAGCGGGCTGAGTTCAGCCTGTTTTGGCGCCATCCTTCTGCGCGACTTGCGTTATCCCTTCCTTCGTTTTTGGGCCGAAATCGGCCACAATTTTTACACGAAATAGCGGGAGGATACCCTCAACTCCTTATTTGCAAAAAAAAACACTAATGCTCACCCCCCCTATTCTTAAGCAAAAATGAGAGACTTCACCGAGACCCTCATCAGCATCCACCTTTTTTCCCTTCCCTCATCATTCGCATTAAGTGAATGCTGCAATGAAAAAAACTCAATCAGTTCTGAGGCCTCCCAGTCATTGAAGCATTAGACAATGACAATGATGTCGTATCCCAAAAAAAAGTGGATGGGCATGTTCCGTATTCTCTTCCCTCTCTTTTGCGTTTAAGACGCAACACCAAAAAAATTGGAAAAAAGCGGTTCAAGGGTTACCCTTCATAAATAAAAAAAGTTGAAAAAGTCTGACGGAGGAAGGGATACTTTCGTCGCTATATAATATTGTTTTTGTGGAGGTCAATTCAAATGTTCCAATTATTTTTTATGGTCATTTCCACTATCAAACTGACCGCAAAAACCACTTTCGACTGAACATTTTACTTGACGATGATTGGTCAATAGCCAGTCTTGCCTGATTCCATCTTCTTCCCTCGATCGCTCTCACTCATTTTATTTATTTTTGCGGTGCGTCTGACTCCATTCTTGGAACCATCTTCCCCCACACTTAACTCCCTCTCAACCCCCCTTTTTACTCCCCTTGCCCTTTTTTCCTTCTTTGTTCCTTCACACTTTCCTTTTCACTCACGTTGCCTTTGTATCACACGCACTCCCTTCCCCCCCACAATCAACCTTACAAACAACAGCAACCCGACTCACTCAAGCCACACACACAGGCATGCTAAAGTACGTCAAGGAGGGTGCGCTCGACTTGCTCGCATTCACCTTCCCATCCTCCCTCATCGAATCCATCCGCCAGGTCTCCGACGACGACTTCCTCTCCCCCGAATGGGGCCACCAGCAACGACAGCCTCGCATGCGTCGCCGTCACAACACTACTTCGTCCTCTTCCTCAAGAGCAGTCGCCCCCACCCAACGACACCTCCTTACCACTAAAACGTCTTCTGATGGAGTCTTCATTTCGGTAAGGCAAAAGGAAAAAAAAAAAAAAAAAAAGGTTCTTCCTCTTCGGAGGATGGGGCTGAATGTGTATGTCAGTATATTTTTTTTGTGTTGCTTGTGCGCATGCCTACGAATCGTGATTTCCGAAGGAGGACGAGAATGTCCTCCTTTCCTTCCTTTTTCACTCCTGGCCTAGGCCGCTCTAACTCGACCGCCTTCTTTTTGTATACTTTACAGGGTGGTTCGATATTACTGCAGGACACTGACACCCGGTCTCATGATTTACCGGACTCCGTCAGCAACAATTGCCTAAACAAGGGACCCCAATTACCCTACGAAGTCCTCACCTTGATCTTCCAGTACCTCCCTGCTTCGGACATGTTCTCGATCCTCGCCGTCAACCGCCTTTGGCGTCAGATCGCACTCATAGAGACCAAGCAAATCGACCTCTCCGAGTGTTTCCCCATGGACTGCCTCGGCCTCGGAGACGACGACGTCTACAGCGACTTTGACTTTGTGTACCACCTCTTCTCGATCTTCCCTCTTATTTCGAGTCTTGTAATCAAGGACCGATACATGCGCGATCGTGACCTCCGAGTTGTCACGGCCGGTATCCTTGCGGGCAAAATGGCCTTCACGGAGGCAATTGGGCCTGCCATTGGTAGTGAGGCATATCTGGAAGCACAGCATGCCATTGCTCAACGACGGGCGCGACAACAACAGCAAGGAAATACCTCCACGACAAATACAACAACCACCCCCACAAAACCAACTTCCACAAAAGTCATCCGAGCAAGCATCAAGGAGGAGCTACGAGAGTTCTCAAGATCAGTGGCAACATATGTCCTCATTCCCCAAACTAGAAACACACTTCGGAAAAAGATCCTGGAGCGACTCGAGTACAACCTGGAGCAGAAGGAGATCCAGGAGTACTGCTGGATGGTCGAGAGCGGAATCAACCCCTTGACCTTCCAGAGCTCAACCGCTGCCTCCCTGACTCAGTGGCGAACAATTTCTTCATCTCCCTCGTCCCATGCCTCAACTTCGACTGCGATACCCGTTTTGGATGCAAAACGATACCCATTGGTCCCCATGACCCACTATCGCTTTCAGGACTGCTGCTTTGCAAAGGACTGGGGTTCGGCTATGGACATCAACAAACTGCCCATGATCGGACTGGCAGCCGCCATTTCAGGTCAAGGTCTGGTTGTCGATTTGGAGGGCTCTTATGGCGCCCCGTCCAAGAGCATCAAGCAGATGATGGCGTTCTGTTTCGGAGCCCATTGTGTCATCTCCCTGGACCTCAACTTCCGACACACCCATATGGAGCTCGAGCATGTCACAGAGCTTTTGAGCGAGAACCCTATGCTCCACAAGATTGATATTGTCGACTCATCCGCCTACCACGACTTGATCCGTATGCCGGCACTGAGGGGTCTCGGAGAGATGATGGAGCGGATGCAAAAACTTTGCTTCGAGCTGGACGAGCAGGAGCTGACGGCTACTTTACAGCAGGCCAGCGTGCTGCTGGCAGCCTTGGACAGGGACATTGATCTCGAGGATGCTGAGCGAGCGGACAAGACGCCGCAAAATTTTCAGCGCGGACCAACTGACGGTGTCCATGCAGCGGAAGAGGTACCGTCGGAGCCTGTGCCAGCGTACCTTATGGCGCAGAGGCGACCAATGGACGATCCTCGCCGACCAGTCGAGTCACTTTCACAACAGCTCAAATTCGCCGACGACGCCACACCAACCGACAAGATTAGGACAGCCAAGGTGTTGATGAAAGGAGTCATCCATCATGGCGTTAGTGGACTTATCAACACACGGGACCGGGAGTCGGGACAAGCTCTACTTCACACGTTGGCCTGGCGCCGGTCATACTCTGTGCTTGCTGCCCTTGCAACACAGCCAGCAATCTCGACCGCATCAACAACATCCGACTTGGCCACGCCTCCAGCAACACTTGAACAACACCCATCGTCGTTATTTTCATCCTCGCCGTCGTCCTCGTCGTTGTTTGCAACCAAAGGATACTTCTGGAACCAAGGGCAAGGACTGTTGCCATCATCAGCTCCCACGTCGTCTACCTTGTCTGAGATCGCACCCAGGCCATTGATGAGCAACTCAGAATCCGCACGAGGAGAGGTGCTTTCAGCTTCGACCACAGCGCCATTCTCGCTTGACCTTTCAACATCAGCGCCAGCGCCAGCGCCAGCACCGTCCACGCCACCCTTGTCGTCAGGACTGTCATCTTTAATCAACATCAGCGCACTGCCAGCAGCACTGTCGTCAGCCCTTTCTTTCCGCCGCATGAGTTTGCCTGTCTCGACGCTATGGATCCCTGAGGACAGCGAGGATATTGGAGTTGGCGGAGGCACACAGCCAGAACCTGACTCTGATGATGAAGAGGACAAGGACGACAGTGGAGTAGAGATGAGCAGATTTTCAAGGAGTTCGTCCCCTGGCGATGGATCAGATCAGGAGAATGATAGCGACAACGAAGCTGTCACCTCCTCAAGCACGTCGTCGACACCTATAGCAACAGTAATAGCAGCGGAGCCACCAGCAAAGCGAGAGTGGGTGATACCCGAACAGCACCCGGTGGCGATCTCGTTGAGGATGGCGAGGAAGTTGCTTCAGCTGAAGGCGAACCCGAATGTGTACAACAAGGACGGGCGGTCTGCAGTAGTGTGTGCGTCGTATATGGGGTTCCTGCCTATGGAGTCTTTGCTGATTGAGCAAGGAGGGTACTCAAAGGAGCTGATCCGTATCCGCGAGACTATGTAATTGTTCTTTATTACCTTTTTGTTATTTGTAGTTCTTGTAATCATTGTATTTGTACGTTTGCGCCTTCAAAGAATAAATGCGACAAGCGACGCTTTTGTAGAGTGAGATGACTGCAGGTATGTCGCTGATTTTTAGAAGTGAAGGGAAACCTTGCTTTGTGACCAACAGACGAACACGTGGATTCAAGAGACTTTCATATCCACACAGCTTTACTTCGCTTCTTTCTCCACTCCTCATTTTTATTCACCTTCTTTTGCTTAATCACCCTTCCTGCCGTTTTCTCTCATACACACGCTCACACGCTCATCCGTTCACACGATGGTCCTTCTTCCAGCACAGGACGAACTATCGAGATATTGTGGGAGCTCAACATTGGCTACGACATGTCGGAGGAGACCTTGAGGTCTGTCTTCGAGCACTGTCCGAATAGTCCGCGCATTGGCGACTCGGAGGAGATCGATGGTATGATATTTGGTGGAGCCATTGCAGAGTTGTGCACACAGTTGCGGACCTTGACTTGTAGTGTGCCCTGGAGGACCGCGAAGAGACGACTTTCCGTTCAAGATTATTAGATCGATGCCGGAGCAACAACTGCAAGTGTTTTGATTGTCGACTTTCTGATCCTCTACATGAACACTTTGTCACCGGTAACATCTTCCGGGCGACACTCGTTGACTTTGTGACGACCGCCTGTGTTGTTTTCAGTGCGCTTTTCGACAGTGCCACTGTTGGGACCATCACGATGGCCCCTCTCTGTCTGTGTCGTCGTAGTTCCATCCCACAATGGGCATGGGCGCGTTGAGCGGATTTGTGTGTGTGCCTTTGAAAGAAAGCAGAAGAGGGGCAACGTTGTTCTCGTGTTGACGAATCATCGCAAACCTTTTCTTTTGTGTGCAATTGACGTCTGATGAAGAACAAAGGTGAAGCAGAAGAAGAGAGGCAATTGAGTGAAAGGAGACCGAGGGAGTCTTGTGGGTGGCAATTCAATGGTATGCGATGCAATGAAGGGCTACTTAGAGAAAGGAGAGGGGGGTAAGTGTGTGATCTGATCACCTTGCTTGCTTGCATGATAAGTGAGTTGTAGTTTTGTCTATGCTTACACCCCTTTTCATTTTATTTGTTGTACAGAGATATCCTTTTCCAATTATTTCCCGAGTAAGTCTCCTGTGCAACTTCTCACCATTGTATCCATCAGCCCCTATTTACAATCAACGACCTATTTTCCCACTCTCTCTCTCGCTGACGTCCTTGTCCCTCTGCTGTCTACTTTCACTCCTTCCTCCCATTCAGCCCACTTGTATCATTCTTTCCTGTCTTTCTCACTCCCCCTTTACTCCTTCATATCGCGCACGCCTTTCTCTTCATGACCACTACACACACACATACCCTTCCACAGCCACACAACTAGCAATACCCTAACAATGACACGGTCTATACCATCGCTCGCTTCTGCTGCTGCCATACCCCTCTTTCTCTCCACTACAGCAATATTCCATCCACACGTCGATGTCTGCGGTGTCACCATCCACAACGAAGTCGCCTTCAAAGCATCCCGTATCCTCCTGTCCACCATGATCAACTTGCCTACCTTGACTAGCGCGTTGCTTGTCTCTCTGTCCTTGCTCTTTTGGTACTTTTTCTCTAACCTTCAAGCCCAGGTTCACGTTTGTCTGTCACTTGGCGAGCATAAGCGTGTTCTTTTAACAGTTTTGGATTGTTATTTGAGAATAAAAGTGTTGGTGGAAGCAATGCAACGACGTGGAGGGGAACAGTAGCTATCGATCGGGGTCATGCTTGACGGTCAACCTCCATGTGTGTGAGTGTCAGTGCACTCTATCCCCACGCGAAGTGACTGGGTGACTGCCTTTCCCACTCACTTGAATTTTCGAATTTTGAATATGAAAACTAGACCCCCATGAGGTTAAAAGTATATTTCAGACCCAGCTGCCACTTTTTTTTCAAATCCAGCCAGTACAAAACGACAGAGCCTTTTTCCCCCTCTCCTTTTTTTCTTTCCCTCTTTCCTCAACCTACTGATCCGTTTTCCAGGACGCAAAAGGGGCCAGGAAATTTAAGGGCCAGGACCTGCCTTGAGCAGGACCTTTAAAGGCCTAAGGAACAGAACCTTGACCAGGACCTTTAAGGGCCTAAAGGGTCGGGATCTTGACTAGGCTCAATAAGGGCCTGCTAATGGTCAGGATCTCTTGACCAGGACAAGGATAGGGCCAGACCACCTTCCATTCCTCACTCTTCCCTCTCTCTTTCTTCCCTCTCTCTTTCTTCCCTCTCTCTTTCCCTCTCTCTTTCCCTCTCTCTTTCCCTCTCTCTTTCCCTCTCTCTCTTTCCCTCTCTCTCTTTCCCTCTCTCTTTCCCTCTCTCTTTCCCTCTCTCTTTCCCTCTCTCTTTCCCTCTCTCTCTTTCCCTCTCTCTCTTTCCCTCTCTCTCTTTCCCTCTCTCTCTTTCCCTCTCTCTTTCCCTCTCTCTTTCCCTCTCTCTTTCCCTCTCTCTTTCCCTCTCTCTTTCCCTCTCTCTCTTTCCCTCTCTCTTTCCCTCTCTCTTCCCTCTCTCTTCCCTCTCTCTTCCCTCTCTCTTCCCTCTCTCTTCCCTCTCTCTTCCCTCTCTCTCTCTCTCTTCCCTCTCCATTCTCCAGCCACTGCATCCGCAATCAACAGCCATCAACAGCCATCAACAAGGAGACAGCCATCAGCCCCATCTTCCCTCTTTCCCCCCTCCCTCTCTTGCAATCAACCTTTCCCATGCTAAGATCGCCTCCCTCCTCTCGTAACTGGATGCCACCAAGACCAGCAGCCTGCTAGGCGAAGTCATCAATGACAACAGCACTTTCGGGATCAGCACTTTCGGGATCAGCACTTTCGGGATCAGCACCTGAACATCTGTGAAGGCAAGTATCTGGAAAGGAGTGCCGGTCGACTGCTCAAGCGGTGGGAGGCATGGACAATGTGGCGACGCGACAACAGTGGTATCGGGGCTCTAGCAGCGACTCGGTTGGTCGGTCTCATCTGGTTGGGGATCCCTGTTGCTTTTTTGTCCCGGGGTACCCTCAGCGGAAAGGTGGGAAGTTGACCACTGGGAGGGTTAGAGGTGGCTGCTGTTTAGCGGCGTCTCATTGTTCATGGCTCTTGGACATCCCGTGGTGGCCGGTGCCTACTTGAATGACTTGCTAGACGGTGCACAGCGGTGAGGTGCAAAGATCGAAGACTAACCGTTTTTTTTTTTTCTTTTTTTTTATTCCATTCTTCTATATACCACGCCTACACCAACACCTTCTCGACGAGCTACGTGTGACCAAGAGCTGAGCCAGTATGAAGGCAAGTATCTGGAAAGGAGTGTCGGCCGGCTACCTTTAGGGAGATGCATGGACTCTGAGACGACGCGACAGCAGCGGTCGCGGGACTCTTTTCAGCGGTTTGGCTGGTTGGCTTCTCATCTGGCTGGGGATACCCCGGGACAAAAACACGACAGGAATTCCCATCCAGATGAGAAGCCAGCAACCAGCCAAGCCGCTGCAAGAGCTCCGTGGCCGCTGTTTAGCTGAGTCTCATTGTTCATGGCTCTTGGACGTCCTGTCGGAGCCGGCGCCTGTACAGGTGCTTGCTTAGCCAGTGCACAGCTAACCGGTTTTTTTTCTCTTGTTTTGTTCTTCATTCTTCTATATACACCACGCCTGCACCGAAAACCTCTCCATGAGCTACGTGTGATCAAGAGCCGAGCCAGTATGAAGGCAAGTATCTGGATGGGAGTGTCGGCCGGCTACCTTTAGGGAGAGGCATGGACTCTGAGACAACGCGACAGCAGCGGTCGCGGGACTCTTTTCAGCGGTTTGGCAGGTCGGCTTCTCATCTGGTTCTGGATGGGGGTTCCTGTTGAGTTTTTGTCCCGGGGTATCCCCAGCCAGATGAAAAGCCAACCAGCCAAGTCGCTGCAAGAGCTCCGAGGCCGCTGTTTAGCTGAGTCTCATTGTTCATGACTCTTGGACGTCCTGTCGGAGCCGGCGCCTGTACAGGTGCTTGCTTAGCTAGTGCACAGCTAACCGTTTTTTTTTATTCCATTCTTCTATATACCACGCCTACACCAACACCTTCTCGACGAGCTACGTGTGATCGAGAGCCGGGCCAGTATGAAGGTAAGTGTCTGGAAAGGATATATGTAAGGTAGAGTAGAGTAACTTGGTTACAATGATCAAATAAAGGCGTTGTTTATTATTTTCAATGAAGTGAGGGAATGTGCAAGATCGTGTCGACATGATCGTCTCTGGTCCCCTTATCAATTCGATGGATTCAAGGGGCTACGCATATTTTGTGTATGTGATGCACCTCTTGGGAGAATGGGTTGCAACATTGTCTTGGAAAGGCTGGTAAAAAAAACGGAAATAAATTGAACGCGATCAGTTGCTGATTGTCCTGAAATGCTTGCTGCTTTTGGATAACGCTAGAAAACGACGTTGAAAACAAACAAACTAACAGGGGATCAAAGGATATTGGAGGTTGTGAGAGGGGTCGTTTTGTCGTTACGCTGAGAGACATGGCTATGGTTATCCGTTTAAACAGTAGGAGGCGGAGTAGATTGTGGAGCATTGGCCAAGGCTGAAGAAATTTGAGTTGGTGTCACCGGAGAGCCATTGTGGGTTAGAGAGTCAGACTAGTGAGCCTGTAATGTATATTATTATGATTAAGAAGCTGCTTGGTTTGTGCATTGGGTTGGTTGAATAAAATAAATAACGTCAATTTTTTGTTTTCAGGATATGCAAATGAGTCTAATACAAACTACTCTACTACTCTACTAATTAAAAGAAAATTCAATGACTATCGACGGCTCCGCATTGGACAAGCAGGTGGCGGTTCATGTTACTGAGCCCAATTGCACCCTTCATCGTAAGGTCCACAGCCACCAACTGCCCAACACCCGAATTCCAGACCAAGCACACACGGAAACTTTTGCCATCCTTCTCCTCCATCACTCGCCAAGCGCGAACAGAACCGTCTTGATAGCCAGTTACAAACTCCAACGGAGCAGCACCGGCAGTAGGGTTTGGGTTCCAGGCAATCCTACGGCACGACACTGCGAGATCCTTAACGACAGAGACACACGTCCAGTAGTTGGGCTCGTCGGAGGGTTTATGTCGCCAGAGCCTGACGGTCCTGTCCAGGCTTCCTGAGGCGATCCATTGGTCGCCGTTGGCAGAGACCGGCGAATAAGTGATACAGAGGATCCTATCCGTGTGGCCATGGAGCTCGACATCAGGTGTTGGCGACTTGCCGTCCCACAGAACCAGTGTCTCGGTCGACCCACCAATGGCAATCTGCTCACCTCTCGGCGAGAACGCGACATCATATGTGAGCGCCCCACAGCCTTGCAGAATAGCAGCAATTTGTCGTGTCTGAACGTCCCAGAGTTCAACAATGTCGTCTGTGCCGGCGATGACAAAATGGGTGCCGGAAGGTGAAAACGCAACAGCTGTGAGCTCCGTTTGGTTGCTGGCAAGGATGTACCCAGGCTCGGTTCCAATGCCGTTCAGAGTAGTATCCCAAAGACGGGCGGTCCTATCCGAGCTCACAGAGACGACCCAGCGACCGCAAGGAGAATACACTAAATTCTTGACTGGCTCAGTGTGTCCCGTGAAAACATCTCCAGTAGCGGCTCCTGTCTGACTGCTCCAGAGGGTAATGTTGTTGTCGTCCGTGCCTGCTGTAACAATATGCTGTCCTGAGGGAGAATACACCGCCACCTGGATGGGACTAGCAAAGCGCAAGAAGAACGAACCCGCAGCTCCTGTAGACGCGTCCCATGTGCGGACAGTTCGGTCGTTGCTACAAGAGACGATCGACGTCCCGTCGGGGGAATAAGCCACTCCGAAGACGTACCCTGTATGGCCGCGCTTCTGCATGTCGGAACTGTTACCACTCGAGCTCACTTCCCAAAGTCGAACCGTGTGGTCCTCGCTGGCCGAAGCAATTTGAAACCCATCAGGCGAGAATGTTAACGCAGTGACATCGGCAGTATGACCGGAAAAGACCGAGACGGGTGTGCCGGCTAACACATCCCAGAGTCGAACTGTATGATCCCGACTTGCAGAGGCGATCCATTGACTGTTGGGCGAGAATGCGATTCCTCGGACGCGGTATGTATGTCCGACTAATGTCGCTCCAATTACACCTGTCCTGGCGTTGCGCAGAAGGATCTCGCCGTTCTTGTGACCAGAGGCGATCCACTGACCATCGGACGATTGAGCAAGGCACAGGATGGGCGATACAGGATCACTTGACCAAACGGGACCGGGTGCTCCTGTGTTGGCGTTCCATAGACGTGTCGTTCCTTCGCTGCATCCCGAAGCAATATACTGCCCTGTTGGCGAGTAAGCTAGCCCGGTTACCGTAGCTGTGTGGCCCTCCAGAGTGAAAAGAAGTTGTCCTGTGAGAGAGCTCCAAATCCGAACCGTCTGGTCACTGCTGGCAGAGGCAATGTTCTCTCCGCTAGGTGAAAAGGCTACGGCGGTGACGTATCCAGTATGCCCATCCATCGCAAACAAGAGCTCATTCTTGACAGAATCCCAAAGCCGCACTGTCCCGTCACTGCCTCCAGAGACGACCTGATGACTGTTGTTGGGTGAATAGGCAAGGCCCAGAACACACTGTTCCTGCCCCTCCAGCGAATGAAGTTTCGTCCATGTCTTGACGTCGTAGATCGCAATCCCGTCATTAGACAGCCCCACAGCAAGCAACGACCCATTAAACGAAAAGGCACAAGAGTACGCGTGGCTCAGATACGGCAGCTCTCCAAACCGAACACCATCCATCTGGGCCTTGCTGAAATCCGCACATCTCAACCAGCTCCGTGTGAAATTGACATCCTTGAGATCGGCACCATGGAACTCAGCATAGTCAAACTGGCCGTCCGATAAATCGGCATCTGGGACTCTAATGCCTCGAAGATCGGCACTATTGAAGAGGACGCCGGACTTGATAAGGATCATGATGGCGTTCGCGGCTGCTTGGCTGGCTGTAGGATCGGTCTTGGAGAGCTCGAGGACTTCAAGGAGTTGTTGCTTAAAGTCTGGGTTCTGTTGGGTTCGGTCGCAAAGGAACTGGACGACTGAGGGTTCCTTGCGGAGGCTCTTGTGGAAGAGGGGACCATTGACATCGAACAGCGGTGGTGCCTGTGGGGCGTCAAAGGTGTTGTTGCCAAGATCTTGAGATAGCGTTTCGGCGTTCTTCTTGGGAGGGCTGTAGATGACACGCGAGTAGAAATACTCGAGCACGGTTCGGTGGATAAAGCGGTACTGGTTCCCGGTCCGGTTCAAAGGACCAGCCTCTCGCAAGTGCTTGACTATGGGATCTTGGCTAAAGAGCTCCTCCTTCCAGGTACCGGCGTCGCTGAGCTGGGAGTACTGTACAACCGGGTTGCCGTCCTGTTCCTTGAAAATGGACGCCGCAAGTCGTTCAAGATAACTGATTGCACGCGGAATAAAGCCGTCATCCACAAGCAAGTCGAGTGTTGCACGTTCCTCGCTGCTCAGTTTGCTGTCCTGAAGTCGCTGCACATTGATCTCCAACCATTGTTCCGCAAACTTGTCATAGAGCCCGACGCGGGTGACTTTGACGACCGAAAGGTCATTGTTCGAATCTGCCAGACCAGGCAGAGCCTTGAGGGAGAGAGCGAGCAGGAACGGGTTTTTGACCAAGTCCATCAGGTTGGGAATCTCTATCAGTTTCTCCAAGTACTCTTCCGCAGACCAGACAGGCCGATCGCCGAATAAAAGCTTTGTCCTGGGGTGCTGTGAGAACTGTTCGATGTAACACTTGACCTGATCCTTGGAGAAGGGAACGATAGCGGCTTCTTGGAAGAGCTCGACGTTGTTAGAGTTGTATCGATCCACTGGCAGAGGCTTGAAGCGGCTGTGGTAGGACAGACTGAGATATTGACTCCTGCAACAGATCACCATCTTGGCGGTCCACTGGCCGGGCTGGTTGAGGAGGTTGGTTTTGTGCAGGTTGGCTGTCTGCAAGCTCTCGTCGTAGCCATCGCATATCAGAATGAATTGACGGTGTTGCTTCATCTCCTGGATTTGGGCCTTGGAAAAGTTGTTCATGTCCAAATGCTTTCCGATCATGTCCTGCTCCGGTCGGTCGATCGCAGGCAAGTTGATGAGCAGCGGGATGGGCCCTCCAATCTTGTAGTCAGTCCAGAGGTCGAGTTCCAAATGTCGGTTGAAGGTCGATTTTCCTGACCCGGAGTCGCCCAGAATCAACATGACCTGTCGCTCGCTGGCCAGGAACTCTTGCACCTTCTCCATCAGTGGGAACAGGTCGTCATCTAGAGCTTGGAGACTGGCCTTGGCTTGTGGTGGAATGTAGACAGTCTGGGCGTCCTCCAATCGCTTCTTTTGGACTTGGCGTAGATGGTACTCGAGGTAAGGAATGTCCTGAACCTTGGTCAAGATGGGTGAGGATGTCGGCATAGCGAGACCGTTTCTCAGCGGGTAAGGATGCTGGATGACGGAAGATTGATCATGGTTGAGATCCTGAAGGAGAGCAAGAGCCCTCGCTTTGACAGCATCGTCAGGAGAATCAGAGAGTTGCCGCAAAATAGCCACCATCCAGTCCAGCACACATTCATCCCGACCCCAATCTGCGTCGTTCTTGTACAGCTCCTCCAAAAGGTCGATGGATTGCTGGCGAGTGGTGGTAGTCCAGATCGAGTCCGCCGCGATTTCACCGAGCAGCTGACAGATGCCCCACTGGAACAACGAGTCGCGGCGACAGGGCGCCTGACAGATCAACTGGTTCAGCTCCGCCAGCTGTCCTTGTCGGGCGAACATCCGGGCAGCACAGACAGCAGAGTACCAGAGTTTCTGGTGGCCATACCCAGTACCTCCTCCAAGGATTTCCAGAACGCTCTGACCATTCGTCAATACTGCACTGGCGGTCTTGTACATGGAACGGGCAAAGTCATAGCTCTCCTTGGTGGTTTTCAGGAGAATCCCCAATCCTTTCATGACCTCTGGTAGCCTAAATTGAGTGATGGCCGAGAGCTTGACAATACCGTCGGCAACCTCGAGCGAGTAGCGATACAGAGCATCAAGAGGAGACTCATCGTTGGGGACATACTGCAATGCCTGGAAGGCGTGCGAGGCCTGGTACATCAGATAAGGATCCGAACTGTCCTTGAGACTCGCGAGAACTTTAGACAAGGGTTCATGCTCCACAACGCGGTCCAAATCCTCCACTCCATGCTCCGCCATGACATCCAAAACGCGAGCAACAGCCGAGGCGAGATGGTACGGATGCTCGGTCGTCTGTTTATGGATTTTCTCCAGACGGCTCCTGAGCATGCTAAGGATCTTGATCAAATCATCCGAGACAAGATATCCTGGTGAGGCGCATTGAAGAAGCTGGACGAGGCCTTGGAGGAGTTCCGCGTCGAGGATGAGAGACTGGTCGAACTCCGAAATGAGGCAGGAGAGTAGCTTGCGGTAGAGCTCGCGGTCCAGGACTGGGCCAAGATGAACCACCTCCGCGACAGCAGTTGAGTCCTTGACGGCATCCTCAACGAAGCCTTCGACCATTTTTGAGATGAGCCAATTGATGCGGTCCCGCTCGACATGATCTTGCGCCTTGAGCCACTCCTCTGCACTGTTGGTAGATAAGCCCTCGTCGCTATTGGTAAGCGATCCCTCGTCGGTATCGATTGGCAGTTCTTGTAGGGGTTCCTCCGCACCATCAACTACCTTCTCTGACGGCTCACAAACCGACACCAGCACAGTATGCTTAGTCAACAGCATGCTGCACAGCGCCAGCTGAGGAGTAGTCTCGATTCGACCATCAGGCTTGGGAACAGCAACATCGGCTACAGGGGCGCTCAAGTTTTGCGGAAAGATATCCTGCCTCGCCACCGCCAGCCCCCTCGAGGACGACCGCGAACTCTTATCGCTATCATGGCTGTGAAACCTGAAATGGCGACGCTCCTTCTTCGGTTCTCCAGAAGGAGCCTTGGGGTGTGTCCTGGTAATATACCGAATCGCCTTTAGGACCTTATCGCGTTTACGAATGCGCAAAGAAGGTGCCGGGTCGTGATCGCTGTCGCAGCTGGAGTTTGGATCACAGCGGCAGTGGTGCAGAGGTGGAGGTGGTGGGGTAAGTCTGCCATGTCCGATAAATACTGCGGCGACCCCGTTGCTGATGGATCGACCGTGAGTGGTCGATGAAGGGTCCAGTGCCTCTTTGGCAGAGAGTTCGATGGTGGCGAAGACGGATGCTGGTTCGGTAGAATAGGAATCTTCTGTAGATGGGAGGGAGTCGATGGTGAGGCAAGTTTGCTGTTGAATGACCATGGCTATGTGCTCTATTTGTCAAGTAATATTGGTTGATCGTTAATGATGTGGTATAATGAGCGAGCACATTGGATCGGAGAGCGTCAATAGGGCTACTGGCCGTACCTCGAGGGCTGGGAAGGGGGATAATCGTGTGCTTCTTGAAGTGAGATGTGCAAGGACACTAAAAAGCAGGAGAATCTAGCAGGGATGAGAACATCCAAAGGCCGTCGGTTAGCACCTTCCCGTTTTTGCATGCATGAAAGGTATATTTTTCTTTTATCAATACAGTAAAAATACATACTCGTGCGAAGGGGTATGTATATATTCTTGATCTCGAGGCTACTTTGCTCTTGTGATCAACAATTGGAGGAGATTTGGCCGAGGATGGTGTCTATGTTTGTTTTTTGCTGCTGCTGTTGTTGTACATCGATCACACCACAGTTAGAAAGTGGTCCATGCTTATGAAAAAAATTGCAATTTAGCTGTGAACAAACACACACAAACAGATTTCATACCTGTGATGTGCTGTACTGCGCAGGTGGACGATGGATGACTTCAAAGGTTGAAGCGAAGCAATATGTGCTTGGAGTGTGTTGTGAAGGTATATATCTATGCGAAGTACCAGATGAAGTCAGCGACCAAATTCTTCATTGAACAGGGTCGTCAAAAGGAACAGACCGCGTTTTTTTTTTTTTTTTTTTTTTTTTTCGCGTACCGCGTCGTGAAGTTAGATGCTGTGGAACTCGTTGGGAAAGGTGATACAAAACAGCGGAATAGGCGTAGTTGAATGGAATGAGCGTGGTCGACAAGAAAGAGTGCGGACGAGGAAGAGACGAATAGTTCTGATAACAGAGGAACAAATGAAAAAGCGAGTACGTGGGTGAAGTCGGGGTAGGTGAGAGGAAAAGAGAGAAAATAAAATGAGGGCGAAAGTGAACTTGAAGAATAAGAAAGCAAAACGGGAATAAGGGTCGAGGAGATTGTTTATGTATATGTTCGTGTGCCCCTCTTTTGTTGACTTCCTCGGCTGTGTGCATGAAGGATGGATGGGGTGCTACTGCTTTGACCATGGACAGACGAGGCCCTTTTTCTTTTTTCCTTTGTCCCTTTGTCTTCCATTGTCTTAGTGTCCCATGGTCTTTTTCCCGTCTGTCCCATCCCTCTCCATTCCTTTCTCTGTCTCCCTTTTTTGATTTCAGCCTTTAACTCTCCGTTTGCATAGAATGTACCGCCTTTTCAAAATGAATTCTACAATTGGCTGAGTCAATAGTGCTCAAGAAGGCGCATCGCTGTTGCTGATGATGTGCCAACCTTACCTTTACTGCTTGTTCCTTCGCGAAATCGACATATGAAGAGACACTCAACAAGGCCGGAGCAAAACGTCTTTGACAAATCAGAAGTTGTCATGTTCAACTGTCCCTGCGCCGCCTTTCGACACAACGGCCAACCTGGGGTCATCTACACCCAGAATAGGCATTTATCTTCGGCAAGGCGATGTAAGCATGCCGAGTACAACGCGTTGTTTCATTTTTGAGTCATTCTGTTGTGGACGTTCATTCACACATTCGTTGCCGAAACAGACAACGTCGTCGCCTGATCTCTTGGCTCTTCAGTGGTGCATTTTTGGAGCTTTGTTCTTTCTATCGCGGACAACGTCACTCCGTTGGTCGTGACCAACAAAGGATCAACCACGCTAGTGCCTCTTCCTCCGCTTTATTCTTTTGTCTTTCCACTAACCTTTTCCACCTTCACTCCCGCCACTTTGGGTTTGTGTCGCCAGAACTACGGCTTCACGTTTCGGAATAAAAAAGATGATCAGAGATAAAGTGTGAATTATCGTAGAATGGTCACCTGATAAATTAGAAAGCAGAGTGTTCAGAAAATGATTGATCACATTACACTTTCAACAGAACTCCACATCAACAAAGAGATTCTTTACCTTTCCCACGCTTACTTCTTACCTTTTCTTTTCTTTTCCTTTCCATCCTTCCTCAACCCACTACCATGAAGTCTGCCACAGCCCGATTCTTCGACCTGCCAGAGTTGATCCCTCTAATCGGCATCTACCTGGAGCGACACGATCTCTCGGCATTCATGAAAACCTCCCACCTGATGCACTCCATCCTACTCCCGCTCTTCCACCGAGTTGTCCCCCTACCCACCTTCAGGACTCCAGAGACCCTGCAAGCCCTAGCAAGGAACGCGATGACCATCTCCTATCTTACGACGGGACTGACGGCCTGTGGCCGCTACAGCGACATTGTCACTAAAGCCCTCCAGTCAAAGAACCCTTCCATAAAGTTCAAAAAGCAGATCCCTACCTATATCCCCTCGGAAGAGGCGCTGGAGGCACTTTGTCAAGGTGGTGAATTCCCTGCCCAGCTCTACCAAGTCCTGCGCCTCAGTCCCCGCCTCACGCAACTGGACTTGGTGCAGATTTGCATCAACAACGACCTCACGCTGCACCTTCTGGCAAGAGTCATCTTCGGACTCGACACTCTCGAGTCCTTATTGATTGCGACATATGCCAACGCCCGTCTCTTCTCACAGATACCATCGTACATTTTCAACAGCTGTCCTCCGTCTCTCAAATCCCTCGAGTTCAAGATACTTTACAACCACATCGCTTCACGGGCAACTACATTCAGCACAACTACGACTCCGGATAGCAATAGTATCAAGACACTAAAGTCGTCATTGGCGATACCAGGACCAGGACGACAAGTTCGATCTCTCAGCAACTTGACGCAATGGAGGTTCATGCATGACGACGTCGACGACCTGAGCGACACTATTTGCTCAATCTTAGAGAGCTGCCCCAACCTTCGATCAATGGACGTTCCGCCTCTCGGTGGACCCCAACAAATCGAACGTCTCAAAAGGATGGTTACCAATTGCCTTCCACACCTCCATAGTCTGACACAGCACGACCTTGAACACGGCCACATGAATGACTGCACAGCAATATCCATAGTCGCCAACGCGATGCGACCCGACACGCTCGAGTTGGTTTACATTCTTCAGTACGCGGAAAAATATCCGACCCTTGATCAGGAGCTGCGGAGGCACAAACGATCGCTAAAGTGGGTCGAACTCGATGACTGTACGCGGATCGAATCCAGCACGATTACCTCGCTCCTGCTCCAGTATCCGGCGTTGGAAGTACTCAAGGTGAACCCTTTTGAGAACACGAGGAGCGTGGAGGTTGATATCGAGCAATTAGTGGAGAAGAAATGGGTGGTGACCAGACTCCGGGAGCTTCAACTGATCATCAACACCGAGCCAGGAGAAATAGACGAAGAGGAGGAATACGAAAGTGACAGGAGAAAAAACTTGGAGAACCTTTGTCGGCAACTGGGAGCTATAGAGTCATTGGAGGTGTTGGATCTGTGGGTTCCGTCTGATGAGGATGGTGCGTATGATGACTATGAAAATGACCTTGGCCCTCGCTTTTCGTTGTTGGGCATGCTATCGTTGGGCGACAGTGAGGTAGGTGGTGAACGATGGGGTTGCCTTGGGTTGTTGGCTGGGCTCAAGAACTTGCTGGCCGTTCGAGGATCGTTTCTCATTCAATATACGCCGGCGTCCTATAATATCACCCAAGAGGATGCCGAGTTTATAGTCAAGCATTGGCCTCGACTCAAAGTCCTGGAACTCTACAGGGAGAGTGAGCGTTTTGTCGATTTGTCCCCTCCTGTTGAATATCTTTTGAAGGAATTGCCTGGCCTTTGCATCCATGCTACAGAAAGATGCTGAATAAAAACACATGTTTTATTTGCATTCAGCAGTTTGCACAATAAACGGCACAAGGCAGGAATTAGGACAAACAGTGCAATCATGCTTCGTATGCTCCGATGGGAAGAAGAGGGAGCGGAAGAAGTTGTGTTTGTTAGAAACTTAGAAGTTAGAAGTTAGAAGTTAGAACTTCAAAAAGAAAGTTAACCGTAAATCAGATTAACTGCACGTGACTAAAAAACCATGAATAAATGAAACGGCCCTTTCAACAAAAACAAACCAGACTCCACAGTCTGTTTTCCTTTCTTCCTCTTCCTGTGTCGTCTTACATGTGCCACCAACTGCTCTTGCATTCATGCACTCACTCACTCCCTTCCTTCCTTACCTTCACATGCACCTTCCTGTTTTCACTGACATAAACACACAACGAAACAAAAAGCAGAAGAATAACCAACAACACTGGCTAACACTTCTGGAAGTCTGTCCTTTGCTTTGCTTGCCTGTCTCTCTCAGTTCTACTTATTTGGCTCTACTTGCTTTTCGTGCTTAAAAAAATATTGCGGCTCTCTCTCGAACTCAAACTCGACTCTCAGTCGCTTCTAAGTTCTACCTCGCCTGTTTGTGGGTCACTCTCTCGATCAGCTGACTCTCCTCTTTCTCTACAGCCGGTATCGCTCTCGATACCTCTGCCGGATACGAATCTTCCGGTTGTATATATTTTAAAGTTGACGTCTTCTCCTTGTCACATTGGACGTCAATTGGGATGATATTTTTTACAGAGTGTCCTCCCTGCCCTCCTGGGAGGTCAACGAGCCATCGACCATGAACACCACTTAAACCTCGCCTTTACTCAATTTCTCGCACGCATGGGCTTGGAGCAAGCTACCATTCAACAACAACAATTGCAACCTCAGTGCGAGCAGCACCCTCGAGCGCGGCGCCAAGAAACATTGCTCGATGATGCGACCGACGACCAATCCACTCTCGATCATCAAACCAAGAAGTTCCAAGCAGAGGGTTACTCGGTCAACAACAACACCATCACCACCTCCGATCGGCAGGCACAAGATGCCTCTGCCAGCAGCAGCAGAAGCAGCAAACAACCACAGCATTTGCAACTACAACAACACTGCCAGCAATCATCAGGGGGATACCCACACAACGACAAACCAGGATCGTGCCACACCCAAGCATCCTGACCTCGATGACATGATCCGAGATGACAAGCCGGGTCGAGCCCTCCGAAAGGCACGTTGGGAGCGACACTACCCTATCGTGGAAGGCGAGATGGCTCAAGAGAAATCTGTCGACTCTGACATGTAAATACGACAGGGACGCTGGGGCTGACGATTCACCGCCCATGGCAAAGCCAAGCTGCCAATTGGGGAGTGGCCTGTGTTGTAGGACAAGTTAGGTTGAAAAATATTAGGGGAGCGATGCAGTTTCATAGGGAAGGTGTCCTGTCTCCGTGTTGTCTGTGTTGTTTGTCTATTCATAGGTGCGCACTTTCCTTCCCCTTGGACCACAATATAATAATAATTATTATTATTACTATTATTATGCGTTTGAAGGGACGCGCCTTGACACTGATCAGCCAGATTTTGGCTGAGCACAAAATAAACCCAAAAAATACAGACATCCTCGCCCAGAAGAACAGGAGCACAGAAACACAGAACATGGAAGCATGGAAGCAAAAAGGAAAAATAAATGGTGTTAATCATTCACAGTTCTTCTTTTCTTTCATTCGTTCCTCACTTTTCATTCATCCTCAAAAACCACCCCCATCACTTCATTCACACCTCTTCATCATGGCAGCAGCAAAACGCTTCTTTACAATGCAGGACCTCGTCGACACTCTCGCACCCCTGCTGCGCGTCCAAGACATATCCAGGCTTACGCAAACAAGTCGACACATGCAAGCACAATGGCAGCCATCACTCTATCGGACTATCAACATGACCTACTACTCCAGGGGCAAGAGACTCTTACGATCTGCTGACTCCAAACTTGCCCTCTGCCGGAACATCCGTCATGTCCGTCTCCTCAAACTGGGCCTGGCCGAGATGGTGTACTTGTTCAACTCAATGGTGGCGTTTATCGACATTGCCTTGCCTGATGCAGGACCGGAAATCCGACCTACATGGTTGCCCTTACCCGATCGTGCGACGTTTCATGTGGTCCCCCTGCCCTGTATGACACAATTGAAGCAGCTCGAGGTGTTTCTCGATCGGTCGAAGGATAACACCATGTGCCCCTACCGCATGCCGAGTATCAACAACTCTCGTGCCAACCTCGCCCAAGTCTGCTGGATTGCTGCGAGGAGCCCCAATCTCGTTGACCTCAATTTAAAGTCGATTGCCGTCATGGACGACCGAGGACTGCGATTGTTGATGACGACACTCACTGGACTCTCCCGACTCAGAACGTTCAGTCTGACTCTGGTCGCAAAGGCTTCTCAGTGGCGCCACTTGGGCTTTGCCGTTTTCTTCAGCTGCCCGACCGCCATTCAAAAGATACAGATCGAGATGCAGGACATCGCCACTGACCAGCATCTAGCAACTGCCAACATCATCCATGAGCGAGACTGCACGGACCAGAACCATGGATTCAATGGCGGGATTGACGAGGACGACAATAACGTGGAGTCGCCAACACTACGGACGGAGAGGTTGGTCAACTTGAAGGAGCTTGCGCTGTGGGAGATGGATAAAAGCACGACCGCACAGAACATTGTTGCACTCTTTGTCCATTGTCCCAGCATCGAGACGCTTACCATTTCCAACATTCGCGGAAGTTACGACACGGAGCTGGTTGCGCAGATTGTTGGAGAGCTTTGTCCTCATCTAAGGCAGATCAGCTGCAGAGGATGGAAGGGCGAGGGCCAGACAAAACAGCTTCCGTTCCGAATCATGTCTGCGATACCAGAGCACGGACTCCGGGAGATCAACTGCCACTCGTCTTCTTTCGTCTTGAATGACGCCGTGGCACGGAAATCCTTTGCGCGCCACTCCATCACCTTGGAGACCGTCATCTTTGATGCATGTGTTGGGGTCAACAGTCGGTCCCTTGCAGTGATTCTGGCAGAGTGTCCGAATCTGGTGATCCTTCAAGTCACCTTGTCTGACCATCACAGAGGACCGGCTCTACACCTTGAGGACGCAATCTCTGCTTCATGGGGTTCCAACAAGTTCCGCCACCTATCACTCACTATCGGCATACCTGTGATTAGCCCCACCGACGCCAAAGAACGACCTTACTACTTGCGAAAGGGCCCTGGTGTCCTCACAGAAGCCGAGACGAAACGCTTTGCACATCTCGAAAAGTTCTACAAGCAGATTGGATCCTTGCACGAGCTTGAACACCTCGATCTGCGCGTGGACATGGTGAATGCTCTCGGTGAATCGTTCGACGACACAGCCTACGAGCATCTGTCGTTCCCTGGATTGCTCTCCTTGGGCAACACGCGGACCGGACGAGTAGGGTATTTGGGTCTGTTGAGTGGATTAACCAAGCTGAAGGAGCTCCGAGGATCGGTCTACGTGCGTGCAGACGAGACAGAGAAGACTATGGGCTTGCGTGAGATCGTTTGGGTTGATGATTTTTGGCCCCAGTTGGAGGTTGCAGAGTTCTTTTTCGAGAATGAGCCGGTCAGCGAGCCTTTCCGATGGTTACAGGATCAGAGGGATTTTCCTTCGCTGCAGTTATCTGCCTCCCGTCTTTAGTTTTCTCCTTTCGCACAGGAAGAAAAATAAAGTAGAGGATGTCAACAGTGTGTGTACTTGTCCAGATCAATTGGCCAATTACATTGTAAGAAAACGAAGGACTGTTCTTCCTTACTTCCAACCTGTGCTCCCTCCTCACGACTTCACTCAGTCGACACTCTCAGGACACCGATACCAACCGCCACGCTCCACATATACAGTGGTTGATGGAGCAGCGACTTACCTTGAGGATGTGGCACTCGGTCTCCTGAGTCTTGTTTCTACGACGTTTACAGCTAAAAAAAAAAAGTGACTGTTTAGGTTGTTCGTTTCAGTGATGAGTTCCAATTGCATCCGTGCTCGTTTGACGCTCTTTTTTTATCCCAAACATACCCATGTCAACCGCCATCGCCTCCTCTTCCTCCTCGGCCTGCCACAGATTTCTCGCCATCCCAGAACTGGTCGCAGAACTCGCAGGATGCCTCGACAACAAATCCCTCCACCGGCTGATGCTAACCAGCCGGCGACTGTCCTCTTTCTGCGAGCCATCTGTTTACCATTCTGTAGTGCTTAACAATCTTGACAGATGCAGTTTTGAACGCATTGCATCTCGCGATTACCTGGCTGCCTTGGCCAGGAACGTCCAGCATGTCAGGTCGCTCAACTTGGGGTTGCTTTTTGCAGTCTACCAATATCATTCTGCCTTTGCCTTTCAGCAGCAGGAGCGGGATAAGGAGAAGGAGCAGGAACGTGAGCGAGAACGGGAAATGGGCTACAACACCACGCGCGGACCTGTTTCGATTCGAGGACTGTTACCAATACCGGAATGGTCGCCGCTGCCGGACATCCTCTCTCCTCAGATGGACCTGGTGCTTCTCCCGCCCATGTGCAACCTCACGCACTTCAAGATGAACTTCACTCGATCGATACACCATCGCCTCCACCTCGCCTACCTCCCCAGCTACGAGAGTACGTCAAGGTCGCTTCTGCAGGCTACCTGGCTGATACACCAAAGCCCCCATCTAGTCGAAATTGATATGAGCCACATCGATCTGGAATCCTTTGAGGACACCCAAACATTGCCGACCGTCATCTATGGCCTGCACAAGCTGCGGAGGTTAAGGCTGCACCTTTCACTCCCTCGGTACGAGTGGGGGTTCCTTGGCACGGCCCTATTTTTCAGTTGTCCTCCCTCACTTCGGAGCTTGAGGATCGAGATGTCCCACAACAACAGCGCCCTTGCCGACCCATGCCCGCCCGCCTTATCACCACCCCCTCCCCGACGACAGGAACCCTTGCTAGAGTTAAAGTCGTTTTTTGTTCAGCGGGTCATGACAACCACAACTCAGGAGTTTCTTTCGCATTTTCGGCACTGTCCTGCATTAGAGGAGCTTCATATCCCAAGGATACCCAACCCGGGACTGGATATTGCGACCATTACTCAGTTTATTGGATCACACTGTCCGAATCTGCGGAGTATTGTCCAGGACAGTCATCAAGCTGGCCAGGGACTACCGCTGAGTCTGGGGATCTTGGAGACCATGGCGCCCCATTCGCTTCAGAAACTCAACTGCGTCCAGTACCTTGAGCAGGAAACTATACAGAACGATCTTAGTGGGCTCTTCCATCGCCATTCAACAACCCTTCGATCGATCACGCTTTCGCCATGCTGGCAGGTCAGGAGCAACACGTTACGGACGATTTTGTGCGAGTGTCGGTCGCTGGAGGAGTTTGTAGTGATCCAGGCCGAGTCGCCAAGCCATTGCGGGATTGACCTTGTTGATGCGGTTGCGGCGCCTTGGGTTTGCACCAACATTGTTCGACTTTTTTTGGTGGTTAACCTACAGGACACTCGTGAGCCTTCGCCTCCTTCAACTATTACAACGACAGAGGCGACAATTACAGGATCTGAGGACGGCAATGACGATAGAGATGACGTGGCAGGGATGGGAGCCTGGAAGCCATATTATAAGCGGGAAGGTCCGATTGTTTTCACCGCCAAGGAGGAGGAGCAATTCCGTTTGCTGGAACTCTTTTACCAACAACTTGGACAGCTCACCCAATTAGAATACCTATCGCTAAAGGCGCAACTGGATACGGATATCGTCGAGTATGACTTGCAAAACGGAATGCAGCCGTGGCTAACCTACCAGAGGAACACCTTACCAGGAATGTTGAGTCTGGGCGATCCCAAGACTGGCCGACCTGGGTTTTTACACCTGTTCTCGAGGTGGAAGAAACTGAAGAGTCTTATGGGTTCGGTTGCTTTGGACACAGTAGAGGCACGGAGGACGGTTCGGTTGCAAGAGATGAAGTTTATGCTTGAGCAGTGGCCGGCGTTGACGCAGGTTGAGTTTATGCAGGTTGAGGATCCGGAAGTGGAGGAGGACGAGGAGGAGGTGGTGGTGGGTGATGGTGACGGAGGGGGGCCGACGGCTCTTGAGTGGTTGCAGGATGAGCGACCGGATATTGGGATAGTGTTGTAGTAATACCATGATTTGCCTTTTTTTATTATTAGTATAGGTACTTGTATGTGCGTGGTTGATGTGAGAGGGAGAAGTGACCATTAACAGAATTTACTGTATCACCTTCGCGTATTAATTGTGTGTGTAAGAATATTTGTTACATTTACTGCGACCACGAATACTTGGTGGCTTCTGTGAGGAGGAGTCAGAAAGAGCTCACTACATCTCTCTTCTTTTCCACACCAAAACCTTCGGACCCGCAATCAGGAACAACACGTCGAGCAAAAACCTGGAGGACGCAAAAAATGACATCACCCCCACCCCCACCACCACCATTACTCATCTTTGAAATCCCTCATATTCAGGATGACATCTGCGCATACCTCCCACGCGACAGTCTGGCCCACTGCGCCGTCGTTTCGCGTCCTTGGTTTTCCTTATTCACGCCGTACCTTTACCGAACGATCGACTTGACACATACCAAAACTGTTGCGCATTTCAAGGATCGGGCGGCTTCTGTTTCTGCGCTCGTGAAGTATAGGAGCAGTGTGAAGACGATAATAACTTCTACGGTGAACAAACTTATGCTGGCCATCCTCCGGGACGACGCGATGGTTGTGGCCAGTACTGCTGCTGCTTCTACGGATGGTGTCTCGTCGTCGTCCTCTGTGGGCGCCCTCTCAATACCCCTGCTACCGATATTCATGCGGGATACCCTGGACCTCTGGAAATTCACGAGCCTCCGTACCTTTGAATGGACTTTTTCTAAAACAACGGCATCCTCAGACTTACCCAAAATACTCCATAAATGCGACGCCACGTACCACCTCACCAGCAACACCAACAACAACGACGGGAGTATGGCCGCCCTCCAGTTCATTAGCCTCCACATCGACCGCCTCGAGTCCATCTCGCTCAAGTTCCAGACCCTCACTCGACAGCATGTTAAGAGTTTGGAGAATCTATTGAGGGGGCCGAGGCCGAGGTTGAGGACGTTGGTTGTGGAGTATGTGTATATGCAGGCGGATGTTCGGCGGAGTGTTGTGAAGCGGTTTATCTGGACTGCTTTGGCGCTTTATGGGGCGAAGCCTGTTGTTGACGGCAATAGGGGGTGTGATGGCGACGGCGACGGCGGGGGCCGCAGTCATGGACAAGCGACGTTGGAGACTTTTCGTTTGACTTGGGTTCAGGACTGGCGATATGGATCTGATGAATTAGGCGACGGCTACACGGTGGATGAAAATGAGCCCAACAGCCACGACGACGACGACGACGACGATAGCCGCCACCACCACCCTTCCTTCCATTCCGCACTGCAACCCCGTGGACAGCTTCTCCAGAGCCATGTCAAAGACCTGAGTTTATGTTACAACCACTACGAGCTAGACCTAGCTCTTATCATGCTTCTCTTCCAACGATGCCCTGATCTCGAATCCCTCTCGCTTTGGTCCATCAATGAAGACTCGCTTCTGGACCAACTCTCCGTCCAACTACGGAAATTCTGTCCGCGATTCAGGAACCTGGGTGTGGGCGGTATCGATGCAGAAGACGCCGAGATCTCGCAGTTGATCGCTGGATGCTCCCGAACCATTCACCATGTCGACGATGAACCTTCAACAACGACAACAACAACAACCGCTACACCGACGGCAAAGATGACAGGATTGCAAGAGTTCAGGATCTTGTCGCGGATTGAGGATCTTGACGAGATCTCGACAGTAGCTCTAGGACGGTACCACGGCGCGTCATTAGAGACACTGGATTTCTCACAACAGACCCGGTTCCCGGCACACCTGTTCCTGCGGTTGATCAAGCATTGTCCGAGACTGCGTACCCTTCGCTGTAACATTGAGCTCCGTATAGAGCACCAGGGCCAGACGATTGATTATTCAGCCCTCTTGTCGACCCAGTCCAACAGTATCAATAATGACTGGCCGTTCGCTGCGACACTCAAGTGCATGGATTTGGCAGTCTACCGTGGCTCAGATTTAGAAATTGACTCGAACTACCGACACGGCGATGGATCCGTCAGCGATCGGTACATCGCTTACCTATACACCCAAGTCGCCCGCCTGACACATCTCGAAGAATGGCACCTAGGAGGATGGATGATGCTTTTGAGACTCGATTGGGGTCTGGAGAAGTTGTCAGGACTGAAATCGCTCAAAGTGTTGGACCTGCGCGAACACACTTTTATTCGGTTGTCTGAGGAGGAAGTGGAGTGGATAGCGGATAATTGGACGTCGTTGGCCGAGGTCTGGGGTTTGAAGAGTCCCAATCTGCAGCCGATTGTTCAGCAACTCAAGGCACTGCGGCCCATGATCGAGATCTTGTAGGATACTATTGTGTTTTTATGATGCAGAATAGACTACAAGTAAAAAGGTCTAGACAAGCAAGCAGCAAAATTTTGAACGCAATGAAACATAGGAGGGGAGGGGGTAAATGTTGAAGGTATGTAAAGCCAAGTACTTGCAATGCGGACGAAATTATTGCGACCAGGATTCTAGTCATCATTGACAGTTTCATCTTGCTCCACAAAAAAGGAAGGATGAGCACCAAGGGGTCGAGCAAAGACGACGCCGTTGGAAAGGGTGAAGAATGTGCCCCAGACCACTGTTCCGATATCAAGGTAACCGGCCAGCTCACTCTCCACAAAGATCGTGACCCGTTCTTCTTCAGTATCAGTTGTCGTTGCTGGCGTCGTTGCCGTAGTATCACCACTCCATCCGATGGGGAGCTTGGCCAACGAAACTCTGGAGTAAGGGACAACGCTCGATTGCTGCTCACTATCCAAGCTCTCATCCGTTGACTCTACATCATCACCCTTGGGCAAAGCAGAATCCTTCGACTCTGCTGCTTTATCTTTGGGCAAATCAGGATCCATAGGCTCAACAGCAACAACCCTCATACGCCGAATCTCCTTCCCACGTAACTCCACCTCTGTCGCAACGCGGATCCCCGTAACTTGCTCCATCCGCTCCAGAGAATCATCTGGCAAAGTATCATACTCAAAGTCGCGGGCATATAGGATCGAACAGGTCTCGTTGAAAGAATCGGGAAACGACTTATTGAACTTATGACACTTGGGTGCCTCAATCTTGGCCCGTTGCGCGATTTCAATCGCCTTCCGGAGGTCGTCGTCGTACTCGGGGATGACTCTCTTCAAAAGGAGGTAGCGCAAGAAACCGGTCACGAGTTTGGGTGCGGTTATAAAGTATTCGGCGTCGTACCAGCCCGAGGACGAGATCAGGAAGGAGGAGAGGAAGGCCGAGACAACATAGATGAAATCGACTTCAATTTCGACATCATTGTTGGAGTCGTGGAGTAAAGCAACCTGGTTGGGGTCCACGCCTCCGAATGTGAAGTAGGTCGAGAGAATCTGACTGGTTATGGCGTTGAAAACGCGTTCCTTGCGGAAGTTCTCCATCGCCAGCCTGAACCTTTCGTCTGCACTCATCGCCCTATATATGACCAACGTGTAATAATTTGAGGCGTGTTAGTTAGTCTGTAGGTTACCAATTTTTCATCCCGCTATAGTAGAGTTACGAACTACTTCTCTTCAAGAAGAGCCTGATGACTTACGGTTTGTAGATCTTGGCAGCCTCGGCATCCACGAGCTCTTGGTCCTGTTCCGGCTCCCCAACAAGGTCGTCATCCGCCATCGGCATGTTCCTCTTCTTGTTCTTTTTCTTTTTCTTCTTCTTTTTCACCTCCCCATCAACCAAGTTCTCGCCTAGCATAGTAAAGTCATCAGATGTGATATGTTAATACTCCGAACCCCATCACGAGTGCCATCATATCCAATTAACACGTATGGACACGGAAAGGGAGTAAAGTTTACCTTGCGCTGGTACTTGATCCGGAGCATTACCAGCACCATCACCATCACCTCCAACATCTCCGCCTCCATCAACTACAACATTCACAACCTTTTCTTCCTCATCCTCTTGGTCACTATCCAGCGCCGGGTTCCTCAAATAATCCAACGAGATCTGCTCCCCAGTATCCACCATCTCCTCACCAACAACAACGTCTGGGAGGTTGTCCAGAGCCGCCAGCTTCGATTTGTCAGGCCAGTCGTACCATTCAAACTCTTCCTCTCCTTCATAGTTGTTGTTATCCTCATCGTCGTCCAGGTCTTCGACGACTTCTTCTTCTTCTTCTACTTCTTCTTCGCTATCGTTGTTTTGGTTGTCGCTGTTGTTGTTTTCGTCTTCGGCGTCCGAGTCCTGGTTCAGGGCAAGGCCCATGAGTTGCTGCATCAGTTCTTCACGCACTTGCCTACGATAGAGTGAGTTTACAAGCAATTATTTGATGAGAAAAAGGGCGTGATAACAATAAGGGGTGGGGGGGGGGGGGGGGGGGGAGGTTCACGAAAGGCACAGCAAAAGTATAATAGTAAAGAAAAGCCTAAAAAAAACATACTCGAGTGTCTCTTCGTCCATGAGAGACTTTTGGTGATGTCTTTTTGTTGTCGCAATGAGAGTATTATGTACAAGGGAAAGAAAAAAGACGTGTATGTTTGCTGAATGTGTTTTGTGACGAGGTGTGGATGTGCGTACGTGTGCGTGGGCGAATGAAAAGAACGAGAGGGAAGGAAGGGAAGGAAGGAAGGGAAGGAAGGAGATGTGTGAAAATAAAAAAAAGTGCCTGTGCCTTGTCCGCCACGCCCAAGGAAAAAGAGCCCGCCCCTCGCAGGGTTATCCACCCACAGACGGTTGATAGACATGAGGCACGGTGTCTGATTGGCTGCACATCAACATATGGAATCTTGTGGAAGCAAGAGAGGGAAAAAAAAGGAGAGAGAAGGACTTGGCGCCGTTGTTTTGTCCAACGGGCACGCGTCCTTGAATAGGAGGGGAAACGTCATTTGAAGGGCTCAACAACGGAGCAAGACAGTTAGCTATGCTGGACTACTATGCGTAGGACCCTACCCTCAAGAAAAAGGTGACACGCGCTTTTTATTTCTTGTCCTTGGTAACAATATTCGATCATGACAAAAGACAAACACTGAAACATCAGAAATGACCTATGGTTTTGTTCACAGCACATCAAGAAGGTGAGTGACGGAGAAGGAAGACCCAACCTATGACCTCATGTAGATGGCCCCACTTTGCCTGAACGTCCCACTCACTATCTTTCATATCCGCCTCAAAAAAAAAAAATTGTTCCAGGACGGATTCACTTTGTCAATGCAACGACCTACTAGCTCCAAGTTTGCTTACTTCACCCATATCCGTCACCTTCGATATATATCTTGCACCACTTCTACCTCCTCTCACGTCTCCTTTCTTTCCTTCTCCTCCTTTCTTCCTCCCCCAAACCAACCAAAACAGCCACACCAAACCCAAGCACAGCACAGCAAACCCACCAGCCAACCAACCAACCTAAGCCAAGATGATGTCCAACAACACTGACCAAAAGGACCCCCACATCTCAATCCCCATCGCTCCTTCCACCACCAGCTCTACAGACACAACACCCACAATCCACTCGACGAAAACCTTCAAGCCCCATCGCCACCCAGAAAACGACACCAACACTGTACAAGACCCTTCCTCAAACACAACCACCACAACCACCCCCCTCCCCGCAGTCCCACAAGCCCTACACCTCAACACCTCCCACACCGCCGGAGGAGGGATCATCTCCAACTCTGTGGGTCGTCATCGCCGTTCATCTTCCTCCTCCTCCTCCTCCTACTCCTCCTCCTCCTCCTCGGCATTCCAGGACGTTGACATTGCCACCCTTCGCGCTTCCTCCTCCGAAGGAGGAGTTCTGTCGGACCCATTGACGGACTCTACATACTTTAACACTTCCCGTCGTCACTCCTCCGCTTCAACTGGAGGATTCGTCTTGGAGAGCTCAACAATGTCTTCAACACCCTACGAATTCGAGATGCAACGGTTCAACGCCTACGACGGGTCTGAACCCTCGACCGTAAAAGTCATCACTACCATCATTCCCGCCCCTTCCTCCAAACCCACCACTTCCACTACCACCACCACCACCACAACAACAACAACAACAACAACCACAAGAGGAAACTCATTCTTCACAGGCTGGATGGCCGTCCCACCTTCACTGGCAGGACGCCCAAAACTGTCGCAGGAGCAGGAAGATTACATCCGGAAGGAGTATGAGCGTGGGCCCGTGCCATTGATGTGGGCCAAGAATGATGATCTCGAAAAACAAACTGCTTCTGCCTCGGCCGCCGCGACAGAAGCAGCAGCAGCAGCAGCAGCAGCTACTTCATCGAGCTGGTTCGGAAACTGGGGTTTCCGTAGCTCCTCTGCAAGTTCCACAGCTGATACTGAAGCCTCCGTCATTACTCCTCCCAGAGCCACCGTTGCTCCTACCCCATCCTACTCAGGCAGACGCGAAACTTCTCAAGCATTCTAAAGGAAAAAAAAAAATACAAACCCTTGTTTCATTCTAATGTTCCCATGAGAAGACCCATTTCTGTTTTTCGGGGGGGATTTTTTTCATTTTGTGTTCACACAGCAAACTTTTGTGTTCACACAGCAAACTTTTGTATTCACACAGCAACTCCTAATAAAATTAACTTGCGGTATTGTTATGCAACCCTGGCACCCAACGAAATCTCTGGCGCACAGGTATTAATACCAGGTGCCTAAGGGTGAAGGCGAGCGACCGCCCTCACGAGGCCGCATCACCTCAGTCATCAGCTCGCCGTTACGGATACCGCCGTGACCAGCATCCCATGGCGCATGCCCTGCTCCGCCAATGTACCGGACATACCAGTTAAATCGAGTAACTCCTGGTACATCCTCTTCACTATCACTCTCGCCATCGTCCTGATCCTCATCCCCGTCTGAAACATCAGTGTACTCCTCATCACCGTCATCATCCAAAGGCTCATCCTCATCCTCATCCTCTGCCCCATACTTCATCTCGACAGCAGCAGCAGCAGCAGCAGCCTTAGCCTTCTCAGCCTTCCTGGCCGCGATTGCCTTTCGAGCCGCAGGAGTATACATCTTGTGGATCCCGCTCTCCTGCATAATTGCAGTCGTCTCCATCCCTTCCTCCATAAGCAGATCATCCAACAGGCGAGCATCGACATGGACCATTCGATTGTTCAACCGCAGAACCTTGGGATCAATCGACAGCTCCAACTCGGGTCTCAGACGAACTCCTTGCTCTCGTCGCCTCTTGGCAAAGTAAGCCGCCGGTCCAGTAGCGGGTGTATTAACGGGTACCTTGAGGTCCTCGCGATACTTTCGAACAGATGCCCTCAGTTTAGCTCGATCCCAAAAGCCTGTGATCATATGCAGCTTTGGCCAATGCGTCATCATCCACTCCAACTCGGCTTCCTGACGCAAACCATGCGGTCCCAAAAACACAACATCCAAGGTCTCGAGCGCCTCTAGTCCTGCCAGATGCTCCAATCCAGAGGAGAGCTTCAGATCAATGTACTTTCGAGGTGTCTCGCTCGATCCCGGTCTCGCGATTCCTCGGGTGTAGCCTCCAAAAATGTTGGCTGAATCCATCACTCGGTCCCCAGCACTGTTGGTCGACACTGGGCGCCCACCTCCCAATGTCAACGTCTCTAGTCGGGAAAGTCGTCCCAGCTGCTGACAGACCTTGGTTTGAACCTGTCGAACCTCCTCCTTCGCCAAACCCTCGCTCAGAGCCAAGGGCGCATCAAACTCAACGCAAAGGTGAAAAGTACGAAGTCGAGTGGCAACCCAGTCGGTTTCCTGCGCTGCGATCGTCTTGCCGTTGACTGGGTAAGGTCCAACAAGAAGATGCTCCAATGCCGGGCAAGTCATCAGGATTTGAAGGATCTCATCGTAGTATGTGCCCTGGCGAACCTCAATTTCGTAGACTGACGACCGCAACTGCCACATCATCTTGGAGCTCAACGACAGATCCAAACTGGTCAAGGTGGCACTACAGCGCTGGCTGATCGACGAGAAGAACTTGGCCCCGACCTTGCACACATCTGCTGCATTTAGAACCTTAAGTCCCCTATGTGTCGACTGAGGCTCACAAGACGCAGAGTTCGCGTCCGCGTCCGATCCAGTACCCCAGAGCTCACAGATGGTATCAAAGAAAGTCTCGTTCAAGGCCTCTGAGCGGCTTCCTGAAAAATCGAAAGTGTCGATCTTGGGGCAAAGTGGGTGAAGAGTCCTGAAGGCCTTGGATAGAGCCGTGGCCCCTTGGGTGCTCGAGTGTGGCATAGGTGGCGGGACATGCTGCGCAAAGATGCTGCCCATGGTCGCCATCGGATGAATGTAATGTGCGCCGCCGCCGCCGTAGCCCCAGATGTCGTCTTCATAATCGACCTCATCCTCGCTGTAGCCCTCGCTGTAGTCGTCGTAAGGGTCATATATAAAGCCGTCCTCGTAAGCATCATCATAGTCCATCTCGTCCTCGTCCAGTGCGTGCGGTGAGTGGATGCTTCCTGCTGGCTGTTGACTCTGCGCTGACGGAGTTCCCGCGTCAGGGTTGACAACATGCAAAGGACTGGTCACGGGCTCCAGGTCTGGCAAGTCGTCATCGGAATCCTCCTCCATTAATGCAAGGTCCGGCATGTCGTCGTCAGTATCTCCCTCAGACTCCTCGCCAGCGCCTCCGTTGTTATGTCCGTCGAGTGCTGGGATAAGATCAGGCAAATCGTTAGGTTCCTCCTCGGCTCCAGATCCACCTTCAGAGTCCCATGCTAATCCTGCAGGTCCGGCAGCTTGGCCAAAGGGGTTCTCTCCCAAGGCTTGGAATCCACCAAAAATGTCAGCCGGTATGTCCATATCGTCCGATGCAAGGGATTCTGTCTCCATGTCCCACAACATGTCATCATCGTTCCCGATCCCGTAGATCTGCTTTAGAGACAGCGCCTTCAGCGCAGGCATCACCGCAGCAAGTCTAAGCAAGAATTGGGTGTTGAGAGTCGACCGATCCAGGCTCAGGGACTTGATGTTGGTCAACCTGTCAAGGGGTTTCGTTCCTGCGACTGTCTTGGCGGACATGACGGCAAAACTGGGTGTCGTCCGCGTTCCTGGGATCCAGTCCTCATCCTCGTTTTGGTCAGCCTCCCCTCCTTCGGCCACCGGTGCCTGTGATCCTTCTGCTGCCTCCGCTGACGATCTTGTTGAAGATCCTGTTCTAGACTGTCCCAGAGTTGCGGAGGAAATGTTGCCGGTGGCCAAAAGGCACTTCTGGTGCTCGTCATAGACATGCCTCCATCCATAGAGAAGCACAATGGTAGAATAGCTGACCGTAACATCCGTCATCTCAATAGACAGCTCCTCAAGCGTAGACGAGGCTGAGACCATCATGCGGAAGAACTCTTCACCCTCATAGTCGACCCACTTTAGGAACGATAGCGTCTCCAGTTGCGGCATCTTCTCAATCAGCTTCAGGATAGGTTCACTGACTGGGAAGCAAAGACCCATGACTTGGAAATTCCGAAGAGTAGCAACATTGTTCTCGATGATCTTTTCTGCAGATTTGATCATCAGCCGGATGGCTGGCGCAACGCTGGGGCGGTGCGGGGAGTCCCGAAAGTGAGGCAGGGTATGGATTAGGCTCACACTGTAGTGGAGGCGAAGGTTTGTGAGTCGCCGGCAGTCGAGAAGGGTCTTAGTCGCAGTGATGGTCGGCTTGTTGCTGTCGTCATCGTCGCCCTCTCCTGAAGGAGGCGCTTGCTTTGCTGCTGTTGCTGCTCTTGTTGCGGTTGTATTGGATTCGGAGGGAGAAGGCCTGAGAAGCTCCTGGTGGACGGCCGAGTCGCAAGGCACACAAACCTTCAAGTCCCGGACGTTCTGATAGTTGTTGGCAAACTGGGCAATAAAGTCCTCGTCGTTGACATCCTGCGGGGAGATACTCCTCCACAAGAAGGGGCGTCCGCATAGCGACCAGAGCTTGTTGACGAGACAGCAGGAGGGTAGGGAGGCGATGGTGACATGGTGCAGAATGCGTTCAAGGATCTCTGGTGGGAGTTTGTTGGCGGCAGAGTCGTTCGCAGTGGTGACATCGTTGTCTAGAGTGTAGTCGTAGTCTGACGAAAGTGGCGATAGTGGTGGTGGTGAGGAGCTCGTTGAGGATGTCATTGTCGTGTGGAATGTAGAAGAGGGAAGGAAGACAGATTTTTGTTGTCGTATGTCGTCGTTTTAATTATCGCGCGTCTGGTGCAGCTGCACGTGACTTTGCCGCGCATTTGATTCAATGTACACCTTTTTGCACTTTTTCATAGTAAAATGTGAACCTTTTCCACTGAATAACACTCCTTACATTTTCAATTCAGCGGAAAAGGTCCACATTTTACCATGAAAAAGTTGGTACCGGTAATTAATTATCCCTTTGATTATTTCAACGCAGGTACAGCGGTGGGCAAAACCCTTTATTTCTAGCCTTGTCCTGGACAGTCAACTCAGGCCACATCTTGGCCAAGAGGCCCTCGAACCGAGATATGCCTGGTGTGTCCGTCTTCAACAATGAGACATGCTGAAGCTTGGGCCACGACCGCTTCATCCAGGAAATCTCCTCAGGCCCCATCTGCTCTACCCAACCTGTCACGGCGATGTGCTCAAGCTCTTGAAGTGTTGCCAGTTGCTCAATGCCACCTGGCAACGTCCAAGGGAGCCCGATCTGCACTAAACTGGCCTTCTCAACGTGCTCTCCGCTGAGGTCCAGGTGCCTCAGACGTCTCAACTTGGAGAGTTGGTTCAGAAAGGCGACCCGGGTTAGGTCAACGGTCGCTTCTTGATGTTGTCGATGATGTCGGTGCTGGTGTTGGTGGAAGCGATGTTGAAAGAGATGCCAGCTCTGCTTCTGTTGAAAGTCCTGCTGTAGGCTATGTGGTTGTTGTCGGCTATAGAGTCGCGCCTGCGTGTCTTTGTCAAATGCCAACGACAGTAAGCCTTGTCCGTTCCCGACTCCTTGCTCTTGGACGTTGCCAGGATAGCACATCATCTCGTCTTCCTCCTGTACGGGTTCTAAAGACACATATATAGAGAGTCTCTCTAGTTTGTGGCAGACCCATTCCTTCTGATTGCCGTTGTCCTGAGGCATGGCCGAGTGTGAGTGAGTGTTGCGAGAGGTGGGCTGGAAAGCCACCTTGCCGCATCCCCAAGGCATCTCCTGATCATCCTGGTGTTGCTTCGACTCTTCAACTCCTCTTCCTCGCGTCGCACACACACCGTCGCCACCACAACCAACACCACATCCCCCATTTATATTTCCTGATCCTGCTCTTCTTGCTTCATGCAACGTTGGTGAAGGTGAAAAAGGCGGTTGCATTCCACCGACAACAACTGGGACCAAATCGCCCGCCCACATCCTGATCTCAGGCGCGCACAAGGTGATCAAGTTCGGACAGTTCGTCAAAACCAGCCTGAGATCCTCCGGCGTGACTCCTGTGAAGCAGGCAAGCCGAAGACTCTGAAGGTTCTGTCCTTGTTTCGTAACAATCTCGGTCGTCAGCTGGGCAGGTAGCTCGTAGTCCGCGAAGGATGCGGCGCAAAGAGCACGTGGGCTGGAGAGGAGGCTGGCTGTGCCGATCGATCGCTCGGTTCGGTTGTGAACGAGTTGTTGAAGGTTGGGCGTGTTCCAGACAATGTTGGGTGAAGACGACCAGGCGTTGTTGCATTGAACTTGACTGAAGGAAAGATTGACAACCATAAGACTTGGTGCCTCAATTCTCAACTCGGACATCTGGAAGGTCGCATGGGTCATGATGAGGACCTTGAGGTGTTGGAGGTTCAGTACTGGTGTGGCGGGAGGAGTAGATGGCTGTGGCTGTGGTGAGAAGGCTGTTTCTGTAGCTGAAGGAGAGGATGATCGCAGCCCGATAGCGACTCCGGTGATGTTCTTGAGTGTTAACTTTGAGAATCGTAGCAGGAAGAGGCTCCGCGAGTTGTCGATCAGAAGGTTGAGCTCTGTTGGCGAGACTTCCCACTTGGAGAGGTGAATGGTACGCAGATTATGGTGTTGCAGTTCACAGAGCTGTTTGGTGAAGCGGATCCGATGAAAAGGCGACATCTCGTCAAAGGATTCCGTCAGCGATTGAAGGTTAGGGTTTTGTTGGATGAGCCGGATACATGCGTCGGTCGACTGCAGACACCAGAAATCGTCCTGAAGGTCGTTGTATCGATCTGTTCCAACGATGGGGATCTTGTATTTGGGAATTTGTTCGTGGACGCGACGTCGGAAGAGGAGTGAAGGGTGGATGTCGAGCGTGAGGAGGTTTCGGCAGGCAGTTGAACAAGGAAAGCGGTGCGATGATGAGTGGCATTTGGGGAAGGTGCCTGTTGGAGCAAGGGGTGATGTTGACAATAGCGGTGTGCTGGGCGGAGGTGATTGAGGAGGATGTGGTTGTATTGGTGTGAGCATAGGGGAGCAGCAGATAAAGTTGGGGTTGAAGGATCCAATGGTTAGCCGCATGGGCTCGGAGAGGACGAGGTGTCGGATCAAGTGGGCGTGTTGGTGTAGGGCCTCTTTGGAGAGTGCGTGTATGGTGGCGTCGTCGAGGGTGATGGACCGGAAGAGGAGCGATTGAAAGTCTGCATGCCAGGCCTTGGAGACAAGTATGCAGGCGAGGATGTCGCGCTGTGGCAGGTACTGGCCTACGAGCATTCGAAGCTCAGGCAGCCATAGCGGGTGCATATCACTGTTGATGTTGAGTATGTAGTATGTGTAGGGTGAGGTTGGAAGCAGAGGGTGAGTGGGAAGGAGGGGGGTGGGTTGGAGGAGGAATGAGCTTATTTTGGAGGTTGATGGAGAGGTTGGTTGGTGATGTTGGTGAGGGAGGGAGGGAGGGAATGATGATGGGTGAAGAAGAGAAAAGTGAAGGAGACGAGCCGAGGATAAATAAAACAATAAGGGGTGAAAATCCGACGACCGAACGGATGGAAGAAGGGGAAGGGGTAGAAGGATAGAAGGATAGAAGGAAGGGGAAATAAGAAAGAGGAGAAAGAAAGGAGAACGTGCTTAGTAGGAGATTGGTTGGGGATGGGTGGGTGAAGAAGAGGGCAGCAAAGGAGAGGACAATGCGCGTGTGCGAGAGAGAGAGAGAGGAAGAATGCCTCGAATAAGAAGAAGAATAAAAAAAAAAAAAAAAAAAAGTGGGCATCAGGAGGAACAAGGAGTTCAGATGGAACAACGGCAAAACTAATTCCCTGGAGGGTATTTCAGCTCCGAATGAGAAAGAATCGAACCATCCGAGAAATGTAGAGCCACAGATAATGTATGATACTCTATATGTGATACAAAATCATGCACACAATCCACCCAAACCCTACTTTGGAAAAAGGTAATCTTCCTCTCGAAAAACACCGCAGCGATCCCCTCTTCTTCTTCTTCTTCGTCTTCTTCTCTTCTTTCTTCTTTCTCCTCTTCTCCTTCCTCTTATTGTCCTCTGATATGTCATGCCACACGATCACTACCACGAATGAACGCGCACGCTTTTTACATTTTTCCATACCCATCCTTCATCTCTATCTTTCATGTCAACCCGTATTTTTTTTTCTCTTTATCCCTCCTTCGTCAATCTCAAACTGCCCACCTTACAAAAATGCGCAAAGGAAAAACAAACACGGATAAAATGAGAACCCGCATATCATCGCTAGTTCATCAACTACAATACAGCACCATTCTTCACTCTATCGCCTCCTTGTTATTCATCTGTTGAAAACAATGCAAAAAAAAAAAAAAAAGACAACGTTCATCCTACAGCCGCTGATGCCGATGATATTCAGTCCACAGTAGCAAATACATTCTCGGGAATAAGAGTCCGGCTGCGCTAAAAGAAAGAGTATTTTTATTTTTTGCTGCCTTTGTGCGCGACAAGGCTGCAGGCAAAGGTTTCAAGAGTAGCATAATAGCAGACTATGATGAACGTAACGAGGCTTTTTATGATCTGATGTAGAAGGCTGCTTCCCAAAATAAAATATTAAACTACGATAGTTGCCGCTGAGTGGCTTCGCAGGCTGTTTCTCCCCAAAATAAAATGCAGACATGTTAGTTCTGTCCTGTCCCTTTTGCTCCCTCCAGAACTTGGCAAAAGCCGTCTTTAGTCATCAAAAACGTCAATGGAGCATTGGAACAAATTCAGACTCGGTGACATTGACTATGACCACTGGACCTCCTTCCTGACCTCCAGCGTGTACGTCTAAGTCCTTGACACCAAACAGCAATGGGTCAGGTAAAACTGTGTCCTCGTACAGTAATGTCACCCTTTCCAGATGTGGACACGCCTTCAAAATCCGACTGAGCTGTAACTGGTCCCTGACAAGATCCGTCCGCTTGTGCGTTGTCGAGAATCCATCATTGGCGTCGGCGTTTGCGAGATCGTTGTCATCATTGTCGTGTTCCGAATGGTCGTGACGAATGGAAAGGCGTAATGACTTTAAGGTGTTTCCGCACTGCATGAGAGCCTCAGTAAGGTGTGGCTCAAATCCATGGATATCCGCCATGAAATGGACCAGTCCCTGTTGCTGTGAATCATCGCTCCAAGGGTTCTTGTCGTAGTTCTCGAAATCCTCCCATTGTTTCATGTCGTTGGTTCTGTCCCAGATATCCCGTCGTGTGTCGCAGTCATCGTCCCTCAGGGTGCTGAGGATCAGAGCAGCAAGCTGTTGATCTGGCAGGACGCGGTAGGTGTCGAACAGTCCGAAATAAAGTCCATCGATTTTGAGGGTTTGGAGTCTAGGGCAGTACTTTTTGAGGTTGTCGCACAGGATTCCGATGTTTGCTTCATAGGCGGCAACGAGGGTGAGCGTTTCGAGCTCGGGACAGAGACAGACCAGGTTGAGGAGAAACTTTGATTGCGTGTATTGGAGGTGCAGCGTGAGGTCTCGGAGACGAAGATGTGGAGATGGTAAGGTTGCTGCTGTTGTTGCTGTTGATGTTGTGTCCGTTGAGAATGCGTTATCGGATGGTGGTGGCGGTGTATCGATGTGATTGGTCGAGTCGACTCCTCCGCTGACAGCATCGAGGGACAAAGTCCTTAGGGTGGATTGCACAGACATTAACAAGGGAATCAATGCCCGTCTTCGTCCCAGATCCCATTCTGACAGGTGAAGGCTCTCGAGAGCAGTCAACCCCTCGACCATGTCCTTCTCCAGAAAGGGGATATCATCGAGGCAGTAGGCCGTTGGTCCGCTCCAACGCAGTCGTCGTAGTTGAGTGTTGTTGCGAACCAATTGACGTGTTTCGGGATCGCAGCCAGAGATGGTCAGGTCCAGCAAACGCGTACAGGGCAGAGGACTGGGTGCGAGGGGGAGGGTCTGGTAGAGGATGCGAAAGTGGTAGCTGTATCGGACAAAGACCTCGAAGGGCACGTTGCTCTCAAGCGGGGACATGTCGCATGTGTACCAGAGGACGGGCAGGAGGGCCTGGCGAAAGGACCTCGAGACTGCTGCTGCATGGAGGAGTGCCCTTGGTCGAAAGTGAAAGTGAGCGTATGCGTCCTGCTGCCAGAGGGGAATGAACTCTCCTATGCGAGCAATGATCTCTGGGATGTCGAGCGGGTGTGTCGTTGTCATGTTGTAGAGGAAGGGGGAGAAAGTTGTGAATGGAGGAGTATGGTGTCTGTGAAAGAAGAAAAAAAAAAAAGGTTAAAAAGTGTTGACCCGGAGGAAGTGGAGAAAGAAAAAGACGACGTCGAGTTGAGTCATGAAGCAATTGGCGTGTGTCAAAATCCAGATATACCACATGCATGAATGGCACCAGTAAGGGGGTTGGCTGCAGAAGGAGAGAACAACGCTAAAGAAGAACAAGGAAACTCAATGCAATGAGGGATAGGTGACTCGCACTTGGCCAACAGGGGCAATATTTTTACTCCTTGTCTTGTCAATACAGCTCAGCGTATGGGCGTTTGCCAAGGAACCCGGATATATGGCGCCTTGTCATCTTGCCCTCTGGCTCTGGCTCCGGCTCATCTTCCTCCAATTGATCGCCAGTGTCTACTTCCTCCTCCTCTTCCTCTGCTACCTTGTCTTCGTCGTCCTCCTCTTCCTCTTCTTCCTCCTCTTCTTCGTCACTGTCCTCCTCCATCCCCTCGTCCTCGCTAAGCTCGTCACCTTCGTACATGTAGATCCCTCTAAAGTCTCGTAGATTAGGCCAATTCGCATCAATCCAATGCAACTCAGCCTCCCTCATTCGATGTCGCAACGCAGCAACGTCCAGTTGCCACAACTTTTTCAAATCTTTCAAATGATCTAGTCCAGAGGCCAGCGTCAAGTCAAAGTCCTTCTTGCCCTCCGCATCCAACGAGAACTGAGTGCTATTCTCCTTAGGCACCTGTGCACCAAAGCTCAGCGTCCTGAGCTCCGTCAATACCCCCAATTGCCTGTACGCCTTGGTGATCACATCTTGTCGTCGCTGACCCCATTCTTCATCCTGTTTCTCAGCATCAACACCATAGTCAGACCCAATCGGGAGTATGAGGTCCCTCAGACCCAAACAGACCCAGGGGCTGGAAACCATGTCCTTGATCTCAAGAAGTGACTCGTGCCCATCCTCCTGCCAGTCCTCCACCGTAAACGTCTTCAGGCCAGGACAATGCGAGAGAATCATCTGGATATCCCCACTACGAACAAAAATCCCGTCTTCAAATTCGATGGTGTGAAGATGGGCTGCCTGTGCGACCAATGCCATGGTTAATTCCGACCCCGCACTGCCGTAGTACCGAATTCGAAACTCGTTCAGCGCTCGACTCCCGTTCACAACAGAGGCGATGACAGAGTCATGGTCCTGGTTGCTGATGAGCACGCGACTGAGGGACGGGCAGTGTTCTCGCAGGGTCTCTGTCAAGACGGGCCCACACTCGACAGGCAATTGCGGAGGTGGTCGAAAATTGTCAAGTCGAACACAGTGGCGAAGAAAGGGAATGACGACCGTGTGTTCGTACCCTGTGAGCGTCCTGTTCAGCTCCAAGGTCTTGATCCCGTTATTGGTCCATCCAGGAAGGATGACGTGGTCATCGCGGAATTCAAAGTCATTGTCGCCCTGGATCTCAATTGACCATTTGAAGTCGAGGGTGTGGAGTGTTCGAGGCACGCTCTGGAGAATGGCCTTGAAGAGGTGCTCGGAGATCTTGCTGTCGGCTGACTTGAACTCGAGACGTCTGAGGCCGGTATGCTGTGACAGGACCTGAAGGAATTTTTGAGCAACGCCGAGTCGCTTGATGGGGATACCGTCGATGAAGAAGGAGACCAACCCCTGGTTCTGCTCGACAATGTTTAGACAGGCAAAGGCGTCCTGGGGCAGCTCGTATTGGAGGCGGCAATCAAACGATCGGAGGTTGCGACAGGGTGAGAAGAAGGGTAAGAATGTGGCAGGATTGGGGCAGCCGCGAAAGTAGAAGCGCTCGATGTGAGCAGCGTTCTTGAGGATGACTTTGGTGTATTCGTCCGAGTTGTCAAGGAGGGTCGAATAGACTGCGACATGAGAAAAGGATAAATTCCGCCAGAGAAATGGTTGGAAGGCGGTATTCCAGGCTTTATTAACGAGGGCGAGTTCCTGAAGGTCACTTTTGGCGAGATGGGGGTGAAGGCAACGAAGGACGTTGTCCTCGTTGATGAGTTTGCTGATTGTCATTGTGCTTTGGGGTGACGAGAAGTGGACGATGAAGAGGAAGAGGAAGAGAGGAAGAGAGAAGGAGAGAATGTAAAAGGGTTGCTTCCATCTTCACGGCAAGTGTTTTTGGTGGCAACGAGAAATGGTAAGATCGTTTCGTACGTGGGAATGAAGACAAAGAAGTGACCCCGACCGTGTACGTTGATTTAGGTGATATCATTGGTTGCACTTTCTCTCTGCCTCTATTCTTGTACTTGACCTCCACCCGCGAATTTTCGTGGGACCACAAAGACAAGCAATGGCAGATAAAGATATAGGGTGAGAAAGGCATATACACTTCTCCGTCCGGCCTTGGCCTTTCTTCTTCTTCTTCCTTCCTTCCTTCCCTTTTCCTTCCCTCTTTTCTTCTTCTCCTCTCTCGCCTCTTCCTCCTCTACACTTTCCGCTCTTCTTCCATTCCTACTCCTCCCTCCCTCCCTCCCTCACAAGACTGATCCGATGCTGATCCCTCTCTTAACCTCAGTACGTCCACTCCATGCCTGCATACCTCATACTTCGGCATTGCACAACTTCTTCTCCGGGAACAGTAATCCGCTCTCTGCAACCTTCCTTTCACAGCCTCTAACATCCTCTTTCTTCTTCACCACTACTCTTACTCTCGCTCACCTTCGTGACAATTCTATCGATATAGCCAGGAACTATTGCCCGTTGTCAGCAGCAGGGTCTCCGATACGTAGTAGCATGGGCACCCAAGGACGGCATCTTTCAATCGCTTTCGGATCAATTGGCTCACCAAAACAGTAACCAGCGGGGACAAGGACAGACCGCCAATTACTCTACGCGTGCCAGAGCTGCACAGTCGCCAGCATTACAGAGCGCAGGAAGTTCAACCCTTTTCGATCTGAATAGCAACCACACTACCACTACCACGAGCAGCGTTCATGGCAACAGTATCCGTGCACTGAGCACCGGAGCCACCGCTAGTCCAGCAGCAACAGCAACGAGTAACGTTAACAACGGCACTAGCACTAGCAGCAATGGACCCAAGACAGGAACTTTTACAGCCACCTCGCCAGTGCGCCAACGCAGACCCAACTATATCCGGGACTTTGAGGTCCCTGCAGACATGTCGAGGCTGCCCCCCAAGTTTGGCGACAACCAGCATATCGACATTGACGAGGAAATGTGGCAGCAGCTCAAATCTGTGGTTGATACGATTCATCACAAGGCACCGATCCGCTATGCGTTTGCTTATGGCTCCGGAGTTTTTGCCCAAAAAGGGTACGACGGCAAGGTGAGTCAATTTTCTGTTTGTTTTTCTGCTTAATGCGGGGTGTTTTGTATGTCTGCGCTTGGGAGGACTTTAAAGAGGTCAGGAGAGTGAATGAAAAGGACGGTTCAAAGAGACAGCGCCAAAAAAACACACAGATCGGGACGGGATTAATCAACGACAGTTTGACAGCAATAATAACATTGCGCATGCCCATGATGTGGATTTTGCAGCAACAAAGAGGGAGCAACAGACAGACAAGAAATGATGAGAGCCTTGCTGTTATTTTTGTTGAGGTTTGTCACGATTAAATGAAGTTCCCCACACTGGACGCAGTTTCCTTTTTCTGTCTTTCCCACAGCGGAAAAGTAATGGAATGGAGTGGGAGTGGACTGCCCTTGCTGGGAGAAAGAAGGGTGGGAGAAGGGAAAGGAAAAAATAATCGCTCAACGCGCATTTAATTTTTCGTGGGGCGGATCAGGAGCGGAACGGGTCTGGATCATCCAGGAGAGAATCATTCTCTTTTCTTTTCTGTGCTTTTTTTCATCCTTGCGGAAAACGAATCAAACCGTGCTAAAGTACTCACTTCACTCCTCTCTTTCAATTGCTTCACCCGGTATGTAGGAAAAGCCAATGGTCGACTTTATTTTCGGAGTGTCACACCCACAGCACTGGCACTCGCTTAACCTGCAGGCAAATCCACACCACTACTCCATGCTGGGCAAGTTTGGAAGCAAGGCCGTCGCCATGACACAGGAGCGTTTCGGTGCAGGAGTATACTTCAACCCCTTTGTCGAAGTAAACGGCATGGTAAGTGCTTGCATTCTTGTCTTTTTTTCTCGTTTGTTCTTTGGCCTTCTTCGCTGTTGACGTTACCCCATCGTTTTTTTTTCTCGTATTCTTTCTGCGTATATTTTTACTAAAACTCTATTTCGTGCCACGTTGTGAACCCTTTTCTGTTCTTTATAGATGATCAAGTATGGAGTTGTGTCAATTGATACCCTTTGTAATGACCTGCTGAACTGGGACACCATGTACCTGTCTGGACGCCTTCACAAGCCCGTAAGTCATCACCCTTGGCATGTTTTCTCACGTTCATCTTTACCGAAATCCCAGAATGACAATTCTCACTAACAACAACCCCCCCTCCTCTTCTTCCCTTCCCTTCCATTACAACGAAATAGGTCAAGATTCTGCTGGATGATCCAAGGACAAGGCTGTCAAACCAAGTCAACCTCTTCAACGCCACCCGTGTAGCACTCCTCTCCCTCCCCGCGAAATTCACATCCGAGGAACTCTTCACCAAAATCGCAGGATTATCTTACCTAGGCGACTTCCGGATGAGCATTGGCGAGAACCCTCACAAGGTGCAAAACATTGTCAATGCCCAGATATCCCAGTTCCATCGACTCTACGACCCCCTCCTCGCCAACCTCAGTAACGTTACGACGTTGCGGGAGGGCCATCTGGAGCAAGATGTTTCACCTTTGGTGCGATCTAGGACATTCCAAAAGTTACCGCCAAAGCTGAAGCAGGGGACGTTGTACAGGTACCACTCTGCGCTCTCGAAGGCAGGCGTGCAGATTGTGAAGGAGGACGAGCAGGAGATCCAGTCGGTTGCGACGGCACCAGCTTTGGACAAGTATTTGGCGAGCACTGTGCATTCTATTGTCCAGATCCCGGCGTTTAGTCAGTCGGTCAAAGGGATTGCGACGGCGGGTGTGATCAAGACAGGAAAGTATGGGTTGGAGAAGTTGGGCAAGTGGTGGAGTCGTTCCAAGTAAGCTGGCTGCTCCGGCTGGTTCCCCCATCATGTTATGACTGGAGTAGAGTAACGAACACTTTATTTTACGATTCACAAAAGTAAACAAACTATAGAGAATCGTATCCAATTTGTTGTGTTGTTTCTGTTTTTTTTTGTACGAGAACAAAATGATATAGATAAAATAAGTTATGTGAATCGCAATTGAGGTCGATGGGTCTGTAACCAACAAACGATCAAATCTTCCTCGAGTCTCCTATCCTCAGACAGCGACTCACCCCACTCAACAGCAACCGCAACATCATCAACACCATCTACATCAGCTTCTACAACTGCCTGCCATCGCTCCAAGCTCTTGACCTTCAGCAGTCCTTCAATCATCTGCAACTGTGGCCAGGTTCGACACATCCATTGGACCTCTGGCAGGCGGATCTGGTGGTTCATCCTAGCGACATTCAGCACCCGCAGAGACTTCAACCCTTCCAACAACTCGAGACCTGTATCTAACGAAAAGTCGAGGCATTCCTTTTGGCGTCCTTGATCCTGGGGGAGGGTGAAGATCGAGTCTTCTTCGGGTCCGAAGCCGAGGCATAGTTCTTCTAGGTTTTTGAGCGATCCGAGGAAGCGGTAGATTTGTCGTTGGAGGTCAAAGTCTCCGTCTGCTGTTGTGTCCATGGCAGTGTTGTTGTTGTTGTTGTTGTTGTTGTTGTTGTTGCTTGCAAGACCTCCGATCATGATCCGAAGAACCTTGAGCGACGTTGCACAAGCCCATGTCGATGTTGCAATGGTGTACTGTGTCGGAGCCCTGATAGAGTCGATCAAGACCTGGGCGTCAAAGACATGATCCCCCTCCACATACTCCACCTCCCCAGACGGCAACAAATGCACCTGCTCCAACTGCTTAAAGGATCTAAGGATCTTGAGTAGCGTGCTTCGGTTAAAGCCCTTCTGCAGGTTTTTACAATCCATAATACCCAGATCTGTCAATGATCCAGAGTGGTAGTCGAGGAGCATGCGGAGGGCGTGGCTCTTGAGGGGGAGGACAAGGGCGTCGAGGCGAAGGCGCTTGAGCCCCATTGCGGGTTCGATCGGTTCTTCGGATATGGTCTCGTCGTCCTGACCGAAAGAGTCGTCTATGTGCGGGTGTGAGCAAGCAAAGAACAGAGCCGACAGGGCTGCGTCACACTTGTCGAGGTGTCGGATGTTGAGTTGACGGCCGTACGCGATTGCCAGGTCTTCTACATGAGGGCAATGGGCTTGGAGGATACGGGCAATCTCGAACCAGATCGGGGGTGGGCAGGATCCAAGGGCCAAAGAGCGCAGGTTAGGGCATCTCTGGAGGAAGGGAACCCAAAGCGGGATGATATAGTCCTTGCTCCAGGTGAGGGTACCCGGGCACATGGGGTCCTCAATAAACAGCTGTGTGAGAAACTTGATGGGCTTTGCTCGCTGCATCAACTTTATCCTATCGTCGATGGTGGCGACGACCGCCTTTTCTTCGTCGAGAAGGAGATAACTCGGGTGATCCCTGCGGTGGGGGATTGCGTGTTGTGACACCGTCAGGTCCATTCCTGACGGATAGAGGAGGGAAAGGCGCAAGGACTCGAGATTCAGATAGGACGCCTGCAAGAACCCCTCGAGTTGCCAACGGTACTTGTAATTGGCTGTGGCTCCATGGGTAGTCGACCAGGAGAGATGTCGCATCGAGCACACATGGGACGGGAGAAAGCCATCGATCATGTTCTGTCCCCACAGGCGCTCGCTTTCGATATGGTTGCCGTAGTCCCTAAAGGTGCGGACGGCAGGGTAGCGCTGGAAAAAGTCTGCAAGCATCACTAAAATCGGCACGTTCTCGCTGAACTGGTCGAGTTCTGCTTGACTCCCCTTCTTTAGTGTTGCTGATGCTGCTCTCTCGTCGACTTCCAACTGCAAGTGTCGCGTCATGAACTTTTCTTGAAGATCCTTTCGTAGCAATTGCACCACGCTGAGGGCCTGTTCGTCGTGATTGTGGACGGGAAGGCGAGGGTATTCTTTGTTGAAAGCCACAATCTCTCCAACGACCTCTTGGAGTTTAATTCTCGACAGCCTCCGTTTCTGTTCTGTGTTCATCGCCTTCTCCTCGTCTTCCTCCTCTCTCTCGTTAACAGTAATTCCTGGTTGTGCTGCTGTCTCTTGCTGGTGCTGGTGCTCTCTGTTTTGGGTGTAACGACGCAAATCCTGTTCGTAGGCCTTGTAGGCCCGCTTCGAGACGAGATCGTGCATGATCTGTTCTCGTCGCATCGGATACATAGCTCTGTAGCGGATCCAGTCCTGAGTCACCGATCCCGATACCATCGTCGAATTTGACGCAATAGCGTCAATGTTATCCTCAGATGCAATCTGCTTCGCCATCCGCTCCGCATCCCTGGCCATCCTATCCTCCTCTAGTATCCTCCTCTCTGACTCCCTCTCCACATCCTCACTCGACCCTTCCAACTTAAAAAGCGACCATAACCCCTCCCTCTGCCCCGGCAACGCCAACCCCCGACTAACAATCAACGGAACCTTCGTCCAGGGGAACTCGAGCGTGTGCAAGTTCTCCATGAAGATTCCCGGGACGCAAATAAACGGTTCTAGACAGGAGATAGACCGGACACGGATAATGTGGATATACTTTGCGTTCTTGACGAGGGCCTTGTGCATATGCGAGGATGATGTCGTGGTTATGAAGCGAGCTTCTTGGTACGGGTGTTGGAGAGATATAGTGTACCAGAGATGGGGGGTGAAGTGCTGGGAAAAGGCGTGGGAGACAAGGATGCATTGGATCAGGTCGTGGGGGTTTAGGTGAGAGGTGAGGAGAGGAAGGATATCTGGGGAGGAGAGTGCGTCGAGGATAACTGGGGATCCCACCATGGTTGGGGTAGCTTGCCACTGAGGGGAGTTTTGTGAAGGAGTGTGGGTTGTCGATGAAAGCGAAGGCGAGGGAGTAAAAGTGAACTGTTGGAAGTGGAGGTGAGAGGTGAAAATGGTGAAGTGCCAGGGGTTGTATTTATGCCTCCCCTCTTCTTTTTTGGTTTGGACCTGGCCAAAGTTCATGACGAACTCCGCGGGGATTTACAGTCCCTCTCACTTGGCTTCGCCAGGTGTGCTATGGATGTAAGAGCTGAATTGAAAACAAGAACGCGGTGTTCCATCCAGGCCCCATCATTGATAGCCTGTCGTCGTAGAAGTGATAAAAATAATCTCAGGCAACGGCCACTTACTCTCTTTCACTCCACTTGCAGCTCAAAAGGACACCCTAGTGAAGTGCAATCGCAGTCAACAAAGCCGTAATAGGGTTTAGATGGAGTAGAGAAGAGAGAAGGGGTGGGATGGTCCAGGTTCCCATGGTTTGCAGGATACTACGCAATTTTTGTCTCCAAAAAGTAGAGAGGATTGCCTTTCCACTTTTTTGCATTCATTTCCTTCTTGCGTTCTCAACATTACTCTGCCCATTCACACTTGTTGTCTGCCATGACACCGGCATCGGACACATTCTTCTCCATACCAGAGCTGGTCGACGTCCTCGCACCCTACCTCACCCCACAGGACCTCCCTGCTCTCCTACGGACAAACCGCAACAACTACGCCGCCTTCACGCCCTACTTCTGGACCGATGTGACCATCAACACCTCCAGTGCGATTGTCCGCCTTATGGACTCTCCAGAAGCATGCGGTGCCCTATACCGGAATATCGGATTCATTCGCCACCTCAGGACCAAGGCCGACTTTCTCCTGTATTATATCGAAGGACTTTACGCCTACATGGATTCGCGGCCAGATGTTATTTTGCCTCACCCGAATTACCTCCGCCGTCCTGCCTCCACTTGGGGTCGCTCGTGTTCAGTCTTTCCATTTCCTCCAATCACCCAGCTGGTTCGACTCGACGTCTCGACAGCGACAGCCATTGACGAGCGTTCGTTGCAGGGTGTGACGACGACAACGCTTGACCTTGGTCTGTCCATGTGCTGGTTCATCAGTCTTAACCGTGGCCTGACACATCTCACTCTGCGGGATGAGCCACTTAACGGACACCACCTGGGTCGCGTGTTTGCCAGGACAGTCTCTAGGCTGTCTTGCCTTCGACACCTGCGGTTCAGTTGCGGTCTTATGAAGGACATGGCCGTCCCTACCTTCCAGATGATCTTGCTCACCTGCCCGCCTACCCTGGAGTTACTTGAAGGGCAAAATTACGTCGGCGGCTTTAACGAATACGACAGCGACAACCTCGACCTTTACAACTCTATGGAGCTGGACGAGGAGGGACCTCTGGAGGTACGGCAGGAGCCCCTCTATCGCGTGACACGACTAAAAGTCCCTTGGAACATGAGGGGATATGAGCACGACCAACTTGTCCGGATGATGAAGATCTGTCCTAACGTTGAGGCGTGGGACGTGCCTCTGACTCGCGGGGGGCGAGGCTTTGGAAATGTGGCTGGAGCTATCAAAGACCTGTGGCCTCGTCTTCAGGAGTTGACTTGCAAGGTGATCCATTTCGACTGTCATGGACATGGTGTCTTGCCGGTTTTGGAGGGCATAGAGATGAATCGACTGCGGGTGTGGGCGATGGGTGATTACTCAGATTCGTGGCCGACACGGACTCTGGACGCTATACAACGACATTCGGAGACTCTACGGGAGATTAGGTTTCCGTGGACATACTCCTTCAAGAGCTCGACGATCCAGGGGATCTTGACAGGTTGTCGGGCGTTGGAGCATCTGGAGATTGGCGCAGCTGATCCTTTCCGGATCAAGTTGTGGTTGGAGGACATGGATCCGGAGGTGCCATGGGTCAGCACGCGACTGCGGTTCTTGAAGATTGTGGTTGACTGGAACGACAAGCGGGACAAGCCCCGCCTGCCTCCAAAGCCTACCCCTACTGTACATATGAGCATTAACGTACGAAACGAAAGGATGAGTGCTATCCTGGCGTCCCGGATGAGACTGGGGAAGCCAGCCAGCGCAAAACCGACAGTCGAGGTCGATGTGTTTGAGGCAAACAGGCGGCGCTGGGCTCGACTGCAGTGGTTTTACAAGCAATTGGGTACGCTGACTGAGCTCGAGGTGCTGGATCTCAGAGCGACATCGGGATTTGCAGAGGAGGAACCAACAAAGGTGCTGAGACCCTATGCCGAATTCACCTTTCCACGGCTACTGTGTCTTTCCGACGACGATGCGACGATGGCGGAGATGGTGCAGGAAGGAGGACGACAACAACAAGGCAAGATCGGATATCTGCGTGAGCTGAGCCAGTTGAGGAAATTGAGGGAGCTTCGAGGGTCCTTCCGGATCGATCGACCTGCTGTGAAGGCATACATGGGCATGAAAGAGGTTGAGTTTATGCATACGCATTGGCCTGAGCTGAGAGTTGCCGAGTTTCTGCCAGAGGGTTATGAGGCTTTGGAGGATGGAAGAATTCCCTCTCATATGCAGTGGTTGATCGAGCAGCGACCATTTACGAAACTATCCAAGACTGGACCTGACACTCCACAATACTTTCCCCGCATATAAATGGCAGCCATAAATATTTATTGAGAATTTGCCTACTTTTCTGTGTTTTACCAAGGAAAGACGATGATGGTCGTAGGTATTCTCTTGTCCAAGTAGCTTATGAGCAAGAAAAAGGTTGAAAGATTTGATTTTACTCCCCTGTAAGATAATCTTTGTTGTTGTTGTCCTATGGCTTGTCCATGGTCGTCCATCGTGTAAAGATAGCATCGTTGGAGGCCAGTATTGGTGTCCATGCGTGTACAGTCGATCCGTAGCCGAGTGTATGTGTACATGCGAGAAAGGGTGGGGGGAAAGAGTGGAAGAAAGAGTGGAAGAAAGAGATTAATAGAGACCCCCGCCGCAGGTCTCCAAACAGAAGAGGGGAACAACGAATCAAAGTCGCAACTCCGCGTTCGCGTCCACGTTGACGAGGCTGAAAAAAAAAGTAGACGCGAAAGTAGGGTTTGAACAATCCTCTGTTATTAGTGAAACCATTAACGTTCGCGGTGATTACCATCAAAATCGACTGACTCGTGTTGACTGTGCTCCTCTTCGACTGCGTCCTTCCGCCGGCGACATCCGGGGTTGTAAAAAGGGGTGTTACCGACAGACAGACACTGTGTCGTTGTTCCTGGAGCACATGGACAGTGGAATTGCATGCTAAAACACGCCGCTTTGATTTTTAACTTTTTTTTCACATAGACCGTGAGCCCCCATCACTCCTTTGCTCCTCTATTTCTTCCTTCTATTGCTTGTTCACAACTCACACACTTTCTCATTCACCATCTCTACATTGGCAATCGCAACCATGCCTCCCTTCTCAAACCTCCACTCCTCCACCCTCTCCCACAGCACCACCTCCTCTTACCCCTCAGCAACAGCGGTCTTCTTCTCCATCCCCGAACTACTCCAACTCCTCGGCTACTTTCTTACAGCGCAAGATATTGCTCTCTTCCGAGCAACCAACAAAACCTACTACCGAGCCTTCCACACCCTCTTCTGGCAGACCGTTGACCTCCTTGGTGATGGGAATTCGTTCGACCACCCTGACAGCAAAACCATCCGTCTGTTGGATTCCCGTCCGGCGACTAGAGCTTTCGCACTCAACCAACGATATATCCGGTCTTTGTCCTGCCAGTCGTCGTTTATTGCCCACCATTTCTATGGACTGTGTGTGCTGATGGATGTTGTCAAGTACCTCAAGCCCGGTGTAGCCTTGATGGATGTATCCTCGAGAGATACAATACAGGATATGACGGCGACTGCGCAGGAGATGCTGGCAAAGACGACCTTACACGAGGGGACGACAGTCTCAAAACGCCCAGGATGGCTCCTCGCCAGCTCTATCAGTTCCCCCTACGGACACGTATCGAACGTCCCGGCCGTCTACACCGCCAACGCAGGATTGCTCTTCCCACCCCTGACGAACCTAACCCGCTTGGAGTGCGCGCTCAAGGTCCAGTGTATTACAAATTGGCGGTCTCGCCCCGTCCGATGCCCCATCTCAAAATCGTCGATCAACATGTTTCTCTGCTGGATCTTGTATTTCAACAAGGCGCTCACGCATGTCAAAATCGACGGTGTTGACTTGACGACGCTGTGGCCGGTTAGTATCTTGGCACATACACTTTCGGGATTGGCGTATCTGAGATCTTTGGAGCTTTCGACGGAGATGACGACTCAGGACCTGACCAAGGATCTTGTGGGGGAGTACTTGTTGTTTCATTGTAGTCATACGCTGGAGGTGTTTCATCTGAAAGCTGAGGTTGGAGGTGCGACTAAGGTGGTTCCGGTGGTGGTGACGCCTTGGTATGACCATACGATGACGGAGGAGTACTTTTTGGGGAATGCACTGCGGGATTGGATGGACTCTTCGTATACACCGGGTCAGGGTGGTTGGGTTGGGATTCCGAGGAGGCCGATGCCGCTCTTGAAGAGTTTGCGGATGCCTGATAAGCCTGAAGTAGGGTACGCAGATGAGTTTTGTCCTGTTCTGGAGAACTGTCCGGCGTTGGAGACCTTGGTCTTACCCACAGTCGGACATCGGCCCTTCAGTCTTGGCAAGTTGCTGTGCATTATCAAGAATCAGCGCTTGCGACTCAAGAGGATCACGGTCGACTATCCCAGGAAACACGACGAGTTCCATGAGACCCCCGGGAACATCATTGATATCCTTGACCAACATACTCTCGAGGCATTCAACATCTCGTTCTTCAAGGAAGGGCCTTTCACCTGTCTGACCTCTAAGTTGTTCCGGCACTCGGAAACGCTCTGCGACCTCACCTTTGACGCCGTGAAATCCCTCTACTCGACCACCATCCTGGACCTCCTCTGCAATTGCCCCGCTCTCAAGAAACTGGTCGTGCGCGGTGGAGGCGACATCAAAGACAACAGCTTGGACGACATTCAGCGTCTGCAAGACATCTCTCTCGCCATAACCCACGCAATCGCAAAACCTTGGGCCTGTCTCCGCCTTTCACACCTTGAAATCCCTGTCATGTTGGATTGGTTCGCATACACCCCAATTTCTCCAGAAAAAGATGCTAGCTCGGATTGGTTCCATGATTGGAGGCACACTCAAGGCGACTCGAACTGGGAGACGCTCAAGAAGTTCTATCACCAGATTGGAAGGCTACATCAGTTGGAAATCCTAGACTTGAAGGCCTGTTTGGTTTACCCGGCCTCTACCGCATCCGGCGCCACCTGGAGCGACATCACTCTCCCAGGAATGTTACTCATGCCCTTCACGCCAAAGCCATCCATGTTTTCGTCACCAAGGAACCATAATATCACCCCCGGGTTTCTGGATCTATTGGGCGGGTTGACAAAACTGAGGGAGCTTCGCGGATCGGTCCGGGTGGATCTTCCCGTGATGAGGTCGGCTATGCGACTGGATTCGTATCGATGGATGGGGAAACATTGGCCCATGTTGAAGGTTGCCGAGTTCTTGCTGCCTGGGTATCAGTCCGAACTTGTGTACACTTTGCCTCCGCACATTACTTGGTTGTTTACGGAGCGGTCTTCTTTGAAGCTTGCTGCTGACAAGAAGCCCGACAAGGCAGCACCCAAGTAATTCTGTCCGCCTTTTTTTTTTTTTTTTTTTTTTTCAAAGCAATGTTCAAATGATGCAGAATAAAACCTGTCCACTTCGCATATTGTGTGTTGTTTGTCTTTAATTTTGTCCGCAAGTTGAAATGCAAAAGAAGAAGCAAAGAAAAACGCGACAAAACAATACAAATTTCTTCTGCATGAGATCCAATCCTTAACCGATCCAGTCGTTAAGGATGTGGACAAGATCCACACACGCATCAAAAGTCGAAAGAACCTCCTCCAGGAACCCCTCATTCACAACCTCCCGATCATCAAAATTGCGTCCAACAGCAAACGACTTCCTCTTCAGGAACTCTATCATCGGGTGATCCTTATCAAACCCCTTGGGTCCCGTTTTGAGTGGTGTTTGTCCCTCGCGAAGGGCTTCAATGCCCGTTTTGCCGCCTGTGATGCGTTTGATGGCATCGGTGGCGAGGATAGAGTTGAAGCGGTCGGCGTGGTCAATGATTCCGTGGCGAACCCTAGTTAAGGCCGCCGAGCCAATGTCCCATGCTCCGCATCCTACGAACGTTTCTCCGTTTGATGACACCCCAAAGTAGTATCCTGCTGCGATTGACTATTTTTCCGAATCGAGTGATTGACAAACGAACGTGTTAGTCCGGTGCGGCAGCATACTTTTGCTGACATAATAACAAGAAAGGACGAGGACAAGTGAGCCAATATACCTTTTTGCCTCCTTTGGAGAAGAAGGACGAGAAACGGTCCTTGTACGGCGTCTTGTCGTTTGAAAAGCGAATGTCGCGACTAAAGAAAGGAAGTTTCAATACAACATAAATACACTCGTCAGTTACAGTGCCTCTCACTTCCATTTCGCCATCTTCAAGTGCATCAAAAAGGACACATCCTAACAACTTACTGGATACGCATCATAGACTGCTTAGGTTCCTGATCCATAACATCCGGGTCCGCCTCCAATAACCCATCCTTGACCATCCGAATAAAGTCCAAGAAATCCGCCTTGGCCTGATCACAGCGCTCCTGGTTCAGCATCATGTACTCACGATCGTTGTTGAGTTTGAGGTCGCGAAGAAACTCGAGTGTCTCGGGCTGGATCGCGTCCGCGACGGGGTGTCCGCCCTTGGGACGCGGGATCTTGAGAGGCGAGGTGAGGAATGTCTTTGTTGGTTCGGGCTTTGGTTGGGTTTTGTTGGCTGTTGGTTTCTTGGGGCTTGTTGCGGTGGATGAAGTTTTGGCTTTTTTGGCGGGGTTGGCGGATGAGGACGATTTGGTGGCGCTTGTAGTCTGTTTCTTGGAGGATGCCTTGGTCTTTTTTGCTGAACTCTTGCGGGTCCGCACATCATCCGAGGACTGGAAATCATCGTCATCGCTATCGTCCTCCTCCTCATCGTCGTTATCTTCCAGTGCCTCGTTGTCATCGCCATAGTTGTCGCTCTCAGCCTCGTCCTCCTCGTCTTCTTCCTCGTCCTCTTCTTCGTCTCTATCATCCTCAGAATCCTCCTGCTTCGCCCGCTTTCTTCCACTGCCTTTTAGTGCTGCTGTAGGTGTCTTCTTGGCGGGTGAGGGTGTGGGTTCTGTCTTTCTCCCTCTCTTGGCTGGGGTCATTGCTGCCATGGAAGACGTTGACCCTGAGGTCTTCTTGGTGGCTGTGGATGAAGTTGCAGGTCGGACACGGGACGATGTCCGTGTGGGGGTTTTCGAAGGTGCCATGTAGTTGATGTGACCGAGATTGTCGAGTCTGTCGGTTTGGTGTTGTCTGTATTTGGTGATGTGTAAGGTTGGGAAGAGTGAAGAAAGAAAGAAAGAATGACGAAAAGGATGTCAAGTGAAGTGAGAAAAAAAAAAAAAAAAAAAAAAAGGTGATCAGTCTGCGCAAGTGCGAAGTCGCCCACGAGTGGCAGTGACTGCCGTATGATGAAATGAGGCATGCTCGCCACCGAACTGTCCTTTGTCTATCTGATCAAGTCGAGACGCTTGCTTCGCTAGAAAAGATATGTTTATGTGATGCAAAGAAGAGGGAACAACTAACCGCTTAGTATATGTCGCTGTCACTGTCACCAAAATAAAACTGTTGAAACGACTTGAGGTCTCGATCGTCATTAAACCACCACGGGTGAACAGGGAACAGGATATGTCGAAGATCAATCCCGCATCTTCCTCCTCCCCAACAATCCGCTTCGGCTTGTTCTTCTAGCCCTTTGACTGATGGTGCCTGTATGGATAGGAAGTGAAGGAACACCGCGTGTTGTGGAGAGTCTTTTTTTTATCTTCTTCGTACCAATCGAATCTAGGTGAACTGGCCGTAGGACCTAGTTGCTCGCAAACTCAATTGCAATCAAGCAAATCCAACTCAGATTGTATTTTGCCTTCAATCGAAATCGACCCCTTTGATCTCGTTCACCAGACTGTTCCTAGTACTATCGCGGAGGACAACAATCTTGACCTGCGGCAGCTGGCGACGAAGCCACGCAATATACGGGTGCGACCCAAAGTTGTCTTCTCCAAGATCAGCATAGTGCGACGGGAGCACAAACTCGATCGACCGCAACCGAGGCCAATGGGATGTAATAAACTCCGTATCCCGTTTCTCAAACTCATACCCTGCAGGAATCCATGCTTTCGTGTTGAACGACCCCCGAACAACCTCCAAGTTCTGCAGTCTTGCCAGTTCCTGCAGACAGCCCCATCGATCCTCGCCATCCTCGTCGTCATCGTCATCGCCCTGCACCAGCAGCCCAGGGAAGGTGTAGTCCCTAAATTCCAGGGGATTGCTCACCAAGTCCAAAACATCAGTGCTCACCAGCACACTCAAACTAAGAACCCTCAGGGCGATTAGCGAGCCAAGTTGATGGTACAGCTTTCCAAGCAGCAATACTTGCTCCCTTTCCTCCTTTGTAAGATGGCTCCGCTTCAGGTACCGTGGATTCTCGAGTGTATTGATATTGACCGGCAGCGCAAACTCGACCAGCCCTGTAGACGCCCACGTTTCCGCGACAAGGTCCCCGACAGAGATGTCCAGCTCTTGGTGGCTCGCTTTCGTGATGACAAAGACCTCCAGGATAGGGCAGTTGAAGAGGATGGCCTGGACCTGATCCGGATGGATCCAAGCGCACTCGATCAACCTGACGCTCCTCAACGAGTCGAAATGCCGTCCAAAAGATGTCGCTAGAGAGTTGGCGTTGCTCTTTTCGCGATATGAGTTGTAGCTGCATGACTGAAGGCTGTCCTTGGGCATGTGGTCCATGATCACAAACATGAGGTGTTCAGAGTAGTCGTCACGGCAATCATGCAGAGAGAGGTTTCTGAGGTTCGGGCAGAGGTCGAGAATTATCGATGCCTGCTCCAAGGAATCGCCGGGCTGGATCATTGGGACGTTCATTGACACAAGCTCTGGACAGTGTTTCAGAATGGAGACGATATCCAAAAATTGAAAACGGTGGTTGACAGCCATGGTGAAGTCTGTAAGGCAGTGGAGGGGCTCGTCTCGTCGTGAGAGCGGTTCCTCCTGCAGGGTGCCTGTGGGTGCACGATATGTTACCGAATGGAGTTTGTAGACCTCAATTGAGAGCGTCCTAGCCAGCGGTGGACAGGAAAAGAAGATTGTTGACGCGATGGCTCCATGGATGATTTCGCCAGAAAATATCGTAAGGTGCAATGCCTGCAGCGTGGTGATTTCCGATATTGTCGTCGCTAATATGTGGATCCACGACTCCTGTTCGATTCTGACTCGATGGAGGTGGAGCTCGGAAAGCCGAAGGCTGAGCTGGAGTGTTGACCTGAGTCCAATTAGAAAGTCGGAGTCACTGTAAGGATGGCGGTGCGAACCAGAAAGTACAGGGCGGTGTAAGGATGACAGTGTGCTTGTTGTAGGCTTATTGTTGGTGTCCTGCAAGGCGCCCAGGATGTAAGCGTAGGCTCTGTAAAGCTTTCCTGACTTTGGGTTTAACTTGAGCGACTGAACCAATTCTGCGTTCCTCACCAGCGCATAGAATCCGTCTTTGTTGTCGCAGAGAGCTTTGTGCTCCTGGACAAGGTCGATCTCGCGAAAGAAGGATGGTCGACAGGTTGCATGAAGTTGTCGAGATGCCCGCATGAGTCTCGAGAGATCCTTCTTTGACAGAAGCGATGCCAGCAAGTTGATGAGCTCGGGCAACTTGAAGAAATGAGACTGGGCAGGCTCCATGGTTGTGGACAAGGGAGGGGCGTACGGGCGGGAGAAGTAACGGTTATGTGTGTGAGAAAGAAAAAAAAAACGATATGTAAACATTGCCCATCCACATGCAAGCGTGCGAGGATAACATGTATATTCCAATAACACTTCTATTGAGCTTGGGCACAACTCATGCTCATGCAACATGGCACAGTGCAATGGTGGGCATGTGACTGCTGAAACTCCTCGCCCCTGGTCTTTGCCGACCCCGCCGACAACCTCCTCAAGCGCTTTCTTCTACACGATCCCGGATAATGTCATCGAGAAGAAAAGCCAGCACTTTCGATACCTCGACTTGTTGTTTGGTGACTTTATTGGTGACAGGTCTGGCAGGGAAGAGCAACTTCAGCTCGGTTGTACGCGTCTTCAGGAGCTTAGGATTTCTATTGGAGCTGATTGTGCATATGTTGGCCGACTGGTCGAGGCTAAACCTGGATTGTGCGCTGCTGCAGTGGGAACGATCCGAGTACAACACTAATACTACTCCGCCCGACGCCAAGTTCCTCTTTCCACTTCGCCAACATTGTACCCTTTGCCTTGGAGGCTGGAAACTCAGCTCCGTCCATCGTCACCACATCTTGAGCAACATCGCCGACACGCTGGAAGAACTTGAGCTGGGCAAAATCACCATTATCCCCAGGCGCCCGGAGTGGGATGCTTTGAAACTAAGCTCGAGAGTACAGCGCGGTTTCAAAAAGAATGGCCGGAAAAAAATTGAGCAAAAAAAATTAAAATAGAGAGGGGAGGGTGAGTTACCACCTTGCATGACCACCTTTATTCTTAAGAACAGCCTTTGATCCTTTGAGGCATACCATCGATGAGTTTGTTGAGGTAATCCTTTGATATTTCATTCCATTCCTTATTAAAAACGATCAGCATGTCCTTGGTGGTTCTTGGGCGGATGCGTCTATGGTGAACGGCGTTCTTTAGGAAGGACCACACGTTTTCAATAGGACTGAGATCAGGACTCTGGGCAGGCCATTTGACAGGCGTGACAGAATGTTGTTCCTTCCATTGGCTGGATACCTTGTCACGATGAATAGAGGCCCCATCCTCCATTAAAAAGGCGTTGGAGGTCTGAGTTAGGAGCCCAAGAAGCTTACCCTTGTAGACCAGCTCGATAAATTCCACCGCCTTGTTCTGGCCAGGAGGGATGACAACTAGGAAGATTGGACATACTGCTTCCAACAAACGCACCCCAAACCATCACAGACGTTCGCCCGCTCTTGAATGATGGGGCAAGGCAGGAGTTATGGTACTTCCCCTTCTCTGTCCTCCAAACTCGAACCTTTCGAAAGTTCTTCCCCACTTTGAACAAAGACTCATCTGTCCATACAACCTCCCTCCATTCGTCCGCGGTCCAATTCTTATACTTTTTCGCAAAAGCCAATCTCGCGGATTTATGTGCAGGAGTAAGATATCGTTTGACTACTGCTTACGGAGACTATGGAGCTTCCTTCTCACTGTAGCCTCGGAGACCTTGATAGGGAGAGCCTTGGAGATATCACTAACAGTGGCACGACGGTTCTTGCGGATAACGGCAACGAGGGTCCGGGTGTCTCGTTCAGTAAACTTGCAGGGGCGACCAGGAGACTTCTTGGTGAGAACAGTTCCTCGTTCCTTGTACTGGGCGAGGATTCGTCGGACAGTTCGTTCACTGACATCGAGAGCGGCGGCAATCTTAGGGGACTTAACGCCAGCCTTACTCATCCCCAAGATCTCTCCTCGTTTAACGTCTGAGAGGGCCATGAGAGAGTAATAGTGGGAAGAGGAGAGAGGTGTAAGGATATGTGTGTGTGTGTGTGGGAATAGAATGGAAAAGAAACAAAAAGAAGAAAAAGAAAAAAAAATTGCTCAAGTTTTCTTCCGGCCATTCTTTTTGAAACCGCGCGCTGTACATGTCGAAGGCTGAATTTGACGAGGCCAATCGTTTGATGCAAGGACGACCTCTTCTACTCTAAGATCAAGTCGCCCAAGTTGAATCACGTCTGGGGGTTCTCGACAAAGTCCATATACAGTCTGGGTTCTCACATTCCCGGCTCTGGAGACGCCTAAGGTTGGATATCTCGAGGAAGAAACTGGTTTGCAGAGCCAAGAGCCTGCAGGAATTCTGCCCCAAACTTCGATATATTTACTGTTATGATTTAGAGTTCCACATTAATGCTAATGCACCTCAAACGCGTTTTTGCTAATGATAAAATAGCAAAGCGTTGTCCTCGCCAGGGCAGACAGGTATAAATATTTGCCGCTCTTTCCCTCTTTCTTTCTTTTCCTTTCTTTCTTTTCCTTCTTTCTTTCTTTCCTTCCCTCCTACTTTCCTACCTTCATTCCTCCTTCCTTTTTTTCTTTGTTACTCCCCTACATCCATCCAGGACAATACTACGAAACAATATGCCATGACCCGCTAACATGACTGACAAGAGCTCGGCAGGATAATGAAGGTCTACGTCCCCCTATCCACGATGCTAGCAAGGCTGCAAATGAAAACAAGATCTGCTTGGCCGACGACGGTCGTGTGGCTGTAACAATAAGGATGGAGATCCAAGTCCTGTTCGATTTTCTGTTTATGTTTTGTGGATATGAATGTTTGGTTGGGGATATACTTGCCATTGTGGTTGTGTGCCAAAGACAAAGGGATCCAGACAACCACAAGCATGAACATATTTTCCCGCCATTTTTTTTTTTTTTTTTTGTTGCTACCAGCATCCAACCTACCAACCCAAACCCAAAGAAAACGACGGGTTCTCTTTCTGGCGATAAGCCTCAAGCCACAAAAAGACCTCCCTCGTCTCATCATACCCCTGAAAGAACTCGCCCTCCTTCCACTTTGGCCAGTGGCTACACATCCAAGTCGATTCCCAGCACCCCATCGTCTCCAAGGTTTCATCGGTATTGACACTGAATGACCCCCGAAGCACCTCCAACTTGTTCCATCCAGAGAACAGCTCAAGAAATCCTGGTCGATTGGATTTAGGATCTGCCAATGACATCATGGCTGGGAAGGTGTGGTTGAAATAGAATGGATCCTCGATAGAGCCATCTACTGCGTGGGTGGTTAGGGCTCGCAGGTCGAGATGGACAAGATATTGGAGAGAGGCAAGTTGGTGGTAGAGGCATTCGAGCTGTGAAAACTGGCGTTTCTCTGGGAGTGAGAGATCACATCTGGGAGTGCGCCGGTAGTATTCTCGTTGACCACGCTCACGTCGCAATCTGGGTATACCGATGGTGAGGCTAAGGCGGGTGAACATGTTCGACGCCCAGGGCATGGCGATCGCATCTGCCAGATGGAGAAAGGAGACCACCCCGTCCTCGTGCCAGGTCACTTGAAAGTCGTAGAGGGAAGAGCACTCTGCTAGCATTTCTCGTATAGCATCCGATGCGATCTGTTGACAGTCCTTAAAGACAATAGTCGTCAAGGTTACGGAGTGTCTGACGATGGATCTTAGCGCCATGTCCTTGGTCATCTTGTACTTGACTCCCTGGTAGTCAATCTCTCGCAACTGCTGGTCAGGCATAGCAGACAGAACCTCAAACGGCAGCAGAGCGCCCCAATCTCCTCCAAACTCGGGGTCCGAAAACGTCAATCTCCGAATCCTCGTACAAAAGGTCTTGATGATGTTAGCCACGGTCATGGGATCAATGTCCTGCTCGAACGGGGAAAGAGCAAGCCTCTCAACCTTGCAACAATGCTCAAATATCCAAACCACTTCGTCCTCCGTGACGCCCTTGACAAAGTTCCAGAGCTTGACATCGATAAGCTCCATCAAAGGTTCGCATCTATCCGGCCTCGACATCAGCTCGTCTTCGTTGCGCTGCTGGCTTTCCCAAAGGCGCAGACTCCACGACTCCTCTGGTTGTAGGTCTTCCTCGTCTTCCTCAGCATCACCATTATACCCAAACCCTATCTCCTCATCACTATCATCGCTGTCCATATCCTCGTCATCATCCTGCTCCAGATCATCCTCCATGTCGACGCTGTGAGCATAATAAGGAGTGTGGTGGTGCTCATGTATCACAAGCTCGTCGTCAATAGTGCCATCGTCGTCAGAATCATCATCCTCATCCATGTGCGCAATCCCATAGTCCTCCAGATCAATCCACAACTTTTGAATCAGCCTCGGACAATTAAACACAATCGTCGATCCAGCCTTGTACCACGATCCCGCGCTATGCCAACTTCCCCTCACACGCAGCTTCAGATCTAGTGAGCGGAGACGGGAGAGCTCATAGATCGTCTCGCCCAACAACCGGATCTCCCGATGCTCATTGATAACGAGGTTGTGGATGGTCAAGTTGACCAGGTGCGGACTCAGAGAAATGACCCAACAGGCTTGGGCGACCGTCATCCGCGAGTTGGAGAAACTGGGCACACGGTAAGGGCTGTAGGCTTGCTCACACACGTGTCTGAAGGAGAGAGTCAGATCTGTCAAGTTGATCATGGGACTGATGGGGACAACCTCGATGAGACAGACATCCAACGGGGGAAGGTAAGAAGGCAGTAAAAAGTATGGAGCGTCCACACTGCCTTCTGAGGACGGGGAATGAAGCTGCGCATCCCTGTAGGCTGCTACTTTTAGGCAGTTAAAGAGGTAGCAGAGGTCGACCTGACTGACGGTGAGCTTTTGGACATGGTGTGCGTTCTTAGAGATGGCCTGCTTGGCTAGAGTTGAATCCAAGATGTTGAAGCCGCCGTAGATGAAGGTCAGGTTGAGGGTGTAGTAAAGATAAGGAGTACAAAGGTCTTGCATGACCTTGTTGGTGACCATGAGGTTGGATATGTCGTTGTTTGAGAGGTGGAGTAGAACTTGGTGCAAGAGCTCTGGGAGCCGGAAGAGGCGCTCTTGAGGTGAAGACATTGTTGTGGGTTTTGGAAAAAAAAATGGTTGGAAGGAGGGTGTTGGAAATGGAGTGAACGAATAGAATGAACGGAAATGAGCAGAATGAAGAGGTAAGGGAAGCTGTTAGCCTATGGAGGTGGAGAGAACTTTTTGTTTATGTTTTCTGTAGCGGGTGAAGAAGAAAAGAAAAAAGGTTGATGAAGGAAAGCCTTGCAAATGTCATTTTCCGTTACCGTCGTGAAAACGGAACGAGGGAATGAACGAAAGAGATGAAAGAATAGTGCATTGATCTGTCTCGTGCAAAAAAAGGCTTGTAAGGTGATACCGACACGCTGATTGCATCAATCCACCTCCTTTCTCTCTGCCCATTAACATAGATTGGTGGCGTACTTTCATTTTCAATTGAAATATATAAAATAAAGAGGCGGAAACGCCTATTCCTTCTCAATCATATCGCCCGAGGCTTAGCTCAGTCTATCTCTTCTTCTGCTCTGCACAAAGTCACTTAAAAGGTGTTGTTACTGAATCAGGTGGGTTCGGTTGAGATATTGTGGAGTGGTTGTTACACTCACAGTTGAGGTTGATGTTGTGGGTAAAGGAAATGTAGAAGAAGGTTGTTGAAACTGGGGGGGATCCTATGGCACGATACGCAAGCAAACAATACACACTACACTGAAATAAACGGCGTCAGCTAACTCAATCAATTGCTTCGTGAAGTTGTCTTTTGAAAGGACATGGAGCAAAAGATCGAGCTGCCTCACTATTTCTACTACTACAGTATCTACTTTGGTCTAAATTACGGTGAGGTCAAAGCACTGCAAGGAATGGGCTCTCTGTAACAGTGTGTAATCCCTGACTCCCTCTAAAAGAAATCAGCCCTCTCTAGTAGGATGCAATGTGGCTCTAGCGCTCATAGAATAGAAAGAGTTAATCGAAATTAGAGCAAGGTCGTGAAGAGTTCGTTTCCTGATAGTCAATGCTTAGTAATGTCAGTTGCCTGTCCATGTCGTACTGCCCCGCCAGCCTTTTGCTACCCATCTGATAATCTAATTAAAAAATTAGTTTGATACCATTCCAAGCACTTTCACGAACGCATCACATTCCGATGGTATTGTCGTGAACAATTTGGTGCAAAGAAGGTTTTATTCTTCTCTTTCCTGAGTAATCGACGAAGCCCTCTTAGATCATGCGGACGTTGCGGTACATCTTGCTGGGATCAACAAGAGGCCCCATCCCGCTCATCATCCGGATCTTGTCCCGCTCCCGGTCCCGCACAGACTTGCTCTTACTCGACTTTTTTTTGTCATTTCCTGATCCTGTACCAGTTCCAGACCCAGATCCTCCTTCGCCGTTGCCATCGACACTCTCGGCGCGACCTTCTCCTCCGCCGCTGCTGCTGTTACCGTCACCAGTCCGCTGAGTTGCACTTCCAGTCGTACTGCTGTCAGATGCAGTAGTCACATCGCTGCTCCCACCATCGGACAGATGCGACATGTTGCGAGTGTACATCGTAGGCAGGAACAATCCTCCAGAGGCGGAACGAGCTGCGGCACTACTACTGGTGGTCGATGAGGACTCAGTACTCATCCGGGGGTTGAGTATAGCCGACGGGTGAGGCGATCGTGTGAGATCCAAGATTGAAAGCGGACCTGTCATCCCGAGGTGAGAGCTGATCGATCGATCCGACTGGGCGCGTTCAAAAGGTGGAGGTGGTTGTGGCAGTTGATGCGATTGCTGCTGAAGGAGCCACTTGGACCTGGTCTTGGGCTTAGTGCTCTTTCCTTTGCTCCGTGATGAACTAGACGTCGGGACCGATGAATGGTAGCCCAATGCTGACTGCCCTTCTCCAATGTTCATTAAACTCCCTCGCTGGCGCATTCTGGGGTCGTCATCCTCGTCCTCGGTTGACTCTGGTTGACGTTGACTGTAGCGGCCAATCGTCCCGCTCGACCCAACACCACCATCGTCTGTGTCAACTTCGGCAAACTGGTCGTGCATCCGCATTCCTATCGTTGGTGTCATACGAGGAACATCCTGCGGCTGAGACGACATACTCATAATTAAAGGACCTCCATCAGCACCACCTCCGAGACCGCCTTCTCCTCCAGTGGTATCTCCACTTCCACCTCCACTTCCACCGCTCCCGTCTCCAGGATGGCCACCTTGATATCCAATACCAAAGTGCCGCTGCCGCCGACTCATCGCCTGTGCCATTTCGACCTGCCCCTGGAGGTCCAAGATCCGTTCCTCCAGCTCCTGGTTCCTGACGGCTTCCTTGGACCACTTGTTGTGGGCCTGCTGCAGTTCTTGGTCCCAACGCTCCTTCTCCTTGGCCATGAACTCCTGCATGGCTTCAGCTCGCCGCTGTTGATCGAAACCGTTCTGGTTGCTGTTGGAGCGACTGAAACCAGAAGGCCATCCCACTTCCATGCCGGTGCCGCTGCCTCCAGAGTGTTGGTGACCCATACCCATGAGCAGCTTTCGACGGCCTGACATCTTCCAGATTGCAATCTCTCCCATACCATCACGGACACTGCTGCTCGCGCCGTGTTGATCACCGTCATCGTCAATGCTCTCGTCCTCTGAGTGATCCATAGACGAATCCTCCTGTAGATTTGGCAGTCGCCCCTCCATCATGGCTATCTGGATCTTCATGTCATCCATGACTTGCGACTGTTGCGAGACACGGTTCCGCAAAATCCTTGACTCCTCCTTCTCGGCAGCAAGCAGCAGCTCAAGACTCTGCCAACGGCTCACAACGCCCTCCAACTGCCGTTGTGTTTCCTGGTTCTTGAACTGTTCGGTTTCCCAGAGCACAAGTTGGCGGGTCATATCCTCGATCCTCTTCTCATATTCCTCCATGCGCTTCAGTTTAGGCGAGAGATCCTCAATCGAGTTCTTCAATTGGAATGTTCTAAGAAAACGAAACGAAATAGCACGACTGTCAGTAAACGGCGATCTGGTAACATGCAAAAATGATCAATTGCTATCAGTTAAAAAATAAAAGTGCTTACCCTTTGCGCTCTTCGGTTAGCAATCGTTCCTGGATCTCTTGGGTCTGCCGCGTATCCTTGATATCCTGCTTCAAGCGCTCGACCTCAAACTGTAACTGCTTGCGCTCGTCTCGGAAGGTCTGGACCTTGTTCTTCAACTCCGTGTCCCAATGGGTCTGCTTATTCTTGCGCCTCTCGAGCTCGCTCTTTTCCTTCTCCAAGAGCGACCGCGTCTCGTGCAACTGGGCCTTCAAAGATCGACAAGTGTTGTACAAGTTTTGGCGCTCAGCTTCAACACTAGCATCCAGGACGTGCGCTCGGTGGACCTTGGAGATTTGCTGGATGTGCTGCTGCTTGAGGAAAAGCTCGAAGTTGAGCTCGTTCTTGGCCATCAAAAGGTCTCGCTCTAGGTGAACAATAATCTCCCGGTACTCTCTGTTCAACTGCGTCAAGGCCAACATGTTTGTGGGTTGGGAGATTGACCCTCGCCGGCTATCTGTAGGCGTCGTCATGGCCGAGCTCTCTCCTGACGTTGGTGCCACAGGTCCGTCCGGTGTCACCGCCTCGAGCGCCGCTACGACCACTGCTGCTGGCGAAGACCAAGCTCCGCTGCTCCGCTGAGAAGAACCACGACGCTCCCGCTGCGCAATGCCAGGTCCCAATGCCTTGCTTTGCGCAACCTCGTTAATGTAGTCCTCCTGATCCAGTCCTCGCAGGGTCGCGTAATTCCTGAGGATCTGGCTCATTCTGACATCCCTCGAAGTTGTCCGTAATCTGGTAAACGGCTGAGTAGGGCCACGTAAAAAGTTGGGGTTCGAGCCAGGGTTCAGAGACCGCATCGAGCTCTCCTTGTTGACCAACCGAGGACCAAAAAAGTCTTCCTGTGCCAATATCTCAATCGGTGTTCCTTCTGACTCTTCCGATGCAAATGATTCGACTGATGCGCGGGCGAGCGACTGGACGGAGGACTCTCGAACATGGGATCCAGTAGCCAATGTTCCATCTGGAGTACGCGCACCTGTTGGTGTCGTAGCATCAGCATCGTCGGCATTGTCGTCGCTGTCCTGATGGTCGGCGCCATGATGATCCTCCTCAATCGAGCGTAGTACAGGCCCCATTCCGTAAAGCCCTCCTGCACTCCAAACATCCAGTCCAACGCACATCGCAACAATCTCCATAGGTTCTAACTTTTGCCATCTCGCCTTGTTGGACAACTCCTGCTCGCATGAAAGGGTCAGAAGATCAGGGTGCAACGAGTGGCGCCTGAGCAGGTTTTGGACACGAGACTTTACCAGATCCTCGTCAATGTACACAGGCTGGCCGATGCTTGGCTCTTTGGGCGACATTACAGTTTCCTCGGAACTCTGGACAATAAAATCACCCTCCCGTGCTGGGGATCCAATGCTAGACCCTTGATTGGGCGATCCTACAGGCCTTGATTGCTCCGAGATGTACTTTCGCGGTGCATGCAAGAATCTCAGAAGGTTGCAGGGGTACATGCCATAGAGGAAGGAAAAGATCGCAGTCGGGTCAGGCGCTCCCTCAGATGTTCCACCAATAACAGCAGGGCCTAGTTATTACACACAGAAGAAAAATAACGATGTCAGTCGAAAGGGTGAAAAATATGGTGGCTCAGATGCCCAACAGATAAATACATGGGATGGCAATTCCTTCCGAGATCTCATACCATAGCGTCGCCAACGAATTCCGAGACTGTGGAGGGGAATGTCTTCATACTCAATGTTGTCTGGCGAGGAAGGGGCGTCTCCTGCCTTTCCCTCTGCACCTTGCGTCTTGTTAGTCGCGGTACCAGACGAAGAAGGGCTGCTCTCCTCAAACTCGTCGAATGACTTCAACGTCTGTCCTGTCAAGTTATCTCCTTCCTGGTACGCCACTGCCATCAGTTGCTGCCGAGACCGAGGCCAGCAGAGAATCCTGCTGAGGATCAAAAACAGTTCTGGAAGTCGGTCGTTCAACGCTGCAGGAATTCTTGGCATCAGCATGATTAATGTCATCAGTCCCAAAGACACAATCAACGGCGAAGTATCATTCTATGCAATAAGGAGAACATCCGATTGCGTTAGTTAACATATTCTATTTTCCGTCTGTATCATCTTCCTAGAACAGAGCACCATCGTTCAATATACCTTCAATGAGAGCATCAAAGAGTCGAAAAGGGGTGTCGCCAGAATTTGATGCAAATGGACGCGCTAATTGAATAAAACAAAGTGGTATTAGAATAAGTAGCGATCTTTTTACTGAGCTCCGGATTCTCCTTGGTAACCAAAGTCGCATAAAAACAGAGCAGAGAGACTTACCTGTCTGCGATGGAACTGACACAGCAGACCCAAAATCTCCGCTCTGTATTTCGCTCCGACAAAGTAAGTGTACAGACAGCTGAAAAAGTCCTTGACCCGCCCGACGCCTCCACCATAGGCAATCAAAATGATCTCCAGGTTCTTGACAAGAATATCCTTCTTCCTCCTGATGACTGCCCTTGCTCGGTTGAAAAGTCTCTGCTGACTTTCAAGATCCTGTTGCACGGGTGGGTATTCTGGCTTTTGGTGAGAGTTGGAGGTGGCTGAGGAGGAGAGGGAAGCCGAAGATGCTGAGAATGCTCCTGCAAATGCTCTGGTGCTAGTGCCGCCATGTCCAGCATGACCTGCAGGCGCCAGGTTCGATCCGAGTTTGGCGTTACCCCACCATCCTGACGCTCCATCTGCTTGGTCCGATTCGTCGAGTCGGTGGTTTAACTTGTGCGCTGCTTGGATGTACTTTCGAAGTACAAACTGAGGAATAGGCATAGCATTCATGGCCTGCGAGTTGTCCAGCTGCCCCTCCTCGTCTCCTGCGACCAGCCACGATCCAGTTCCTGAGCCATGGATGTCCATGAGAGGATCCCGAGTCATACAGTCCGTCACCAAATCCCTGCAGGCCTTGAGGGATTCCTTCTCCAGCTTGATTTCTCCTTGCAGCGCAGGCTCGATAAGTCGATCCCACCAGTCCAAGATGACGAGTTGAGGTGACAGAAACGGCAGGAGGTGGGTCAAGTAGACAATCATTCGGCTCGCCACCAACCCAATCGGAGCCTTGTCCATCCCTTGCTGAGTGTACAGTGTAATCAAATGGGCTGAGAAACGCTGCGCCGCGAGTGACGTGTTTGCCAGAGCGGTCGCACTAGTGAATCCAGTAGACTGAATCGATGGGGTTGATGTCTGGCTCATGTTGGGAGCAGCAGATGCTCCTTGTCCTGTTCCGAGCGAAGCTCCTGCGCTGCCCATGATGGGTGAACCGGTCACCGAGACTGTCTGCGAGGCTGGCATCGAAGATGAAGGCGACAAGGACTGGTTGAGTCTGTGGAAGGCGAAGGGCAGGTTGCTGGCATTGTGGGGCTGAAGATTATTGGCAAGAGTCTGGTACCAGAGCTCGTTGACGTGACGCTGACCAGCAGCGGCAGTTTGGCCCTGTGCGCCTCCTGGGGTCGCTGCGGAAGGAGTTCCGACTGTAGAAGGTCCTCCTGCAGCAGCGGTAGCGAGGTTGCTGATGGCTGAGCCACTAACGGACGTGTGTGTGCTGGCACTCAAAGGCGTGGACGGTGCTGATCCGAAATGATGGTGATTGTTATGGTGGGCGTGGTGGTGGTGGTGTGACGGGGACGACGAACTCGTGCCGTTTGCTTTGATGAACCGGTCGAGATAGGCTTGAATGGTGTCGCGAGGTTGAATTGGCTCTTGTTCCTTGGACCTGTCTTGAGCGACATATGCGGTCAAGTCAGCGGTGACCACTCTGTAGAGGTCCTTGACCGTGGGAGTAGAGCTGGACATTTAATCCGTCTAAGGTCAACAAAGGGTGTATTGGTGGTGGGGTATCTAGGCTGTAATGAGGAAGGAACCGCGTGGCCAGTCCTGCCTTGTGCTCTTGGCAATGTTTTTTTGTTGTCAGCTGTGTCTCTATGTTGGCTGTGTCGTTGTTGTCGTGAACACAAGGGTTAAAAGTAAAGTCAAGGTGGTTCGTATAGTAATAAATGGGCGAGTGAGAAAGGAAGGAGTGATGTAGATGAGCGTGAGACAATAAAAAATGTCAAGAGTGGAAGGATGGGCTTGGTGGCAAAAGAAAAGTATGTGTATGTGTGCGGACAAAAGGCGGAGACTGTTGAAGTGAATGCGAATACACAACGAGTTAAAAAGAGGAAAGGAAGAAAGACAGTGAACCAGGTTCACGAACATTAAGAAAAAGAAAAAAATGGCGTTGGACTGGTGGACTGGAGAGAGTCCTCTTCTTTTTTAATCGCCTGGCCTGCATCATCATCATCAGTCCCTCTGTGCAACCATGGCACGTGCCCTGTGACTTCCACCCTTTGTCAAAAGACAAAGGACAAGCTCACAGCATGCCAACCCTCCTCTTGTGCCATTCTGTGTACATCACCCCTCTTTCTTCCTCTCCTTCTTCCTTCTTGGATCTACTTTTTTCTCTTCTTCTTTACCTTTCACATCGTAATCACACTCAACATAGTCTGTCATTATGAGCCTACTTATGCCCTGAGTTTTCTCTCTCCTCCCGCTCATCATCACACGTTCCATTCTTCTATATTCACCCTCCGACTCAACTCCACTCCACTTCGACTCAACTTCTAGTTCGGCTTCTTCTTTTAATACCATTACACACCATCATCATGACACACTACCAACCCGTCATGTTCCCTGTCGAACTGGTAGGTAACCACACGACACAGCAACGCTTCTGCTCCTTTCTCCCTTGTTGCAACAAGGAAGGGGAGAGAGACTTCCCGTCAAGAAAGAAAACTCGCACTAAACTTCGCCCCTCTTCTTACGCACCATAGACAGTGGAACGGTCATACCTCAAGGACGCCCTGCGCGCAATCCTACACACAGTCCTTTTCCACAGAGTCTTTGCCAACATCAAGCCCAGGGACATGGATATCCTTGATCTGACCATCGTAAGCATCCATTAGTTTGTGTGGAGAAGAAAGGCATGACTCAAAATAATCATTTCCCTCCAAATCATAGCTGACTGACTGACTGAAACACTACCTTTGCCTCTTCGTGTGTTCGCATCGCCTCATTGCTTAGCCTATCATTGACGACCCAGAGGTGGACAAGCTGGTCGACGAAAAGATCGCTGCCTTTGTCAAGGTTGTCGACTCTAACCCTCAAAGCAAAGGACAGGTAAACACTCTATATATACTCCTACGCCAAATATCGTACAAGTAATCTCTTCACTTCCACATCTCGCTCACACATCGCCACTTTTTTTTTTTTTACAAACATCAACAAACAACCTATAGATCGGAATAATGTTCTACGAAAAGCGGACAAAGCGCGCTTGGTTCAGCTCAACATCCTCCGAGGTCTGTTGGGAACAATGGGCCATTACCTTCAACGTCGTCACCAACATCAACGAAAAAGGTATACCTTCGCCAGCACTTTTCTCAGATTCTTTTCATCGTCCCAGGATCCATCGGAGCTTTTTCATCTGTTGTAGTCGATCTGGATATTCGCCTCAAATCATTCACTTGGATGTCAGGAAGGAACCTCTCGCAACGCCTTCAACAATACAAGGACCTTTTCTTGCTCAGACTAGGACATCACCTAGAAATAAGAAGGACTCATGGCGAAACCAGATCGGACAATGTCTTTCGCAAACCAACCATACTGACAAAGCTGTGCATTATATTCTTTACTCGTCCAATGGCCTATTAGACAAACAACGGTCAATCAAGAACATGGAAAAGGCGCTATCATCCCTCTTCCTCAGTATACTGCGGACAGTCAACGAACGGAAGGACCACATACCACCCATCACCACCAGCGACGGAAATCCCTTCCCTTACCAGGTACCAATTGCAACACACACTTTCAACAAGCAATTCATATTGTGCAGTAATGTAAAAGGTTCCAGAGCCATTTGCAGTGATTGACAGTATCATCTCCTCCTCACTCTCCCAATGCGTAGATTGTTATTCCAACGGCGTCAGATACATGGGGTTCCATGTTCAAAAGAATGCTCGACACCTCCGCGTCATCATCACCTATAATCTAAAGCCACCGCAACAGCGACCAATAGCAGCAGTAGCACCCTAGTCACTCGCCCTAGCGGATACGTAGAAGAGGAAGGAAGGAAGAGGGAGCCTGGACAACTAATACAACCACACTCGCCCACTACGTCCCCCCCCCCCCTTTCATCCCCCATCACTCACTATTCATTTTCGACTCGGTGTCACCCTTCCCTCCCCTTGCACACGCCAAAAATAAAACACGCCTGTGGTGTCGGAGCAAGAAGGAGAGGAAGAGGAAAAAATAGATCAAAATATCGATTGCATAATGCGCCAACAAGGCTCGTCAAGCTGCATAATACCACCCACAGCTGACAAACCTGACATCACTCCCCTTTTATTTTTGCCTACTTCGGTTCGCTGTGCCTTACTGTTTTAGAACTTCTGTCTTTGTCAATAAACCGACGGAATGAGATGGATATGTATATGATTTATTTCGTTAATGTTACAATGGTCATAAAAAAAAAAAGTGGAAGCAAGTAAGGGTACATGGAATGAAAAAAAATGGGGAAGAAACTATGAAGAGATTTTGTTATGCCTTCTTTTTTGATTTGCATGCTTCATGAGAAGAAGGGAGGGGGGGAAGTCATGCATATTGGATAGTCCGTATTGCTGGAAGGACATCCGTTTCATACTGTTTGTCGCTGTCGTATGTGGATATAATGGTACCAAAAAGTGGTGCTTTAGATGCCGCCGTGGTGAAGGGGAGACATCATTGCAAAACTGTTGACACTGGTCTTGGTGCTCAGAGCCTTGGGAGAACCACTCATGCTCAACGAGTGGTGGTGCTGAAGACTGTGGTGCTGGTAGTGGTGCTGGTGGTGCCCCGTTCCAGTCCCGGCGGTCGAGAGCGACAGGATACTGTTCAACGACCCCGCACGGACCAATCCGCCCGCACGGTCATTGCCCAGGATCCGCTCCTCCATCCTCATCAGCTCCGTCACGAATCCAATGTTGGGGCACATGCAGGGTCGCTGGGCCAGAACGTGGTTGTAGGCCTTGTTGAGTGGCCATTGAAGCTGAGTGATCAGGTAGGCGATCGTTGCAGTCACCGACCGCGACTTGCCGGCCTTGCAGTGCACGTAGATTGGAGAATCCGCAGAAGCAGCTATATCAATTAAATGATACACGAGAAACAAGTTAGTATCAGGTTCTTGCATCGAATATTAGCAACTTGATATGATACAGAAAAGGAAGGGTGACTTACCAATGACGTCGACGGCTTCAAGGAGACCGGCACTGACATCGGCTTCGATGTTGTCAAGAACACCGACCTTGTGGTACTCGATAGTAGGATGGTTAACGATCAAGAGGTCCTCGCACTCACGCGCCATGTTCAAAACGCGCTTGACACCTAGTCGTTCCAATTCCTGAACCTGCTCGGCCGTGACGATCTCGGGACCCAGGTACAAAAACTCAGGCAAGATACACGAGATTTCCTGTTCACCATCATCTGCATCCGCCATAGAATCGTCATCGTATCCATACTGGAATTGCTGTTGTTGCGGGTACTGGAAGGGGCTCCTGTAGCTGGGGTTGTTGGTAAAGCTCTCAATACCCTCCGAGAACATGCGAGACTCGCCCATATCAAGAGGGCCGCCACTCTTGCCAGGGTTGACGCCCAGATCGAAAAACGACGAAGTTGGGCCGAACCCAGATGGTGTTGGTGGGGGCATGTCATCCCTGAAGGCTCTGCGGCGAAGGCCATCGCTGCTCTCCTCCTCTTCCTCCTCTTGGATGCCCTTGCCAGCTCCTCCGCCACAAGGATACAAAGAGGCGAGGGTGGTTGTAGTCGACGAAAACGACTTTTTGGATCCCATTGTCAGCGCCAGTGGGTGCTGAGAGTCGCCTCCAACAGTTGAGACACCAGAGTTGGCAGACCAAGTCAAGGCGGGATCGGTAGTGTTGGAATGCGACATGTCCAGGGGGTGTCCGCTGCTGTTGGCGTGATGAACATTGAGCGACAGGGATGGAGACAACGAGGAGGCACCCCCTGTAGGAACCGTCAGCCAACTACCTTTGTTGCGAAGCGGCGGCAGCTGAAGGCCAGGTCCCATGCTAGAGCCCTCCTGAAGTGGTTGCAACGAAGGATTGTTGGTCGAGGGGATTGAAAGCGGCTTGATGTTCAGAGCACTCACACCGATCGTCTGTGCCCGCGATAATCCTGCTGGCCGTGCCAATGACTTTGTGTTGAGAGAGAACAAACTCTCGCGGCGAGCTGGGCCGCGCTGGCGGGGTGCGCCGCCGAGAGAGGCGTTCGTCAACGAGACAGCATTATCGATCGCCTGAGCAGTCTTGGCATCTGTCATGGTGGACGACGTTGTGCTGCGAGACAGGGACAATGGCATCGAGAGAGGGTGGAGATCTCCACTCTCGAGCTCGGCGTGAGTCATCTCAACATCGTCCTGATGGCCACCGCTTCCAAACTCAGATCCAGGACGGCGGATATACTTTTCACTAGCATCCCAAGCTTGGAAAGCCTCAAAGCCGCCTTCCAAGAACCAAATTTGAATTGGCCCATTTCCACCACAGTTGCCTCCGCCTCGCTCCAGGACGCTGACCACGGTCCATGCAGGGCTGGCTGACCGGCCATACTCTTCCTGACCCGGCCTCATCTCATGATCCAGTACAACAATATCACGGACAGTGGTCTCGTTTCCATGGATATCCCGATCCTGTCTCCATCCATCTTGAATCAAGTGATATAGGTCCTTGTCTGAGGGGATGGTAATAAACGACTCCAGGGCAAACGATGAAACGGCTCCTCCTTTCCTGTAGCGTCGCATGAGCAGCGTCGGGAGGTTGATGTTGATCGAGTACACAATCGAGGCAGGCTCAAAATCAGGCAAGGCCCGAAGATCCAACAATAATGGGCGAGAACCTGCTCCTTGACTGTTGGTCGCCCCCTTTTCCAGCATGGCTGCCAGCCTTGCAGGTGAGAGTCCCTTGGCAGGATAAGGCGTCAATTCTGAAGGAGAAGGTGACAGAATGTGCGAGTTGGAGGTAGTTTCGGTCGGAGATGTCGACGGAGAGGTGTTGGGCGAGGAACCTCCCGATGTGTAAGAGGCTGAGGACGAAGTCGAGTAGGATGAAGAGAGTGTTGAAAGGGCGAATGGGTGAGGGGAAAGCGACGAATTGGGGTGGATGGACGTCGACTCACACATGTTTGGTTCAGCAGAAGGGGTCGTAGGAGATGGAAGGATTGTCGTCAAAGTAGGCGCGACACTCCTTGGAGGAGCGAGTGTAGGGAGTGTCAAGATTGGCACACCCGTCGTCCGCAATGGAGCAATGGCTGTCGTCGTGAAATCCGAAACCGTCAGCGAAAGGGGCGCAGGTTGCGGTATTGAAGGTGCTGGCTGCAGAGGCGTGGAAGTCGCCACAATTGCTACCGGAAGCGGAGGGGGTATCAAGCCTAGTGCCCTTGGCCCTTCAAACCCAGAGGACATGGACTGCCTTGCAGTTCCAGTATCTAGCCTTGAGAATGACCCTTGGATTGACATGGGTGGCGAGGACGACGTCAAAGCGGGGGTCTGCACGTTGGAAGGCGAGGATGGAGATTGTGTCGTAGTCATGCTGTTCCGAGGATAGTAGAACTTTTGGAGAGAAAACTTTGTCGGTGACTTTCCAGGCGAGGAGTGTTGTTGTTGGCTGCCATTAAGATCGGATCCATGGGTGTTACTGGCAGGGGCTGGAGACTGAGCAACAGCAGTAGGGGTGAGGGGAGGAGAGGAGACAGGTGAGTTTCGCCTGGAGGAGGAGAGGAAGCCTCGGAGATAGTTGCTTCGGGAGGAGGTTGAACGATTGGATGAGACGGAGTGTAGTGATGCTAATGATCCGTGGATGCTATTGTTGTTGTTTGCTGACTGTCGACGGTGGTGGTGGGAGGGCGAGGAAGGGCGGGAGGGGGAGTTTTTGAGGGGGCCCTCAAAGCCTTGCTTTTCCAGGCCAGCATCTGTTACGTAGCGGGTTGTTTGAAATGATAGGATAGGCAAGGAGGAATAGGTTATTTCTTTGCACGCGTTAACACAATGGTTTGTTTTGGCTGTTTGCTACAAAAGATCACGAGTGCGGCCAATGGTGTCGGGCCAGTCTTCTTTTGGCAAAGTACGGACGCGTCCCTGGACTGAATTGATGCTGCCCCTTTCTCTCTCTCTCTGTTACTCCACCCCCAGTTCTATTGTTAGAACACTCAGCAACAGCAGACGACGGCAACAACAAAACACATCATACACTTCCAAAAACACCTAAAAAAAAATCCCAATTGTTGTTGATTGTTGTTATCGTTGATATAGACACTTCTGTTGCTACTGTGGAGAAAAAGGGACACACACATCATCAATTGTTTAGCCATTCCACACACACCTACTAGCCCCCCCTCCTCTACTGGACTCCTTCTTTACTGCGAGGTAAAAAAAATAGTCCAAACAAAATAATAACGCCTTTTGTCGATCACACAGCAAGGATACAAGGAGGAAGGTATGAAGAAGAACTGCAGAGTGAAGTGTGAAGTGTGGTCTGTACGGGTAAGTGTATGTATGGTGTATGATGTGTAATGAGTTTGCTGCATCGTTTTGGCTTTTTTTTGTTGAGTGTGTCAGAGAAGGACCATGAGAGCAAGGTTGGAGTCGAGTTTGGTTATAAATAAGGAGTAGGAGGTATGAAAGGAGAAAGACGGCTGTCGGAGGAGAGAGACAACGAAGGAGTTGGGACGGAGGAAGCAGGCATAGGCGAGAAAAGGAGATGCCTGTCCATCCTTGGAACCCTTTCTCTTTTGGTTGAATGATCCCGCAAACAGAAAAAAAGAGAAAAGCATAAAAGTAAAAAAAAGGTTTGCTTACAGTCGGTATTGTTGTTGTTGACAAGCTCTTGTTGGTGAAGGTGACAGTCAGTTGCTGTGGTGGTAGTGGTCGTTACTGTCTTTTCGTTGTTGTTCTTGTGTGTTGTAGCAGTTAATGAATCGTTGTGGTGGATGGAGCTGCAGGAACATTCCGTTGCTGACTGTCCGTTGGAGGGGGAGATGGGCGAGGAAGGCGGACTCTGCTGTTGAGCAGACCAGCAGCAGAGACTGTGCAGCATGGTTGGCTTTGGAATATATGTGAGGTTGAAGGGGAAAAGGGTGGAGGAGAGAAAGACCGAGGTTCAGGGACAGTAGTGTAGTTGTTTAGGTGTCGGTGTTGGCGTTGTGCGAGTGTATGGGTGTGAGGGTGTAGTCGTAAAAGAGTGAGAGGAAGAGTGGCGGTAAATTGGTAGAGAGGAATAAAGAGAGATCGAAGTGAATGAGAGGGACGAAAGGAAGAGAAGAGGAGGTGGTGTTTCGAGGGAGGAATGAATGCAGGTATTGTTGTTGTTGCTGTTATCGAATGAGAATAAGAATAGTCGTAATAAGAGGAGTCCAGGTGAAGGAGGAGGAAGTGGAGGTCATGTGCAAGAGGATGAAACGAGGAAAGGGAAAAAGAAGCCAATAAAAAAAAAGAGGAGGCAGGAAGAGTATGAGTGTATGAGTGCTGTGAAGAGTGAGAGAAAGTGCAGGTATGAAGAGAGTATAATGAGGATGAAGTATACGTGAATGAAAAGAAATAGAAAAAGAAAAAGAGAAAGAGAAAGAGAAAGAGAGAAAGAGAAGAAAGAAGCGGACAAGGGAAACAGAGGAGAACACAAGAGGAATAAGCGATCCAAATGAGTGAAGGGGCTAGCTTCGATACATAGTGTTGTGCGTGTGTGGGCAATGCGCCTTCTCCTATCTATTCTCTACTCTCTACTCTACTCTACACTCTTTTCCGCCCTCCTGCCTGCTCTTGCTCCCCCCCTCATTCCCACATTGGATCTAACACCCCTCCTCCTCCCTGACGCCCTGACGCCCAGACAGGCTAAAACTGACACTACCCTGCATTGGCGACTCAAACAAAAATCATCAGCAATTCATTCATTCATTCACTCATCAGCAGAACTGTCACTGTCTGTTCCAGAATAGAACACACAATACAATCACCCCGATCCACGAAATACACCGTTTTTTTTAATTCTTTTCATTCTTTTCATACTCACACTCACACTCATCTATCACACTCACATTCAGCCCGTTGAAGGGCCAGGTTCGGCACGGTTTCTGTCTCCCTTCCATCTTTCGTTGTGTGATTTACTATTATTGCTCGCTCGCTGCTCTCACCCATCGACCAAACGAGTCCAGTACTAATTGGATTGCTCTCAACGTCGCACACGTTTTTTTTCTTTCTCTATTTTTTTTTTTTTTTTTTTTTTGGTCGTCATTTTTTCTTGGTCAATTGAAAAACGAGGAGACAACTCAACAACCAGCAAAAAGAGAAAAAGGACGAGACTCCGTTCTCACAACAGGACTGATCTGTAAGTCAGTTTCTGAACCAGCTACTTCATATTCATGTTGCAAAGAAAAAAAACGAGTTGCGCGTGAGTGAACCTTGCATGTCGCTAGATACATTGTCATCTGCGTCCACCCGCCTCTCCCTAATGCTAATGCACTTTCTCTCTTTTCTTTCGTATCGCTATACCCCCTTTTTTAGTCATTTTGTTACCTTGTCTTCCTCTAAAAAAAGAGGCGACTCATAGTCGATCTAAATCCGCCCATCTAATAGAGTTAGTTACTCTTCCAGGGGTGAATGAAAATGACTATGATGACCTTATTGTCCTGCCCTTTCCCCCTTATTTTTCTCCACCATTGCCCGCCTCCTTTCTTTTTTTCTTTCTGCAAGTACATTATCAAAAATGTGGTTCCTCATCCCTCCTTCTAGGAGGTTACTTTGGCCTCGCGTCTATTCTGGGACCGATCTATCGCCGAGATGTTGGTCCCTGAAATGAAAACGATGTCTATCCATCTTCTCTGAAACCCAGGGATGGGACCCTTTTTTGGCCTGACAGTGTAGATCGGTATTCATATTAACCACCCTTCGTTACCCCTTGGTTCCTGCTCCTTTTTTTTTTTTTTTTTTTTTGCTCAGAGCACTATTCACTTTGATGAAGGTGATGATGTTGATGATGTTGATGGATCGAGGATGGAGTTTAATCTTGCACCTTAAAGTAGGGTTCACCTTTGATTGTTGTTTGTTCTTGACAATGTCAGGTCCAGGTCCTTTCATTTTGGAGAATTGCTCTCTCTCTCTCTCGTTTTGTTTTCTCTCTCTCCGGCTGTTGGTCGCTGTCAATGTTGTTGTTCGAGAGTACTGTACTGTACATACCTCTCTACAAAGGGAGTACGGTTCCACAATCACAAATCAACCTTTCTTTGCTGTTCTTTTCCTGCAGGCTCACTTTCCAATGCAATGCACTTCTTCTTGTTTGTTTTTCTTTTTTCTTCTTCTCCATGAGGTTCGAGAGGATAGTTCGTTCGCAGGATGAAGCCCAGCTCAAAGTGTTGCCCATATGGTTCTTTTTTTCCTCTCCCTCTCTCTCTGATTTTTGCCTTGCGCCACAAAGAATATGGCTCTGAACCTGAATTGAGCAAAAGGGTTCGTGCTTGCTCTGTCTGCTCGCTGGATCCCCGCCCTCTCGCCGGTCATTTAAAGTACATGCCATGTCTGTCATCTATGAACAAAACAGGCTCACCGCACAAAAGTCGATAACCAACAGCACTTTTTTCAATAACACATCCCGAAACATCTACTAAAGACCACGCTAACAACCCCGTCTCTCAATCATTCGAACTCGAACAATTAAAAGACATGTCCACTTTCCCTTCCCCTATCCCCCCTGCCATGCCATGCACCATCGTCATCTGTTATTTTTTGTTTATTGTTAGCCCTGACAGCTGCTTTTAATAAACACATCTATGAATTCTGTGCGACGCTCAATTATCGTTCATCTGGACAGACGAAGAGACGAAGAGCACACATAAAACCAAAAGAAATATTACTCTGTGCCCAGGGTCGGCGCCGCGTCATTTCGGAGAGGGAACAAACCCTCTTCCAAGAGAGCCTTTTCTTTCACCACAAGAAGAACCAAGAACACAAAAAGACCATGAACAGTAAAAAAAAAAATACCCAGCTGTGGTCGGAGCTAACAAACATATCAACTAGCAATTAGTGAGAAACCCTGTTCGTCATTCTTTCGCAACATGCCTCTCTCTATCCCTTTTCTCTCTTTCACACTTTTCTTCACACCCCATTGTCTTCCTATTTTTTCTGAATACTCATCTCTCTCCTTACACATTACGTCGCTTGCGAAGTACAATGCATGGACTTTTGCCAGTACTTCGTCTAGAATATGGTCCAGCGAGCACACAGCATTTGTTTGCGGTCAGAACGGCTATCGCCCAGCCAGGCGAGAAAGTATTTATTCAGGGTCCTATTTCCAACAGTGAACTTTTAGCCTCCGAAGAGAAAGGCATTTGGTCCGGATAGCAATCTCTCGGGTATTTATCAACGAAGGGGTAGAGGTGGGAACTGGTACAGGTCAAAAGCTATGAACAAAAACTGCCGATTGGTGCTGTCATAAATAAACTGGACCCTAGTGCTTGATTGTCAGTCTCCGCCACTCGACATCGTGCACACTCGGAACAAGCCAAGGGCCTCTTCCAGCACCTGTTCGCCTAGATCGCAACGTGACGCGTCCAAAGAGCTACCTTGTCGTGCTTCTTTTTTTAGGTTCAAAGACGAGCTGTTTGATCACTCTCCTATGCCCTATATCCAGATCTTAATGCCAAAGTGCACAGACTCTTAAGACGACTTTGATTAAAGCGATCTCTAATCAGATATAGTGAGGCGCATCATTTGCTGTGAAAGAACTGCCTCGTATGAATGTCCATGTTGATCGAGTGCGTTTTTGTCGCAGGCTGTGAGAGTTGACTTTTGGGCGCAAGGAGGAGAATGCAGAAAGTGCGATCTGAAATTGATCGGTGATGAAGGAAATCATGTGACCTTTCTAGCATCATTCAAGTTGTGATAATTTTTACACGGCCTAGAAGTCCAGATCGATTGAGCGGGAGTCTCCGCTCCGCATTGTTATTTTGCTTCCCGATCGACTTGATCTCTTTTTTCCCCTCTTCATCCCCATCTCCCTCCTCCCATCCCTCCACTCAATCGCCATGTTCGCCGCCCGCCGTGCCCTCCAAGTAATACCCTGCTCCACCTCTCTATTCATCTCTCACGCGCGCGCTCATTCTCCCATCGATCGTCCACTCCTCAACTGTCAACAACCCACCTGCAGATCGCCCGCCACTGCCTCCTTTTTACACCTTCCAGGAACGAGGCTCTGCAGCCTGTACCTGACCCTAATACCATCACCAACCATGCGCTCTTTAGCAACATTCATTCATCCACTTTGACACTCTCCAAGTACACACCAACCCCTTTCCTCTCTTCCTTGCACTCTACCAACAACTCCATCGGCCATCCAGCAACAACCATTCACAAACGCACATATCACACACGTTCCTTTCACACTTCCAGCCTAGACGATAAACTAACATATCACCCACGACGTTTGTTTTCGTACCTCTAGGCCACCCGTGGCTATGCCACCTCTGCCAACATCCAGGTAATGATCCCTCTTCAATCATATCCGATCAAGAGCGCAACGCCTTATTATTCAGGAACAGCAGCACTCTTGGACCTGACGGACAGACACGTCAACTGTCAATGCACCAACACGAAGTCTTGATCGTACATCAGTCAGGAGGGAAAGAGATTCGACTTTGGGATGATCTCAGGAACCTGGACCGAATCATTCAACTCGCCTAGTGCAGATCGATCCAACAGTAACCTTCTCTTTCATCGCATCATCACATCGCGATTTTTCACAGTCTCCTAACGCCTTGACGCCTTGACGCCTCCCTTTTCTATAACCAACAAAAAACAGATCCCCGCTGTCATCCACGGAATTGAGGGTCGTTACGCTACCGCCCTTTACACCGCCGCCGCCAAGAAGCAGGCCTTGGAAGTCGTTGAGACCGACTTGAAGCAGGTTAAGCGCATTGTCGAGAAGGACTCTAAGCTCCGTGAGTACCTCGAGAACCCCACCATCAACCGTATCGAGAAGAAGGCTGGTGTCCAGCAGTTGCTCGCTGCTGGCAAGTACAACGAGTTGACCAAGAACTTCTTCGATACCTTGGCTGAGAACGGTCGTCTCTACGATACCGTCAAGATCATCAACTCCTACGGTTCTTTGATGGGCGCTCACCGCGGTGAGGTCCAGGTCACCATCACCTCCGCCAAGGTAACCTATCACTTCTTCATTGGCGCTTGTTCGGTGTTTGAACATTGACCAAAAGTTCATGTTGCGAAGATTGCTAAATGGAATTTACTGACCCTTTTTCTGTGTGTGGCTGTTTGGCATATCAAATAGGAGTTGGATGCCAAGGAGGTCGCCAAGGTCAAGGGTTACTTGCAGAAGTCTTCCTTCGTCACCGCCAAGCAGACCCTCATTGTCTCCAACAAGGTAACACATATGGACCACCAGGATTCAATCGCGTGGTTGTCAACAGTTGGTACAGCCATCATATTCTCGGGAAAGCAATTCGCTAATCTGGACCAAACATTGCATCAATTTACATACGATAGGTCAACCCCGCCATCCTCGGTGGTTTGGTTGTCGAGTTCGGTGACAAGACCATTGACTTGTCCGTCTCCTCCAAGATCAACAAGCTCAACCAGTTGCTCCAGGGTTAGTCACTAGTTGTCATTTTACATTCTTGGATGTTTTCCTATGTTCGATCGTCTCAAAGCCATAATGTATTGTCTCCCTAATGAATTCTTCTATTGCTTTTCCATTGTTTAACGTCAAATAGAGGCCATCTAAATTATGCATCTCCTTTACACAACTCATTTTGGAAACGATCAACAAATACAAAAACCTACACATCCAAATCTAACCCGATGATGACAACCTCATCTTTGGTACATGATAAAGACGCGCAACCCACCCATTCTGTTCTTACACTTTTTTATTTTTCTTGTTTCTCTGCAAACCACTCTCCCTTCTCCTCCATCATAAACGTACACCTCTCACTCCCCTCAAAATAAAAACAACAACACGGCAGCTCATAATACCTGGGCTGATCAATTATTCGTTTTTGTCTACAATTCTTTTTTCACTTCACGCGCGCGCGTGAGAGGTAGGGAATGGGCTGAGAAAGGGACGGTTCTGAGAACGCAGCCTTCAATTGCCTTGTACTCGTTTCTTCAAAGGACGCGACATGTGTTTTCGTTTTTGTGACTCGTTTCATAATTCATTTATTAGACAATAACAAGAACGCGACGGGCCCTCTTCCCCTATTTATTTTACTTTCTTCACATCAACTCCCCCTCTTCGCCACCCCACGACACCCACAAAAAGAAATGGACATTGACGACTTTCCGAATGACCTTCAACTTGACGACGCGGCTTTTGAGCAGTTTGACGACTATGATGCCTTTGCGGATGAGATGATGGAGATTGCCGAGAAGGCTGACCAACAACAGCAACAACAACAAAAACAACAGCAAGCGTCAAGGACTGTGGCCACTCCTTCTCAGTCTTCAGTGTCTTCGGCCTCAGCCACGGCGACAAGAGCTAGTAGCAGTGGAATCGGAGCCTTGCCAGCACAACGGGACTACTTGGCCATGCTGAACGCTCAAACCCAGCTGGTGGAACAACAAGTTGCGCAGAGTCAACAACAGCGTGCCGCAGCGGCTACGGGTGCTGCTACTGCTACATGGAAAGGTGCTGCTACCAAGAAGGGAGGTAGTGGCGGCGGTGGGTGGAACAAGCCTATTGGGTCGACGAGTGGTAACGCGGATGCTCCTGTGGAAGGGGATTTGGCGACTGTTAATGTTGCGAAGAAGCGGGCAAAGATGGTTCGTCTGGATTCTGAGAAGTAGGTACCTTTGAGGGAACTTATTTGTACTGGATCTTATGCGTATTGACTTCCAGGGAGAGGAAACGGTTCAACTCACCATTGTTTTGCGCTGTACATATTTTGGTCGATAGACTGCTTGGTATTCAAGGATTCCCGATGCTGATGGCTCAAGGAAAGCGATTCAAGATCCGGAACAAGTACAGGACATCTGTGGAGAAGGACGCAAACTCTGTAAGTACACTGTGGGCGTAGTGCGCCTTGTTTTATTTTGCAGGCTTGACCATTCATATTGATGACAAAATATGAAACTAACGACGTACTGCTACTGCACACAACATGATAATAGAAAAAGAACTTGGCGGATCTGATGATTCTGTACCAGACCTGGGCACACAACCTGTTCCCCAAATCAACCTTCCGAGATTTTATCCTCCAAACCGAGGCCAAATGCAAATCTGACAAGCAAATGAAGGTACAACGAGATCTCGCTCTTACATGTACTCTACTGAATGAAGCGACTGGTGCATAGAGCAAAATATCTGACCAAAACACGCTTTTCCCGCATTGGCAACATAGGCATCGATGAACGGCTGGAGGGATGCTTACTGGGATGAGGTTAAGGAGAAGCTGAATGTGGTTGATGATTCTGAGCGAGCAGCCATGACGGCCGAGGATCGGATGAATGGCGTCTGGGAGCAGCATACAGCTGGCCGTGCTCAAGGAGCTGCAGAGAGCATGGAACAGGATCCATTTCTTGACGCCGAGAAGGGCGACGGACAACCATCGTCGTCCACCTGGAGCTTTGGTAACGAGGATACTAATTTTGCTACCACTGGCAACAGTTCAGGTGGATCTAAACCTGCACAACCACGAGAAAGACCCGCTGCGGCGTCCAGGAAGGGCAAGGAGAGATTGGTCGATAACTCATCAGCGGCGATGCGGTTGCAGATCTCAGATAATGAGGATGATGGTAGTCAGGATGATTATGAGGTTGCTTTGAGCAGGATGAGGGACTCGATGAATCTGAACAGTCGGTCACCGGTCGTGCAGAGGACAACGAGCAGAAACCAAGATCGGAGCCGGTCGGGTGCTGAAGCTATGGACGAGGATCGTCAGCCCTCGTTGCGGATATCTGGCAGTGGTATGAGTCGTGCTGGTAGCATCTTTGATGAGGAAGAGGAAGACGATGACGAGGCACCGTTGTTCACACACAGGGCGTTGCAGATGATTGGAGGATTGAGTGCTCTAGAGGAGAGGCAGAGAGCAGCGGCTGCTGAGAAGGAGAGCAACGGCAGTAGCATCAATATACCCGGGAAGAAGACCCCTGTCTCGACCCAGAGAGCGACCTTGCCATCGGACGAGGAAGAAGAGGAGAACATCAACAACAACACTCTGGATCAAGCCGACCCAAGTCCTGTGAACCTATCTTTGGGATCGCAGTGGGGTTTTGGCAGCGGTGAAAGCATGTTTGGAGAGTTCAAGAACGCCGGTAGTGGTGTTGCTGTTAAGGGAGAGTCTGGTCTAAACCTGGATGATGATGAAGATGATGAGGAGGCTGCAGTGATTTCACAACGTCGTCCCAAGGCCAGGAAGGCTCTCATTCTTGAGGATTCTGACGATGAGTAACATCCACACATGCATCTACAACCTTTCTTACTAATACAAAAAAAGAACAAAAACACAAGAAAGGCAAAAAAAAGTAAAATTGTATTATGCAGCTTGAGGACAAGTCTGATGGTATCTGGCCCAAAGGCGACTTTCGATGATGGACATATCCCTGACAAGACCCGGGTGTGCCAGAGGCAACACCTTCTCCAGACGAGCCATCATCTCAGGGTCATCCAACAGTCCAGCGCCCAAACCTAGCCTTTTCAGTCGAGGGCAGAAGTTTGTGAGGGTGTTGTCGTTTGAGGGAGCTGTCGGTGTTGAGGGTTGACCAATGAGGAAGTAGATCAGGGCTTTGTTCTCAGCCCATTCTGCATCGACCGCCAGGTCTTCGAGCTGTTCGAGAACTACACCGCCTCCTCCTCCTCTTCCTCCTCCTCCTCCTCCTTTACTGCTGTCGCCAACCACGGTGTTGCTATTGTCAGGAATAGAAGAGAAGTGATCGAGATCTGGTGGAAGGTCGTCGAGTCTTTGGATATGCTAGAGGGTCAGTCGACGGAGGGTCTTTGAGCATGTCTGGGCCAACACCTCTATCAACCCCTTTCCTCTCTTTATCGTCTTTCCTTCCTTCCAATCGCCGCTATCATCAATGTCTTCACAAGTCTCTTTCGCAGAAATATCCCACTGCACCAAAACCAATTCCTCAACCCGCGTCAAAGTCTCAAGACACTCCACGTCCAAATCTTCCAACATCCCCGAATACGGCACATTTCCCACCCACTTTAACCGTCTCAGCTGCGAACCATGCGAACGGACCAAGTGTACCAACCCGGGAGAGGTTCCATAAATGGTGATGTCCGTGAGTCTTGGGCATTCGTAGTGGCGGCGACCAAAGAGGCGGCGGTGGTCGTTGAGGAGGGTTTGGATGTGGTCGCTGTTGGCGAGGATGGTATCGTCTGGAATAAAGTATGTTCGTCTCCTTGATTCTGTTGCTCCAGTTGTTGAGGTTGGTAAGGACTCGTCAGGAGAGTAGCATGCGGAGGGGGAGGAGCGGAGAGGGGACATGGTATGTCCGTCGTAGATGGTCCAGAGGGCTGGGTAGAAGATTGAATACCAGGTTCGACAGACTTTTGAGCATGCGATTAGGGTGGTGGGTGTGAAGTGGTAGAGGGGTGGAGGTGAGTCTGAGAATCGGTTGTCGTCGCTGTTGTTGTTGTTTTCGTTGAGGATAGGTTCCCAGGCAGGGATGGCTAGACTGACACGGAAGAGGATCTCTGGCAGGAGGAGAGGGTGGAGCTGATAGCTTGCAAGCATTCTTGTGGGTTTAATATTGCTGAGAGGAGTTGACTTGTATTGTTGAAGAGAAAAGAAAAGAAAAGAAAGAAGGACGGATGGACGAGAGAATAAATAGCAAAAGAAGACGTCGAAAGATAGGGGACGAGTACGTTTTGCTGTTAGATGATTTCCTGCGCATGAAGGACAAAAGAGGCAAGAAGCGCAAGGGAGTGAAGGAGGGAGTAGGAAGGAAGGGTTAGGGTCAGCCCTGTCCTTCAGCAAAGGAAGGACGTCTAGTAAGACACCGCCACAAAAAAAAACGCGCCTATGGGACCCAGGAAGTGTTAAAAAAAGGTCACCTTTGTGTGGCTGTCGCGCGTAGTCGTCTCAGGCCTTGGCGTTTTCACTAGTGTGGCACGATTTAAACGACTGTGGGCTGAGGGAGTCGACGCCCCCTCTGGCGCAGTATATAGTACATGGGTCAATGACCACAACCGGCATACTCCCTTTTGTAACTCTTTCCTCTTTACAAACAAACAAACACCCAACAGCAACACCCTTACTCACTCACATTCACAAAACAGCCAACAATAACTACACCCGCTTAATCATCACCAGATTCAGACACAATCCCACCCGCACACACATTCGCAATGACCCAACAGCCTCAACGGACTCATCCCCTAGAGCTGCCTGCGATCCTCGAACTCATCGGGACTTGCCTCGATGACGACGAAGACATACCCTCGCTCAAGGCTTGCAGCCTCGTCAACCATGAGTGGCACCGTCACTTTGCGCCTTTTCTCTGGTGGCGCATCATCGACGACTTTGACAGGGTCCTCGTCCGGCTCTTCAAGATCAAATTCGCGCCCACTCTGCCTTACGTCGATCCTGAAGCCCGCCTTGAACAAGAGTTTCTTGCCCTGGTTGATAACTTTGTCGCCAAAGTCGATGACCCCACGATCCCTATGGCCATCCATCGAGAAAGGAGGACTTACATCAACACCCCGTCCTTGATGAGCTTCATTATTCTCGGATACCTCTGCAAGCCTGCTAGAGCGATCGACTTTGACTTTAATGTGCCTCCCCAATTCCTGATATACGATGCCAGTGTGGGCCAAATGGTCGCGCCCGAGAACGTTCGAATGTCGGAGGATTACTGGAATACGGAGCAACGGATCGAAAGCGTCCTTACCGTGTTGGAAAACAGTCCATTGTTGGAGACTCTCCGCCTGCGTGACTCGGGTGTGTTCCCGCAGGGCATCCCACACCAATGGCGGCAACTAGCACTCCCACTCCCAGCAGCAGCAGAGTGGTCGCTCACAGAATCGGCGGAGGCGGCGAGCGAACCTCCAAGGTGGCCCAAGTTGCACGCTGCTACTTTTGAGATGGCTAAGGTCGACCGCCACTACCTCGAGATCTTTCTTCACAACGCCCCTCACCTTCGGACTTTGCACCTTAACCACATCAAGATCCTCAACATCCAAGGGAATACGATACAACGACGCATCTTGCCCGACCCGGCCGCGCTCGCACTATGGAGTCGGGACTTGTACTGCTCGGAGGATTCTACCTATCCTTGCACTCACATTGAGGAACTCTCCATGTTGGCCCTTCGAGGCATCACGCCCCAGGAACAACTGGAGTTTGCCCTCGGACTCCCGCACTTGATGTCTTTTACTTTCACGCTGGACCCAAAACTCAATTCTGTCCAACTCGCCTATAAGCTAGGCTTTACTCATCTGACCTCTCTGACACTCTCGGGCACCTTTAACCACGAGGTCTTGATCCGCGCAGCGAGGCGTCTTGAGTATCTCCATTTGACTAACACCACCTTTGTGGACGACGACCTGTTCAAGACGATCTGTAAACACAGCGATACCCTTGAGACGATTTTCATCACGTCCAGGATTGGGGCCTTGAACGAAGGACCTGGCCCGCACCGAATCCTGAGGACCTGCCATCGGCTCTTGGAGCTCACGCTCTTGTCACCTCGTTTCGACTGTGACCCAGAGATGTTCAGAGGCCACCCCTGGGTGTGCACAGGTCTCCAAACACTTTTAGTCGTCCCCGATTGTGATACTACCGGTTCGACCTCCACACCCTCCCAGGCCCAGACGGCGTTCTTCCAGCAGATTGCTTCGACATTGACGGAGTTAAAGAGTCTCAGCTTCGGTGGTGGAACGGGCAGCTTTAAGTTCAAGCCCCATGAAGGGTTGATGCTGCTGACACCGTTGAAGGAGCTGGAGTTGTTGAATTTGAAGTCCAAGTCGTTGGATTCCAATGCAGAGTTGACGGTCGAGCATGCCAAGGTGGTTGTGAGCGAGTGGCCAAAGCTTAGGGCCATTGAGGGCTTGTATCATTACATGTGCCGAGAATTTATTAGCTATGTCCAGGAGCACCGTCCTGAGGTTAAGTTTCCATTCTAGCGTGTTCAAACTTCTAGGAGCTTTTCTTTTTTCTTGCAGCAAGGTTACTCCCATTGGGCGTGGAATGAAATAAAAAAAACTGGACATCATTGACGAAGTGAAGCTGAACGTGATAGGATTAATGGGCGTTGATTTATCTGTGCTTGGATTTACGGATCACATACCGGTCTAATTCAAGATCCGTAAATCCAAGCATAGATAAGATGGACTGAATAACACCCCTTATATATTTCAATTCAGTGGAAAGGTCCACATTTTACTATGAAAAGTGGACCTTTCTGCAAAATGAGGTGTATGAAAAACAATCTGAGGTTGCAAAGAGACAGGCGATTTATTGCGCAAGGTTGTAGTACATGCAAATATGCAATGGTGTTATACAAAAGAAGCAAAAGGAGAAAAGAGGCCAAAGACAGGTTGAGAGAACCGTTTCAACAACGATGACGGCTGCACCATCAGGATCCGGAATGAGGGGATGGAACTTCAACACTCAAGCGGCTGGGATCGTCATTTGCCTCTGACTCAGAAACTTTCAAGGTGGAGCCGTGATCGGACGCGAGCGTCGCGTGGTTCAATTCATGTCGCTCCTCACCCTCGTTTTGAACTACTGTACAGCAAAAAGGAACCCAAAAAAAAATCAAATGAACTGAACTGTTTCCCTAAATGCACTATTCTAAAGGGTGCGAAACGGTCACGGATATATAACACACGGGATGATTGACTGAAGCATGTCCAAGAACGACAAGTGGAAAGTCATACAGTGTTCTTCTTTCCACCACGTGCGCTATATATCACCTTTTTAGAATAGTGCATTTAGGGAAACAGTTCAGACTATTTGATTTTTTTTTGGGTTCCTTTTTACAATGAAAAGGAACCCAAAAACACATTTTCACTGTCATTATTGCAGTGCAGATAGGAGGGTGTGGGTGCACAGATGCGTCTTCGGTGACGTAATTTATGCGCCCATTCTGCTCTAGTCTAAAAGGGTCTAAATTCGCTGTTCACCTTTCTGTTACTGACTTCATCGTCAGACAAAGAAGCCATGTCAACACAGCCATCGCCACCAACATCAACAACGGCAGCAGCCGCACAGGGTGATCCGAATCAGGACCAAGACGCCGACATCTCCATGACCTCCACCTCGTCCCCAGCAACTGCAACACGACCAGAGAGTCAAGACACTATTGCAAGTCAGCAGCCGCCACAGCAACGCCAGGAATCCGAGGAGGAGGTGGTGGTGGAGAAAGAAGTACAGGTGCTGAAGAGCGAGGAGCAGGAAGAAGTCAAGGAACCACAGGGCAGAGTGAAAGAGGAGGAAGGTAGTGAGATGGAGGGTGTTGTTGTGAATGAGGATGTAGGAGGTGCTGATGGACAACTTTCGGAGCAGGAGAGTCGTCAGCAGACTACCATCACTACCGCGACAACTAAACGTACCAAGGCTGCCGGTTCAAAGTCTAAGAAACCTGCAACAGGCACAACGCGCACAGAAGACGGACAAGACGCAGGAGAAGAGGAAGTGGAGGATGATGTTGATGAGGATGAAGAGGAGGATGAAGACCGGAAACCAACTACTACAAAGTCAGGTCGCGCCGCCGAGGAAGAAGACGAACTGCCATTATCATCAGACGACGACGACGAAGGAGACGAAGAAAACGAGGATGAAGAAGGCGGCGCCGGACCAGGCCAAACCCCCAACGACGAAGAGTACAGCAACCTGCCCGAGGAGACCCTGTGTCGGTGGAGGGATTGTGGAAAAGTTTTGCCGTCCTTAGCAGCGTTGGTGATCCACCTGTCGGATGAACATATTGGGTGGAAGAAGACGGCTTATACCTGTGAGTGGCAGGGGTGTGCGCGCAGACCTATTGCTCAGACGACTCGGTTTGCATTGATCTCGCATATGAGGAGTCATACCAAGCACAAACCTTATGATTGTCCTGTCCCAGGTACAGTTTCTGGTTTTTTTGCTTGGTATTCTGAGATTTGTTCGTTCGCATACTTTTCACTCAGGATACTGACCATATGTTGTTCCGTTCGTCTTTTTTATTCATTAGAATGTGACAAGAGCTTCAGTCGCTCCGAGTAAGTCTTGCTCTCAACCCCTATTCCCTTATTCGATTGCATGGAAACAGACACTGCAGGCAAGCAAAGCTGACAGCTCTCCTTTTCTTCTTTCGACTAGCGCGATGGCAAAACACCTCAAATTCCAGCACGGAGATGTACCAGAACGATTCACAGGACGGAAATCCCGAGGCCGATATACCATGAAAGACCCAGCAGCCTCATCAACCCTCCTCCACTCGTCATCCTTTGGCGCCAAGAAGCGGCGGCACCCTGATTCCACTCGATCTGAAACCGATCTCCCTTCCACTTCATCCAAACATCGTCCGACAAAACTCCGGAAGCTTGGCGCTGGCGGTGGCGAGGAGTATGACGAGGATGGGTACTATATTGGGGATCAACAGCACACTCACGGCAACAGTGAACATCGACATTACCATCACCGTTCACATTCTGACCGCGTGATCCTGCAGCATCTGGAGAACGCTCGGCGAGGAAAAGGAGGAGCATCAACAGTAACAGCAGAAGGAGGGCGCAAGAAGGAGCGTGTACGGACCAATACCGGTGACGATAACGACGAAAACAACAACGAGGACGAGGACGCAAGCGGGGACGATGACAGTGACTTCGAGACGGACAACGGACAGACACCCAGGCAGCGGTACGGGCTCCTGAAGGCCAAATACGACTACATCCATAATGAGCGTGAAGCCCTGGAAGCCGAGTACGAGGACCACAAAAAGAAGTTACAGCGACTTCGTGTTGAGCAGGAGTTATTGCTCGATGCTCTCCTTGTCAGTCAGGAGGAGTTTCAGGACCCTGCTCTTCAGGCTATTGAAGACAGTGATTAGTTTTTCTTGTTTGTTTGCTTTTTATCCCACATTTGTACCATAGCCATTAAAAAAGATAATTCACATGCCATACTTTTTCTCAGACTCCCTTAAACAAATCCCTCACAAACAACACCTTTTTGCGTTTCATTCCTTTATTGCTAAACATTGCAATCTCTCCCCCAACAAGACGCAGAACAACAGGTCACAAGCAAACAAATCACATCCACAAAGCAGTAACTTATTTGCTCATTCCAGCGACGGTCTTGGGTCGGGCCTCCTGATCCGATATTGAGCGCAAGAAGATCTGGTCTGGTGCATGGTCCTTCTCGCCCTGGTCAAATGTATAAGAACTGGCGACCGCCAGCGTCTTGCCGTCACAGGACCATGACAGCGACGAGACCGAGGTTGGGTACCGTGGGTACTGTCGTAGCCTCTTTTTGTTGTATCCATCCCACATTGTCACTCCTCCATCCGATCCTCCTGATGCGAACGTTCCGTGACTATATTATATGAGAGAGCGGACAGAAGGATTAGACACCAATACATATACCTATCAAATAAACAAAAAAAATATGTTACGGCAGCCAAGAAGGACAAAGAAATCTTACATAGGATGGAACGCCAAGGCGTTGACGGGATAGATCATCTCAACACCATCCTCATTCTGGCGATGACACTTGAAGGCATACTTCTTGGCCTGACTCTGTGGTGAAGGGTCAAAAAACTCGACCGCAACACGGCCCTCGATCGACGACGACGCATACCCCTGCCCGTTTCGCATACACTTGACAAACCGTGTCTGGTACTTCAACGAGCTCTCCCGACGCTGCAGGGTTTCCTTCATATTCCTAAGATCGTAGATAAACACATGACGTCCTGCCATGGCGACGACCAGTTTCTGGTCGCAGACGTCGAGGGAGAAGATCTTTTCGGGTTGGTGGTATATTCCCAGGTTTGAGCCGTGCTCGGCACCTCCTGCGCGGTGGTCCCATGTCCCGATCGTCTTGTCCCATGATCCCGTCACCAAGAAGTCTGCAGCATCGAGGAATATACAAAAAGATGTTAGTTTCGTGTCTTGACGTAGTGTGAGTCCATGTCAGCAGTATCCACAACTGATTTAAGAGCAGCAGTTCGTGAGACATCCAGAGTACATACTGTTGGCGGTACTAAAAGCCATCGTACGCACAGCATCATCATGGTTTCCCAACACAACATCCCGTCCCGTCGAAAAGTCGTGCCTAAAAACATCCCCATCAAGAATGCAGCTGTTAGTTCTCGTCAAGAAAACAATAGTTCACCGTTTTGACGTAATACCATTTTGGTCCCCCAACATTGTCGTCACTCACATCCTGACGGCTTTGTCGAGTCCTCCGCTGTACGCCTGCATGCCTTCCCCAAAGCAACAGTCCAGAACTGCCGCACTGTGGTAGTATTTTGCCGTCTGCTGGTTCTTGACAATATCGTATAACGCTACACTCTAACAGGCCGAGAGAAAAAAAAGAGGGGGAAAGATAGTGTTAGTTGCTTGGTTTTTTGTTTTTTCTCCTGTGCATCCCATTCGTTAAGTGCGACCCATTAGTGTCCTGATCCGCGCTTCCTTGTTTGAAAGACTTCATGCCATGTCCAGGAGGCTCGGTCGTTTGGCCTGTTGTGTGATCTAAACGAGGATGGGCTATTGTTGTGAACGAGGTACCTTGTCCCAGGAGGAGACCATCAGGACCTCTGGTTTGGAGGGGTGGAAGGTGACGGTTGAGATGGCATCGTTTGGGGGTTCGAAGAGTTCGTATTCGGCGGCCATGGGTGATGTGTCTGCTGCTTGGTCTATATGTTGGTATGTTGAAGAAACGAGAAGGTTGTGCGGTGTGAAAGAAGAATAAAACCACACGAAAGAAGTGGCAGATCCAAAAAGTGGCTTGGAAAATTTGTGTTGGTTGGGTGTGGACCATGATTGAAGTTACTGTCAGTTAGGTTGTTGGTTAGGTTGTCATTTTCTTTCTTCTCTTGCTACATATGACTTAGTAACACTGCCTTTTAATGTGTCTACCATGATGCAAACTCTATGGGCGGAAAGGTTGCCCTCAACCGATCAACGATATCCAACCCTAACCCGCCCAAGAGTGTCATTTTCTCAAGACGTGGGAAAGCAAGGGTGCCTCAACTACAACCCCATTCTCAGACACCCATGGGCTGACACGTAGGGTCGTCACTGTCGGCAATGTGATACTCATGCTCGAACTTGTATTGACCGTCAAATTTCGGAGCTGAGAAATCGCGACACATAACGTCGTCAGACTGGGTAGACTACCAACAAGACCAAAGAACTGGCTCAGGATCGCCTCGTTCGGAAAAGAAATCGACGCCACGTCAAGCCACGCAAGTTTTCCCTGACACGCCCAAGGCGCCGTAAAATCGTAAAGATTGTCCCGGTGGCGATAGCTGCACATCTTGCGTGAACGTCTTGTAGGTGTGGGAGCTACCGACGGTCAGAGACTCGAGTTCCGGGAACTCAGTCAAGACATATAGGAGGATGATAAAAGCACGTTCGTTGGGTCCTATAATGGTGAGAGACATCAGTGGAGGTGACTCTTGTATGCTGCGGATGGCTTCATACCGCTGTCGACAACCCTTGAGATTGGAAGGATCAATCATCTCTGGGAACCGAATAACGCTCAAACAGAGAGTCTCGAGTTTACGAAACAGATAAAGCGGAGCTGTGGAATCGGGTAGCTGTAGTTCATTAATCAAGTGTCCGTTCCAGAATTGAAGATCCCGGAGAAGTGGGCAGTGTGTAGCAAGGACCGTCTAAGTCTCAGTGACAATATTCAAGTAGCCGTGATCGATCAATAGTCGTTCCAGTAAAGGGCATTGAACAATGATCTTGTGGGACGTCGGTACATCGATGGAGGGTGATCGCACATGGAGGTACCGGAGATTGTATCCACTAAGCATATGCACCACAGGGGGATGTGACGGGATACCAAAAGCACGGGGCATGATTGTTCTTTTGAGACGGGCCAGCTTGGAATTCTTGGCTCCAGGAAGCTGTCTTATCCAATAAAGTTCTGCAATGTTGGACAGCATTGCAGAACACTCGTGTAGAGTTCTGGCGGATGGTGCTTGGAGTCATAGTAGTCCGAGTAAAAGACATGAAAGTCCAGTCGGATCAAGTTGGTGAGGTTGGAGATGCTCCAGAGAAGGGAGAGAGGGTAGGGCGAGGCATCAAAGTGGATGTAGAGACTGGTCAGGTTGGTGTGCATACGACCGAAGAATGTGTTGAGGATAGGGTATTGTTCCCTTGAGGGGCGGTGGTCAAGGCGCAGGCAGAGAAAGGTAACGCTTGGACAGAACTGTGCGATTGAGGTGAGGAGGGTCTTGTCGAGGAATCTTAGAGTGAGTTTTTGGATATAGGGTCCATTCCGCTGTGATATGATGGTCGTTGTAGGTTGTTTCCTGTCGTGCTCAGTGAGCCTTTTCCACACATACGGCGCAAAGATACCAGTTGTTAAAGGAGACGAAAAGGGTCGGCGATTTGATCATTAAGAGAAGAAACTAATAAGGTACCGTAATGAGCGTTCCTGACCTTAGTATCCAACTTGGAGCCTGAAACTTGGCACCGGCATAGATCCTCTTCATGTTCATATACAGTAAAAGATTCAAGGTTAATTGTTGGCAGTGCTCAAAGATTGGGGAAAGTGAGGTGCAATTTTATTGTGTAAGATCAAGCCGTCCTGCTAGTAGCCAAGGTCAATCACACCATGGGAACATAAGCGCTATTAGAGTACCACCGCTGGAGGTAACGGTTCAGGAATTTTGACGCCTTGTAGATAGAATGATGGACGTGTCAACAGGCTTTTCTTCATTTGAACCAGGCGTGGACGTCCAGTGATCTTGGCAAGAGTGTTGGACGCGATCTCCTAAAACAATTGACAAAGAGATACGGATACATTAATAGGTACAATCACCAACAAAAAAAAAAAAAAAAAGGCTTATATCATACCCTGGCAGCTGTCAAAGGACCCAATGCATGCAGCAGTAAGGGTAACTGGAGCTTATTCTCAGGGATTTCGAACGTTCCCAGGGCCTTCGGTATATAAATTGCCTCATAGGTAATGTCCATCGAGAACACTTCACACCGTCGATCTAGAGTGAAGGAATGATCAAAGGCATGGATAAGAACACGATATCTATTGAAATGAAGTAACCCAGGGCCCTAGAGTCATCATACAATACCCTGAACAAGCATCCCTAGAATGACAGGGTCCTTCACGCCGGCTTCAAGTAGACAGTTAAGGCTTAACTTCATGAGAAGGAACATCTTTCTGATATCTACGTCGAAATCGTCCCGATCAGCATCTGGAGACTTGACTTCAAGCACGGCAAAAGGAAGGCCATCCTTTTCGGCGAAGAAATCGGGATAGAGTCGCTCTTCGTAGTCTGGCGGTACTGGGAACGGGTCAATGGTCCTTTGAATACGAATGAGAGTTAAGTGAGATATTCGGACGAATGTTGATCAAGAACGACATCTCAATCAATCACCTAAGTAACACATACCAGTGTTCCTGAAAGTCAAGCTGCGCAAATGTACCAGTAACGAGAGGCTTTACTGACCGTTCAATGTAGGTGCTCTCGTTGACAGCAAGTTTCGAGGTTCCATCACGCAGGATTCCTGATGTTGCATAGACCGATATGATGTCACCCGCAACACTATCTTGCTGTGCTGTTCTCTCCTTGATATATGCTCTCCCTTGCTGGTAGTCGACCGATCCCACATTGAGGCAGCAGGATAAGAGTAGATCAACGTCGTCGCTCTTTGGGTTTGGGACTGATTGTTGGCTAAGACGGCTTGCAGTTTCTGGCGGCAGATTATTCTCGAGAAAGACCTTGGTGAAGATGAAGTTGAGGGAGAGCAGATCTGCTGTCGATTTCAAAGTGCACTGCTGCTTGACCATCTCTCTCCTTGCAGTCATCAATCGTTCTGATACGTCCAAGACGCCAATGACATACTTGAACTTCGTTCTTAGCCTGCATGATGTTTCTCCAGGGCCAGTAAGATTATTGTGGTAATGGAAATCGGCGGTGGAAAGCGAGGTTCTTGCACTAGTGCTAGTCGAAGGCTGGAAATCAGAATCCGACGGATTCGAGCTGAGCTCGTTCCCAAGGAGCACCCCTGTCGATGTCCCCTGTTCCTGCTCTTGCTCCTGCTCTTGTGCTGAGAGTTGCTCTTGAGACCGCTGCTTCTGTGAGCCTTGGAGTTCACGAAGTGCATCCTTGAGCTGTTGCTCACCCACGGCAATCTGCAATGCGGAGGAATTCCTGGCAGCAGCGATCACATTCTTGGACTAGGTTAAAGCCGCATGAGTATGGTGTGTTAACTTCAAAATCTAATATGACGTCTCAGGACATGCATAGAGCGCTTAGGACATGAATCATACCCGTAGTTTCTTCAGACTCTTAGATGCCCAGTAGTTATCCAGGCTAGTACCCCTGTCCTTCCACATTCGCTCCATCTCTTTTCCATCTTTTCTTATCTCGGGAACAGGTGATGTTTTGGCTTGACTGTATAATGAGACATAAGCTAGGTGCAGCTTCGCTTTGTCTTTAAACGTGCCGTCCATCCATTGGAGAAAGGCCGCCGGGCTTAAGTCGTCTGGACTGGCAGATTTGAATTCCTCTAGGGTGAACTGCTGACCTTTCATGGACACAGACATGATACTACGACAACGCAAGGTTAATATTGGAAGCTGAGGCGTAGTCGTGCACAACAAAAGATCTCCACTAGCCACACTAGCGAATTTACCGTTGAATTTGACACTGAAAGATGGACAAGATGGATGAACGAGGTGGTCGTGATGCGAAATTGAGTAGAGTTCGACGACGTGAATGGACGTTCCGGTGCGAAGGAAGCGGTTTTATGGGACAATGGGCGCGAGAATTACGTCACCGAAGGAAAATCTAATGCTATCTTGCGCGATTGACTTGACTGCGCTCCCTTTCGCTTGACCCATACCCTCCGGCTTACAGCCTTCCCACCCTTTTCCACCTTTCCACAGAAACACTCTGTCACTTTCTTATCACTTTCAATCTTTATTCCCTTGACACAACACGCGTATTTAATAATGAATACCATGAATTCCAAATCAGTTCGCTTTACTCGATCCCGGAATGTTTGGGCATTATCGTTTGCCACGTTGTAAAGAGGACTATCGCATCGATCTCACTTTGCTCGTACAGTAGTTCCCAGGCCCCCCCCCCCCCAAAAAATAAAAATAAAAAAAAATAAAGCGAGGGATTAGATTTATAAGCGAAATGCAAACAAGGACGTATATATTGGTTGATGCAAGATGGGAAGTAAAATCAAGAAAGAAAAGCACCATTGCAACAATCCCTTCACGAGCCGTAGCTACACTCTCTTGCGAGAGGGAATAGGCTAGACGTATCTATTGTTTGATGCAAGGTGGGAAGTAAAACGAAGAAGAAAAGCACCATTGCAACAATCCCTTCACGAGCCGCAGCTGCACTCTCTTGCGAGAGGGAATGGGCTAGACGTATCTATTGTTTGATGCAAGGCGGGGAAGTAGAACAAACAGATAAATAGAAACACCTCATCTTTGCATTCGGCGTTGGTCTTCACAGGAGATGCTGAAAAATGGACATGGAAAAGACGGATGAACGGGGTGGTCGACAGTAATGTGATGGGATGAGAAGCGGTTGTGATGGAAAAGGAAACAGGACAATGGGCGCGAGAATTACGTCACCGAGGTTTGTAAATCGTCCGCCCTTCCGAATATGAAATTCGGCCTAGACTCCTTTTCCACTGAATTGAAAATATAGGACTCGTCGAACCTTGTTCTTGTCATCATCGCTTGGAATTGCAGCGCGGAAAATCAACAGTGATGCTAGGAACTTCAAGTCCCGCATCCGTCGAAAGAATTGTTGAACGGAGGTATCGTCTGGAAACATGGTCGTCCTAAACCCAAATTGAGTGGGAGAGTTCTCGCATTCCCATTTTGCGTTAACATTGTACGTCTTGGCGTCCTGTCAGGATATGCCTAGGTGCTTGGTGTCCATACGATTAATGAGACCATCGACGGCGTCGCCGGTCTATCGATGAGGATCTGAATAGGACGGACAAAAGTATCCTCAAGATGCAAGGACTTGGGAGGGTGTTTTTTTCCCTGCTGCTCCTTAGATTTCCATAGACGGAAACGGGGGCTCGACAAATCCATATCCGTTCGAAATTCAAGATTGGAAGGGTGGAAGAACTCGAGTCTTGGACATGCGTTGATCAAGTAGCTAGCGTGGGTCGGATGTATCGAAACGGATCTGGAGCGCTGTCAGTCGGTCTTGCATGCGAGTGAAGAATTCCTGAAGGGCGACATTGTTGATAATGTTATATGAAGGGTGATCAAGTAGCATGTAGAGTCCTTGAGGGCTTGTGCAGAATAGACTTGTTGAGGCTGGACTTGGTCACTTTCGGATATGGTGGCCATGACGCTGAAGGAAGGAAGCGCTGTCCCTGCCGATGCCAACTTTGACCCTTGTCCAGATATATGCATGAGGGTGGTGGATAACATAATAAGGCTGACCATTCCACACAACTAGTGAATGTGGCAAGCAGTAACAGTTGGCATTAAATACCTGTTCCAGACTTGGCAACTTGTCTTCAGGGCTTAAAGGGGGAGGTATGCTCGTGTGAGGTCGAAGAGCTCTTGAATTGCCAGAACACTGTTGCAGGTGAGCGAAATATTGGCACCTGCATTCATTTGCACTGGCCAATTGATACTACACAAGGTCTGTGTGTGAACCTGAGGAAGGTGGTGATGAGTAAAGTTGGCTGCGGGCGATGGGCATGGGTCGAACACAGTCAGCGCGGTCATCACTAAATGTGTATGTCCACCATAGGGTGATACATTCACTCTCTCCCGAATGGACATAGCGGTAAACGAACGTTAACAAATGAATATGTCTTCCCTTTTGTTATCGTAGCGAAGAATGGATGACAGAAAAGTAAGTCCTATCTCGTTGCTCTCAGTTGTAGGAACGGGTTGAACGCGAGAGATATTGGTGGCGGGAGTATATTGATCGCGGCGTTTTGTGCGCTGGCTGGCAAGGTGCAGCTAATTGGCAAACCGCGTGGTGTGCCTGGCGCTTTGCCATCAACCCAATTTTTTTTGAGTAACTGTAGTGTTTGTTCTACCTCTTAAACTTAAACATAACGACTTGTCACAGTTTAGCGAAAAAGGGATCATTGGGATGAAGCTCTGAACCCATCCCCTCCTCCGCTCAATTTTTCACTACGGGCTGGGACTAAATCTTTCACTTTCTTATGAGGATTTCTTTCTTATGGGGTCACCCTTTCGCGTCCATTTTGCCCAAAAAGGGAAGTGCTCTGATGCCACTCAGGGTCTCGTGAGAAAGAAGCCACTGGAGCGCTTCCCTTTTTGGGCAAAATGGACGCGAAAGGGACCCTATCCCCTCCTCCGTCGGAGCTTGTTCAAAAAAATTGAGGTCTTCTTGGGTCCCAATTTTTCTGTACTAAAGCAATGTAAAAATAGCGTTTATTTGTTGGAGTGATAGAGAGAGAAACAGTTACGATTGGGGGTCAAACACAATGGCACTTCACAACCCTCACAACTCCAAGCGGTCTTCATCTTCAAATACATACCCTCGTCACCAGTCCTCTTCTTGCACCATTCGCATCGTAGTTTTTGGTCGGTGTGAACTGGCATATGTGAGAGTGACACTTCGAATCGTGTCGAGCTGAGATCCTTTTGATTTTTCGAAGAGTATGTTGTTCGTTGTCGCTTGGTTGAGTCCTGAGTTGGTGGATTTGTTGGTGATGGTGCCGCCTTCTGGAGAAGTTGATGGATCAGCTCCAGTCGGAAGTTTCGATGGCTGGCCTTGCTACGTATCTTGAGGTGGATGCAACGAAGAATGTAGGCGTTAATGGCGGCGGTGTCCACTAGCCAAAGGAGAAGAGGAAACCAGTTCCTCAGGGACCTTATCTGCACCGTGTAGTACGAGCGCAGCTGGTCAGCGATATCGACGGCCCCCATATATTTGTTGTAATCATCTATGAACCGCGGAATGCAGATCATTTTCCGAAAGGCGTCTCCAAAGATGGCGTTCACCTTACGACCATTAGTGCTCCTGAGTCGGGGGCGTCTACGCTGTCTCGACAAACCAACTGGGGGAATCGATCCCATGTATTGTGGTCAACATCAACACCGGCCCATTATCCATCCAGAGAGCCGCAAGTACGCCGTCAACATCCACCGCATGTTTCTCATCCCAGTCCATCTTTGAATTCCTCAGGCTTCGCAATTCAGAGGGATACATAGAAGAATTGGGACGAGCGGTGCCACAGGCTCCCACATTCCTCTCTCGAAGATAACGGAACAGAGGTACTGACGAAAAATAATTGTCCATAAATACATTGTACGACTCTTTATCGATAGGCAACTGCTCGATCAGGAGGATGACCTTGCGCGCTGTCTCAGAGAGCACCTTTCGATCCTCGGTCGACATAGCCTGGTCGTTAACCTCGAGGTTCTTCTGGATGCGAGACTCGGGAAGGAAGGAGTATGTGTATCCAGCATCACACAGGGCCAGGATCTTGTAGCCGACAGGAATAGGCTTGCTCTTGATCCGGAAGGTATGATGGCTTCTTCCACCAAAACGGACGATCATTTCATCCACGGCTACATTGGTACGAGGGACGTAATATAGCTTGGAGACGGACTGGATATGCCCAAGAAGAGGCTGCACCTTGTCGTAGTAGCAAGGGGATGGTGGATCCGAAGCAGTGCGGAAAGGAAGGCCAGAGACATGGAGGAACCGTTTTATCTGCTCAGTCCTCATCAATGTAAGCCAAAGTTGATATGCCGTGGCATTCTTGTGTCCGTAGAGAAGTAGTCGGCCAGACGAGCACTCGCAAACAGTCCCCGGTAGAGTAAGAAGGCAAAGAACCGAAGCAACTCTGGCACGGTCAATGGGGTCCAGTCTCGTCCGTGTTTCCCTGCGCCCTTGAACGCAGCATATGCGTTTGTGTTGTCAACAATAGTTTCCAATATTTCGTCAGGAAGGAAAAGTTGAAAGAAGGACAGAGGCGAAGGGTCCAGTTGAACATGTTCGGGCAGAGGACGCAGGTACGCCTTGTGGGGAGGAGGACGAGGCAAAGACGTAAACGATGACAAGGATGATTGAGAGCTGGAGGGAAAAGAAAAGGGAAAGAAAAAAAAAGATTAATGTCGAGAAAACGAGAACAAGTACAGACAAGCCATGCCGAGCATGCTATCATTATCTTGTTTGCTTTACTTTGTGCCCTCACGCTCGGTCTCTTCGGCCATGGCTAAGGGGTCACCACTGGTTGTCGACTGTTCGGGAAGAGTGCCTGTATCTACATCTATGGCATCCTCGTTGTGTTCCTCCAGCACCTTGTTTCCGCCTCTCCCACTCCCTGCTCTCTTCCTTGAACGACCTCGTTGACGACCTCGTTGACGACCTTGTCCTCTTCCTTTACCCGCAACAGGATCAGGAGTACAGTTGACACAGTAGGAATATGGGGGGGGGGGGGGTGACATAACAGTATTTCGAGAAATCGCAAGAAAGGCAAAAAAAGGTAAAAATTCCAAAAAATTGGGACCTGTGGAGGTCTAGAGGGGAAATCCCATGGATGGGATCAAAGCTCCCATTGGTCATATTTTGCTCACTTGCATGCATCAATCCGATAAAAATTGAAAAAGGGTCATTAAGCACAAGGAAAGTGTACAGCCTCCTCCCAAAATGTAAAGAAGAGCAGCAGAAATATTCGATTTGGGGTTAGAGGTTCAAGTCCACAGTCATGTACTCATGTCCTGGCTTGGTGTTAATGATGAGTGACTGAAGCATCCATGGACCATCGCACGGTATAAAGCACAGAGAGTTCTTATTCTCATTTCCTTCTTTCTTCCCCACTTCTTTACACTAACATTCCTTTTTTCACTTTTCGTACAACACCTCCATACTGTAAATATCAAGATAGCATCACCACCACATGCCTCGAAAGTACTCGCGGATCAGCAGAGGGAGTATTCTACCCGCGCACCCTTTATTCTTGCTAGATGCGGTGATTTCCTACCCAGACACTGCAGCTCCCGTTGAACCGATCTTGATCAATCCCCTCCAGCCCCACGCCCCGCTTGGTCACCCAAACGTTCTTGATCCACAGACGATCTTATCTCTTTTCAGACGTCGCCCTGTCTCTCCTTCTGCGATTCTTGGTCTTGCCCTCTTCTGCACCTACTTTGTCGTAATCCTTTTGCATGGATTGTTACCGTTGGCAAACATTGACTGAACGACATGCTTTGTTCGGCGCCTCCTTCTCTTTCGAACCTTTGTTGTTTGCCTTTGAAAAACAAAACAGTGTGGTCTGAGTGTATCCTCTGAGAGGGCGGAATTTGGTTCCTCGAAGGAATGCGAATAGTGCAGATCGCACACACCACTAATAATAAAGACAAACGCATAGAAAAAGCAGCTCAATTCATCAGACGATCGTTCTTCTGTTAACTTCAAAGTGTTATTCACAATAGCGGCTAGTGAGACGTATGGCCCGACCAGCTGGCTTTGTCTGCCCGAAAAACAAGTTCGAACCATTCGAGTGCCAGAAGAATAAAGAGGGAGATAGGAAGAGGAAAGGAGTGTTGAGAAAGGATTAGGAGTATGCCCTTTCGATTTTACATATCTTTTCGTTACTCGGATATGCGTGCTGACGATAGGTGGTCTGCTAATTGATGAAGAAAAAGGAATGACGGGTTGCTTCTAATGATATGTGAGTGAGGCGAGGAGGGAAACCCAACGGCGATCCAAATGATGAAACATTGATCAATGGCTGAGACGAAAAAGATTTCTACTGATTGATTGGTGGCGCTCTTTTTTTTATGATTTCTTGTCCCCAAGAGTTGTAGTTCAACTGTGAACGTGTTTTTTCTTTGACCTGCCCCTTCTTTCCCCTTTTCTCTGGCAACATTTTTTTCTGTTTAATTAAAGGACTCCCTTCTTCTATTTTCTCCTTTCCTTTCCTCCTCTTTCCTTCCCTTCTTCGCCTGTCGACTCTTTCCCTCATTCCTCCCATTCCTTTTCTCCTTCTCTCTCCTTGTCATCTCCTTCTTCCCTCTCTTCTCTCTTCGCAATGCCGATCCTTTTGTAATCATTCACTTCACTTCCAACCGATATTTCCTAGCTTCTTCTCGATTCACCATGAATTACTCATTCCAACCCACATTCACTCCCCCAACTTATCTTGTGCTTCATCAAATTTAACAATAGAAACTTTCATTATTAAGCCGAAAGGTCGTCAGTGTAAACCAGACCAGGCAATTGATTCTGCAGCCAAAGAAATTCAGCAGCCGCAGGATACGTGTCCTTTGCCTGGGTCGGATAAAACTCGGCAACTCTCAATTTGGGCCAATGCTCATGCATCCACTCAGCCTCCTCCCGTCCTATAGTGTAGCCATACGCGTCCCGTGGGATGAGGTTGACCGAGCCCCGAAGCTCCTCCAGCTTTGACAATCCACCCAACATGTCCAAGTAGCCTCTTTTCAAACGGTCACCATGACCCCCTCCATGTCCTTGTCCGTTGCCTGGTCTGTAGCCCAGCGACAAGAGGCCCGGGAAAGCCTCATCCCGATATGTCCAACTGTGGCCATTCCAAAACTCAATCTGTCGTGGAATTGCAACCCTCAGATCCAACACGCGGAGGTCCGTCTGCTTGCCTATGTTCGCCACCAAGCCACCAAGACTCAACGCCATTATGTCAACACTCAAGCTGTCGAGAGAATACGGACGGGAATTCATAAGCATGCTTGACAAGTAGCCGAAATCCACCTCAACTCGAAGTTCCTGCAACCTACTCGACGCCCACGAAACGTCACTCAAATGTTGCAAACTGACACCAAAGCTGGGTGCCTCATCCCATCCTTCCTCACCGCCCTGAATTACGAGTGACTCCAGAAGCGGGGCAAAGTGAAGGAGTTGTGTGATCGAGTACCCATGCATATTGCGGGTCCTCCTGAGATGCACCTCCCTCAACGACTGGAACTGCGCGGATAACATCGACGTCAGCCTAGGCGGAAGCAAATCACTGTTCTCGTAGTACCCCTCGTAATAAAACGACTCCAGTGTGTCCTCGGGCATGACCTCGCTGGTGAGCTTCATCATGACTCCGTCGCACTTGCCGTATTCAGACCACATGTCCTCGTCTTCCTCGTCGTCCTCGTCGTAGTCTGACAAGGAAAATCCGAGATCCATGCGCGAGAGTCGTCGAAGCTTAGGACACTGACGGACAATGAACTGGGCCAAAGTGTCCTCGTCATCCTGGTTTAACATCTGCGGGACCATCACCAGCTCGAGCTCCGGGCAGTAGGGCAGCATCAGAAAGTAATGCTCGGGGTTGTCCATGAGATAGTTCACGTACACGTCCCATTCCTTCAACTTGAGAAAAGGTCCATCTCGGCGGTACGCTTCCTGCGCCGTCGGTGTCGTGTCGTCCCGGCCCTCTCGCCGCGACTCCCAACTATCACCCACATCCATCACTCTAATCATGAAGACTTGAATGGACGAGGGCAGTTTGAAGAAAATCCGCGGAACAAGGTCGTACATAATATGCTCTGCATGATCGATACCAAGCCTAAGCGTCTGAAGGCCTGTCATTCCCGCGACAGTCTGTGTCAATAAATTAAGGTCTCGCTGATGCCTGATCAATGGGCCATTCAGGGTGAGGCTCACGAGATGGGGAGTTTGGGCAGGTGGTATCATGAGCGAGAACCTCGAGAGGACCAAGTGTGCATCATCGGTGTATCGAATCTTGGCGTCGTCCCAGTCCCCGCCTGGAGGAGGAAGATTGTATTCGAATCGAGAGAGATTGTTCATCCTCGGGAACTTGACAAGCTCCAAGGAGGTAACAGCAGTGGCAGCGAGTGGAAAGCGCCTGTCGACAAACGTATGTATGCCTGTTGCTGGTGGTCCTATTCCTGCTTCTGTTCCTGTTCTTGTCGTGAAGTCTTGTGGTTGTTCCGAGGCAGCGGCAGTGGCAAGACACTCGTAGTAGTGGTCAAAGAAATCTCCGTCCATGCGGATGGCCTTGACGAGATGGGCATTCCGTGCGAGAGATGTGAGTCCGTTTCGGGTATAAGCTAGGCGACGATCAGGAATGGCCCTCAGGTCGATGTAGTGGAAAAGTAGGGGTGCGGTAGTGGTGTACATGTGGCGAGAAGTGCGCATCAGACGCGAGAGGTCTTGTCGGTCCAGGAATGACAAGACCTGGGCGACCAGCTCAGGGATTCCAAAGAAGACTTCCGTTGACAAGGTCATGGCGACAGTCGGCGGGTGGTTTGGTTGTATATGCTGAAGTAGGGCGACAAAAAAAAAGAAGGCGATGGTCTAGACTTGATTCCCTCCTTACCTTGGTCGTTGCATTTGTGTGCGTTAGCATAAAAGAGCAGTCAAGACAAACGCATAGGAGCATGTGCGCACAAACTTGTTCCAATAATCCATATTCCCCTACTTGCCTCCTGTCTCATCTATTCCACACTTTACCCCTATTATTCCTTCTGCGACGACGTTTTATTTTCATCGGTCATACAGGTAAAGTTGTCAGTGATGGGTGATGGTGCCTGAATAGGGATCGACTTTCTATTTGACTGTCAATCTTCTTAAGAGTGAAAGAGAGGACCATCATTAACTTTGATGTGTCCTTTTTTATTTTTGATACCGCCATTCACCCTCTTCCCTTCCCCTTGGCCCTCTCTCTCTTCTCTTTCTCTGGACCCAATCGACAACAATAGAACAAATATGATCGTGAGAAAGATCCTCATCTTTTTTGATCGCGTCGCGGTCATTAACGAAACATCACGGTTCTTCTTTTCCTCACTTCGTATTAATTGAACTCTTACATCCTTTTGCACACTTGGCGAAGCCAGATGTATGGACTGTTAGGCCCGCGATACGGGTTTTATCAATGAATCAAAGAAGGCAGTCCAAACGGAACCTGACATCGGCGCGTGATATTTTCAAAAAGTTGTGACGGTGGAGGATACCATCAAGAGGCGCGATAATGAGGAAGAGGAGGGGGGAAGAACGTATTCCATATCCGCTCACTCAATTGAAAAATAGACCAAAGGTTGTGCAACAAAGAGAAGGCCCCTCCGAGGATAATGCGAAACTCGAAACCAGGGACCCTGTACCAAGTAACATTTTACTCAGGGACCCTTACCGAGCAGTATTTTGCACAGGGACCCTTACCAAATAACATTTTGCTCAGAGTGCATCTCATCTTTTTTACACGAGGTAGCATGCGTACATGTGCATGTGGAGTATGTGAGTGGAACTCTCTTCCCCACTTTGTCCACAGCCTTCAGCCGTGAGTCGTCGGAGGAAGGGACACGTTGATTGGTTATTGAAAGCAAAGCCTAAAAGTCTATCGTCTCCCTCATGAGCTCGTTTATGACATATTTTATTCCCTTACTTCAACCTTCTTTTGCTTTCCTCTTTTCTTTCTTACTTACTTCGACCTTTTTTCCGCTTTCTTCATCATTCTTTCTTCACGCCCACAACATTCTATCACACAGACACCACCCCTCGCTCATCCAACGTCAATGCAACAGGCAAACCACAACCGCTTCCACAGCCACAACTACCCTCACGACACCAACATCAACCCTGAACCAACCAGTCAACATCACCGCAGTAACAACAGCGATGTCTTCATGCTCGATATGATCGAGTCTTACCCCGATCCCAACGAGCAGTTCTCGTCCATGACATCCTTCACCGAGGAAGACGCCTCTTCTCAATACCAACTTCACAGCAACAAGATCTGTGTCACCAAGAACACTTGCCCTCCGGACCTTTCAACCAATGACGACCCCTCTTCGGATTCCTCGACCTTTTCTTGGCTCAATTGTGAATGGCTGACCACCGATCCCTACCACTATCCTTTCCTTCGGCGAGTTTTTTCCTTCCTCGAATGGCTCGTCCTCAAGATCGTCGCGCCCTGTCTCCGTCATCGACGTGAGAACCACAACCCAATTCATCTCTAAATTGTCGCTCCGAATTGGAGACATTTACTTCATTTCACGCCTGCGGCTTATGGTCTATATTCTCTTCCTTGGTTGGCATTTCCCACTTTCTATGTCTTTCTTTGTCTTTTTTTCTTGTTGTTTCTTCCACCAGGCCATCTGTACTGTATCAAATAAATCGTCGGTCTTTTACTCTATTTCCAGCACAAATGATCTCCATCCCCTTGCAAAGAAAACGCAAGCACACCCCAATAATGTCAAACAAGGTGTCGAGAGAAGGGAAGGGTAAGTCCCCAAATGTTACCTTCCAGCCCCCTCCCCCCACCCCCCCTTGATCATCAACATATGAAAGAGACTACATCCCTGCGTGCCACAAGGATTTCAAGCTTTTAAGCAAATGAGTAAGTAAGTCTTGAACAGTCTACCCCACAGCCTCCACGCACTAGCTCACTCGCATTTCCTTCCCCCCTTCCAAGTCACACGCTTCCGACCCTTTACCATTGTCTATCTCCTCGGCCATTTCTTTCACCCCACCACTTTTTTTTTTTGACAGGACGTCATGAAATGGGCAAGTGTGCATGTCGCACAGGCCGTTTCCTCTATTTCGACTCATGGCACGTGAACGAAAGGACTTTGCATCACACATTCCATATTTGGACAACAAAGTTTTTTCGCTTTTTTTTTTTTTTGCTTTTGCAAGATTGATATGAAATGTATTTTAATTGAATAAGAAATAATGCCAAAAGGTGATGTAGATGGGGGGATATGCGGAAGTAAGAAGAAATAGAAAAAAGAAATGCTAGAGAGAGAGAGAGAGAAAAAAAAAAAGTACAAAGGAATGAAAGAGAGAAACCTTCCTCTACCTCCAGTCGGTCTTGCCGTTTCCACGCTTGTTCGAGAACAAGTGCTTGGGCATCTTGGTCTGGACAGCTCTGTCGGACTCTCCTCTCTTGGCAAACAAGTTGGGTGTACGCTGGGCCAGCTTGCGGACCTTCTCCGACTCGAGCTTCTGCTTGACGTTGCGGACTCCGGACATGGTACGGTCCCGAACAACACTGGTCTCGGGGCGAGCAGTCGATGAAAGACGGGCAATGATCTCTCCTCGGCTCTCCGAGCGAGCACGCTTCGAGACTCTGCTGCGTGCACGAGCATTGCTCGAATCCAATCCCATACGCTCCAAATGGGTCGACATCTCTCCAACAGTGCGCTTGATGGCAGTCTTTGGCAATGTGGGGCGGTTCTTGGTGGTCTTGAGACGAGCCGCAATGCGAGTAAGGCGAGTGTGCTCTGTGATGGCGTTGGCAGTAGCCTCCAAAGCCTCCTCCTCCGAGTCCATCTCCTCGTCGTCAGACTTATAGTATCCCTCGGCTTCGAGTCTCTCTTCCTCGCGCTCGAGCTCATCCAGCTGCTCCTGAATGTCGGAATCGATGAAGTCGGCAACGTTCTTGCCCTCCCAGATCTCAGGAATGACATCGTACTTCCACTCGGGGTTCTCCAACAGATATCTCTTCTTGAGGTCGACGTTGAACACACCAGCACCACCCTGCTCGGCCTCCAAATCGCGCTCCAGTCTGATGCGGTTGGGGTCCTTGGCGTCGTACTTGGCCTTGCTCTCGGCTCCAGTGGGGATGAAGGGCAGACGGGGGTTGTCGTCACGGGGCTGGGGCTGGGTCAAGTGAATCTTGTTGAGAATATCGTTAATCTTGTGTCCCTTCATCTTGGAGTCAACACGGGCCTGCAAGAGGCGGTCGCAGGCAGATTGCTTGACGTTCATGACACCCTCATCGGTGTAGCAAGACATGCCCATCATCTCAACGCCTTCGTTGTCGACAATGTTGTCCAAAAGAGTACGGTCCTCGGCGCTGATATCCTCAATCTTCATGGCGTCAATCTTGTTGATGACGAGCATAACGGGCTTGTTGGCAAAGAGGGGCTTGATGCTGTGGAAGAGAGAGACCTGCTCCTTGATGCTGTATCCGCAACGCTCCGAGAGGTCGATAAAGTAAAGGACGGCGCAACGCAAATGGGCCAGGGCGGTAATCGACTGCATCTCGATGGTGTTACGGTTCTCCAGGGGGTGATCCAAGATACCGGGGGTATCGATGACTTGCCAGCGCAAGTACTTGTAATCCATGTGACCAACAAAGAGCGACTTGGTGGTGAAGGCGTAGGGCTGGACATCGACATCGGCACGGGTGATCTTGTTCATGAAGGACGACTTTCCGACGTTGGGGTAACCGCAGACGAGCAAGGTACGGGTGTTGGGGTCGATGGAGGGGAGACGGGCCAAATGCTGGCGGACCTGTTCGAGGTAGGCGAGTGAATCCTTTTGACGGCGCATGATGGTGGCCATTCTTCCGAGGGCAGCCTTCTTGAGCTGCTTGCAACGGTAGAGCGAGTCACCAAACTTGAGCAAACGAACGTAATCCTTGCCGACCTGGTCGATCAAGTGGCGAGCGGTGTTCATCTGTCCCAAAGCCAACTTGTAATGGTCCTTGTCGTAAAGGACGTTCATCAAGTCTGCGTAGAAAGGGTGAATATCCTAATTGAAGATATGTTGTATGAGATGTTAATACTGTGTGCGGTGAACATACTCGCCGTCTAATTGGTCAGTCAGTGACCAAAGGCCCTGAAAAGAAAACGAAAATAAGGGCTGAAAATAATTCTTACATCGAGCTTGGGGAACTCGTCCAGAATGCCCTTGAGGCGCTCGTCAAAGTTCTCCTGAGTGAACTTGACCTTGCGCATATAAAAGTTACGGATACGACTGATAGCAAAGTTGGCGTGGATGACCTATAGTAATTCAGAGCAGAAGGATGAAGAAGAATGAGTATCGATGTGCAAGCAAGTATACTCAGGACAGAAGAGACATAGTCCAAAATAATGTATCCTTACGGTGGGGGTCTTGCGCTGAGTCTTGGAGAGGATGATGTCGAGGAAGTCGCCGCCCGTGGGGACGGGGGTGATCTTCTTGAAGTTGTAGATAGAGGTCATGACTATGGAGTCCTCGGACTAGTTATCCGGGGGTGGAGTAAGGGAAAGGTGGAGGAAAGGGAAGAAAGAGAAGGGACCTGTCTGTTGTTGTTAACAAACAAGAAGGGGTATCAGGAGGAAAAAGAGGAGGAGGAGGAAGGGTGAAGATGGATGTAAGGAATGAGAGGCGATGGAGAAAGAGAAAGAAGGCTCAAGGGGAGAGAAGAGGAGGAGGGGAAGGAGAAAGAAGAATAGGTGCCTTTTTTTCAAGGGCCAAGACTGGGCCTCTCCTCAACAAGAGTAGGCAAAAAAAAAAAAAAAATAGGACTGCTGTTGCGAAGACCAACAACAACAACCAACAAACCGTCTTTCAAAAATAAAGTCCATCCTCCTCGGACGAAAATATGACATCACAGGAATATGATCTGATCGCATCAGTTGCACCATGAACAGACTTTTTTTTTTTGCTTTGGTTTGCTATTTGGGGGGTAAGGATACAAACACAGGCAACAACGACAAAAAACAATCTTCTCTTTCAACCCCTCCCTTCGTCTGTATCATATTCACCACAATGGAGTCTGTATGTGCACCCTCTTACACCCTCAACACTCACAGCATCCACTCCCTTCAACAATCCCGCATACCCTTTTTCACATGACAACTTTCGCTTGCCAAGAACAATGACCGTTACAACCCGCGTCCTCGATCGCACGGACTGAAAGTCTACAAAAGAAGAAAGACTCACGCATTGAACACCACTTGGACTCTCGACTTGCACTTCACTAGGTCGTTATTGGAATCAACTTTGGAAGCACCAACAGCTCCATCGCCGTCTTGGCCCCCAATGGACACTTCAACGTCATTGCCAACGCCGACGGTGAGCGCATGATCCCCTCCGTTGTCGGTTTCTCGGGCGACGAGGAGTTCTCCGGCACCCAGGCTCTCCAGCAGGCCGTCAGGAACCCCAAGAACACCCTCGAGGGTTTCCGCAAGTTGATTGGCAAGAAGTACGTGTCTTCTTTCTTTTGTTCATAGGGCAGTTATCTATATTTTTTAGATATGCCAGCATCAGGAACAGCGACAACCAAAACGACAGCCGGCCTTGGCAATCAGGAGACCGTAACTCGCGGAAGTGGTTGACCAACAGATATTAACATATGTCGCAATCTTTAATTTTTAAACCAACAGGTTCGAGGAGGTCAAGGTCTCGTCGGATGTCACTCACCCCGACATGGTCTCCAAGGATGGTATCCCCGCCTACAAGGTCAACTTCAAGGATCAGGAGCACATCTTCACCGTCCCCGAGGTCGTCACCAAGCAGTTGCAGCACGTCCACGAGGAGGCTGAGGCTTACCTCGGAGCCAAGGTCACCGGCGCTGTTCTCGCCGTCCCCACCTACTTCACCGAGCACCAGCGTGAGGTTCTCTCTCAGTCTGCTGCTGCTGCCGGCATCAACGTCTTGCAGATCATCCAGGAGCCCGTTGCTGCCGCTCTCGCCTACAACTTTGGACAGGCCCCCGTCAAGGGCGATGCTCAGGACAAGACCGCTTTGATTCTCGACATGGGCGCTTCTTCCTTCGACGTCACCGTCCTCTCTGCCCGCAGCGGCATTTACACCATCTTGGAGACTGCTCACGACGAGGCTTTGGGAGGTGCTGCTTTCACCGAGCAGTTGGTCCAGTTGGTTGCCCAGGAGTTCAAGAAGAAGACCAAGGTCGATGTTACCGGCAACAAGAGGGCTCTTCTGAAGATCGCCACCGCTGCCGAGATTACCAAGAAGCAGTTGTCTCGCTCTGCCATGGCTCCTTGCTCGGTCGAGTCTGTTGCCGAGGGTTTGGATTACCACGGATCGATCAACCGTCTCCGCTTCGAGTTGGCCTCGACCAAGCTCTTTGCCAAGTGCAATGAGTTGATTGAGCACATCTTGGAGAAGGCCCAGTTGACTGCCGGTGCCATTGACGAGATTATCTTGGTCGGAGGTGCCACCCGTATGCCCAAGTTCCAGTCCCGCCTCCGCGATATCTTCCCCGAGACCACCATGCGTCTGGAACAGGAGTCCGACGAGGCCATCACTGTCGGATGCGCTGCCCAGGCTTCGTTGATTGCTGGATTCGACAAGGAGGACATTGTTGCTTCGACCAAGGAGAACATCACTGTCACCCCCCACACCGTCAAGCCTATCGGAGTTGTCGGTTCCAACGACGAGTTCATCACCATCATCCCCAACCACACCCCTCTCCCCGCCAAGCGCGTCTTTGAGTTTGGACAGGCTGCCGCTGGCCAGCAGGAGGTCTACTTTGCCCTTTACGAGGGTGAGCAGGATGCCCTTCCCCCCAAGAAGGAGAAGGTTGAGAAGGTTGATATCGGATCTGATGATGAAGAGGACGAGGAGGAGGATGAGCTCCCTGCCAAGCCCACCTTCCACAAGACCACCCTCTTGGCCGAGGTTGTCCTCAAGGAGTTGCCCGCTGGTGCCAAGGCTGGTGAGCTCAAGATTGAGGCCACTGTCCAGGTCGATATTGCCGGCAAGACCACCATCACCTTGCGCGAGAAGAAGAGCGGCAAGCAGGTCCGTGCCGAGAGTGCTTAAATTATTCACAAAGAAGTGGAACGACGGTTAGGAGGGGGAGTGAAAAAAGCAAGTAACGTTTGTTTTGGACATAGAAAGCATCAATGAAGCATGAGTTTTTGTAAAAGATAAAAAAAATGAACATACAAAAAAACAACGTAAACACCTTCCCCCTTCTCGTTTGAAATTGTTCTATGGTATGCATGATCGAGAGTCGCCAGGTCAGGGGGTAAGGTTTGTGTGTGTGGACTGTGGGTGTGAATTTTTCATCAAAGCCACAAACTGATCAAAACGTGCATATGGACGGACGGACAGGGGGGGACAGGGTCAATTTTTTAGCATTGCAAGTGTTCTTCCTCAATCTATACCTTTCGCAAGCTTCAAGTAAACCGGACAAGCAGGTCTCGACTCTATTCGCGTTCATTTACCGCAGCCAGGACCAATCAACTTCCAGGAACACCCACATCACATCAACACACACACCCACACACAATGCTCAACTCTCTCAAGAAGCCCGCCGCTGCATCAAGCACAGCAGCCCCAAAGAAGACCATGACCCCTACGGAGCGCGCCGAGGCCGTCGCCGCCGCCGTCGCTGCCGCCCAAGCCGCCCAGGCTGCCAAGAAGGCTGCTGCCGCTCCCAAGTCTACACCCACATCAGCAGCAAAGACGAATGGCAAGGATAGCAAGGATAACAAGAATACGTCAAAGGATACCAAGGGAGCAGCAGCGACGAATGGTGAAGCAAAGGAGGAAGGCGAGGCAGGAACGGATGATAAGGATGAAGAGGAGGAGGAGAAGGAGGCTGAGAAGGGACAGAGCGGTGAAGCCAAGGCTGCGATGAAGAACATGACGGGATATCAGCAGGAGACTGAGCGTGAGGGCGTTGATTCTGATAAGCTTGAGAAGGTAAGATATTTTTTTTGGGTCGTTTGGGTTATGTATTCTTTTCATGTCGGGAACGGAGAGGAACAGGCGAGAGGAGGGGGAGAACTTCAGGGACTTGGAGTTGTTGTCATTTGATTTTGCAATTGCTTGACTATACCGTTCAATTGCATTTTCTGTATATAACGTGCAGCAACATGAATTAACATATTTCTCGTCGTTCTTTTGTTTGCATGTATTCGAACAGGCCATGTCATCGATCACGGATATTGTCAAGAAGCAGAAGGCAGACAAGGCGCCTTCGGGATCAAAGGAAGTCGAGAAGTTGACCTTGGCCAAGGAGGATGTCGAGTTGGTGATGGCCGAGATGGACTTGACCAAGGCCCTTGCAGAAAAGTACTTGAAGGAGCATGGTGGCGATGTCACGAAAACCCTCGACGCCTTGGTCTCTGCTTAATTCCCTTTTTATTGATACAGGGACAAAATTACGCGGCGAGGGTGAAGAAGATGAGGGTGCACGGAAGTGGGGGGTGCAACTCTGGATGGCAGCCGATTGATTACCAACATATGTTGAGAACACAAAGGTGTGCCTGTTCTCTCCCCTCAATCAAAAATAAAACTACTCACATAAACAGAAGGAAAAAAAACAATCAGGGTTTTTTTTGTTATTAGAGTGCGCGTACTGCAGTGGCATGCACTAGCGAACATCAATCCAATGTCAAAGGAAATCAATGAACCTCGCAGCGGGTTTACTCCTAACTTCTCCACCAACAATTTCTGGCAAAAAATGTTCTTTATTGTTCAAAATGTATGTACACTGTAAGGACGAAAACAGCTCGTTGCTTACAGATAAGTGACAGCCTCTTAGTTTTAGAGGGTGGTCTGAGAAGCCTTGTAGGCGGTGTTTGCGGCAGCCCTCTTGGCCTGATTGGCGGCGTTATCAGCAGTAGCCTGGGTGTTGAACTGGTTCACGTCACTGAATGCATCCTGGTTGCTCATGCCCAGCTGGGCACCAGGCTGGGGGTTGCTCATACCCAGTTGGGCACCAGGCTGGGGGTTGCTCATACCTAGCTGACCACCAGTCTGAGGGTTGCTCATACCCAGCTGGGCACCAGGCTGGGAGTTGGCCTGGGCTTGGTGTTGAGCACCAGCAACGGAACCGAAAGTGGTAGTGTCGGACTGCTGCTGGGTGGAATGGGTGGCGGCTTCGTGAGGTTGGCCCATGACGTGGCTGAACTGATCCTGGGCCTTGTGTCCGAGAATCTTGGCTTGCTCGATGGCTCCGTTCATGTAACCCTTGAGGGTATCTGAGAGCGAGCCTGAGTTTCCGGAGGGGTGGGAGTTCATGTTGGATGTGTGGTGGGTGGACGAGGGGGGGGGGGGGGGGGTGTTGGGGAGAGAGAGTGGAAGAAAGTGTTTTGATGAGAGAAGGAGAAGGTGGATTACTTATGAAGTTTTTCCCCCCCCTTCTGACTCTTTGCTATGAGCGAGGTGAACGTTGGTTCGCTCGTTGTAGAGTTCAAGACCGAGACCAAAAAAGTTTTTTTCTTATCCGTAGGAAGTGGTAGTTAATGCAATGAGATTGGGACGTACGCGTCGCAGATTTTTTTTGAGACGGAGGGTGGCCAACGGGAATATAGTCCCCAGGGTCAGTCGAACACGAGCGAGGCGATCAAAAGTCCATCAGTATCCGCAGATGGCGAGGAGCCGGGTGGGCTACTGAGACGTAGATTCTTTAATAGCTTGCGACAACAGTCACGTATCACGATGAAAATAATAAAAAAAGTGTTTCAGCTTGATAGAAGAAAAGAGAAAAGAGAAAAGAGAAAAGAAGAAAAAAAAAAAAAAAAAAAAAAAAAAAAAGAGGGAGCAGATGACCGACCGGCTGCCTACTTCTTCATCGCTTGATATTGCGTCTTCGGGATTTGGTCTCAGAGGAAGAAGAGGGACTTTTTCGATGCATGAAAGTGGAGGTGTCTGCGGCTGCGGGGGAGAGAGGTCTAGCCAGAAAAGAGGGGTGAGCGGTGTTGTGCACATGCTCGTATTCTTTTGTTGCTATAGTGCCGGTTACCGTTGGCGATGAAGAAAGGCTAGGCTATGAGGTAGATCCACCTTGAACTTGATCAGAGAACAACCACAATAAAAATAAAGAAAGAAGGAAGAGAGGGAAGGTTCGAGCGAATGTCTTGGGTGAGGGGGTTTGATTTCTACAAGAAATAGTTCTCCGTCCCGTGTGCAATTAGTGATCCACCGACGCGTATTTGCACACCAGTCTCGTCCGGGCCAATCAACGGAATTAACGGTAATGTTGAACAAATTTTTTTTTATTCCTTCGCTCTTTTTTTCGGCGCTTTTTTTTTTTTTTTGCTCTCGGTGGTGGGGGAAAGTGTCAGAGGGCGCCTGAATTGCATGGACAGGGATGTGTGGGAAAGAAAGAAAGAATGAGAGTGTCTCTCTCCGTGAGTCTGCGGTAGGGCTGTGTGTGTGTGTGTGTGTCTGCACTGTGAGAGTGCAAGAAATTGCTTGCCCCCCCACCGCAGACTCTCTCTTCCTCCCTCTTCTCCTTCCCTTCCCCTCCTCCCGCTGATTGATCATCACTCTCTGTCCATCAACCCCACACATAAGCCCCTCCTTCACATCTACATCCCTCTTCTCCCTTCTTTACATCCTTCCTTCCACATCTCCTTCTCCTTTTTCCATCTTTTTCAAAATCACTCTTTTCGTTCTGATCTGATTCAAAGATCCTATTTGTCGTCCCCCTCCAACCAACCACAGTGCTTTCTTTTGTATCCCTTTACCCGCCACTTTTTTCTCTCTCTCACCTCTCCCTCTCTGCTCTCTATCCCTTATCCTTGTGCCAATACTTTTCGTCGTTTACTTTTCGACACTCTTATTCGCTACTCGCTTTGTCCATCCGACCTCCCTGTTCTCTCCTTGCACTATTGCAACCGTAGCACAAAAGCACACGCACACACAAAGAATATTACCTTTACGCAGGAACCGCTTTCTCGCCGTCCTCTCCGACCGACCGTTGGCTGTCCACTCATAGCATACAACGCCATAGCATAGCTTATACACCGGCCCCTTTTTTTATAACAAAAGCGAAAGGCATTCCGATCCTTCCTCACCTCTCTCCTCGCCTTCTCTCCTCTTCAACAATAACACAACAACCAACAAAGCGCTAGCAATCAACCAAAAAAAAGTAGACCGTTGCTCTCCCGTCTCCTTCTTCTCTTTCTCTTTCTCCTTCTGCTCCCTTCCCTTTCCTTGATCGATATTCAAATCAGTCAACCCCATCCCCGCCTCTATTTTTCCCTTGAAACACCGATCCAAAAGCACAACGCTACTTGAAAAAAAAAGAGGGAAAGAAGAAAAAAAGCCACTCAGGTCTCTACCCGACTACTACAACCCAAAACATACAACATACATAACAATACAATACACAGTATGGAAGATCACCACCGCCACCAGCAACAGCAACAGCCCCAGCAGCAGCACTACCAGGCAGGCCTTGTCTACGGTCAACCCCCTCAGGGATCTGTAAGTACCTTCTCCCTCCTCCCTCCTCCCCCAACCTCATTAATTTCACATTTATTTATTTTTTTCTCCGTGTGAAAGGAAAGGCGGGACGTAGTCAATTTTGTTTCCACACTAAATCATTTTTTCCCAATGATAATAGCATGACGACCAGTCGAGATACCAGGGTTACCAGCAGTCGTTTCAAGCACTTGTACGTCTCTTTTTCTTCTTTTCTTTCCTCACTCCACTTTTCGTCCTTTTTCTCTTCGCACCTCCACCGAACGGCGAAAACACAAAGATAATGAATACAAGAACAGGGAGGTCAATTTAAGTTTACTAATCCGTACGCTCTGATTCCCGATTTGCTATTCTTCCAACGTTCAAAGCCCGGGATGATGGCCCCACAAAGCCCTGCAGGATCTTCGCCCACCTCGTCCCACTCCAGATTGGCACACGACCAGGACCAGCAACAGCCTCAACACCATGCAGGAGCATTCCAGCCCGACCTGGGTGGTCAACCTGCTCAGCTGGTGGGCGGTGAAGGAGCCATGGGTCACGCGCCTGCTGCTCCTGCCGACGAGGAGCCTCTCTATGTCAACGCCAAGCAGGTACTTTTTCTTCTTCTGTGTGTTTATGCAAACGCCTTTTTGTTTTTGTTTGTTCCTTGTTATCTTATCTGCTAACCACATGAATTCTTGCTGCTCATATGCATCTGCGGTATTAGTATCATCGTATCTTGAAGCGCCGTGCTGCCCGTGCCAAGTTGGAGGAGTTGAACCGCATGGCCAAGATCCGCAAGGTACGCTCTTCGCCATTTCCCCGTCCAGACAGTGGATCTCTACCCAGGAAAAAGTATGGAGATTGCTTTCGTATGAGGATACTTACACTTTTTCTCCTCTTTTCCACTTTTCAAATGGTAGCCATACTTGCACGAATCTCGTCATAAGCACGCCATGCGTCGCCCCCGTGGCCCAGGAGGTCGCTTCTTGACATCGCAGGAGATTGCAGAGATGGACCGGCTTCAGGCAGAGTTTGAGGCACAGGGAGGAGTTGGACCCCTTGGTGGTGATATGCACTTGGCCCACCACCAACACACCCCACAGCAGCAACAGGCGTTCATCCAGCAGCAGATTCAAATCCAGCGTCAACAAGCTCAACAACAACCGAATCCTCAGCAGCCCCAGCAGCAACCCCAACAGCAACCTCAGCAGCAACCCCAGCAGCAGCAGCAGCAGCCACAACAACAGCAACCGCCACATCACCCTCCTCAGCAGCAACATCATGGACAGAGTCCTCAGGATGGACAGATGACCATGCCGCTCCAGCACCATGTGGTTCCTCACCAGCCTGGGCAACTTGACCCTCAGCAGCAGCAGTACCAGATGCATGCATCTGTTCTCCAGCAACATCATGAACTGCAGCAACACCACCAGCATCAACAACACCACCAACAGCATTTCCATCCACAGGACCCTCAGCGGTATCAGCCTGACGCATACGGGACTCACCAACAACATAACCTCTATGCTGGGGGACCAACGGGGTTGTACGATCCTAATGTTGCAGTGACGGGTGGCGCTCCCACGAATGGGATCTTGAAGATCGAAGCCCAGGACGATCCAACCTTCTCGAACAACCTCCTCCACAGCGCCAATGGCAGCCATAACAGCAATCAACATATTCCTTTGTCGACGAATCCAAGCAACACCAATGGCAAAGACAATGATGGTTCGGATGGTTCTCAGGGCGGTAACGGGCAGACGCCACCCTCGAACGACAACAACCACACGAGTTGAACATAGCTTCTTGATTTGTCACTTCCTTTCTGTTTCTTTAGTATTTGTTTGTTGTTTTTTTTTTTTTTTTTTAACTTTTCCGTATGTATCGCCTTTCTTTCTTCTTTTTTTCCCTTCGTTTCCGTTGTGAATACGCAATGAACCCCCTCCAAAAAAAAAATTACTTGCCTTTTTTTTTTAGCCTAGATAAAAGTTTGTAGTGCACCTCTCACATCTTTCTCTCACACGTCAAAAACTTGTGTTCTGTTTGTACATTTTGTATGTTGTGCTATGGTTAGAAGTCAAGACGATCTAAGCGGAGGAAGTGGCGGATGATTGGACAAGAAAGACTTCATACTCCTGCACGCGGAAGTAGAGTGATCCTGCAAGGGCTGAAGTCGATGCACCTGGACCGTTGTAGGATGAGGGCATCGTTGATGACGACTGGCATGTTATATCACAGTTCTGTTTTCGAGATAGGAGTAAATAAAAGGGGGAGAGAGAGTTGGGAGGTCAAGAGGCAGTAAAGTAAAAAGGGGAGGTTAGCAAATCTTGCATGTCAAAAAAATTCAGAGCCATCATCCTCTCCCACCATAGACAACCACAGCTTAGCTTACAACAACAGAAAAAGCAAAAAAGAGAAGCAGAAAAGAATAGGAAAAAAAAAAAAAAAAGAGGAGCTTACCGAAGCAAGGTAAAGATCATGTCCAACTCCAAAAGTAGGTCCACAATCCGCCTTATTATACGCCGCCGCATTTCCATCCCCCTTCACCCCAAACATCGTATTCTCTCTCGTCAACTGTCCGGGACCCTTCAAAGTAAACAAAAAGTTCTCCCTTGACGTGGAATAAACCCCTGATGGGTGACTCGACCATGAAGAACTGTTATACCCTCCAAAGATGGTCCCGTTGTCGGCGCGGACGACGGTGAGGGTGGGACCACGTTGGTCGCAGGACATGTGGAAGTTGTGGGCGGCGAAGCCGTCGCGGGTGGCCCGGTATTGGAGGGTTAGTTTTGGGAGGGGGAGTTGGCTTTGGACGTGTGTGGGTGATGTTGGGGATTGTGAGATGTTGGTGAGGGCGCCAGAGTGGAAGAGGGTTGAGTGGCTGCTTCCGGAGCGTGTTGAGCGATGGCCCATATTCGAAATGTTTGTTGTGGAAGAGGTTGTGGCGGCGGGCGATGATACACGGTGGGATGCGGTGCTAGTGGTGTTACTGTTCATGGGTCGAGACCAGTATGCTGGAGGCGAGTTACCTAGAATTGCTCCAGATGCGAGAGAGTTGGGCAAAGAAGATGATGGTGAAGTGGATAATGAAATCGGAACAGTGCCACTACGAGGAGAAGTCGCAGTAACAGTCGTAGTAATGGAACTGTTGGCGGTAGTACTCCTAGAACGATGCCATCCATATCCTGCAGTTCCCGATCCTGATTGAGCGCCGTGGATCGCGGCCTGGAGCCATTCTAACAAGATCTCTTTATGATCCTTACTAAGGATGGTTGAAAACGCCATTCGTCGTCGGAGTGAAAGTTGATAGGGATCCGACATTGAAGGGACCGAATGGTGTCGATAGACTTTTGCACAAAGGTACATGGGTAGGAGTCCTGTCCCTTCGATGAGTCGCAAAAAGTCCATGCTGGGGATCCGCAAGAACCGGATTGAGGAGAGGAGAGGCAAGATCCTGCGAGCGAGGTCTTCGTGGACCGAGATGGGGAGGTTGATGATCTTGTGGCAGGCGTCGTTGCGTTGAAAGACTGAATGGGACGATTGGCGGAACCCGTCTTCGTCCAGATCCTGTTGTCGTGATGTTGAGAGATGGACTGTAGTTCCCCCAAGAGGTACACGTGCGTCTGCCATCTCGTCATCCGACAACGACGACGACGATATCGATCCAGGTGATCCATTCCCTGAGGAGCCCTTCTTGGTGAAGAGCTGTTTCTGTTGATCCTGATACAGCGAATCAGTTGTACTGTCCTCTTCGGGGTCAGGAACAGGTTGGACAACAATACACCCGGTCCCCTTGGGGAACTCGGCCAACGGACATGTCTCCCAGTCTAACCCAAGCTGGAAATACGTCCACCTAACCGCAATCTTCCAAACCTCCAGCTCATCCAAATCCAACTGATCCATCGCCAAAATATCCTTCAAAATCCCATCGTCGACCTGACAAATGCCCCGTCCACGCTTCAAATGCTCAATATTGGCCGCAATAAAGTCCAAGCACTCGGTCTTCAACTGCCCCAATCGATGTCGACTCGCCAATTCGACCATCTCGAGTACATTGTCCCGACACAACATCGTCAACGCAAACCGTTCACATCCAAAAAGCAAATCGTCCAGACAGAGTTCGTCCGCTGCTCGGATGAGATCCATGACGGTAGTTTCGGTAAGATCGATGCGGCCGGTGTAGAGGAATTGAAGGATTTGGAGGAATATGGCAGGGAGGATGTTGGGTTTGTGGATGATGTTGCCTTGATGGGATTCTTTCCAGTCTGTGGTGAGGGCTCGGGCAAAGTACTCGCTGCGTGTCTGGAGGATCAGTGCGTGTCCGTGCATCACCATCTTTTCTTCTCCTATTAGATATGACATCAAGTAAAGAGAGAAGATAAAAGAGAGTGTGAGCGTTTGTTTGTTTCTGTGTTGTCATCATGGTTTGGTCAATGTTTGTAAAAGGGATAGAACAGAAAGAGATGTGGAAGAAAATCCCCCCCACCCCCCCCCTTTTCGTTTTCATCTGTGTGTTATTCCATTCCTAGGCTTCGCACAGACGATGGAGAAGATGGCGAAGGAAAGTGGAAAAGACAAAGTACGAGGAAGAGGAGGAGAGGAAGAAGAGGAACGAAGAGAGTGGGCATGTACCGATGATAAGGCGGACATCTGCACCGACGGGCGAGTTGACAAGCCTGAGGAAATCTGCACTCAATGCGTCTGGGTTTGAGTACACCGGCATGTTGTATGTTTGCTGCTGGTGTGTGGAGTAAAGAGAGTGGCGTGAAGGAGATGTGCGGAGGATGAAGTAGGTGTCGACTAAAGATGAGAGAACCTCCTCGAAAAGTCAAGTGCTGATTGCGAAGTGAGTAAGAAGGAGAGTGGAGGGAACGAGTGTGAGGGTTGCGTGAGGATGGTGGAAGGGATTGTGAAGACAGCGAGGTAGGGAAAAGACAGATGGAGTAAAGAGAGAGGAAGATGTCAACTCGGAGAGAAAAGAATAAAAATAAGGATCGGTGAGACAATACGATTCACAAAAAAAAGAAAAAAAAAATATATCCCTTTGATCAGCCATGTCCCTTCGAGTGACAAATTTGCTTGGAAGAGTGAGGGCATGCATGTCATGCTGGCTGTTTGTCTGCTTTCTCTATGTGTCTGCTCGCTGCTCTCAACATGCGTTTATGTATGTGTGTGATCACACGCTCACCTCTTCTTCCTTGACCTCCGCATTGAAAGGGGCGAACGAAAAAGAGGGGGATGCAACATAGAATAATAGGTGAGCACACCATTGCCACTCCATGGTCAGGACAACATGTAGAATACAAACAAGAGAGTAAGAAGAACGAGAAACACCACCATCCACTGACCAATGATAATAACCAAACGACTGAATGTCTACCAGTACTCGTGCTTTGCCCTCTTTTGCTTTCCTCTTCCCTTTCCTATATCCATCCCTTGAATTACAGGATCTTCATTTTTTGGTCTTCACAACTTGCACTCCTGCATCTGACAATGACCCCGAGCTATGGCCTGTTTGTCCAGCGTGATCTCATTATGTACCCCTCCTTTTCTTCCACTCCACGGGTGCGTCCTGTTCCCGTTGTGTCCTCTCGACATACGTACGCTTATGTGCAGAACAAGCCATTTCGCATATTCATGGGTGGCACATTCATGCGCAATATCAAATCACCCTTCATTTCCTCATACTCTCCATCCATTCAATTTTGAAACAGCTGGAGCATACAAATGTAAGAATAAAGAATAAAAAAAAAGATACACAGATGAGAAACACAGAAGTGGATGGGAGAAGGAAGAGAAGAAAGGATAATGCTGACGGCATCGTGCACTATCTGGACGCCAGCACCCAAGGTACCAGATTAGCCAATTCAACGCAATCTATAACCAACCTCGTGCACACACCACTTCGCCCAAACACAAACGCACGAATCACTTCTTACTGTCTTCCTCCTTGGTCAGTGCGCACGTGATAAACTTTGGTCAAACAAGCATGGATGATCCTCAGGTATTGATCGTATGTGTGGTGCGCGTTGACTCTATTTTCTTTTTTTTCCTTCTTTCTTTCTTTCTTTCCTTCCTTCCTTCCTTCCTTCCTTGCCTTCTTTGCACTCCTCGTTTCCCAGCTCCCACGCTCTCCCCGCCCCCTTTGTTCTTGAGTAATCGCCCCATTATGGTTACGATACTACACACTGATTAAAAAGATTAGAAACACCTGTAACCTGGTCGCGTATCCGTTTTACTGATTAGGGATTTTTCTTTCTTGTACGTCATATGTATCCCGATCGTGCGCGCTTCAAGGAGAAAGAGAGTGTGTGAGCGAGTGTGTGTGGGAATGAGGGGAGAAAAAAGGGATTGGGAAAGAGAAGAAGAGGGAGGAGGATGATGGGGATATTGAAAAAATTCAAGTGAGAGACCCATGGGACGTTGCAACAATGGACCATGATTCGTTTGCTTTGTTAGAACCAATTTCTTTATATGACTTTGATCATTTGTCCTTCTCTCCTTCTAGAGTCGCTCAAGCAGTCGTCGTTGTCGTGGACGCCATCCAGTAAGGAGCAGGAGGTCGCTCACGACAAGCCTCCACCAATGCAGAGACCCACCTCTGTCCCAAATCCGCCGTCTCTGCATAGAACTCCATATCAAACACCGTCCTCTGATTCCCGCTCGAGTTCTCGTCGGCCATGCAGAGGCGGAACCCGTTCCTGACTGGGTAGTAGTCTTCACTCACGTCTCTCACGCGGCTGGTGCTGACCCTATGCTCGTTGGCGTTGTTGCTGTGGTGGTCGATGTCGACGGTCTCGAGGTAACGAGCTCGGGTGTTGAAGTATCCGAGACTGGTCTCGATCCCGTGCACGAACGACAGATCTAGACACCTCCACTTCTCCTCATGCTGCTCATCTTGACCATGACGATTCTGACTGGTGCTGCCGTGAGGGGGAGTAGGAGGACGGCACTGCCATAGAACAGACCCAACAATACAGAACCTTCCCTCCCTCCATCGTTGCTGTTGCAGATTCCCAGTCGAATAAAACAAGGCCCCACGGAAAGAGACTCTATCCTGCCAATGAAAATACTTGAGACCCATATGACAGTCGACCAGATTCTGAGGCTCGGATGGGAGGGCCTGCTGGTCTTCGTAGATCGCGTCCTCGGGGTCCATCTCCGGTCCTGGGATGAAACAGACCGTTGTTTGTATATTCGCCACCATCACATCTCGACCTAACGACCTCGCCTCCCCGCCTTCTTCATCCTCTTCGTCGTCCTCGTCCGCGTCGGCATTATGATCGTTATCATTATTATCACTACGCTCGCCAGTGTGGCCACTGGTGAGCGCAGGGGTGGAACACCTGTCGATATCCTTAGCACCCATCCCCACCGAAGGCGATTCCCTTCCAAGCTGCCCACCGACCCTCGAATAATCATTCAAATCAATCCAGTTGTTGACGGTCTGGAACTCGATATTAACAATTTGGTTCGTACAAGCTGCCCGGATCTCGTCAAAGACAATCCCGGTCCTGGAAATACACAGTTCGTCGTCAAACAAGATGTGGCGTGAGAGGATTTCGAGTGGGGATTCTGTAGCGCGGATTCGGGCTTGGGTCAGTTGTGGGAGGAAGGGGACTGGTGTGTTGTTGATGGAGGTGTCGGTAGGTTTCGTGTTGTAGTTATTGTTGTCGCTGTTGTTGACGCTGTTGTTGTTGATGTTGTTGTTGATGTTGTTGTTGATGTTGTTGTTGATGTTGTTGTTGATGTTGTTGTTGATGACATCTGACGATTCTTGGGTCGAAAAGGGCAAGGAGGAAGCAGTCGAGAAAGGAGCCGTGTCGGTGGAGGTATGACTGGCCACCACGTTCGAAAAAGAAGAAGTCCGAGGAGAGAAAGATCGACCAGTAGTGATGGATCCATTCGAGCCTCGCCTATGCTGCTCGCCCAACTCCTTCCAATACGCCAGCCACTGCTCCTGATCCACCGGAAGCTGTTGTTGTATACTGTTTGTTGTCGTACTTGGAGAAGGCAGCATTAATGTCGCTGATCTGGAAGGCAATCGCGGTTGTGACTCTTGCTGTTTGGACTGCGAATGATTCTTCTTGCGAGGATTGAGGAACCCCTTTGTCCATTTCGCAATCGTGCCGCTACCGCTTCTAGTCTTCTTTTCACTCTCAGCCATGTCATCAGGCGAGCCACAAGAAGAAGGCGGGGTGGACAAGGACGACTCGGAAGTTGATGTCGAAGCCGATGTAGAAGTTGACAACGTGGATCCCGAATGCTGCAAGAAGCGAGCGTGCGGTGATGTTGAAGGACTCTTTCTCGAGGCAACTGAGAGAGACGAAAGAACCGAAGATCGCTCGATGGTTGTTGAGGGTGAAGAGTTGTTGTTGTCCCAGGGGACTGAGATGGCGTTGGGAGCTGAGAGAACCGCACGGTTCGATCGGTGACCGATAGCGTCAAATAACGACGTGGATCTTTCTCCAGTACCATGCAGTGGAGAATCCTCATTCAAGAGCACCTGAGGAGATGAAGGTTGTTGCCACCCTGGGGTCCCAGGTCGCGAAGTCGAAGATGCGTTAAAGATGCCAAAACTGGCGGCCCCAAAGACCGACGATGATGGCGAAGATGGCTGAGAGCGCTTGTTGAATAGGGACGACAGGAGCGATTTTTTCCCGATCGAACTGAATACGCTTCCTGAGGTGGGTGCGCGAAGTCTCTCCTGCTGCTGCTGGTGATATTGTTGCTGGTGTGAGGGGAGCGCAGGCAGAGACTTCTGCATGTATGGTGATGCAGAAGGGGGACGATCCAAGGGGACATCATGGAGAGTGTAGGCTGCGCTGCTGCTGTTGCCGCCATTCGCACGTGAGGGCAAAGAGTACGTAGCGATGGGGGGCAAGATGTGCTGCTGGTGGTATCTTGGCTGGAGATGTGGAGCCTGCATCAAATGCAACGTGATAGTAATCGCCAGTCCAGGGCACACAGGTCTAATAGGAGAGGTTTAGCAAGACAACAAAAAAGAAAGGAGAGGTCAGAACACGAAATTTTTTGCAATGTACGGAGAGGTGAAGAATGAAGGAGATGAAAACTTACAGGCAGAACTCTTGGTTGATGATCATGTCGATATCCTCGAGGGGGACATAGTCCGTGTCGACTTTCTCATATCCGGTGTCGATCCGGATCGACACCATCATGTTCTCCCCTGGCAGCGGAAGCGAGAAGTTGCACACCTTCTTGACTATCGGCAACAAGAGGGAAAAAAGAAAGCAAAAGAAGTATGAGTGCCTGAAATAAAGGGTCAGTGCACCACAGTATAACAAGAGCAGTGAAAACACTTACATCGCATGTACAGAACTCCTGTCTGAATAGTAGAAGGAGAGTCACAGTTGGAGAGAGTCAATCGTCGAGGTCGAGATTCAAACTCGCCAACATCCATCCAAAGACTGGCATATCGCTCTTGATAGATGGGCTGAAGAGATGGGGTCTCTGGCAAAGACAATGCCAATGAGGGCTGGTCGACATCTGAGAACCGCTCGACAACAGTCGATTGACGCAAATTGTACTTCTGGACCTGTGTGACAAAATTCAAGAAAAAAGGGGGGTAATGATTAGTGGTATGTTGGACGAATAAAAAAGAAAACGTCAAAAAAAAAGCGCGCGGAAACAAGCAAGAACTTACCTCAAGACCATGACTTATGCCTTGGATGTTTACCAATGCTGCTCCCATAAAAGAGCTCATGCTGTCGCCCTGGGGATCAGTAATAAGAACAGGGGAGGTGGTATGTGTGACGCCATGAATGTACTCCATTTTTTCTGGACCGTCAGCAGTAAAAAACAGCTCGGGGAGAACGTACTGCGGCTTTTCCCTGGAAGCAAGCTCTGTCGACTTGACACGCATGTTTTGAAAGTGCTTGGTACGAGAGTCCTAACGAATTCAAGATAGCAATAGTATGTTAGTGATGTTTTCCTTTTTCTGAAAAGAACAACGCAAGAAAAAGTAGCCCAAGCGCACGCAAGACATGAGGTGACTTACCATTGGCTGAAGGGGGAATACGGCGGCGAGAAGAGAGACAAGGGTAGCAGGCGCAGACACTGCGTCCAAAAAGACGCTGGCATCAAGAACCTCCACAATCTCAGCCTCAGCTCTGTCGTCAACACCACAAACTGGGGCCACCTCTGTAGTCACTTCCTCAACAGCAGAGGCCGGCTCCTGGTATTGTTCCAGTGGCAATGCGACAGCAGACACTGGGCCGGACGGCAGGGAAGATGTCCGAGGAGGGTGAACTAGAACAACCTCTTTGCGTTTCGTCCAGTTGGCTTGTTTTGCTACTGACGTTTCGCTAGTCATGCAGTGTTGTGAAAAAGCCGCGGTGGTGAAACCTTCCGTGTTCTTGGTCTGGGCATTTGACCACGGCGACAATAGCGATGACGAAGATGAACTAGAATCAAATCGACTGGGAGGCCGTTCAGGCAGAGCGGGTAGGTTGGGATCCTCCTTAATATCTGTTGTCGGCATGGGGGGCGTAGGAGCTGTCGAGTCGATGTTGCTCAGTAATTGATTTGCAACACCAGCTAGAGACAGGCGGCGGTGAGTCGACTGGAACGCAGACTGAGAATGCCCTTGAGGTAAAGGACTGGCTGCTCTTGCTCCGAGAGTCGAAAGACAATTTTGAACGTCTTCAGCTGTCTCATTATCTGCTTCATCTGAGTTGGATCCGGAGCCTTGCGGGGTAGGAGGGTACAGCTGTGGCGAGCGGGTCGTAGATCTGGAATAAGTGACTTTGGCGAGCGGTGATGTGACACGAGGGATGTGCGCACGGATGTTGTCCACTTGATCACTCGAGATGGTCGAGGCTGAAGGTTGACGTTGATGTAGTGAGGTCAAAGCCTTGTTTCCCTCATGTGCTTCTTCAACAGCGACACCTGCGTCAGTCATGACACTAGAGTTATTGTTGCGCTGATCAAGTGGGAACTCGCGCGCAGGGAATTCCGACAATCCGCAAAACAGGCTGGTACTCGCGTTTGAGCTGGAGGGCTCAGAGAGAGACCGGGTCAAGGGAATCGGCGGGGTGCTTCGTGGCGTCGACACGCAACGCGTAGGAGTAGGTGAGGGCGCGCGATGCGGGAGGGATGGGGTACTGAATCTTTCTTTCAAAGCCGATCGCAACTGCGCAAGCATCTTCGGCGTCGCTACAGTGGTTGATGTCACGGACGGGGACGAGACGGATCCAGGAAAGATGGTATCGTAGTCAACGATGGTAGGACGTTCACCGTGGAGCGACATGTCTGAACTGATGGAGAACGGTGCTGCTTGAAGAAGCATCTCCTGCACAGTCTGGGTCCTTGGAGTCGTTTGCGAAGAGTCCAAGCTACCGCGGCTCCTTGCTTTGGAAAGGGAGTTCGGAGGCGAGGTGAGGTTGCGGAGCATCCTAGGGACCCACTGGGACGAGTCCATAGCCAAGGGAGGAGCGACCTCTGTTGAGTCTCGTTGTCCAAGCACGAACGTAGTTTCCGCAAGGCCTCCCTCAGATGAAGAGGCAACTGAAGGCGATTGAAGCTCAATGTCGTTGGACGAGAACGATATCCTTGCGAAAGGGGAGCCAGGGCGCTTGGAGTTCCAGGGCAGCGAGGAAGCTGAGAGTCGCTTGGAGAAGGGTCTTGACGAAGACGATTTGGCTTGCTCGTCGTCTTGGTTAGTGAAAGAAGATGCTGTTGTTGCAAGGGTCGATTTCGCTTTGGACAAGAAAGAGGAAGGAGGTGGGGTTCCCTTGCGGTATCCAAAGAAGGACGACTTTGCAGACTGTGGGATTTCCGGGAGAGGGCGAGAATAACTATGTGGCAGAGGAGAGGAGGCTCTGCCCATGTCACCTGACAGGTTGAGAGAGCTGTTGTTGAAGCCCATGCTAGGGGCATGGCTCCTAGGGCGAACAGGCGTTACAGGCCGGACAATGTCATAGGGCGACGCTGTGGGCACGAAGCTATCCTCGACAGGTTCATCATAGGGCTCATATACGAGTAAGCCATCCCAATCGTCCACCTCTAGCTGGCAGTTCATGTGGCGCTGGTACTCGCGGACTTGCTTGATGTTGTTCCACTGGACAGACTTCTCGTGCGCGAGTTGGTGGCGTGAATTGTCCTCATGAGAGACATCAGGCTTGCGTTGGAGTTGAAGGCGCTCGGTGTAGTCCTCGTAAGCTTCAAAGGACTGAGCATGCTCAATAAACAGCTGTTCCGGTCTCCAGGCTTGGCGGTTTTTGAGGATCGAGATCAAGCGTGCGCCGCTCGCAGTCAGGTTAGGTTTACCTGGTCGGATTCGGAGGAAGCAGGTAAGGTCCTCATGAAGCTGTGATTTCTGCCTTTCGAACTCATCCAATTCTAATTGATCCTGCAGGAATTGGAGCTCCTGCTCGCTCCGGTGAAAGTAATAAGGGTCCGTGTCCTGGGCATCCTTCTCCACAAGGTGCGCGGTGTTGCTTCGACCGTAGCTATCCAGATCGTCATGGTCGTAACCATCTGCAAAGGCGGATTTGTTGTCACAAACAATCGACCTCCCAAGAGCATCCCTGGAAGGAAGGTCATCGTCCAACGAGTCCTCGATGCAGTGGTCAGTCTGTTGAAAGACTTGGGGTCCGTTGTCCAGATTCAGCTCGAGCGAGTTGTTGTCACCTACAACATCGCACTCTGCCGTGATGCGGACTGGTGTTGCTTTATTATGGTCGGCCTCATCCTCGCCCTGGCCCTCGTTATGTAGGACATGCTCGTTAACCGGAGGTACAGTAGTAGTCGAAGAAAGAGGCTGAAAAGCAAGGTGTGGTCCTTCCGAGGGGCGGGCATTCATGGCAGTGGCAAGGGAAGCAATACGGGTGAGAGTTGTGGTGGCTGGTTCTACATTTTCCTTGAATGAACAAGAAGGGTAGGAAGCACGATGGGAGCGGATGCTGGTAGGTGGGGTAAGACCTGCAGGGGTGACTTCGAACAAGATATCGAAGGCTGAGAGACCACGGCCATTGGGAACGAGGGGGTTGCCTCCGTAGGCTATGAGGACGTGGAGAGTTGACTCCATGCGGAGAAAGGCTGCCAGATGGAGTGCGTTGTTGTCATTGCCAAACAGTTGTCCGTTGATCTCCTCAGGCGACAGGCTCTATTTAATTGAGAAAAGAGAGGCAGAGAAGGAAAAAAAAAATAAGGGAAGGAGGGAGAAGAGGGTGGCTGGTCAGTGCTTCATATTGGATGATGATGATGATGCATTCACGCAGAATAATTTTCTTCGAGTCTAAAATCAGTAATTAGAGAGAAACAAAAACATAACACCAAAAGGCTTGTTTCGTGTAACGAGTCAACATTGCTCATTCATTTGCTCGATATCTGTGACACATACCTTGACAAGCATCTCGATGACAAGTTCACGCTGGTCAGTATCCTCAGGCTGGCCAGCAAAGAGAGACAAGATACTATACTGCAGTACTGTCATGACCATAAAGTCTGCTTGGCTCGAAGAAATCGACAACAACGAGGTGGATGAAGGAGAGTCCGAGACTGTTGAAAAGTCAACACCGAGCATCGCCGACGTTTGCTCTCGTTGATCGGGATGGAAACAGTCCTTGTAGACCTTGATGGTGGGAATTTCGAAGGTTGGGTTCTCGGTGTCGCGAACCTCTTGGACCTGGGAGAGTAAGGTTTCGAGGACGACGATGGCGGGTTGTTGGATGAATGTTTTCCAAATCGCCCCTGAGGCGTACGGAGCAGCCATGATAGTTCTTTGTTTGTTTGAAGGGGAGAGGGAAGGTAGGGTAGAGTAGGGGATGAGGGAGTTGTGTGTTATTCTGTACAAATGTCTATGTGTATATCTATAGTGATGCTGTGTGTGTATGTGTACAAGGTGTGTATGTGTGTGTGTGGTTGTTATGTTACAGGTCGTTATTGTGAAATGGGAAAGAAGGACGAAAGGCAAAAACAAGAGGCGACCGTTGATGCCAAGGGGGATAACTGATGGGTAGGAGGAGAGAGAATCAAATATCAATCAAAGGTCAGTGATGATTTATATGAGACCAGGGATGGATGGAGGAGGAAGGAGGAAGAGGAAGGCGGAGAGAGGGGGAAGGACGAAGGGGAAGGGTGAAGGGGAAATGAAAAAAAAGGAATGAGGAACCGGGACAGAAGAGGAAGAAAGGAAGGAAAAGAGAGAAGAAGAAAGATATAGGGAGTGGCGATTGTAATGCGACAGGACCGAAGACGGGTGAGGGTCCATCCGAGGAGGCAATAACAAAGATGAATAAACGAACGCCTTTTTTCATCATTGAACAATGGGGATGGACTTTTGTTTTCTATTTTGGTCGCATTGTGTTATGAACCATCTTTGAGTTTGTGATGAAGGGGGAGGGAGGGTGGTTCCTTTTGTTGTCATAGTTGTTCTTTGTTCTTGCTCTTGTTCTTGTTCTTGTTGTTGTTTAATCGGGGCGAAACCATGCCACTCATGCCAAGATGGACAGCAAGGGGGGACGTGATAAAAGAACGTGGGGCTGAACCGCCAGGGACAAGGACACATGGCGCGCAACCAGCCCTGTCAATCTATTTCATTTTTTCACACACCTGAAACGCGCTTCCTTTTCTTCACGCACAGGGCTCCCAATTTTTGGCTTTTTATTTGTTTATCTACACATGATTTTGGATGCCCTGGAATACATCCGAGACACTCACCGTCGTATCGATCGCAAATGCTTATGTTTACACGCACTAGTGTCAGCTGTGGAAATATACGTTTATTACTGCAAGAAAGCAAAGTCAGCATACCTTCTTACTCAGTCTTCTTCTTCGATGCTGCATTGGCCTCGTCTGAACTCACGAGCACACTCCCAACAACAATCAAACTGGCCCCAAACCACCACTGCAACGCCAACGGTTCCGAAAACAGCACATACCCCAACACAGCCTACACATTGACGTCGACCATGACACACAACAAAAGACAAAAAAAAAAAGTCAATTGAAGGATTCCTTGTTGTTCATACTTTGTCTCAACTTTATTAACATAAGACACCGATAGCAGTCAGTCCATTGTGCTTACCGTGATACAAAAGTTGGCCGCGCTGTTGATAACAGTGACAGTGGCGGATGATTTGGAGCGGTTCAGGGCCTTGGTGAAGAGGGTCCACATGGCAGCGTTGCAGATAAAGATGAGTGCGAAGCATGCTGATCTCACAGCGACCACCACCTAATACCAACCCCCATTTAGACAGCAAATGAATGAGAACGCGTTAATAGTCCGATTTGATTGGACACGCGACAACAGAACACACAATATTCAACGTGGATCGAAACATATATCGATCTGTGTGTTGTTCCTTACGGGACTTGTTTCGCCTTCCTTCGCAATGAAGAAGGATGTGCAGTAGGGTGTAGTGGGTGCGATGACGGTGTTGCAGGCATACTGGAGGAACTCGACTGTCCTGACGTCCAAGGTCAGCTTTGCAAAGACCGAGGCAAGAGCAGCAAAGGTTCCTGCGAGGATGGCGGTCGGGATGACAGCTGATGACTCTCCTTGGGCAGCCAATGATGCGTTCTGTTTCCTGACTGCTGCGGTTGTCTTTCTTGGTCTGTGTCCTGACATGTTGAGTTTGATGGTGTGAAGATAATGGTGCTGGCGGCGGTTGGAGCTGAATGGTTCTTGGTGAGAAAGGAGCGACAAGGAGCAACGAACAATGGGCGCATAAATTACGTCACCGAAGTGGGCAATCGTACTGCTTTCTCAATTTGACCCATGTATTGGGTAATACACATACTAAATTAGGAAATACCTCTAGTAGCTCGTCAAACGAAAGGACTTGCTTTGGTCGTTTCCCTTTGTAGGTAAACGACCAATCTCCATAAAAGTAGGCTCGACTCCATCCGTCGAGAAGCGCCTGCATTTCTCGACGGATGGAGTCGAGCCTACCTAAAAGGAAAATTAAGCCAAAACGACCAGGCGAATTATTCAGACCTGAGATCGTTTTTTACAGGCACGCGAATGCAATGGGAGTAGTTGCATTGGATAGAAGGCCATCTACGCTTTCTCCCTGTATCGCTTTCGGGGCTCCAGACTGGGTAGATCCCACCCGGCCACCAGAAAACATCATATTTAACATTAGACAGTCTGAGCATGGCTAAATAGCATTAGTCATGTAGCCATGCAGTCATGTATGCATTCCTTCATATGTATGTGATATATCCTCGCAAATAAAAAAAAACAGAACATGGGCGTCGGGAAAGAAAGAAGAACAGAGTCGGGAACTGCCTGTCCCTCTCTTCTTTTTTCTTCCTCACTCTTCTCCATAAAGTAGAGTTGGGAATTGCTTGACTCTCTCTTCTTTTCTTCTTCCTCACTCTTCCCTATTTCCATCCCTCCCTCATATCTTCTCTTCTCTCATCCCTGCCCCTGTCTTCCTTGTCCTCTTACTCTATTTTCTCAACACCACCACCAACGCCCTTCTAAACTCCCAATGGAACAAACCGCCCCTACTTGTGGGTGTTTCTCCAACGATCGCCTTAGTTGTTCTGCAGGATTAGTTGTCCTCTTACGTCAAGGAGCTCAGCGAAGTTAATACCCCCCTCCTTTTTGGAAATATGGGAGGCAAACCCCGAGGAGGAGCCACAATCTTAGATGACGCGACAAAGCTTCTGTTACATGCCATGATGGATAACGATTCAGATGTGAAAGACATGACGCTCCTCAATTATGCCGCAGCCTATGCAACGCGTTATGTTCACAAACTGGTGCCTCGCAGACAGCGCGATAATCATTTTTTTCACATCAAAATTTTACACATATTCTCCCGACGAATTCCGTCAACACTTCCGCATCACCCGACACTCCTTTGGATATATTGCGAGGTTGATAGAAGACAATGAGGTGTTCCGCAACAACTCCAACTTTCGCCAAACACATCCATCCTGGCAATTGGCAGTCGCTCTGCTTCCGTAATGTCCGAGTCGTTGGAGAGCGACTGCCAATTGCCAGGATGGATGTGTTTGGCGAAAGTTGGAGTTGTTGCGGAACACCTCATTGTCTTCTATCAACCTCGCAATATATCCAAAGGAGTGTCGGGTGATGCGGAAGTGTTGACGGAATTCGTCGGGAGAATATGTGTTATCCATCATAGCATGTAACAGAAGCTTTGTCGCGTCATCTAAGATTGTGGCTCCTCCTCGGGGTTTGCCTCCCATATTTCCAAAAAGGAGGGGGGTATTAACTTCGCTGAGCTCCTTAACGTACGAGGACAACTAATCCTGCAGAACAACTAAGGCGATCGTTGGAGAAACACCCACAAGTAGGGGCGGTTTGTTCCATTGGGAGTTTAGAAGGGCGTTGGTGGTGGTGTTGAGAAAATAGAGTAAGAGGACAAGGAAGACAGGGGCAGGGATGAGAGAAGAGAAGATATGAGGGAGGGATGGAAATAGGGAAGAGTGAGGAAGAAGAAAAGAAGAGAGAGTCAAGCAATTCCCAACTCTACTTTATGGAGAAGAGTGAGGAAGAAAAAAGAAGAGAGGGACAGGCAGTTCCCGACTCTGTTCTTCTTTCTTTCCCGACGCCCATGTTCTGTTTTTTTTATTTGCGAGGATATATCACATACGTATGAGGGAATGCATACATGAGTGTCAAAAATCAGCTTTTCAATGTGGTGTTGTTTTCGACACCTCACTTTACACCCAGTTTAATACAATAAAGTCGGCGAAAGTCACCTTGGCCAACGAGCTCTCTGCGGGCCGGGTATTTCTCGAAGTATGAAACTTATCAACGCCAACAACGATGTAGTCAAGAGATCGGGCCTGAAAAATAAGGGGAAGTAAAAGAGCCAAAAAAAAGGTTTATTTAAGTCAAGCCGATCTATTCTGCCACGCTCGATATTTTACCCTTGTGCCCTAGCGTATATGGCAAGATGTTAAGGTTTTGCGACACTCGTATAGTGATATGGTCTTCCCAGAGAGGAGCAAGTCAGCTCACGTTACCACTAGCCAAGCTCCACTTTCCGCCCCTCTGCCGCCTGGAATCGAGCTACACAGTGGCTGCTAAAAGATAACCAGCGAACCAGCGTATGCGGCACGATGTTACGTTCATCGCGGCGATTAGCGTAACAATAATCCACCCTGATTCGCTTTTCTAGGTGAATACAGCAGTACAAAGTATAGGGAAGACCACTGCCAAACGTTGATCACACGACATGGATATGTCAGCAAGCAAAATAAGAGCAGCCAAAACCATGCGAGAATGGATGACTAGCGCGAGATATGGAGCTCCTTTACGATGATGCAAACAGGCGTGCGAGAACGAGCAGCGAGATGGGATGGTGGTAGAAGGCTGATTAGGGAAAGAACAGGTGGCAACAGGAGAATGGTTGGGTGAAAGTGCGTGATCACGAGAGAGTATGTAATGGTGACATGACAGTGTGTATGGGTGTGGAGGTAGACGTACGGCGACGATTGATGAGAGGGTGTGGGCAGCAGGGGTATGGGATGGTAGAGAAGCCCTTGTGCAGGCCATAAAGGTGATGGAAGGCCAGGTTTTTTGCCTTTTGTGTGACGTCACCTTTTTTTTTTACATAAAGTCGCGTTCCTTGAATGCAGTGATCACTTTTCTTTTTTTCTCTTCAGCCATCTCATCACATCGCCTCCTTCGTCCCCAATCGTCCTTTGCCCCCCTCTTCCTACAAACGAGAAACAAGACCCGAACAAGAAGACAACACAGGAGTAAGCAAGCATGACATCACCAACAACACCAGCCCATCCTAGATTCATATAACTCGTATCCTGATCAGGACGCGTTAACAATAACATCACCTCAAGAAAGACCTACGAGAAAACAATAAAGCAAGAGAGACCAGCAAAACTTACCCGTATCGATCTTCGTTTCTTTCACTAAGCAAAGTATATAGAAAACCAATATGTCTGGATTCTCGTTTGGAGCACCAGCAGCAGCACCAGCAGCAGGAGGGGGCTTTTTTGGTGGCGCTGCACCAGCAGCTACAGGATCACTCTTTGGCGCTAAACCAGCAGCACCGGCAGGAGGACTCTTTGGAGCGGCTGCACTTGCAGGAGGAAGTTTGTTCGGAGCACCAGCAGCTTCAGCACCCGCCACTGGATTGTTTGGAGCTGCATCAGCTGCGCCTGCCGCTGGAGGCATGTTTGGAGCATCAGCTGCGCCTGCTGGTGGAATGTTTGGAGCATCAGCCGCACCTGCTGCGAGTGGAATGTTTGGAGCATCAGCCGCGCCTGCTGCGGGTGGAATGTTCGGAGCTGCGTCGGCAGCACCAGCGGCATCAGGCTTTGGAGCATCAACATTTGGAGCGAGGCCAGCCACGACAGGATTCGGAGCGTTCGGTGCAGCCCCCGCTGCTACTGCACCTGCCACAACAAGCTTATTTGGAGCACCCAAACCCTTTGGAGCGCCTGGCTTTGGAGCTTCTACTTCAGCTGCTCCCGCACCCACTACACCTAGCTTTGGAGCTTCTCTTGCTTCTGGTCAGCGTCAGCAGTTCGTTATAGGTAAGGCTCTAACCGACACCAGTATTTTCTCAGAGTCGCTTAGTTAGTTTCGCCACTAATGTTGAATGGTTTTTTATACAACTTGAATGATTAGGCAACGTTAAGCCTCAGATCCCAGTGTGGCAGCTCCTCATGAGCATCAAGAATGCTTGGGATCCTACTCACCCCAACTGCTCATTCAAGGTAGGGCTACAGAACGATGATATCTATGCCAGACTATCGTTTCGCTCTTGCATAGTTATTAACTTCTGTACTTTTACTTGGTCTATCATAGCATTTCTTCTACAACTTTGTGCATCCAGACGATGTCAACAAATATGGACCACCACCAAATGTAGATATTTACGATTGGAACCAAGCCTTGCAGGAGTGCCCCGATAGGGAGTGGTATGCAGGAGGAAATGCCAGGATGATTTTTTTATTCTCAAGGCATCGCGGGCCATACGATTTCTTATGCAGAATACTAATTGGAATCGCTTGTCTATCTGTCCTATTATAGCATGGTTCCTGCGCTTGCTGTTGGATTTGATGATTTGAAAAAGAGAATGGAGGCCCAAAACGACATGACTGAAATGCAGAGGATAAAGCTGGAGGAGATTGAGGCTAAGATGAGCCAGATCACACAGTTTCACATGTTGCAGACCGCCAGCAAGGTCCGGGAATTCAAGAGACGCCACATTCAGCTCGCCCAGCGAGTCCTCACAGTAAGTCTTGACCCTCGTTTTCATTTTGAAGGTATCACTGGTTGACAAAGAGGCATTAACTGACCCGCTTGTATTATCACTGGTGTCATTTCACAGTTGATGAAGCGCGTTCAGATTTTGAGGAACAGAGGTGTACCACTTCGTGCGGATGAGGAAGTTTTGAGAGTACGGTTGGAGAATGCATTGGAGCAACTCAGGAACCCAGCACATTTCCGAGGCAAGATCACAGAGCTGTGGGCTCAACTTCAGATTCTCAAGGACTCCAAGCGACTCCACCCTGCCGGCAACTATGAGGTCTCTGATGAAGCACAATTGGAGGGCATCAGTAAGGTAAAGTTAACAAGGGGCAGCACACGCGTTGTTTACTTTCAGGCGCGCTTTTTATACTTGGCCCTTGTTTATTGACCTGTTTAACATCCTGATTTGTCCGGTATGGTGACAATAGGTATTGCAAGACCACCAGGCTGGACTGCACCAGATGACGATGGTCTTGCAGCAAGATATGCAGGATATCGAGACGCTGCAACGGAAACTGGAAGAGATGGGATCAGGCGCCAAGTCATAGAGAAAAATAGATCGTACAGTCTGACACCCACTCGCTTTGAACATTACAAACTACACACCATTGCAAAAGAATAATAAAAAAAGTAAGAAAGCCGTTTAGTAAACATCGACAACCTAAAGGCGTCGTTTTTTCACTACCGAGTGACTGCTTTAGAACCATTGGTGGTTCTCCCACACTGCCCTTTCAGGGAAACTCTGCGTCCATCTCTTCCAACTTTTTCCTTCTCCTCTTTCAGGATCAATCCACCCCACACCTTCGATTGCCCAAGCTCATTTTTAATCAGGACCGCCATTACCACCTTGTCCTTATTGTCCTTTTTGTACACTATAATCGGCCTTCACGCCTTCATTGTCTTACCTTTTTCTCAGTCCGATTCCATTGTCGACGAGAACGTCAAGGTAATCAACCTGACAGGACACAATGGACAATGTCGCAGCACTGGAGACACCTCTCGGCATGGATTGTGGCGGGAGTGAGGAGTGAAGAAGTCACGCCGGACATGGATAAGAGGATGGGACTGTGTGTCATTTTCTCTAATATATAGTGAGGCGCCAGCCCACCTGGTACCGACGTTGGGTTTTCCATGCGCACAAGTATATACACATGTACACATGGATAGGGTGACATGTATCCTAGGGAAAGTTTGGGGATGAAGAGCGACGATGGTTCAAAGAACGAAGGGTTGAGTGTGGAACCGCCACGAGTTAATTTTGGCTTTTCTTGTAGTGAATTGTTCGGTGTGAGTGTGAGTGCGAGAGTGCGAGAGTGAGCGCGAGTTGATATGAGTGACCAAATTATGCCCTAGTCGTTTCATCACCCACCGCCACCAACACCAACATTTTAGCTCGCTCCTTCGGCACTTTCTTTCTTTACCTCTTCTCCCTCTTCTTCTCTTCTTCTCTTTCTTCTTCTTCTTCCCCTCCTCCTCTTCCCACACTCACACTACTCCACTACATTCTCCACATACACTCCGTCTACATCTTCCCCCCTCCACCCCGATGCTCAAGGCTGCAGTTGCCTCGATCTACAAATCTCTAGTTACCTCTGTCGATCTCCCTTCCTCTACTCCTTTATTCTTTACTACCTTCTCTCCTAATACATTTACCTTCTTTTCACCTGTCCTTCTCTCTTCACCTTCGTCTTTAACTTCTCTGACGTCTTCGCCCCTCTGTTGTTCGTTTCTCCTCGTTCACGTTCTACCTTATCTCTTCGCCACACTACATGCTCACCCTTGCTGCAAGTCGATGGGCTCGCAGGCCAACAACAACTGCGGCTCCTTCTGCTGGTGTTACTACAACTTCTACTGCAGGGGTCACCAAACAGTCCGCAACTACCAACAATACTGCAACTCCCCCTCTCCCTCCTCCGTCCGTGGTAACTGTGGCTGTAGTTGAGTCTGTGGCGAAGACATCTTCGCCCACCGCAACCCCTTCGACAACTATTGCTCCTTCAGTCTCAAACACTACTGTCACACCCTCAGCAGCACTGAGCGTTTCAACATCGGTCGCCTCTTGTTCTATCTCAGATCCCCATCAGCCAACTGTGTCTAACTCCTCTTCGCGAACTTTATCTCCTCCTTCCCTTGCTCCTCTCCAGTCCACCTCACCATTTTCTCCCACAAGAGCCTATCCGTCAGCACCTTTGATCAGCAAGATCAACGTCCAAGCACACTCAACCTCTCTCCCTGACGACAACAGCCACCCCAAGCCACCTTCATCACCCATCCTCCTTGTGGCAACCTCTTCAACCATTGCCCCCTCTACCTCAGCAGCACCCTCTCGCCTTCCCCCCATTCCTCTGCGAACAGAGTCACCCACCGCTGCCCCGTTCTTCCCTGCAGCAGATCCTGCAAAAAAATCTCGACCGGCACCAAAACCCAGGCTAACTACGGCTGGCCTCACTCTCCTCACCACCTGGAGCGACGTCGAAACCACCAGCGTCGCAGCCTTTTTCGGAGACACTGACGACAACCCATTCATTCCTTCGCCAGAGTTCACTTCGACAAACCGAACCTCACCTGTTGCAAGTCCATTTATCTCAGAGCCTACTATTGCTCCAGCTCCAGAAGCCTCAACAGAAGCACCGACAGCAGAACCTACAACAGAGGCAGCCGAAGCAAGGCCTCCAACAGAAGTAGCTGAAGAAGAGCCAGAGGCTGTCACTGTTCACTCGCCTGTTACCATCGCATTTATCTCTGCCGCGAACGCCGCCTCGATCCGAGTTTCAGCCCCACTCGCCTCGGTTGTCAAACCCAAGGAATCACCTAAGACGCCTCAAGATCTGAAAGAGGCCGGTCCTCCTCCGCCATCTCCACAAGAGCAGGGACAAGTACAGCAACAGACGCCTTCACCACCGCAGTCTCCTCCTCCTTTTCCTAAGGTCTCTGAACCAGAGCCTGTCAGACCTACTGCCGAAAAAGAGTACAGTCCTACAATGGCAAACCCCAAGAACAAGGGACCAGTCGCAAAGGTCGATATACCAGCTGTCAATCCCTATGCAGCCTTTGTCGCCGCTTGCGATCCCGATGGCACCATTTCCGATGGTCGAGTCTATGTTGGCACCAAGAGTCACCACCTCGATAGGCCAATTCCACCGCGTCCCGCTGTGCAGTCAGCCAAGCATACCTTTTCGTTCCCTCAGTCTCAGGGACGACCTCAAGGGGCTTCTGGGCCTCCCCTGCTCCAGTCTCAGCCCCGACCTCAGCCTCAAACTCAAGCACAGGCCCAAAACAGACCTGCCCAATCACAGGGGGCATATCATGCTCCGCCCAACATGCCTTCTGGACGGAAGCCTAATCCCCCACAGTAAGTTTAATTTTCCATTAGTACAATCTCATTGAGCAGCACTAATGTAAATATATCATGCGGATACAGTGCTGTTGACGTTTGTCAGCTAACAACCAGCGCCATCTTACCTTCTGAAAATAGGAGCAACTATAGAGGCAACAAACCGCCTCAGCCTCAGTCTGGGGCCCCGCGGACGTTGGCCGACTCCCGTTGGTCTGGCAGGACCCTGGCCACTGCCGCAGCCTTGCCCGATGGCTTCTTCAGCACTGCCAAAGCTGGAGTCAAATCATCCACCCCGGCTTCTCAAGCCAGGCCACAGTCGGCCAACCGTGCTCCATCTCCTCAGCAGCAGAAGCGTCAACTCGCGTCTAATTCTGATCAGGCTTACAACAACACACAGAGAGCCTTTTCTTCCATGAGCACCTCGAACCAAGACAAGCCCAAGCCTGCGAACTCTCCTCGCAATGGCCAAGCACCTGGCCCACAGCAGAACCCATATCAACAACAACAACAGCAACAACAACAACAACAACAGCAACAGCACCCGCAGCAACAACACCCGCAGCAACGTCCACAAGGCACATCAGTTAACGGACGCTCTGGTCCCCACATGACGCCCTCCTACCAAGGACCATCGAGCCGGTCTACCCGTGACGACGATTTCAGCGACGACGACCGGCCGTCGTCAGCCTCTAACCGAACAGCCCGGCCAAGAACGTCCCCGGCGGAAATTCCTGGAGACCCTCGGTTCTTCCAGTACAACGTAGGAGACGGCTGCCACATGGTGGTGGCCATGTACATGGAGAAGGACGCCTCGGCGGCTCTAGCCCGTTTCCCTCAACTGGCTCGAGTCCGGAATGACTCGAGCTCCAGCGTCAAGTCTGTGGATGAAGTGACGCAGATATTTAGGAGCGCGGTGATCGAGGAGAAGGAGAACCTTAAGAGCAAGTGAAGGAGGCCATATTGATCACTTCTCTTGCACCTCTCCTCCACTCTTCCTTTGGACGAGCTGTCGTTTGAAGAGGAGGAAGCTACCTTTTTAGTGAATGTTTGCTGCAATTCTCCTCCACAATATTACTTGGATAGCTACCTCGTTTGCATTTTCTCCACACCAACCTCCCCAAAAACAGAAAAATAAAGAAAAAAAGCTCGAAAATGCAAACGAGAAGGTTCTTGATGACAACTATGAGATTATGGTTTAATCACAGTAATAGTCAATCTTATCCTGACGACGTCCAGCGTGGCCTTTTGTTGATGCTGACATGTCAACATCCTCGCTATAGCCGCCCTCCGCATAGTAGTCATCTCCTTCTATATCCTCTCCCTCACCCTCGGGTGTGATCGCCAAGTCGCCAAAGTAAGCCGTCCACGCCTTGCAGACATTGTTCAACACATTCTTTTCAATCTCGCATGACGGTTCTCTTTCCTCCACTTCCTCTTCTTGCACGTCAGCATCGGTGTTGCCAGAGGTAGTGGCGAGGACCCGTTTTGGGGTTTTGGGCATGTTTGCAGCGAGACGACCGATTTGGTCCGGGTCCGAGTTCCGTGGGAGGAAGTAGGCGATGTTCTTTGTGATCTTGCAGGTTTCGTTGAACAGATGCTCCCTAATTTATGAGTGAGATGAAGAAGCGAGGGAGTGACAGTGAGTTAATGAACCCTATGAGAAAAAACAATAAGGAGGAAAGGGCGAGGATCTCTGGCTATGTTTGTTTTCTTACCCGTCCATGGGTATATCCCGCTTGATATCAAACATATCTTGCGCCAAGTATCCAGGCCCTAAGAGAAAGAAGCAAAAAAAAATCGTCAATGAACAGCGACTACTAAATGTCCTTCTCTTGACCCAAACATCATTTTGTACAATTACAAATATAGCGAGAACAAGCTTACCTCCCCAGGGTGGACTCAAGAAGACGACATCCGCCCTAAGTCTCGGCAGAAGCGTCATGTAGTCCCCACAAATAAACTCGATCCGATCCTCAACCCCATAGATCCTCGCATTATGCCTGGCACAAGCCAACCTGACCGGATCGATATCAATCGCAATCACCCGATGACAAGTCATCGCAAACTGAATCGTGTTCCCGCCTACGCCACAAAACGCGTCAATAATCACATCGCTCGCGCACCGTTCGGCAATATGGGCTGCAATCTTCTCCGGCGTCACTGAGTACCATCCTTCCTGATCCATTTGGATTCCTTGGTCATAGAGCGAGAAGTAGCGGTATCGTTGGGCCCAGTATTTGGCCATGGTTTTGGGCAGTTGGGAGGCGGCGGTGTAGCGAACTTTGCGGGCGGGTGCGTTGGTGGTGGATTGTTGTTGTTGGTCGTAGGCTTGGCGAGCGTCGAGTTTTATCCGCTTCTTGGGGTTCTTGTTTGCCGATGCTGCCTCTGATTCTGATCCTGAGCTAGAGTCTGAGTCGTCACTACTGCCACTGCTGCTGCTGCTGGAATCGCTCTCTTCCGCCTTCTTCTCCTTCTTCTCCTTCTCCTTCTCCTTGCCCTTGCCTTTCTCCTTCTCCCGTTCCTGATCCTTGCCACCATATGCCTCATCACCAGAGTCGTTACTCTCATCCGCATCACGTCGTCGCTTGTTCTTGGTTGAAGGCTTGGGGGTATGAGGTTGCATCACCGACAAGTCCAACCGTTCCCGTGACCGGATCTGTTTGAACAACAACGGGAAGTCGCCCCCATCCTCCTTCTCCGTTCCTTCTTCCTCGTTCGACGATGAAGACTCTGATGCTGACTCTGCAGACTTCTCACGCGCTGTAGTAGGAACTGTCGGGGAAGTGATGGCAATGGCAGGCGAAGAAGATGAAGAAGAAGAAGCAGAAGACATGGACGACTTGAGCTTAGCGATAGGGCTGGCGAAGGATGCCATCATGCTCGCAATCGACGAGGCGAACCCAAAGGTTGTTGCCTTATTCGTTGGTCCCTTTGCCTTAGCCATTGTCACTTCTGCTGCTGTTACAGCTGTCGTGGAAGAAGTGACATCCTGTGTTCGGTGATGCTTCTGCTTCTGCTTTTTCTTCTTACTCTTCTGTGCCGATGCGGTTGATGTGGTTGCAGTTGCATCCGTATCCTGAATCTCGAGTCGAGAGTTATCTTCCTCTTCCTGCTGCTGTTGCTGCTGCTGTCTCTCAGTCTCAATTCTCCGTTGCTGCTTCCGCATCCGCTTCTTCTGAGCCGCCGAAAGCCCTCCAAATTCGTCCGTCGCCACCGAGGCCGTCATCTTTGTCGTCGACGATATCGTAGTACTTTTTGTTGTGACTTGGTCCTGTTCCTGTACTTGGCCTTCTTCTTCTGTGGTGGTTGCAGTTGTCTGGACGGTGGTGGCGGCAGCAGCGGACATGGCGGCGGCTTGGGCTGCTGCGAGGGCGGCGCGGTTCTTGGTTTTGTTCCTCTTTGTCATTGCTCTTTTGTTCTTGTTGTTGTTGTTGTTGTTTATTGTTGCTGTGTGTGAATGTGTGAGTCTGACACTTAGTATTATGTCGATGCTGTTTGTTGTAGGTTATCGCCTTTTTTTTTTTTTTTTTTTTGGCAGTTCGGTGATGCTGGCGACGAATGGCAAAAGGATGTTGAGACAAGAGGGTTGTTCTTGGGGGTTGCGAGAGAAAAGAGTCCAAAGTTGAACAGCAAGTGAGCTGCAGGCAACATTTTAACCAAACTTTTGTTGTTTATGTGACTGCGTGTTGATTTTACCATTTTGTGCCTGAAGTTGAAAAAAAAATTACTATAGCCGGCGAAGCACACAGCCAATGTTCGTTCCTTGAATTGAAGTCTCACAAGCTTGAAAGGATGTGTATTGTGTTTTTCATGTTTTTATTGAAGGATTGCGAGTAAAAGTACAAATAAGGAGAAGAACGACGTGTTTGAGAAGAAAATGAAAGGAAGAGGAGGATCAGGAACGACGAAAAGAATAAAAGTTCAAGCTAAACATGATGGCGGGGCGCATATCATGCTAGCAGATCGCGGTGCAGTTTGTAAGTCGCTGCCGGGAATTTGTTGCCCTGCTATCCTGAACTTTGCTGATCCCCTTCCTGCCGTAGATATCCCAAAACCTCTCTATCGTCCTTCCTGTTGTGTGGTCTAAGATGTTGATGGTTTTTATGTCTGTTGGTTGGTTGAAGCTGTCTGGATGGCGGTATGAGAGAAGTCGGACCTAAAACGGACAAAAACAAAGAGTTAGCAAACATGAATAATATCCCTGCCTAACCACCCTCTCACGCACTCACACATACACATTCTACATCACCCATCCAAACACCTTTCACCTTCACAAGCTACTTGCACACTTACAGTCTGACATTTATCCCTGTCTCTGCTTATGCTTCTGGTTCTTGCTACAAATAATAAAGACACGGCCACGACGCTTAACCGACGAGCAGCCTTCACAGATCTTCTTGACCGAAGCCCGGACTTTCATTCCACGGGTTGCTCCAAACGCCGTCGAAGCCTCCATGTTGGTCATGGCAGCGTTGTTTTGCTGCTGGTAGCGGGCGATGGTGGTGATGGCGGTTGCGAGGGCGGGGCGCGAAATGACCGAAGTCAGACGGGGGGTCATTGACCGGGCGAGGTTAGCAAGGACAGACGACATGGTTTGCTGTAATGTGGTTGCTAGTGAAAGAAGGGATTGATTGACCGGGAAGCGACGGACTAAAAACTGAACAAAAAATGAGAGGAGAGAAGGGACGCAAGAATTACGATGTAGATCTGTTCTGAGACGTGACATATTTTTTTTTACTTATTTTTCTAAATTCTACTAAGGCCCCATTGTAACTTCCAAGGTCTGGAGTTCGTCTACTTCCTCTGAGGCGCCACTTGCTGCTCCCGAGACACCAGCTCGGTCAGAAGTAGTAGCGGTAATAATTGTCGAAGGCGCAGAACTGATATTCGAACTGGATTCCCCTGCTGGTGCTGCTCCCGTTGTCGCAACACTGCCGTAGGCCGTACTCTGTCCTCCACTCGAGACTTCACTCGTCCGCGAACTCCGGTCTCCAGGCGGCAACAACGCCTGTGGGCTATGTGACGAATTCATGCCAGTTGGCACAGGTGGGTATGACACTCCGCTGCCAGGTTGACTTGTACCGTCCTGTGAGAAGTGCTGTTGTTGTTGTTGTTGTTGTTGTTGTTGCTCCTGATGGTTGGGGAACAAGAGTGCCGGAGGAGGAGGCTGCATAATAGGACCAGCATACATGTTAGGCGGTGGACGGGGGCGATGCGCGCTAGCACCAGGGGGTCCTTGCTGTTGTGGATAATTCATTGGGTGTTGGTTGCCACCTTGGGCTCCTTGGGGAGGTGGGCCAGGTCGCATGGGTCGCATGTATATAGGTCGAGGAGAAGGAGTAGGTCTGAATCCAGGGCCAGGGCCTCCATGCACAGAGTGGCGAGCCTCCAATCCAACTGCTCCATTTTCACCACCATTTCCTCCTGCGGGTCGAATGCCTGGGCCGCTTACGGGCATATACGAGATGTGTCTCTGGAGTGAAGATGTTTTTTGCATAGGTCCCAATTCGAACGACTGGCCATCAGGCCCTATCAAGGCTCTTGGCCCTTGTCCTAAACCAGGCTGTTGCTGAGGGCGAACCATCATATGCGGTGGAGGCGGACGTGGTCTTGGAGGTCTTGCGCCACCAACCATGCCCATGGGCTGTCTATGTTGAAGGTGCTGCTGTCCCTGCTGTTGTTGCTGCTGGGGTACCGAGGTGACGCTGGGTGTCGATGTGGGCATGGGAGGATGGGTAAACTGCCGTGATGGTCCTCCGGCCGTTGCAGTTCCAGCTCTCAACGATCCGGAACTTCCATTCAACGTCGACCCCAAACTTTGAGTCGAGACTGCCGCGGCTGCAGCAGCCGATTTCCTTCCACCATTACCGCCAGGACCAGAAGATGACCTTGCACCGCCAGCATGTTTACTCGAAAGCTGAACCTGACTCTGGCTTTTGGAACGAGGTCCGGTCAAATTGCGTGTCGATCCTTTTGTAACAGGCGCCTGGTTGAGATCCATAGTGCTCGAAGCCGGTGGTGGCAAATCGTTGATCCCGCGATCGGCAGAATGACGCTTTTGGATCCTGTAGCCCATAGCCTTGAGCCGCTCTTTCTCCCACTCCTCCCACTTGCGCATAATGATCGATCCTGATTCAAAGACTCCCTCTGCATCTCCATGATCCTGTGCTGATTTCCGCTTCTGGTTCGCCACCTTTCTGGTCTCACCCCAACTGAAATCGTCGAAGTGCCAGAAAGAGTATAATGGCAGAACAAAGTTCCAGATTGGCAGCGAAAACAAGTACACTAGAACACAAGGCATGATACAAAATCGGTTGTTAGAGCTTTCAGGTTGATAATCGAGATAGCCTTCGGCGAAATGAGCTTTAAAAAGGGGTTGCTTACTGAGCATCCAAAGGACGTAGATCCATTTGTGACTCGTCAGAACGATGAGAACAGCAGGGAGGCCAATGACGACGACAATGAGGATCAAAGGAAGGACAGCAAGTGTTTGTGTGATGATGGCATAAGTGATCATCCCGATCGTGAACACTAAAGAGAACAAACGAATACACATCATGGTAAGCTGTCATTTTTCGCCACCAATTTAGATCCCTCATAATCTTAAAAACAAATCAACGTGGGACTTACAGATGGCGGCAGGAAGGACAACGGTGCCGATGAGTTCGAGCAGGACGACAAACTGCATACTGAGGAACGCAATTCCACAGAGATCGGTGACCAGGACCAGCTCCAAGAGGTTGTGGATTGTCGAGTTGATCCAGCGACGACGCTGACTCAACAGCACGCTGAACGTATCCGGCACCACGGTCTTGCACTGAGCCTGGGGGACAAACACCATTTGGCGCTTTGGATATGTCCTCAGCATCAGGGTCGTTAGGTACCGATCCTCTCCGAGCAACAGCAAGTTCTTCTGGTGCAGCGTCGACACAATGTTCTGGTTGTACTCCTCAATGATCTCCGGGTTGGCAAGAATGGGGACCCACGAGTCGTACTTTGGAGCCTTGATCCTGTACATACAAAAGCATCCGGGAAGACAGGTCACTCCTCCAAAGACACTCTCAAAGGCCTTGCCGAGGTGGTGAGATATATAGTACTCAAAGACCTGGATCGCCGTCACCCATGAGGTTGTCTTGTTTGCAATCTTGGTCTCGCCGCAGAGTCCCATGATGGTAGTGTCGTTCTGCATCGCCGTGACCATGTAACTGAGTGAGTCTCCCTTGACCATCGTGTCTGCATCCACCATCAAACAAAGCTCGAACCGGTCCGGCCAGACGTTCATCAAAAGATGGATCTTGTGGAACAGCTCAAAGTCTAGCTCCGTGAATCGGTCGGCAAAGAGAACACGCTGGAAGAACGACATTAGGATCAGCTGCGAATCACGCTTTCCACGGTTGCCAGGCTTGGTTGCATCATTCTCGAGAGGATTCCCGCACTTGACAATCACCACCGTTGGAACTCGTCGCTTTTTGTAAACATAGTGACCGGCGTACTAGTATCAAAAAAGTAATGTCATGTTCATGTCAGTATGCCGCGGATGTGTCATAAGACATCCTGGATAGATGTGACGAAAACTTACGACTTTGGCCATGTTGTGTTGTTTCTCGCCGTCTGCAATGGCAAGGTAACTTGCAGCTTTGGGGTTCTCGTTTCCAGGGAGGAGGTCCAACATGTTGACAACGATATCAGGAGTTGTCTGCTTGTTCCCGTGTCCACGAACGATACCGTCACAAATGACCACAATGAGCTTGTGCTTGGCCGAGTAACTCGTGTTCGCCAAACTATTCAACGTGGTCCGGATAGAGTTCTCTCCTTCCGAGTAGCAAGTGACCAGCATGGTGGTGTAAAGGTTCTTCCTGCCAATAGCCTTCTTTCCCCCACGAGCAAGGTCCTGTCCTCCGTTGCCAGTCCCGTCGTCCTTGTCCTTCTCGTCGCCTTTTTTGCCAGTGCTCTTGACGGCCCGCCGGGGTTTCTCCGTCAACCGGTAACTGAGGAACCAACTGAAGGTAAGGGCCATTAAGAATTTGATGCCGACCACCATGCAGATACAGATCAAAGTCGCCAGCATGATTACTTGAGCCGCGACACAACCCATCGTCTTGTTTTCCAGCACTCCCACTTGACTAACAGCCTGAATGCACGCAACAGCCTTTTTGCGATCGTCGGTCCTCTGTAATGACAAGGTTGCATCTCCAAGACGGCTCCTGTAAAGTGCATCACTGACATCCTTACCCAAAGGATCATTGAGAGCCAGAATATCCGACACATTAAAGACTAGGGAGACATTGACGAAATAATAGTTAGCTTTCATTCCTCATGTGCATCATCGACACAGCATAACCAGTTCATTCCGAAGCGAAGTGTATCAAGGCTTGTAGCTTACTGCTTCCATCGTAAATGACCAGGTTAGCCGTCTCTTTTCGTTTGTTTGTCAGGTCGCCCCACAGAAAAGACAGCTGTCCACGTGGGCGGGGTCCAGTGTTGGTCAAGGTAGCCAAAGAGACGCAAGGTTTAGCGATAAGATTGCCGTTATTCCATGGGCTAGCGATAGAACACTGGGTGCTCGTCAAATTGAGACCATATCCCCTACAGGGATCTGACGTGTCGTAGAACAGAGCTGAGATATCCCTGGCTTTGAAATCTACAGGCATGACAATGTTCCTGCCGCCACCAAGGAGAAAGCTCTGCATCGCAGAGAATGGGTAGGCCGCTCCTCTGACGAAAACGTAGTCGGGATGGGTCGCTAAAAAGATAGGGATTAGAGATGTGGGTCTGTTCAGTCGAGATTTCACATTTTTTTCTTGTCTGACCACAGAGATGTACGGCTGAGAGAAAGACTTGGGTCGGGAGTACATCTGGCAGGGCCAGTGCTCTTGAGCTCCAATTGCATCTCGTGCAAGATACATGATGAACAAGCAAGTATATGGCCCTCTCCTATATCCCTGTGCCATTTACTTCCTTCTCTCGTGCTGACCAGAAAAAGAATGAGCGAGTGGGTCACAATCTATTTTCGATGTGAGCCCACGTCATTTTCGATGTATATCCTTCGTTATCCTCCCACTCCACTCCCAGCCAACCGTTCTTCTCCTCCTTTTCCCAACCCTGACGACGGGTCTGCGCGCAATAACCCCGCTCTCTCCGTTACTCCCTCTAGTCCCCGCCAGGCCGCTCGCAGAAGAATCCAAATCAGCACAGATCTCAACGACCAGCACCGTGTCCCTTCTAAATCGCATTATTCGTAATCCCCAGAGACGCCCTTCACACCTGCTGCTTTGCCGGCGGTTTTGGATGTTACAAACCAGAAGAAGGACATCACAAGCCAAACCATCTATAAAAAGGTAGGCAGTCCTTCGTGCAACCATTTAAATCTTCTCCTCATTAATCCTGTATTCTCCCATTGTAACACATTCTTTCTGCTTGCTTTGTTGATGATGATGCTACTCGTTGTTATTCGCTGGCTTTGTTATTGTTATCAAGCGCTGTTCATGTTACCAGCAATTGTCGACAGCCGACTCTGTCTTTATGACAGTGCCTCGCCTTTAGTATATTCCTTCCCAACCAAAACGCCTTTTAGCAACCTCATTCTCCACCACTCCCCCTGGCGATTAACCATTAAAAAAAACCCCTATTTTCCCCTCATGTTCAATCGCCACCACAGTCGTCTCTTGAATAAATGCCCATCTGCACCTGTGAGTTATTTTTTTTTAAAGAGAGAAGGAACTCAAAAATAGAGATCGACTCCTGAGTCGTCTTGGCGCCACGAGTGTCTCAGTCCGCCACCAACACACGAATGCTCAAAACAAGAAAACATGACTCCCTCACATCCACACACTTGAACGACACCTGTATCCCTCGCCGGGGGCACCCATGCACACACGACATCCCGCTCCATCTTGTACTCTTCAATATGCAGAAAATAAAAGCAAAAAAGAGAGGCTATTCTTACCAATTTGAGGTAAAGCCCCGTTCTGGGATGCGTACGTGTACTCAAACGTTGAAGACTCCTTGGGGCACATCGTGGGTTGCAGTCCAAAGATCACGAATGCGAGGAGGGCGCAGATCAACGCGATGATCAGACAAAGCGTCACCTTCTCGCGCCAGGCTTGTATCACTTGCGCCCTCGCAAACTTCTTGCCGTTGCAGCACCGGAGAAGACTCGATGGGATGCAGCACGTCAAGATCCTCGACACCACCACCCACGCCGTCAATTCGATATCGCGTTCCACCAGCTTCTTCTTGGCCCTCGCAATGGTCGACGGACGCCGTTGCACCGGTGGGGGTTGGTTGGCGTTCCGCGAGCTGGCGACGCGGCGAAGGGTCGATTGGCGACGAGGGCGTGGACGCATCTGGGGGTGGTTTTCCCGTTGCAGTCGAAGTCGCTTCTGGTGCTGCTCCTGTGCTGCAGCTGCAGCGGCAGCGGTGAGTGGTTCTCCCGATTGAAGCTGTCCTGGTCCTGGTCCCGGACCCGGACCCGATGATGAAAAGGACGATGGTGTGTTGTCGGTTGAGGCGGACACCCTCGAGGGGTCGCCCAGAGCCTGACATTCAATTAGGTTTCCCGTTGACTCGTTGGGGACATGATAATCGACTTCATGCGCCTTTTGAGAGGGTGTTCGGTTGAGCATTCCTGGTTTGGGTCGATACCGCTCTGGTTTGGTCAGGGAGCGCGACCGGGATAGTTTGGAGGAAGAGGAGGATTGCTGTGATTGAGGAACAGAGGAAGAGGGGTTGGGGGGTTGGCCATTGCCCCCGGACCGAGCAGGGGAGTTGTTGAATGAGTAGGCGGGAGAAGGCATCTCTGATTAGGTATTACTTGTGAAGAGTGGGTATTGTATTGGTACAGAAGTGAGAAGAATAGCGAAGGACGTGTGAGGGATAGGAGGGAGAACACACAACAGACAAAAAGCGAGAGTAGAGAAAACGCAGGGGGGAGGTGAAAAAAAGGGACACAGCTGTTACTGCTGGGTTGAGAACGTGGAGGGGAGAGAAAAGGAAGAGGAAAAGGGAGAAGGGGGAGAGAGGCCTGCTGTCCTCCTTTTTGTTGGCCTTGTTGTTGGCACTATTGTTGTGTTGATTGTTTCCTTGCCGAGGGGTATAATTGCCGTGTGTTTAGATGTGGAGGAAAGGTATCGAGGTGGAAGGGGAAGGAGCGAGCGGGAGGGTAAGGAAGGAAGGAAGGCTGAGAGATGACTCGCAGACGGCTGTCTGCTATTTTTTTTTTTTGGGTGTATGTGTATGTGTGTGTGTTGTTGATTGTCTCTCTCGCTGTTTGATTGTTGGTTGAATGAGATCTAGAGTGACATGGTGAGGAGAGGATGAATGAGAAAGAAGGAGAGAAGGGAAAGGAAAGGAGGATGAGTCGAGAGAAGGTGTAAGTACAAAAAGAAGTTAAAGAGGATAAAGAGAATAGAAAGAGAAATGAGTGAGAAAAAAAGCAAAAGTGAGAGCAGCCAAAGGGAAGAAGGTCACGAACAAGATAAATAAGATGAAATGGCCCAGGCAGGGCACTCAATGCAACGCCCTCGCCAACCTGCGAGCACAGATGTAGTAGGGATAGGCATTCGGAGGAATGAAAGAGACAGAGTCATATAAGCAGCAGCCCCCTGTTCCTGGCAGTGTTTCTCGTCGTTGTCTGTTTGTCTCCAACCACTCGTCTTCACCACCCCTAATACTTTGATAGTCAACCCAGTCATCTGTTATGAACATCGCTCGCTTCACTTCACTCCTTCGCCGGTATTTTTAGTTGTTGAAACCAGGGCACCACAGAAACAACAGGCACGCGTTCTTTGCACCCATCATTCCATCCCCACACTAAAAAAAAAGTATATTCTTACGCGTCGTCCAGGGCCAAGGCAAGGGTCAGAGGAAACCACCCACATCAAGAGATATTCAGTGAACACAACACACTATTTATTCAACCGGCAACAGCCTTCCATCCTCTCCATCATCTTCTTACATGTTACTATCGCTCGCCCTTCTCACTCAATTGAACCTTTTGAGATAGCGGACAGATCTTGGCCATTGTCTCAACAACAGCAGTAACCACATCGTTGAGGACATCCATCAAGAAAGAAACGGAAAGGGAAAACATGCGAACAAATGCACGGCCCTGCAGGTCCAAGTTTCTGCTAGGCGACGTTTTATTTTTGTTTTCTTTTTCGCCTTTCAACAAACTTCCCGACTTTGGTTGCCTCCTTCTCCCACCTATTGTTTCTCCCCCACCATACCGCGCCTTACCACAATTTGTGTTCGCCGTTGCAAGCAGAGGTTACTTTCATTTTCACCAATGATCGGAATTCTGACCAGGAACGGGAAAAAGGAATTACAGATATTACAATGTCGGTCGGCTTCTGCGCAATGACCATCTCACATCTTCCTTGCCTCACCCTATCCACCCCTCTTTTTTTTCACCCCTACTTTTTTTGTGCCTGGTTTTATTTATCAGTACGTTTTGGTGGTATAGACCCGGGGACCCACGCCAACATAGGGGAGAAAAAACAAACAAAAATAAACAATGAGACACATACAATCGTACGTGTGCGCCCCAGATTGAAATTTCATAAAACAGCGCCTTACCAATTGCCAATTGCACGACGGTGTTGTCTGGCCACCTTCTCTCTTAATAATCCCCATCCGCCTCCCTCTCTTCATTTACACGTTGTTTTTAATTGAATAACCCCACGATGTTCTTATTCATGTGCAATATGGATGATCCATCATCATTTTCACCATCAGAAAAGAAGGCAAAAAATTGAGAGCAATGCTCTCGACGTTTTTGTTGTTGTTGATTTTGACATACTGTTCTCTCATGTTTTAAACGTTCATCTCCCCTATGGTAGACAATTACCACATCCCACTGCTCACAACTTTGTTTTTGCACAAAAAGAAAAACGTTTATTTTTTCGAGGTCGGTTTTTGTTAGAGTTGGGAAATGGGCAGAAGAACGAACTAAGAAACAAGGGAAAGATGAACGAAGAAAACGCCAAGTTGGTAACCGAGAATAAACTCATCGAACAGTCTAGACTGCGAACAAAGGTGAGAAGAAGAAAAAAAAAAAAAAAAAAAAAAAAACAAGGCACCAGGTGGAACGAGCGCCAAACACCTGTGGATACCATCTCTAACCTACAGTGTCGACTCCAATGGTACATACCAAATCCAGTCCAGGTTCTTCCAACTCCTCCTGGTCTCCCTGACGGTGTTTCTTGTCGATAAAGTTCTAAAGGCCGCGCAGGTGCAGCTGTCTCAGTTTGGACACGAACCTCACGCCAGCAGAGCCTTGCTCATATTGAGGGTCCCCATCTCGTACTGTCGAATCTCCGACTCGCTCTCGGGTTGGCGTGATTCCAGGTCCACTTCCGGGACAAGATCACCCCTCCTCCCTACACGAAGAGCTAGTATAAAGCTATCTATCGATGGAAATGCGGGCTCGACTCTACCCAGCATATCTCTGTCTCTGTTAGCTCTGCGATTCGTTCGTACAGGACCTTGCGCAAAACCCACTCGTTTGATTCCTAACTTTCTTCCTGCTCCTCTTCCTCGTCGTTATCCTGATGGGCTCTCTCGATGACCGCATACAGCAACTTCAGGATCTTGAGACCAGTGCATGCCCAGGGGATCGTACTCGCAACGGCGTCCATATCGGCCGTCGTGTGAATCGCATCGCCAATCCGCTGCCTAGTCAGGATCTCGGGATTGAGGCTCTCCATCTCCAGCATGCACATTGCGTCAAAGATCTGCAGCTTGATACTCTCGGTGAGAAAGGAGAGGATCTGCACACGCGTCATTCCACCTGCCCCTACCATATGCACCTCCTCCAAGGTGTCTCGGTGGTGTTCTAGCAACGCGTATGCAACAAAGTTGATTCCGTTCTAGTGGGACGACGAGGCAAAACTCTTGAGGTTGCGACAAAGTTGAATTATTTGAGCAACAAGGGACCCATGGAGTCCGCTAGTGTGAACGTTCAGATATTGGATGCTTGTTATACGTGTCTGCATGACAGACCAGTCCCTTGATCCGGTAGTGGTACGCGACAAATCGTTCGACTTAAGGTGTATATCCGAGAAAGCGAAAGATGGCGTCGAGTTCGTGCCAATGCAGGTTGATAGGGATGGATAGCTCCTTGAGCGAAAAGACAAGGTTCTTGGAGCCAGTGACATCCAAATAATCCTGGAACTGGAGATCGGATATCTCGGCGGTGGAAAAGCTGATACTGTGCACATCGATACACAGCTTCTCGAGCCGAAAAGAGCTCCAAGTGAATAGGCGGAAAGAGGTATTGAGAACACAAGAAATGGCTGACAATACTGAGGTCCTGTATCTGGTTGTGGTTCCTGAGGACCGAGCAGACCCGAGAGACGACTTCAACAGGAACTGACCCAGCTGGACAGAATACAGTCAAGGGTTGACCTCGATCAGGTTCGAGATGTATCTTGTCTGGTGCTTGTTCATTTCGGCGTTGGTGTAACGTTTGGGAAGATGATCGCTGGTCAAGGTCACCACTGATGGTCGAGTAAGGCCTTCCAGATTTGGGCAAACTCACAGATGACATGGGCGAGCTGGCCGTGGTGCCTGGCTAACACAGCGAGGGACTCGGGTCAGTGGAACTTGTTGAAGGTTGATTTGCGGTAGATAGGGATAGTCTCGTAGAGGTGGGGTGAGAAGTTGCAGTAAAGGTGTGTTGAGTCGAGACAACATCGTCGAATGTCGCGCAGGGGAGTTGGGCGCAGATCTGCTCTTGAAGAAGATGAATGTCAAAGATGGTTGCATGGGTAGTTGTAGTCATGGTGGTTGGTCAGATGGTGGAAAGAGGCGAGATGCAATGAGGGTTGTTGATGAAAAAAGTAATAAAAAAGGAGTGTGAGATTTGTACCGGAGGGGCCATTTCTTTTTATGCACGGACTGACTGGATGATAAAGGTCAGCGAGGCCCTGGGGGTCAAGCAGGGTGGCTGTGAAGGAAGGAAAGGTGTTGCTGCAGCGAGGTACTTTTGCTAAGAAGGGCGACTGATCTAGACGGAAAGGTCTTGATGGCTATCGGATCTTAATGTCTGCGGCCATGGTCTGCCTCCTGCGCTTCGCAAATGCAACGCGAATAACCATGGACGCGTTTACGTTTTATCAGTCGAGTCCCTGAAACATGAAACGTGGCTGCCCTCTGACTGGCCCAGTCTGTCTCAGATTCAATTCGAGAGAAACGTCACATTCACATTATCGCGAAAGCCCAGAGTAAGTCAGGGCGCCCTTTCTTTCAGACAACACATTACCAAGACCTGCAAGTCATCATCAACAGGATCCGCATCAAGGACAACACAAAGGACACACACAGGAACACCGACAAGTTCTCTCCTCCTCGGCATCGCTCCAATGCGCGCATCATCACCTTGTCTGCTCCTACTCTCAGGCGCAGTCCTGGCCCTGTCAGCCGCTGCCTCCACCACCACAGACACCATTCCAATCCTCAAGGCACCCGAGGCATTCCATGAACAACTTGTCCTCAAACCCCTCAACGACGGCAGTGTCTACAGTCACTTCCAATTCACAACTCATATCGGGACCATGATGGACGATGACCACTTTGACGGTGCCGCCTCGAATCTTTGTAAGCAAGAAACGAATCACGGACCTGATCAGCTTTGTTCATGTTCATTGGCTTGACTCAAGGGACATTAAACCGCGATACAGCACAACGTAGACACGGCGGGACACGAACTAATGATCAAACAACTCTACTTCTTACACTTGTGTGTTAATTGGGTCGCTGATAATAGTCAAGCATTACAACTTGTTTCCTCGGTCAATTGGCCAGATTTTGCACAGCTTCGAGGTCGAGGAGCTACATCTGACGTTCACGCAGGGACGGTGGCAGTACAGTGATTGGGGTTACCCGCTCGCACCTTCGGCAGGCACCGGAGTGGAGCTTTGGGCATGGTTGAACGACGACAAACGACAGTATGTTAACAATGACCATGAATACCTTTTGTTACCTTACAGTGAATGGACCCCTTAGAAGAACCAACGACGAAAGTACTAAACCCATTCCCACAATTCACCCTTGTAGAACTGACGAACACTGGAAGGGACTGACCAACACATTATCAGGACTGTTCTGCGCATCTCTCAACTTTATCGACGAGACAATCACGACCGAACCCAAGCTGTCGTTCAGGAATGAAGGACTGTACAACACTCACTCTGTACCACCTACACACAACAACAACAACTCTACTATCCCCAGGAGACTGCGCTACGGATCACTGCCACACGAAAATGTCTGCACAGAGAACTTGACGCCGTGGATCAAGCTGTTACCCTGCAAGTCCAAGGCTGGAATTGCTTCGCTCCTCAAGTCCCACAAGCTCTTTGATACACGGTTCTACTCCATGGCAGTCCATGTCCGATCAGTCTGCGAAGTATGGCAATCGTGTTCTTTCATTACTTGGCAGTACTCACATTATCGGGCGTTCTGTGCCATGAATACGCAACCAATAATTGGCTTTTACGTTTATTTATCAATTATTTAGGACGAGAAATGCAGGATCAGAAGTCTGGAACTGGTTCAAACCATCACAGCAGTGTTTGATGTCGCTAGACACGACGGGAGCTTTGATTGGTCCCTCTCGGGATTGTTTGAGCGCGAAATCACTCAGAGCTGTCCCCTGGCGTCGACTTCCAAAGTCATCGTGAACTTGCCTCAGACTGCGGACATTGAGAACCAGTACTCGCTTGTTCCCCACCCACCCCAAGGCATTCACTCAGAAGGTTCAGGAGATAAGAAGCAGGATATTGCTGTCTACGATCTTCAAAAGGTCCTTCCGGAAACTACTACGCCCTTCCAGCTTGCGTTGCATTGGGAAGGCTCACGTCCGAAGTCAGGTAACGCAGAACAAATATGCCTCAAAAACGCTAAAAAGTATTGTCTTTTCATGTCCTGAGGTAAGCACCGACCTTGAGATATCATTTTCTTTTTATTGTCATTTTTTGTTAGCCCGCGCCATCACCCCAGGAATTGTCGCCCATCGTTATTTTACTGGATTCGGACAGGAGCGTGGAGGATTGGCTATTGAGATCCGCAACAACAACTCGCAGGATATCGAAGCTGTCTACCTGGATACCTTGCCCTGGTACCTTAAACTGTACCTGCACACCTTTAATATTCAGCTGAACGGCAAGAGTTTGGACAACCAACGAGGTGAGGTTTCTATACTAAGTTCACTTTTCACATCAAAGGGCCTTTGCGTTGTTGAAGGAAGGTTTTATTAACGTGGCCTCTTTTTTTCTTTTTGTTGTTGATCTTTTGTAATGCAATAGACCTTGTGCAAAAGATGTTCTATCAGCCAGCAGTTGACAGATCCCGCCCCGCAGTCCTGGAAATGGCTCTCAGACTCCCCGCAAACTCGTTGGTCAAGTTCACCGTATCCTTCGACAAGGTCTTTTTGAAGTATACCGAGCACCGACCAGATGCGAACCGAGGCTTCGATGTAGGCTACGCAGTCATCACGGCCCAACTTCCGCGAGAACAAGGACAAATTGGGTATGGCGGTTTAGACCATTTGAGGATATACCAGGAGCGTGAGGCAGGTCTTGTTCAGGGTCGCCGTAGCGGTAACCGGGAAGAGGAGGAAAAGGAAGGAGAGACGGACAAGATGAGGGTGTACACGGACACGTTGCTTGTGAGTCTTCCCACTCCAGATTTCTCGATGCCTTACAATGTGATTACGATGACCTGTACAGTCATCTCGCTATTCTTTGGGTCAGTCTTTAACCTAATGATGCGGAACTTTGAGGTCGTTAAGCCTGCGCCCAAGAAGAGTGGAAAGGGTAAAGAGAAGGCCGAGAAAACCGAGTGAATAAACCCTTCGACCCTTGTTTCCCTTCTTTTATCCATTACGCATTGCCTCCATTCATTGTTGCGTACGTGAACAACGTTTTTTATCGAGTTCTTGTTTACCATTGAGTCAATGTCCCTCGAGTTCGAATCCAAAGAAGACTCCTTCTCAAAGTAGATACACTGTTACAAAAAGATGTGGTGGCTAGGCAGTGGCGGCGATGCCTTAGGTTAGCAGTCATATTCTTTAGTAGACATAGTATTAGTAGTGCGCCGAGCCCTCTTGTCTGCTCTTTGTCCTTTTACACATCACTTAGACGAGAGCAGTATTGACAAGAGTTTCGCTGGCACGCTGCAGGTAACAACCCCCTCTTTAATAATATGAATACAAGGTCCTTTTACACATCACTTGGACGAGAGCAGTATTGACAAGAGTTTCGCTGGCACGCTGCAGTGTATCGTTTTGTGTGATTCCTTTAGGACGCTATTATCACTTCCCCTCCCTCCAACCTACAACCCCTTCCCCCCTCCGTACCAATTGAGGACCTAACAGCGGTCCTACAACTCTGGCCGTCGACCCTCTCCCCTGAGTAACAATACCTATCTTACCCTTGACTTGGCTTAAGGAGCGCCCGCTCGATCCCCCTTTGAACCCCTGACCCGGGCTCTCCTCCTCTCCCTTCTTTCCTTCTTCCTCTCTTTCCCTTTTGGCTGACTCGGGCGGACTTAGTTCATCGAAACCTACTTCTCCCACTCTCCACATTTTTAGTGAAGAAGTACTCGTGCTCGTGAAAAAACATCAGAGTGTGCGCGCGACATTCTTATGCCTACACACTTCCCCTCTTTTTCACACAGGTTGCAACAAAAGCGTAATTCATACTTCATAATACAAATGTTATGGGGGTGTCAACCCATTTCTTGTTTGTGTGGACAAACTGGTTAAGAAATACTACCTACCATGTAGGGTTATTCTCCGGAAGGAACTTTTTCTCATTCTCACTTTCTTCCTCTAACCGCCATCATGTTCATTCTTCCGCATTATATACTGTGCCACTTGAATTGTAAACTCATGCTAAAGTATCGTTTACAAATGTTGTGTCATTTGTGTCTGGGCCAGGCCAGAATGAGGTAAGGGAAGAGAAGGGTGGTGAAAACAAACAAATACGCCAGGACCGCTCAAAGAACGAAGAAAAAGGCATGCATTACAGACATGCCCATACATGCACCTCTGACCAAGAAAGTTTGTTGTCGCGTGTTACCAGGGGAGAAGTGACAGATGAATGAATGTGTGCATTACCTCTTGCATCTTCGTAAGCTTCTTTTCTTCTCGCATCTCAAATGTAGTTGTGTTTTTAAATATTTTCATTTGTTTTTACTTGTCTGTTCTTTCCCTTGTCCACAGGGAATTCACGACAAGGGGAGAAAGACAAGAATGAAAAAAAAAAAAAAAACAATGACAAAAAAGGGGAGGTGGAGGAGGGACGGCGAGGAAGAGGGGAAACTCCGGTTGGTGGCCGGTTGGTTTGTTGTCCAACGGTTAAGGCGTTGTTTTTGTTTTGTTTGTGTGCAAACACACACACACATACACACATACACACACATACACACACACGCGCCCCTACTGTTTACTTTCATCTTCGTTGTTCTTCGCGCTTCCGTTCGCCCCCACTGTCTCCCTTATTATTTTCCATTTCTCTTTTTTTTTTGTTAAAATTCAAACGCCGGGGAGGCAGATGCGGGCGAAAGAAAACAAGAAAGGGAGTGCTCAAAGTGACAGTGTGGCCATAGCCTGCACAGAAATGTTACAATGTATGTCGCTGTGTAAAAAAAGAGAAAGCGTAAAAGAGGGTGCAGCTGCGTAAGAAAAGCTTTTGAGGAATAGAGAATGCATATGTTATTACTCTACATTCTGAGTCTAACACCCCATCCAAACTGTAATTGGTGGCGCACATACTTCCGAGGCAGACATACAGGCCGATTCATCAGCTCAGAGTAGACAAAAAACAGGAACGCATCAGCGCAGTGGGTTCACAGTGGCCAAGCACACATGCAGGGAGCAGTTGGAGAAAAGAAAACGTGATTGAAAAACAGAAGTCGAGAGAGGAGACGGATTTGACAGGGCAAAACAAAAAACAAACACAGAATAGCTTGTTAGGAAGCTGGATAAGGAAGGAGATGTGAGGAGGGAAGAGATGTGAGGAGGGAAGAGTAAACAAATAGCAAAACAATACTCTTTTCGATATCTGCTGAACAAGCATATATGCCGCCGCACCACTCTTTTCGAGGCTGAAAAAAAGGTAAAGAGGTCCTCATTTGAAGCACACGATATGGAATATATGTGTCTATGAGGGAGCGATATGTGATATGGAAAGAGTACAGGCCTCTATTGCGTACAGTACTTTGACAGATCATGGAGAAATAAGGTTTTTGTCTTGAGAGCAATCGAAAAAGGAAAGGGAGCGATGGAGAGAGAGAGACAAAGGAGAAGGCGTGTGTGTGTGTGTGGGATAGAGACGCGGCGAAAGGAAACAACAGAAAGACAAACAAACACACACACACACACACACACACAACAAAACAAAAACTCTCATAAGGCAAGCAAACCTTGTCTGTTCATGCATGTAGGCGTTAGTGTTTGAGTCTATCGCTCTCTTCATGCCTTTGTTGTTGTATCGCAGTCGATTATATATGTTCTCGTTGGGCTATGGCGTGGGATAGAAGTAAGCTGTTTTCAGGCACAACCTTGCCATTACAGCCAAAACGTATGCATACTCCACTCTTACCAGGGAAGTGTACACATGTCCAGGTAATGGCAGTAGACGGCTCGTCCCACTCCAGGCAATGCAATGGATAATCGTATGTTTATGTGTGCCACCCTCATGATGTCCTGGACATGAGCACGCATTCAAGTTGCATCTTTCACCCTTGGACCTCACCCATGCCCTCCGGCTTATTGCAGGCGATATAAAAAGGCTAGACTGTCCCCCTCGGAATCCGACCTTTGGCACAATCCTCGACTTCTCCCCCCGTCAAACTTTGGCCCCTCCTCTCTGTCGTCCCTCTCATTGTCTTCCTTGAAGGCAAGATCTCCACTTCTCCGTCACATCCTCTGCCCCCCTCCTCCCATCCAAAGCCCCTTTGCCCTTTTGCATCAAAAAACCATCAACAATGGCTTTCGAAATTCGTGAGGAAGATGAACAGCACGAAGAGTTTGACGAGTATGAGGATATCAAGCAGACTGAACGCCCCAAATTCTATCGCCGCCGAAAGTTCTGGATGTGCTGCATCCCCACGAATATCATTGCTATTATCATCGCTGTTATCTTGGCTCTCTATGTCATCATGCCTAAGATTGCTCAGGGTCTCATGAACAAGGCTACCATCAACTTTAATCAGATTGTAAGTCGCATCCTCCATTTTGGATATTATGTGTGATCGACGGAAAAAAGAATCCCTCGATCTTCATTAGCACGAAGAATTGGCTCTAAACGCATCTCGTGTCTCATACTCTCTGTTGGATGCCTCCTTTCACCTCCACCTCATCCTCACGTCTTAATATTTCCCTTTCCTCCAATGCATCACGTGTACAGGACATCATCAACCCCACAGCCACCTCGATGGACATTACGATGGTTGGAAAGATGGAAAAGACCGGCCCCTTCCACGCCGACATCTCCTTCCCCGGCACTGTCACTGTCTCTTGGAACAACAAAGTCCTCGGCACCACTGTCATTCCCGGTACAAGCACCGCCTCGTAAGTCATCTTCCAGCTTCTTTGTTTTTGTTGCTACTTGGACCATATCCTCGTTTCTTGCTCCCTGCAACCACTGGGTTGCAGTCCCGCCTTTTCCTTTATTGTGTTACCATCTACTGATATTCTACCATAACCGCGTTTGTGCTTTTCTCCTTACTTTTCGTATCGTCACCTAGCGGTGGACAGGGTGATTTGAACTTGCAGAGCAGCTTCCAGATCTCCGACGCCGCGGCATTCACAGAGTTCTCCGCCTACATGCTCAACGCCGAGACATTTGTCTGGCACCTCTCAGGAAAGCTCAATGTCAAGGCTCTTGGCCGCACCGTCAAGGACCTCGACCTGGATAAGGACATTACTGTCAACGGTAAGCATTTCTCTATCCCTCTCCCTCTTCCCCCTGTCCTCCCCTTCTCTCTCTTTGTCTGTGATCCATTTCCACCCTACTCCTCACCAACCCTATACCATTCAAGCAAATCATACTCATAACTTTTTATTATTTCTTCTATCCCTTTCCTGCAGCATTCCAAGGTCTCTCGGGTATCAAGATCGAAAAGTTTGCGCTCCCAGGCGATGACCCTGCAGGAAAGGGTATCCTTGTCAACATCGACACCACCGTCAACAACCCCTCCGCCATCCAGATGTACATGGGAGCCCTCACCCTCGCCATTTCTTACAAGGACACTCTCATGGGATACGTCACCTCTTCTAACCTGACCATGGTCCGTGGCCCCCAGATCTTGAGCATGAGCGGATATCTCGTCCCCCAGTCCACCCCCGAGGGTCTTGCTATTACGTCCGAGATGATGTCGCGCTACATTGGCAACGTGGTCACCGACACTATTGCCACTGGTTTCGAGGTCAAACCCGACGGTGTCAACTCGATCGAGTGGTTGTCGACTGCTGTCAAGCAGCTCAAGTTGACTGTGCCTCTTCAGAGCCCTTCCCCCTTGCAGCTCATCAAGTCCTTGAACCTCGGTGCCTTGGGTCTCACCTTCACTCCTCCCACAGCATATCAACCTGCCACTACCTCCACTGGTGTCATTGCCGACTACTCTCTTCCCGACGGTTTCGGTTTCAACATTGCCTTCACCCAGGTTGCCAACTCGTTCACTATTACTCGTGGCGGCATTGCCGTTGCTAGCTTGAACTCGAGCTACAACCCTTCGACCTCCAACATGGCAGCTGGTACTTTGACCTTTGATCTCTTGCAGACCCCTCTTGTTGTTGACCAGGCCTCGCAGATAGCCTTCCAGGAGTTCAACCGCGACTTGACTATTGGTGCCGATCTCCCCTTCAGTGTTGTCGGTCAGGCCTCGGTCTATGCCAACACCTCCATCGGTATAGTCAACTTGGTCAATATCCCGTTCAACGCCTCGACTGCTCTTAGTGGTCTTCAGAGCCTCGCCAACCCCGCTCCCTCGATCGCCGCTCTTCAAGTTGTCTCTGGTACCGCCACTGAGTTGACCATGGCCATCACCGTTGTCATTGTCAACCCCTCGTCGATCTCGCTCAGCGCCGGCGATATTGTGCTCAGTCTTGTCTACAAGGGTGTCGCCCTTGGCACTGTGACCATGCCTAACCTCGCCATTGTCCCTGGTGCCAACACCATCCAGGCTTCGTCATCAATCAACCCTGCTGCTTCTCCTGAGGGTATGGAGCTGTTGACGCTGTATACCAGTGGTGCCGGTGCCACTGTCAGTATTGTCGGTACTCCCACCAGTACAACTGTCGATTCGCTCAACCTTGCCTTTGGCGCATTGACCATTGAGACCCAGATGCCTGGTCTCCCTACCAAGCTGCTCGCTGGTGCCTCGCTTGTTGTTCTCGACACCACTCTTGTTGATGGTCTTGCTCAGACTGTTGTCTCTGTCAACAACCCCTTTGTCCCTCCCATGACCATTTTGTCGATTGACTCTACCATTACCTACAACGGCGTCGCTCTCGGAACTGTTGTGTCGACCTTTGGCACTCCTCCAGTCATTCCTGGAGCTGGCGTTGGTACCATCACGGCCGCTCTTACCATGAACACCAACCCTCACGACCTTGTCACTTTGATCCGCGCTCAGGCTGTCTCTAACGGTTTGAACACTGCTGCCTTTGACGGTTTGCTCGAGCTTCAGGCTGGTGGCACCCCTTCGCCTGATCTGTTTGTAGGTTTTAACGTCGCTGACTTTGTGACTAAGGCTATGGCTGGACTCGCTGTCGACATCACCATGACCACCACCGTCAAGGTCGGCGACTACCAAGTGACGATTCCCTATACCCAGACCGGAGTCCCCACTGGCACTGATCAGACAATTCTCAAGTTGATCCCCGTCGTCGGTACTCCCATTGCTCAGATCCTTGTCAACGGCTCTGTTCTCGCCTTTGATGCCATCACGCTCATCAACCCCACCGAGACCGCCTTCTCGACAGACATTGTCGGCGCCATCACCAAGACTGGACCCTTGGATGCCGAGATTATGTTCCCTAACCCTCTCACAGTCTCGTACAATGGCAAGGCGCTCGGATCGATGCTGATGCCCACTGTCAAGGCCATTGCCAACCAGGGTGCTACTTTGAACCTGGCCGGTGTCCCCTTCACCATTACCGATGGCGCCGCATTTGCCGATTTCACCACGTTTGCTCTGAACAACGAGAAGTTTGACTGGACGATCTCGACCACGGGTATTGTTGTCAACGCCATGGGTGCCTCTCTTCCCGGTGTGTCGATGACCAAGACTGTGACCCTCGATGGATTCAACAAACTACCTGGCCTGCAGCTGCTGAACTATGACATCAAGTCGATCGACGCCGAAGGTCTCCACATGACCATCAGCGCCACGTTGAACAACCCGTCGACCATTGGTATGACCATCCCTGTCTCGCAGTTCAACACCCAGTTCCACGGTGTTGTTCTTGGACCAGCCTTTGCCTACAACATGGCCTTGGTTCCACACAGTAGCTCGAGCTTCGCCTTGAACGCCACTATTACCGCCGACGGAACCGACAAGAAGCCATACCTGGAGGGTATCTTCCACAACGCATTGACTGGTGTCGATACTCCCCTCGAGGCCAAGGGTGTCGGCGCCCCCGGCGTCTCATGGTTGGACACTGCTATCAAGAGTCTTCTGTTGAATACTGCTCTTCCTCCTCTTCAGGAGCCTCCAATCTCGTCGGTGGCCATCAACTCGATGGAGATGGACTTTGCCTGCGGCGAAACTTGTATCTGGGCTCCTATGGCCATCTCGAGCATTACTGCCGATACCAAGCTCCCTTTTTCCAATGGCGCACCTATCGAGCAGCTTGCCCAGAACATCCAGATCTTGGACAAAAAGGGCCGTGTCGTCGGTACCCTTAAGACCGACTACTCTCCCGCCGTTCCTTCAGGCTCCAAGGTCTCGACCGTCACCAAGGCTGCTCCTTTGGTCGTCGCTGACGGCTCCCATGACATATACACAGAATTCATCAGCGATTTGAACCAGGCTATCAAGTACGAGGTTGGTCTCCGCGGCAGTGCGGACTCGGTCCTGAACCTCGGCGCTCTCGGCATGATCGACGTCAAGGGAATCCCTATCGACGTCAAGGCCAATTTGGACGGTCTCCAGGGTCTCAACAACATCAAGTTCTTGTCGCTGATCAACTTCTTCTCTGGGGATAGTGTTCTGGAAGTCAGCAGCTCCGTCAACATCTACAACCCAAGTCAGCTCACCCTCAACATTGGCGATCTCCATTTGATTGCGGGTCAAGAGGGTTTCACTGATAACGAGAGATTCGGAGTCGCGTTCGTCAAGGGTCTCCGCCTCGTCCCCGGAGACAACATTCTTGTCAACGTTGTCACCGCTCCCAGTCTTGATCCCAGAACCGGCAAGTTTGCAACAGACGTCAATATGCGAGAAGTCACTCTCAACATGTGGGCAGATGACAAGTCGACAAGCAACCCCGCCCTGAACGCTGGATTGGCGTCGCTCCGCCAAAGCGTCCTTTTGCCTCTATTCCTCATGACCGACACTCCCAAGGCCTACGCCAACGAATGGTCCCTCACGGTCCTGCCTACTACTGTGGACGATGGCCTGGTCGAGGTTTCCACCGTTCTCGGCAACCCTTACTATGTCGATATGACCGTTGTCGGCGACGCCAAGATATCGGAGACAATCTTTGCCAGTGACCCATCCTACTTGGGAATCTCAACTGGAACCAATTTCGAGTTCACACAGTTGACGTTCCTGCCGGACTTCTCGTTCACCGTCAAAGCGGGCCAGTCACTCCCTATCACCTTCAAGATGCAGCTCCGGACAAAGAGTCTCAGTGCGCCTACGCTTGTGGACCGCATGAATACTCTTATCAATCTAGGCGCCTCTGGATCCTTCAAGATGGCGTACGTCAACTGGACTCCCAAGGCGACCCTGTCCACCATGAGTGGCTTCCTGTATCCAGACTTTGTCACCGCTTCAGTCTATCCAGAAACGGGCCGTATGACACTCAAGGTCGGATCCGACTTCCCCATGATCAAGGACTGGTTCTACAAACAGTTCAACATCACCACTAGCCCTGCCGTCCTCCCTCTTCCCCCCTCACCAACAGAGACAGCTCTTCCTTCGCCTACGTCCACGCCTTTGCCTCCATCGCCTCCAGTCGTTATCCCCAGCTCCACACCAAACCCCAGCCCCAGCCCCAGTGTATCACCTTCGCCCGTTGTTTCTCCTTCACCCGTCGTGTCTCCTTCACCCGTCGTGTCTCCTTCACCCGAGACTGCACCAGCTGCTTAAACAATCTTTTAAAGCAGTAACACCCTAATTCCCTCATACCCTTTTTCATGTTCACCTTTTACCCCTTGGAACCGCTGGACAATTATCTTTAGTGTCAAAAATAAACATATTGAATTTTGAAAACATAACCAGCATTATCCCTTCCTCCGTCAGACTTTTTCAACTATTTTTTCATTTATGAAGGGTAGCCCTTGAACCGCTTTTTTCCAATTTTTTTTCTCCTCCGTGTTGCAAAAGAGAGGGAAGAGAATACGGAACATGCCCATCCACTTTTTTTTGGGGTCCGACATCATTGTCATTGTCTAATGCTTCAATGACTGGGAGGCCTCAGAACTGATGGAGTTTTTTCATTGCAGCATTCACTTAATGCGAATGATGAGGGAAGGGAAAAAAAAGGTGGATGCTGATGAGGGTCTCGGTGAAGTCCCTCTTTTTTGCTTAAGAATAAGGGGGGGGGGCATTAGTGGTTTTTTTTTTGCAAATAGGGAGTTGAGGGTATCCTCCCGCTATTTCGTGGCCGATTTCGGCCCAAAAACGGAGGAAGGGATAGTTTTAGGATTCACTTCGACGCACTATCTCACGGCTCTTCTTACATCTGGTTGCGCCCTTTGTGTCTGCGTTTACGTAGAGAGAAACTGGAAGACGAAAGCAGAACAGGAAGGCTGGGTTCAAGGTCCTCTCTCGGTCCCGTGTAAAGGTGAGGGAACAGATAAAACACCAGTGAAAAAGGAACCGCGTCCTCTCAGTTTTTCGGAAGGGAACATGTTAAGGATAGAGGGTAAAGTTATATGTGCAGAAAAACGTACCCTTTTCTTGAGTACACAAGCGTGTGTGGAGAAACAAAATTTCATTGTGCGTACTCTCAGTTCAGAACTGTACTTTGACCGTTCGAGGAGCTCAGAGGGGTAAACCCGCAACTACCTTCAGGTTTACAGCAAAGAAAAGCGTATGGGGATGCCTCCATATTCAGTTCAACAATGGCATTGATGTTGATGAATGGGTCATCACATGTTGAAAACGAGTGGAAAGAGTACCTTTTTTCGTTTTGTTTACACAACATGAATGCTGGACACAAAAAAGGGGGCTGTTGTGTTTCTTGTATACTTCTTCAGATCGGACCAAACACAAGAAGTAGAACAGACAGAAGGTGCTGTTGAGACATTTTGTCCTTATGTATCGGTCTCATCTGTCAACGCGCTTTGAGAATGACAAGAAAAAGGTAGTAGGCAATAGAGGAGAACGCTTAATCTTGTTTGATTTTAGCCCTGGCCATTCGTGCATTTACCCACCGGGCCAAGAAAGAAAAAGAAAGAGAGCAGGGAGATTGGACAACAAGTATCAAACATTACACATTAATCCCATCCATTGCACTCATAAGGAAAGTCGAGAACACGAAAATAATTAAAAAGAACGGCCTTTGATTGAGGATGCCGATACCGTGAAGGGGAGAAAAATAAAAAACAAATGTCAAGAGTGCGTGATTTCGTGAAGCAAGGCGTTTTATTTTTAACAAAGAATATAATTGTTCGATGGTATCAAGGGCATTACGCTGTAGTAGAAGGAATTAGGTCGATGGGATGGAAGGGAAAAAAAGGAATGGGGGGAAGGAAAAAACTGTAAGGCCGATTAGGCCGCAGGTGCGACGGTAGGGACGGCAGTAGGCTCGACAGTAGGCTCGATGGTAGGGGAGACGGTAGGCTCGACGGTCGCAGGCGTGGTAGGCAGAGGGGTATCGGTGGGAACGACCGAAGGGGTTGGGGTGGGGACGTCTGAGGGAGCTGTAGGGAGAATGCTTGTTGTCTCTGGAGGAGGGGCGATTGGGGTAGGCACGCCAGTGTAGTTGTATTCCTTGTAGTACCAGTCCTTGATCATGGGGAAGTCAGGTCCAGTTTGAAGTGTGATGATACCCCCGGTATTGGGGTAGAAAACGATGCTGCTCAGGTCTGGAACAATACCGATGGGGTGGCCGGTGACAGTAACCTTGGGCGACCAGAAGACAGCCAGTGACTTGAGGGGACCAGATGCGGCAGCAGGGATAATACCTTCAATGAACTTGAGCATAAGCGGCTGTGCACCAACCCTCTGGAGCTGCATCTTGAAAGTGATGGTCTTGGACTCGCCGGTCTTGAGACTGTACTGAAAGTCATTAATGAATCGTATGGGGTTGGCTGCGTTGTATCCTGGAGCTTGAACAGTGAGGATGGATGGGTCGTAGACATAATCACTATCCGCCTTGGTAGCATCTCCTGTCACTGAGAACTCATAGAGGAACGGGTTGTTGAACGTAGTGGTCATCTCGATGATGCCGTCGTTGACGGTGGTTGACAGGATCTTGACAGTCCAGACGTTGCTGTATGCTGGTGGGGGAGGGATGGGAACGATGAGGTTCTGGGGAAGAACAAGAGATGTCTTGAGTGTCGACAGTCCAGCGTTCAAGGCGGGGTTGGAGGTTGCAGTCGAGTTGGCCCACAAAGTCATAGTGGGGGACATCAGAACAAGGTCAGCTGCGAAGGTAACAGCACTAGGTGCGTCGGCGGATTGACCTAGTAGTGAGGGTACGATATTGTCTCCTGGGACGAGGCGAAGATTAAAGATCTCAGTGTATCCGATTCTGTTTTCGTCTTCGTATCCCTTGTATCCTGCAGCCATGCCCAAGGTACCAATGTTGAGGGTAAGCTGACTGGGGTTGTGAATTTTGACAACGGTGGTAACGAAAGTGAATCCCGTCAAAAAGTTGGGAGAGATCTCGAGGACCGACACGAACTCGATGTTCTTGAGTCCTTGAAGACCGGCCATCGAAGTCGTGACGTCGATGGGGATTCCCTTGATCTCGACCAGACCAAATGGGCCAAGATCCAACATCGAGTCAGCAGAACCGCGGAGGCCGAGTTTGTAGTCAGTGGCCAAGTTCAAGGCGCCGACAAAGGCCGTGTAGATGTCGTGAGATCCGTCAGCAACGACCAAAGGAGCAGCAGGGGTGTTGGCCGACACCTTGGAGCCGACTGTGGTGGCATCAGTGTACTCAGTCTTGAGGGTACCAACAACTTGACCATTTTCATCCAAGATCTGAACATTCTGAGCAAGCTGCTTAATGGGAACATCCATCGCAAAGGGGAGTTTGGTGTCGGCCGTGATGCTCGATTTGGCCATAGGAGCCCAGATACAGGACTCGCCGCAGGCAAAGTCCATCTCCATCGAGTTGATAGTCACCGACGAGATTGGGGGTTCCTTGAGAGGAGGAAGGGCTGTGTCGAGGAGAAGACTCTTGATAGCAGCATCCAGCCATGAAATACCGGGAGCGCCGACACCTTGGGCCTTGAGAGGAGTGGAAGCGCCAGTCAACGCGTTGTGGAAGATACCCTTGATGTAGGGAGTCTTGTCAGTGCCGTCGGCAGCGATGGTGGCGTTCAAGGCGAAGCTCGAGCTGCTGTGTGGAACCAAGGCCATGTTGTAGGCAAAGGCTGGTCCAAGGGTGTGGCCACCGAACTGAGTGTCGAACTGCGAGACAGGGATGGTCATACCAATGGTCGAGGGGTTCGACAGCGACGCGCTGATAGTCATGTGCATACCCGCCGAGTCGATGGCGCTGATCTTATAGTCCAACAGCTGCAGGCCAGGTAGTTTGTTGAATCCATCGAGGGTCACAGTCTTGGTCATCGACACACCGGGAAGAGAGGCACCCATGGCGTTGACAACAATACCCGTGGTCGAGATCGTCCAGTCAAACTTCTCGTTGTTCAGAGCAAACGTGGTGAAATCGGCAAATGCGGCGCCATCGGTAATGGTGAAGGGGACACCGGCCAGGTTCAAAGTAGCACCCTGGTTGGCAATGGCCTTGACAGTGGGCATCAGCATCGATCCGAGCGCCTTGCCATTGTACGAGACTGTGAGAGGGTTAGGGAACATAATCTCGGCATCCAAGGGTCCAGTCTTGGTGATGGCGCCGACAATGTCTGTCGAGAAGGCGGTCTCGGTGGGGTTGATGAGCGTGATGGCATCAAAGGCGAGAACAGAGCCGTTGACAAGGATCTGAGCAATGGGAGTACCGACGACGGGGATCAACTTGAGAATTGTCTGATCAGTGCCAGTGGGGACTCCGGTCTGGGTGTAGGGAATCGTCACTTGGTAGTCGCCGACCTTGACGGTGGTGGTCATGGTGATGTCGACAGCGAGTCCAGCCATAGCCTTAGTCACAAAGTCAGCGACGTTAAAACCTACAAACAGATCAGGCGAAGGGGTGCCACCAGCCTGAAGCTCGAGCAAACCGTCAAAGGCAGCAGTGTTCAAACCGTTAGAGACAGCCTGAGCGCGGATCAAAGTGACAAGATCGTGAGGGTTGGTGTTCATGGTAAGAGCGGCCGTGATGGTACCAACGCCAGCTCCAGGAATGACTGGAGGGGTGCCAAAGGTCGACACAACAGTTCCTAGAGCGACGCCGTTGTAGGTAATGGTAGAGTCAATCGACAAAATGGTCATGGGAGGGACAAAGGGGTTGTTGACAGAGACAACAGTCTGAGCAAGACCATCAACAAGAGTGGTGTCGAGAACAACAAGCGAGGCACCAGCGAGCAGCTTGGTAGGGAGACCAGGCATCTGGGTCTCAATGGTCAATGCGCCAAAGGCAAGATTGAGCGAATCGACAGTTGTACTGGTGGGAGTACCGACAATACTGACAGTGGCACCGGCACCACTGGTATACAGCGTCAACAGCTCCATACCCTCAGGAGAAGCAGCAGGGTTGATTGATGACGAAGCCTGGATGGTGTTGGCACCAGGGACAATGGCGAGGTTAGGCATGGTCACAGTGCCAAGGGCGACACCCTTGTAGACAAGACTGAGCACAATATCGCCGGCGCTGAGCGAGATCGACGAGGGGTTGACAATGACAACAGTGATGGCCATGGTCAACTCAGTGGCGGTACCAGAGACAACTTGAAGAGCGGCGATCGAGGGAGCGGGGTTGGCGAGGCTCTGAAGACCACTAAGAGCAGTTGAGGCGTTGAACGGGATGTTGACCAAGTTGACTATACCGATGGAGGTGTTGGCATAGACCGAGGCCTGACCGACAACACTGAAGGGGAGATCGGCACCAATAGTCAAGTCGCGGTTGAACTCCTGGAAGGCTATCTGCGAGGCCTGGTCAACAACAAGAGGGGTCTGCAACAAATCAAAGGTCAGAGTACCAGCTGCCATGTTGGAGGTCGAAGGGTTGTAGCTCGAGTTCAAGCTAGCAACGGCAATGCCGCCACGAGTAATAGTGAACGAGTTGGCAACCTGGGTGAAAGCAATGTTGAAACCGAAACCGTCGGGAAGAGAGTAGTCGGCAATGACACCAGTGGAGGTAGTGGCAGGTTGATATGCTGTGGGAGGAGTGAAGGTGAGACCCAAGGCACCGAGGTTCAAGGACTTGATGAGCTGCAAGGGGGAAGGGCTCTGAAGAGGCACAGTCAACTTGAGCTGCTTGACAGCAGTCGACAGCCACTCGATCGAGTTGACACCGTCAGGCTTGACCTCGAAACCAGTGGCAATAGTGTCGGTGACCACGTTGCCAATGTAGCGCGACATCATCTCGGACGTAATAGCAAGACCCTCGGGGGTGGACTGGGGGACGAGATATCCGCTCATGCTCAAGATCTGGGGGCCACGGACCATGGTCAGGTTAGAAGAGGTGACGTATCCCATGAGAGTGTCCTTGTAAGAAATGGCGAGGGTGAGGGCTCCCATGTACATCTGGATGGCGGAGGGGTTGTTGACGGTGGTGTCGATGTTGACGAGAATACCCTTTCCTGCAGGGTCATCGCCTGGGAGCGCAAACTTTTCGATCTTGATACCCGAGAGACCTTGGAATGCTGCAGGAAAGGGATAGAAGAAATAATAAAAAGTTATGAGTATGATTTGCTTGAATGGTATAGGCTGGTGAGGAGTAGGGTGGAAATGGATCACATAGAATGAGAGGGAGAGAGAGAGAGAGGGAGAGAGAGAGAGAGGGAGAGAGAGAGAAAGAGTTGCTTACCATTGACAGTGATGTCCTTGTCCAGGTCGAGGTCCTTCACGGTGTGGCCAAGAGCCTTGACGTTCAACTTGCCAGAAAGGTGCCAGACAAATGTCTCGGCGTTGAGCATGTAGGCAGAGAACTCTGCGAATGCCGCGGCATCGGAGATCTGGAAGCTGCTCTGCAAGTTCAAATCACCCTGTCCACCGCTAGGTGACGATAGGAAAAGTAAGGAGGAAACACAAACACGGTTTTAGCAGCATATCAGTGGATGGTAACAAAAGAAGGGAAACGGCGAGACTACAACCAAGTCGTTACAGGGAGCAAGAAACAAGGACAAGTAGCACCAAAAACAAAGAAGCTGGAAGATGACTTACGAGGCGGTGCTTGTACCGGGAATGACAGTGGTGCCGAGGACTTTGTTGTTCCAAGAGACAGTAACAGTGCCGGGGAAGGAGATGTCGGCATGGAAGGGGCCAGTCTTTTCCATCTTTCCGGCCATCACAATGTCCATGGAAGTCGCAGTGGGGTTGGTGATATCCTGTACATATGGTGCATTGATGATGAGACGAAGGGGTAGGAAGATGTGTTCAGTAGTGATGAAGGGGGAGGACGCGAGTGAGTGGCGCAGAAAGGGAGGGAAAGGAGGGATGATATATATATTTGTTAGCAACTGCATGGGTGTGCCCTCTTTTCTCCTTTCGCTCATATTATCCCTGAATGAGCCAGTCAATGTACTCAAGATATCAAAGAAAATAAAGAAAACTAGGAAATAGACTTACAATCTGAGTAAAGTTGATGGTGGCCTTGTTCATGAGACCCTGGGCAATCTTGGGCATGATGACATATAGAGCCAGGACGACAGCAATGATGATACCGATGATGTTCATAGGGATACAGAACATCCAGAACTTGCGACGGCGATAGAACTTAGGGCGGTTGGGTTGCTTGACATCTTCATACTCATCAAACTCTTCATGCTGTTCATCTTCCTCACGAATATCGAAAGCCATGATGATAGGTTAGTCGGTGGGAGGGGGGTAGAAGAAGGAGAGGAAAGTATATGAGTGATGTGAAGGTAAATGTGGGACTTTTGGGTATGTGGATGGGAGGGTGAGTGAGATGGCGTGAGGAAGGAGGGGAGGAGGCAAAGGTAGGGGAGGGTGAGGGAGGGGAGATCGTTGGAGCGAACGAAAGGAGGGAGGAGAAAGGGAGGAAGGGAGGAAGGGCTTTGTCGACGCTGAGCGAGGAGAAGGAAGCGAGAAAAAAAGGAGAAAAGAGTGGAAAAGGTCAAAAGGGCTTTATACCTTTTGAACATTGAATGCATATGTTCTATTCAGTCTGACTTTCGTCAGCCTTCCGGCACATAATCGTGCACTTCAGGTCCTCACTTTCTCTTTCTATTTGTCACCCTTTTTATCTTCTGTTCTCTCCTCGAACCCATTCTCGGTAAGGATTTCTCATGTGTTGTGTGTTTCTGTATCATTCTCATACACAAGCGTTAGAGAAGGATAGGCGTCGCCTGTTGCCACTTTCCATGAACTCACCTGGTGGAAGCAAAGGAGATAAATGAACATATTGTATGCTTACATAGAACACAACGACTGGAATGACTCGGCATGTAAACGGACCAGATTATTTTTTGGAATGCGATCGCAGGCCCCGAAAAGGGAGACAGAGCGGATGCCCTTCTTCAAATAGTGTCCCTGCATGGGGCAAAGGGTATCACTTTTGTAAAGTGTACATCTACTGTTCATGTATGAAATTTTGCCATACGCCTTTGTGCACACGTATCTCCGACCGATGTTTTGTTCTATCTCCAACTTTCCTTAGCGCCTTTCTGTTCCTCTTTCTCGCTTCCACCTACTTGCCTTTGTTTGTGGAGAATGATACAAACTTAATCAGCGAATATGCTCCTTTTCTCACTAAAAGATCCCCCTCTCAGGTACTTTTCTTTCTCCATCCCTTCTCTTCCTTTTCTTTGGAAAGGTTTCTCCACAATATGCGGCGCATACAGACCGAATACATGCATTGGAGTGCGTAAATGCTTTCAACGGCGTAAGAATGTCCGCCTTCCATGCCGAAATGCTTATTCCTTTTTTGCTTCCACACTCTCAGTCATATCTTGGGCATTAATTTCGTCCATTTACACCGCACTTCCTCCAGTCGTCCATGCATCATTTGCCCTCACATCATTCACCAACCTCTTATTGTTTAAGCACAGCGGCTAGTGATATTTGTTGATTGCCTGTCTATTTTGTTGTTTCTTGTTCAAAGTTGGGTTATTGTATGCCTACCAGAAAGAGAGTTGTTTACGAAGGAAAATGACTAAAGGAACAGAGGTAATCGGCGACAAAAATAGTGTGGGCGTTCAGCATGTGCAAGCAGAACTGATGTTTTGTTGTTTTCTGTTTTACCCTCACAACTCTTTTGGTTTGCAGAATGGTTGGCCTACAGAAATAAACCAAACTTTAAAACAAAATTGATTATGGCCTATGGAGGCGAAGGAGAACCTTTCCACCTCTTCTCGACTTTGAATGCTGCCTCTTTTCCTTTTCCTCTTCATGGTCCTCTTTTTTGTGCTCACAAGCACCAACTAACAAAACGCCAAGGCCACATCTTCATGTATGTCAGCTTGTCGTAATCGCCTTGGAGGTGAATAGACCGACCATGACTAACGGACAATTATTACAGCAATACTTGACTCTTTTCATATGAACACAACATGAGAGATAAGAGTGGAATTGGAGAAGGGAGATTTTCCATGCGTTCTAAAGTGTGATGTTGGCTGGCGAGCACAAGAAATAAAAAATAATCACACGATTTTTCACTCTCTCAGAAAAAAGGAGATGCAGTGTCCAGGAACGATAGAACAACGGACGGCGTCTCGTCGGAAGTGCGAGAAGAAGAGAGTGGTAAAAGTCGAAGGAAAAGGACACAGAACACAGACAGTACAGAAAGAAAGAGAGCGAGAGAGGTGAGAGTGTGTATGTTTGTGCAACAAACAATAATTTTGGTTTGATTTTTCCCTTCGACTCTTGCGAGCTCTCCTTTTTTTCTGCCCACATACTCCAAAGAGTGTAAACAAAACAGCCCATACACATGAGTGGGAGACATTGTGTGGTCCATGTGTTGCCTTTTCCTTCCAAGGTGCAGTTTGCTTCTTTATTCTTTTCCCCATTCTGCATCCATTGTGTCCATTACTTGGTCATGCTTTCTGTTCAAAGGTAAACTCTTTCAACGACTGTCATAAAAAAGACCGTTTGTTCTGCTGCGTGGATTCCTCCATTTTCGTTCTCACAAAGACAAAGCAACGATAGACGAACACACATATGAACAAGCCGTTCAAACTCACAGAGACACAGGAAGGCAGTAAAAAGTGAGAGGGAATGAATATCCAACCTTTGTTCTCCACAAAGATGGTACCCGGGATCATGTTTGTCACTTACCAGTGTTTGTCACTTTTGAACTTGAGAGCACTGTCCCCCTTGTGCATGTATCTTTCTGTTTGTATATCTTTTTGCACTTATTGTATCCCTCCTTCTCTCTTTCTCTCACTCTGCATGCATATTTTGCGCACTTCACCGCCCTCCCTCTGCTTGAGTGTATACCATACCACCTTCCCTCATTGGGCGCAACCGTTGGTATGAAGTGGTACTTCGAAAGGAACTGACACACAAGTCAAGCGACTTTATTATGATGACAAAAACAACGACAACAACAAAGGCACGTCCGAGGAGGAAAGTATCGTGCATGCAGGACTGATCACTGCAATTATCATCACGGATGATGGCAGGATGGTTGTACTCGCACAGCGTCATTACTAAAAAAAAGAATGAATGGATGAACAAACTTACAATTTCTTTGCGCGTCGGGGAAGAGAAAAAGGAGGAGGTTCAAGCGCAAGCAAGAACTACAGACTGTGGAGCGTGAGAGTTTGTTTATTTAGAGTGGAATTGGAGGGGCGACATGGCGCGAGAGTCGGCGTGTTTAGAATTGGAAGGCCAATCAGGGAACCTTGTCAAGTACTCTTGAACCGTAAGAAATCAAGAGAAGTGTTGGCCTGAACAGCTGAGCGATAAAGTTCCACCTCCAGTGGGGGGAGAGGACGGAGAAACATAAACAAAGTGGAAAGGAAAGTGAGTGGAGAGACATGGGCATTGGACCAAGGAAAACGACGAGCGAAAGAAACACAGGAAAAGAAGCGAGAGAAGAAAAAAAACAATGAGAGCAATAAAAAAAAGCGAGAGCCTTGCCCTTGGCGTACATTGACCCTGTCGCTGTTGTTGCGATTGAGCATGGCGCCCCTGTCTGAAATCGCTGCTCGTTACTGACTTACTCTCTGTTGGAACCATGCTGGCGTACCATAGACTATGAACGCTCGCCCTATGTTTTCATTTCTTGGCCCAATATGACTTATTATCCCTTGCACAGACATGCCAGTATGGCCTAGAAATCATGTCCAAGTCAAAGTGGCCGAGAAGAGGCAAAGATGAAAGAATTGATGCTGAGCACAGCGTTCGAAATCAGGTGGCATCTTCCATTCCCTCTCGCACTAGTCCATCGCCTGAACTTTACTGAGCTGTTTGTCTTTGTCTATGTATTCTCTTCCGCATCCCTTGGACTCTCTTTTCTACTTGACGCGTTGGATGCTAGGTAATAGGTTGCTTCCGGTAGAGTTGTGAGTAATCGTGTATCCTCAGGCGCTTCGAATACCCCCACGGTACGGACAAAAGGATGGGTGACATACACGCGGTTGAGAACACAGCAGCGAATGAGAGCACCACATGTCAGACGTATGAACATACATTCAAAAATGAATGAGAGGTCACAGACATTGGTGGTCTTTCGAGGGACTACGAGGACTATGGCAACATCCAGTTGCATGAATGAGACGATTGAAATTATTTTTGTTGATTCAATACGACACTCTTGCCTGTGTTACTCCCGGCAGTCTCGTCAAACTATGTCGTTTGAGGTAATATATAGTAATACCACGAAGTGGTTAAGGTCCTTGTTGAATGGTCAAGAGACGGTGTGAATGCTAAAGGCATTTGTCATTTCATCCACAAATAGGGCCAATCCCCAGAGAGTGTCATTGTTTTCCTTCTCTGATGGACACGTTTGCCTTTACTTTGCTGTACATTCTCCATCATTGGCAATTCGCACCCATGCCATGTCCTTGACAAGGTCTTCAATATGAGAGTAGTCAGAAGCTATGTTCTCCTGCCTGCTCCGTCCACTTCCCTTCTTTTTGACAGAGTAGATACCTGCGTTCATTCTGTCATGGCCTATATCTAGGAAGAAGATGAGCAAAATTGTGAACAGTAAGTACCTCCTGCTTGGTAAAAACCTCACAAGCATAATTTACCACTAACCTTTTCTGATGTACGCATGAGATACGAACAATGTGTTGTGCCGTCCCTTTCTCTTGCGAGCCAATCGACTTGCCGGCCAGTAAGGAGCAAACCCACAAACACAAAGCAAGAGATAGAAAAGGAACCCGTTTGGCACATGTTGCGTGCGCCCTTTTTTTCTTATTTCGCCATTTTTCCTCTCCCGCTCATATTTTTCTTTCGTTCCCAGGAACAAAATCAAAATAATGCAAATATACAAGCTGCATAAAAGTATGCAATACCGACAGATGTGTGGTAATGTAGGGGTTCACAAATGGCGGGAATAAGGAAGCATTACTATGGCCGAACATGTAAAAGTAGGCGAAGGTGTAGAGGCGAAGAGTGTAAAATTACCTCCATGCGATAGCAAGATAGAAGGGCACCAAAACAATGGGGTGTACAAGAAGAACTGGAGATGAGAGAACATGGTGCGATAAGGACAGATTCTCAGTAATGAAAAGGAGAACAGTCGCTAATTAAGGTTTTTCTCCCCACAAGTGAGGCAAGAAATTGGAGGCGCTGAAGAAAGAACAGAAGTAACGACAGAAAGAAGGACAGTACAGCCCACAGGTGAAAATATATGATTTCTATGCATGCACAGTGAACATAACTTGAAA